CCTTGGCGAATCGTCTTATGTAACGAATCCTTCATTCTTCCTAGGTAGGCTGCAGGGCTGTTTTAACACATTCTTAAACCCCCCCCTGATATCACTTGACATCCCCTGACATTCCCCTGACATCCCTGATACTTTCATCCTCTCAAACCATGTAAAGCCTATAAAATCATGGTGCTCTCGCTGCCAGTCCCCGGGTTCTCCAGATCCTCCACATCCCGCCCCGCCGACGGTGCGCAATCTCACCGAAAGTCAGCCTCCGGTTCTTCAACCAGCTCCTCGTCCAGTGGCAATGCCCCAAAGCCATCTATAGGACAGACTAGCTCCTCTCCTAACAGCTACTCCATCACCCTCGAAGCTCTCCGAAACAACCCTTTCGGCAGTACCTCCCGATCCCGCGGCCCCGCCCAGCTCTCTGCCCACGAAACAGAGGAACACAAGCGAGAACAGGAGGAACTCAATACCGCACTCGAGACTCTGGTTCGCATCTTCCCCGATGTACGGATAGAAGTATTTCGCGAGCTGCTTCTACGCTTTGATGGACAGAGTCGATTACAAGTGTGTGTGGAGGAGCTGCTCAGACATAAGAAGAAATGGGTTTCAGGGCGGTTGAATCTCCTGGAAGGAACCACTGAAGCAGAAGCAGAGGGAAGTGCTCGCTCAGCCCCTGGGTGCGACGACTTTGCTCGACATCACGTTAGCGATGACGGCCTGGTCCCTCTCGAGGAGCGGTTTCGGTCCGACGAATACAAGGCCGCCGTGCGGATGGCCATGACAAGAGAATATAATGGTCTAAACAAGAGTACCGTGGAGGCTGTTCTAGCTGAAGTGAATTTCAGCTATGCTCGGGCTCGGCCGACGCTCCGGGATCTTTCGCGTCGGACATGGCGCGCGACATTCAATAGCATGTTTCCGTCTTTCAGGCGAAAGAAGGACCGCGAGGAACATCCGCTTCTGGTCTGGCACCGTCGACCAGATGGGGAGCTTGTTCCTGTTCTGAAGGAAACCGGGTGCAGCGAGCTGGATGCAGAACTTCACGAGATGTTGTTGGCCCCGCTGCTGCGACATAAGCGTGAAGAGCAGCAGGATAAGGATTTCCGATTTGCTTCAGAGTTGAACGAGAAGGAAGCTCAAGAGCTCAATGCCCTTTACGAATGCGAGTGTTGTTTCGCCGACGTGACATTTGAGCAGATCGCGACATGTTCAACCAATGCTCATATCATTTGCTACCATTGCATTCAAAGAACCGTCTACGAAGCGCTGTTTGGACAGGGCTGGGGCAAGTCTGTTGATTTGGAGCGCTCTACTCTGAAGTGTCTTGCGCCGTTATCTATGGGGTCGTGCGAGGGATGTCTTCATCCAGAGATTGTCAAGCAGGCAATTCTTCTTGACACGGCTGGCTTCGAAACATACCACAAATTTGAGGATCGTCTCTCCTATGAGGCGCTTATGAAGTCTCAACTGAAGCTCATTAGATGTCCATTCTGTTCCTATGCTGAAATCGACCCAGTCTACCACCCTTCATCCCATGGTGTCCGCTGGCGGTTCCGTCGTGACGGTGGCATTATTCCTACGATTTTGATGACCCTCCTCCTCCTTGACCTCGTCCCCTTGCTCGTAATCCCTGTTCTTATTCTCTTACTCTTGGATCCAGCCACCGTAACAGCGGTTTTCGGAAATGCCATTCGCAACCTCTGTCTCAAGATCCGCCCTAAACGATTCACCTGTGCCAACCCCTCCTGCTTACGCATTAGCTGTATGACATGCCATAAACCATGGCGAGATCCACATGTGTGTCATGAGCCATTACTCCTGGACTTGCGCGCTACCGTCGAGGCTGCCCGCACCGCCGCTGTGAAACGAACATGTCCCCGCTGCTGCCTCTCATTCGTTAAATCCTCAGGTTGTAACAAATTGACTTGCGTCTGTGGCTACTCCATGTGCTACTTATGCCGCAAGGCACTAGGCCCACCTCTTCGAACAACCGCGTCTGCCCGTATCCCTCGCGCCCCCCGCGCATTAGATGCCTTTGATGGTCCAGGCGATATACCCAACGGCCCCTTTGACAATGAACAGGCCGCAGGCAATATGTCGGACGACGATGAATTCGAAGAGCCAGAAGGCTACAAACACTTCTGCGAGCACTTCCGCATCAACCCTGGGTCCCGTTGCACAGAATGCACAAAATGCAATCTCTACCAAGCCGAAGACGAGGAAGCGGTCGCTCGCCGCGCAGGCGAAAAAGCCGAGCGTGAATGGCGGATCAGACAAGGCGACTCTGGTACCAGCAACCCAACATCGGCTGTTGGATTCCGCAACGTCAATCAAGATCTCTCCGCAGGGGCGGATGGCCACTCTGCAAATCGCAGCGCGATAGCTTCACTTTGGGATTTGCAGCTTATATCTTCGGTTAAGCCGTGGACTTATTGGCTTAGTGATGTGTGGGCTGATGGACGGTGGAAAATCGAGGGTCAGGCTTTTGCAGACTGGATTGTGGAACGGGCCGTCGAAGTCGAAAACATATGATCCCGTGTGTACCTTTCGGATGCACCTTTTCAAGATCTTCTTTTTCCTGTTGCTTTTTATTTTGGGCTTCGTTTTGCAATACAGGCGCTTGTTTTTGTATTTTGACTTTTCATTCCCTGGTACTCTACGCAGAGCGTTCGGGCTGGTGTACGATGAATCTTATTTGCTTGGAGGGTTTCGGACGACATGATGATTGATGACACTCCCTACTTCTGTTTGATAATTGCGTGACTTCTTACTGTTGTCAAGATGTAGCGAGAAACTTTACTCTCCTTTTAATGCATGATTTTTTTTCTCGCCAAAATATTTTACTTTCAAATTGAATACCTTCATCAAAGAAGTTCAGAGACAGAGAAGTTAAGTGGACAGACTTGAATTGCACATAATACTCAAGGGCAAAAAACATGAATGGATATATGAGGAAGAGGTATGTAGAACTTCGAAACCCATAGCGAGAACACTTGCTGAAAACCCAAGACCTCTACTGAGAACTCCCCCCACAATGAATTTGCTGGTTGCTGTATCCACCCAACAGTGGCTGCTGCGTTGACCAAATGTCCAGAATTGTGGAAGTACTGCTCAACATGAGTGGTTTGTTTCTGAACCTTGCTGAGGAAGGAGAACTTCTCCTTGTCTTTGGCTGTAGTGTGTGCCGATGTAAAATTTCTATTCACTTGCTCAATAATTGGGTGGTGCCAAGGCATGGACAGAGAATTGGCCGATGAAGAAAAATATATGAGGCTCCTTCTGGTTGCTTGGTTGGCTGTGATGGCTTTGTGAAGGGCAACTGTATTATTGAGAAATTTTGACAGAGCATGTCTAGTTGACTGTGAAGCTTGGTGGAGACTTGGCTGACCGAGAGGATTTGCAACGTTATCTTTGTTGATTTGGCCGCAAGGGTTGAATGGGAAGGGGCAGACTTGATAGGGAAGCCATGGTAGATTTGTTCGTTCATGTAGTTAATGAGCAAGTGTTATCAAGCAGGCTCATGGTGGTATGGTAGTTATAGTGCTCAAAGTGGAGAGCCGATAATGGTATGGGTGGAAGATGGTCATTGTGGATGGTTGTTCAGATGGAATGGTTGTTCAGATGGAATGGTTGCTCAGATGGTATGGTTGCTCAGATGGTATGGTTGCTCAGATGGCTGAAAGATGATGCTTTGGAAGAATGTAGTCATGATGGATGACAATAGTCACGGATGATGGTTAAGTGGAAGGCGAAGAATGGAAGGCCCTGAAGGTAGATTGTGGTAATGATGGATGGTGGTTGGCGGTATGGTGGTTGGCGGTATGGTGGTTGTCGTATGATGGACGGTGGTCATAGTGGCTGGTGGTCAAGATGAAAGGTCAAGGGTGGAAAGACCAAGAGTGAAAAGCTGTCACCATGGATGGCGTTCAAGATGCAAGTGGAAAGACCAGAGTGGATTGCTGTTACTGCAGATGGTACCACCGTCACATCAGGGTTGTTTCTAGGAACAAGTTAGTGTGTCCATGATTTGAGGATTGACTGGGATGATATTTAGTCTATAGTGGAAGGTGGTCATAATTGATATGGTGAAAAGCCCATGATAGATGGTGGTCACGGTGCATAGATTGTGGTTATAGTGGTTGTTTAGACAGAAGCCCGAGAGAGAAAATTATTGAGATAGAAGGCCAAGTTGAAAGACCGAGAGTAGTAGTGACCATGGATGACACCATCATTATATCAGGGCATCTAAAACTAAGACAGCGTGTCTCTAACCTTGGAAATTCTAGGGAGATAGGGTGATATTATGGCAAAGGGTAAATAGTTCATGGTAGATGGAGACTATGGTACAAGCTGAAAGACAGGAGTGGTGGAGTGTAAAGAAGGGGGAAAGAAAAAGAAGAGGGAGAAATGCGAAGAAAATATTTATACCCTGCCAGTAGCTGAAGGACCTGGTGGTCGGGGACGAGTCCCTTCCTAATTGGGAAGGCGCTGCGGGTTTGCCCTCAGAGCCTCACCTTGCCGCCTTCAGCAATTGTTCTACCTTGCATTGGGCACTTTGTTCTTTGCTCCTTGTAAAATCTTAAGTACTAGACTGGTCTCTACAAGCCACTCATCTATTTCTGTTATAGCCTCGGGCGTTACATACTTCCTAAGCCTGATAGCCAGCCTCGCTCGTACCTATCTAATGCACAGCATTCACAATGCAAATCTCGAACTTCTGCCTAGCGGTCTTGTCCGCGTGGCAGCCCATCAGTCATCAAATGGACACCAGGCCAAGATGTATTCGTGCGCTTCCTCGCATCAGACTTACATCTATTCACCGCCAATCCCTTCACCATATCCTCCACATGTCACAATCCAGACAACATAGGCAAATCCTCAGAATTGATATTCTACATCAGACCACGCGGTGGCGTTACCGGACGGCTTAGAGCAATGGCATCCAAGAATCCAGGCTGCACGAAGAAGATCCTGATAGAATGACCCTATGGCGGGTTACCAAACCCCACATGGTGCAGTTCGACACGATCATAGTGATAGCCAGCGGATCGGGAGGTGGGTTCTCACTAGCCATGTTAGACGAAGCGCTCCGGTTAACGGGGATCGACACATTGGCAAGCAAGAAACGAGAACCCTCACCACCCAATCTCCAAGTCATCTCCTCGACCCGCGACAACGCCATGGCAGGTTGATATATCGGGGAGATCGAATCACGGCTCTCGGGATTGACTATGTTATCTGCAGACTCGGACAACGTATTTGAGACTGTGGTATCTGTCCAAATTACTGGCCAGCTGGGATCAGATATTGCCTCAGCTTCAGAGTATAACGATGTTAAGGGTGACGGCACCGCTGGTAAAGTACTGCCGGCTGAGGTTGCTACCACGGGGAAGTTTCAGTTTGAATGTTCAGCTTGTCCTAATCTTCCTCGTCTGCTTGCGCGCACTGTTGGCGTGGCACATGTTCAAGGGACGCATCTTCAGAAGAAGCAGCGGGTTGGGGTTGGGGTGGTTTGTGGTCCTGCTTCTATGCTGCACGATACTCGGAATGCGGCAGCTTTGGTGCAGGCTAGGTTGTTTGGGGGTGAAATTGAGGAGCTGTATTTGCATTCTGAGCCTTTTGTGGAAGTCTTTGGTTTCCTTGTTATGTTATGATAATTGGCTAATTGGTTTCTATAGATGGTAAGTGCTTTATGACGTGGAATAGACATGGCTCTGAGTGTATATCCTTCAATTTAAGATCCAAGACTTTCTGCAACTAAAAGAGAATCGCGTGATTCATGAAAAATAGCAATATTCAAAGAAACCCCAAGCTATTAACGACCAAGACCCTCTAAACCAGTCTAAAGTCCAAGTCTGTACTGGATCCCAGGTAAATACACAGCGATCCAGGTATGAAATAGATAATACAAAAAGATATACCCAAAACAATCCCTGCTCAAATATAAAACAAAATCTGGGGATATGAAACACCGAGCTCAAAGCCCGAAAAACAAAAACGCCGAGCATTCATCCCATAAGGCTGAGTGGAGAGATGAGAAGAAACGTGAGACCAAAATATCAACCACGAAATGCAAATCTAAACATTAAATGAAAACAAAATGGAAAGATCATCAGGTCATTAACCTACCGGAACCCTAGCTTCCTTCACGGAGGATCAGTATATTTCCTTCCTGCTTTGATAGCAAATCAAATCCAAATCATTCCCCCCTCTCAACTCTCTTCATCAAGGAATCCCTCATCCGCACATTGACCACACCACCAACGCCGTACGCAGGAATAATCTTCCCCATACGCGCAAAGCAACTAGGCACATAATCACGACGAATCCGTGTCGCGCGTTCCGTCCAATGCATACCACCGGCCGGCTGTCGGTTATATAGATCCAACCCGAGGAGGTGCATGGGCGTACTGGCGAACTGCATAGCAGCGGGACAGGCAAATTGCGCGATGCTGGATTTCATAGTTAGGCTTGAGGCGAGGAAGTCCGGGACTGAGGGTGCGATGAGGGCGGGGATATTGAAAGAAGCCCAGATTGTGATGCTGTCGCGGAGACAGAAGAGTCCGTAGGAGACTTTTGGTATTTGGAGGATTGGTGCTGTGGGTGCGGAGGGAGCAATTGGTGCACGGAGAGCAGAACCATACTTCCGCGCAACTGGGGTTGTGTTTATGGTGCCGTTTCTAGCGGCCGATTCGGAGGGAGGAAAGGCGCCGAACATTTTGGCGAAGCGCGCATCTTTGTAGACGCAGATTGTCATGTTGACTATTGTTGTTGCGAAGAACTTGGGAAGACCTGTATCAATGACGTTGTACGGCTGGTTGTGTGTTGTTGACCTGAGGGTATCGATTGCGTTTGCTGTGAGGTAGGTTGAGGTGTAAAGGGTGTAGATGAGGAGGAATGGAGTGCTAAAGAAGAAGCCGCTGGGTTGAGCGACCATTGATCGAAGGCAGTTTTTTATTGTTTGGCTTATTGGGAAGCCTTTTGAGGCTTTTTCCATGATTGCACTAGAGGGATTAGTCTTGTATTTGTAAATAATCAGTTGAGAACTGTGATAGCTACCGATCAATGATGGTGATCAATGGGCAGGTCAGCGCGCCGGCTGTTGCTGCGCTGGCAACATCGACACTGATTCGCTTGCCCAGATCCTTGGTGTTCCATGTTGAAGCTGTAGAGCGCGTGCTGGGTGCCTGTCCTTGACATTCCTGTTCCTGTTTTACTGTCGCCATTGTAAATATTGTATCTTGCGCAACCGCATCCCGATTCATCATGTATTTTGAACAAGAGATATTTTATGCATTGAGTAAACGAATAGACAAGATCAAGGTCAAATGAGAAGGAATGAATTACAGATGTGAGATCTGAAAGATTATATCTATTGACCCCAGCTTCGGACGAGAATGACCCGGGCGCGACCCGGCGCCGGCTCTCCGATGCCGGCCCGATAGCTTATCTGCCCTGCTAAACGCCGTTTTCTATGTTGTATGTCAAAGATCCATATACTCCATACATACTACATATCCTATTATGTTGTGTATATAAAATTTAACATGGAGTATAGGTTTACTTGGTACTTTATTATACTCTTCGTATTTTAAAATCCTCCAACGCCAAATACACAAAAAAAATCCTAACATATCTAGCGAGCTTCAATACCATCCAAAGTGACATTGACCGCACCAGCTTGCACCAACTGAAAAAAAAAAGAGACAAGTTAGTAGAAATCCAAATTATGCAATGGAGATAGATGATACATACCGCTCGTTGCAAGTCATCAATCAAGTCATCCGCATCCTCAATACCAACACACAACCGGATCAAGTCTTCAGGGAAAGCGCGTTCCGCTCGCGTCTTCGCGTCAATACTGGCATGACTCATACGGCATGGCATACTGATCAGACTGTTGACACAGCCAAAGCTGACACTGATAGCCCAAATCTTGGCACTTTCCACGATGCGCTCGCTAATGGCTATGTCGCCGGTCTCAAATGAAAGCACAGCACCAGCGCCCCGCGCCATGGAATTGTGGAGTTCGTATTGTGGGTGGGATCGCAGACCGGGGTAACGCACCTTGAAGCCATGTGACTCAAGGAACTCGGCAATGCGCTGGGCATTGCTCTGCTGCTGATCCATGCGGACCTTCAACGTCTTCACGCCCCGCAACAACAGCCAAGAGTCGAAAGGCGACAGGCCGCATCCTGATGCATTAATCGGGAAGTATAGGCGTTCTCCGAGCTGAAGATCGTTTACGGCAATGACACCGGCCATCAGGTCGTGGTGACCGGATAGGTACTTAGTGCCACTCTCATAAACAACATCGGCACCGAAGTCTAGCGGATTTAAGAGAAGGGGAGACATCATGGTATTATCCACGGAGACAATGCAGTCAGGATTGGCCTCATGAGCGGCCGTAGCAATTTTTCCAATATCGACGATCTTGATCAGGGGATTTGTGGGAGTCTCGAGAAGTACCATGGTTGTCTTCGAGCTCAGCACCTGCTGGACTTTCTCGGGTTGTGTGGTGTCGACGTGGTGCACGATGATTCCGCCATTGGTCGAGAGGTACTTAAGCAGACGGTTGGTGCCGCCGTAGAGGTCGTCACCGGTGACTACCTCGTCGCCGGGGCGGAGAAGTCTTGTAATTACGTCCAGGGCTGCCATACCGGAGGACACCACCAGGGCGCGCTGTGCCGACATGATCTTGGCCAAGTGACGCTCAAGGTGTGTGCGAGTGGGGTTCCCGGACCGTGTATAGTCATACTCTCCACCGCCAGCGTTAGAGGTTTGTTTGAAGGTAGCACTCTATGTGATTAGGTGTGATCAGTATTTATCTTCAATTGAAAACACCATTGTGTTACCGGGGTGGATCGGTACCTGATAGATAGGAACGCTGCTGGCATTGTATTGGTCACTGCCCTCGGTGAAGACTAGCTCGGTGGCAATATTGTACCGGCGACCGGAATGAGGGCTGGATGGGGCAGGGGAAGGTGGAAGGTCATTGCCCGACAGGTCAACCTGGGGGAAACCCTTCTTCACACCGCTGGATGACCCCGAGGCATTGGGAATTCCGGATCCTGAGGCCGACATCGCTGCGGGGCAGAAAGAGGAAAAGAGAGAGTGTGTAAAGAGGAATTGAAGTAATTGGAAGCAAACAAGGCCTATAAGATACGAATATGCCAAAAGAAAAAGGGGGAATAGGAATAAAAATCAAAAGAGAAGAAGAATCTCCAATCACTCACATCTTCTCTCCCCCCGGACAAGCTGACTCGTTCGAGCTGACGCTGATTCGTCGAGCCACTACCATTGCGATTTCGTCATCCACTAGTCCCAATTAAGCATGCAAGTATGTGGAGTTTTATGAGTCAAAACAACTGTTATGTCGTAGATTGATATTGGGTATCTATTTGTTTTCATTATATTACAATGTATGGGGGACTTATAAGAGATTTTTATAGAGATTTAGAATGTATATGGAGACTATGGGGACTTAATATTGTTATTATGAAGTATGAATTGTCTATATATACTATCTATATAATTTGTCGGTGGTATATCTCAAGGGTTACTTCTTTGTTCAAATGTATTTTATTCTTTTATTCTATATCCCTAGCAAAAAAAATACACCAACTGATAGTCAAGTAAAAGCCGTTTAATGCCCTTTTATAATATATATCAATGTATGATACTGTGGAGAAGGTCGCAACTCACCGTTAGTCATCGACTTGGCTCCCCCAGACTTCCAATCTTAGGTTTTTACTCATCTCTGTCTACATATATCTACCTTGGTAATTGCACACTGATCGCTAATTACACATCTCTGTGGATATCCATTGTGGATCTTGGAAAAATATCCAAGGCTCTTCGATATCTCAGTCAGAGAAGAGCAGCAAAAATGGCCTTAGAATCGGAATCAGCATTTGCCTATCATGAATCATGAATCAAAACAGTCCTAAACTACACCGGCTTCCTTTTGACTCTGAACATAGTCAATACCTGCTTGAACAAATTTTTTTTACTGTGGGTTAATCGGCCAACTCTTCATCGGTGTTCTATGGGGCACGCCCGGGGTTCGCTGTTGGTCTCCTATTATTGTGTGTATTCTGTTTACAACCAGGAGTAAAGAAATTGCTTGGTTGCAAAGACAAGTTCCCGGATTTTGCGGGGACTACACAATTTGTCTTCCTTGCACAGACGTGTGGGTCAGTTGGGGTCGTGACTGGTGCAGCGCATGCTGGAACTTCGAGTCTCTTTGCTACCCTGCGATGATTATCCCTTGGTTTGATGGGCTGGTAAATGAAGCGAAAGTACCAGTTCCTGCCTTACAGCCTGGTGACTCTCACGAGTAGATTTTCAACCACCAAGGAAGCATGTGGAATAGCAACAATCGGTTTACAGAAGAGACGCCCTTTCTGACTGCGCAACCTCGGGAAAAAGGAATAACCCGTAATGGTACACCTACAGGCGTACTCTCTGCAGCAAATATTATAAAGAGCCGGTCAACCGAATTCTTCTCCCTTCGTGGGTCCTTCCATTCGATTTAGTAAGGGACGTACTGAAATCAGTAGGCATCCATTGGAGTTGCAATTCCCACAACCAAAATGTTCCCAGGCCAGGTTGTATGGCGTAAGGCTATCTATGCCATGCTGATGGCAATTGGAAAAATGATAACAGGCCTATGACTTGTTCGATTCTCTCCAGGCCCTGTGTCGGGTCTAGTCTTTACATAATAAATCATTTGCGTATGCTCATTCCTGCTGTGGGAGTCGTCGGACCGTCAGCAGAAGATCGAGCCAAAACAAGAAAGCCCCACAAAGTCCAGCGACTCAAGATAGTGCAGATGTTTCAACCCTAGATCATGCTAAACATGAGTCTGAGCCGACGAACAGATCCCCTGCGTCTACTTCCCGCTTCGATACTCACATCTCCCTCCCCCCAAAGCCCAAGTCCTTATACCCGCCTTCTATCCTGGGATTGGCAATGGTTGCCCGAGGCGAAGTGAGATATCTCATTGCTTGAATTGCTGAAAGCAAAGGAATATTCTCCGATGAATCTTCCGACGGGCCATCTGAGATATATTCAATGGTTATCTGGGAAATCTCGCTCTGGACATTGATTGGTCCGATCTTGGTTGGGACCCTATAGGCATGTAAAGAAACTGCAACAGTCAAGGGGGAACACGGGGTCTGATCCTTTGGGAGATCGGGGCATTTAGTTTCTCGGATATAGTGAGCGGTGACCGTGTTTTCTTGAAGTTCAAAAACGATAGCATACATATATATGTAAACAACAATCCTTCCGATATTAATGATCCTAATATCCACACAAACACGGCCGTTCAACCACCCAACTCCATAATATCGCCATTCTTGATATGAGTCATGGCGCTTCGGGGAATGGGATCCTTGTTGTTGAAAGATGCCTTCTTGCGTTCTGCGGAAGTCCAAGACGTGATGTCTTTCGAATCACCGCCCAGGTTCTCATCATGGATCTCCTTCAGCGTTGCCAATGCCTTTTGCCAGCCCCATGGATCATTGGAATCAGCCGTAGCCTCGGGAAGATCAAACTCCTCACGAGAAGACTTTTCATAGCGCTTGTGGTTTAAGCCGTGAACTGTGATATCGTGCTTGGTGGCATAGGCCGCGATCTTGGCATCATGGTCATCCCAGTTAATACCGTACTCTTCGACATCAACAATGAAGCGGATGAAAAGACCGATAACGGCTCCGAGATTCTTTACCTCCGAGTCCGACTTGAAGAGGTCATTTCGTTCCAGAGTAGCAAGCATGGTAGGGAACATTGTGGCGAAGGTGGTACATATCGCATTGACGGTATCTCCGTCTTCGCAGCTATATAACACTCGTTAGCGTTCCATCAACACTCAATATTTTGCTCGAAGCCAGTGAGACAAACCCAACCATCGACATGATAGCACTCATTTGGAAATACAGCCCCGTCGCTTCACAGATAGCCCACTGCATCTTCCAGTCACCGGCAGCCTCGTCAAAATCAAGAAGCAGGTTCTCCACCAGCTCCATAACGGCATATCCAAAGAAGTCATTGTAGACATGCATCTCGAAGTTATCCGGGTCGCGCACAGCAGTACATTGCTTTAGCGCGATCCACTTGGCCACGCCAGCGTTTGTGAAAATCCATTTCTCTCCTGGATGCTCGGAAGCAGGTTCGAGGGTAGTGGCATCGTCCGCCTCCTGATATCAGAATCAGCTATCTAGAGATCTAGGGTAAATAGACTGATGTGTCTCTCATCAAAAGTAAATCACTAACCGCATCATCTTTCTTCTTCTGCTCTATAAACTCCTCATCTTCCTCATCCTCAGACTCGTTTTCTGTTACCTCTGTCTTCCAAGGTGCGCATCCTAGGCAAAATATAAGTAAAAGCCTTGATGGGGTCGCGAGTTCGTAATTTGAACTCCGAGTCGGCGTTGCGGGATACCGAGACAGGGGCCCAGCGTTTGTTCAGTGCGCGCTCGGTTTCCATATCTACTTCAGGACTCTTTGCTGGGCCTTTGGACTTTTTTGCGCTGCTCCCGGAGTCGCTTGATTTTCTTTTGGGAGGCATCGTGATGCAAAATGATGAAATTGAATAGATGAAATAAATGAAGAGAGTGAGTATGAATGACTTAAAATGAGCTAAACAGATTCTTTAGATGCAAGTCGACGCGACTTGACGCGTCGCGAGGCCGATTAGGAGGCAACTCCTTATTTTAGTCTGGCTACTCCGTAAATGTTGTCGACTTCTACTTGAATTGTTAGAGTAGATTAACATAAATAGGTATGTGAAGACAGGCAATTGAAATTTATATATACTCCACAACAACTCCCTCTGGATGCCAGTCCATGAAATTTCCCCCAACATAACCCAAATCAGAGACAACAGAACAAAGACAAAAGAAAATCATCATAAACTATCACCCTCATCATAATATCCATATACCAGACTGTCCCTAAAGATGGAACAGACGAATCATCCCACACCAAACGCCGCCGAACCCACCTCGCCCCGAAAACAATTCATTTTGAGACCAGAAAAGAAAGGGAAAGCTCCAAAATATGATAGTATATACTAGCATAGCAATTAGATTAGAGCCTGAAAAGAAAACCCAGGGTGTACACTGTGCTCCAAAGCTCCCAAGTCTACTCTCGACAGGTAATTGTGCATAACAGCATAAACATAAAGCGTAACTAGTCCAGATCGTGATTGTTTATGCCGCCAGATCGCCAAAACCGCCGTTGATGCCGAAGAATTGGAACCTGTCGCGAGTCAGAAGGATATTTTTTTTTTAAAAGAAGAAGCGTATGATCATAAAGTCTTGGGAGACATACCAGTCCTCGACATTCAGTGTCGTTGGCGCGGTTGGCCCGCTGCGGGAACTACTACTCCAGGTATCATTGTCCTGGCTAGCAGCGTCCATCGCGGCTCCACTCATAGTGCCGTCGAGACCATGCATGGGTGGCCAGGCCTGCTGATGCTGGCCCTCTATGCCGAATATCTGTTGCGGCGGGTTGGGATGCATTCCCATCGCGCTCGGCAGTCCCGACATCACCGGCGGACTACCATGAGAGACAGACATGCTACGGCTTGAGACGGGCTGCGGCTGGTTGTTCATCATGGGATTGGGGCGCGGAGTCATGCCAGGGGGCATTTGTGAAGGGATCTGGAGGGATGGGTCGACTGCAGCGGGCTGGGGTGGTGATGTCAGCTCCGGAAAGAAGGCGGTACCGTCTGGGAAGAGTTGGTCGGGCTGGAAGTTCTCCCAGAGGGAGGGGGAGAGATTGGGCGAGGCGCGGGTTACTAGGAAGAAGTCGGGGGGTGTGGCAGGTAGAGAGAATTGGCCGTTGAACGGAGTTGTAGGCCTGGTGTTGGCTCGGGAATTACCCGTGCCTGTTATTGGATCGTGAGCGCGATGGGTGTTTGGTGATTGTTGGCCACCGAGAGGAGGTTGGTTCAGTTCCCGAGAGGGGGTGACAGCGGGTGTCTGGGGCCGGGAGCGCTCGTATGACACGGGGGGTGTAGGCCCGCCATTTGGCATGCCGAGGTCCATATCGTCGAATTTGCGTTTCGGTGGGTCGTGTCTCTTAGAGGAGGAGGATTCTCCATGCCGCGTGCGCTGATGTCTTCGGCCTGCAGCCTTCTGGAGTCGTTCTTCCAGTACTTTATTTCCGAGGATAGATTCGAATAGGGTGTTCACCATCTTCGCCACCAGCCAGACCTTTGATACATCCTTTAGGGCTAGCATGCAGACGTTGATTCTTTCCTGGCAGGTGGCCACGATCGAAGGAACCGAGGAACGCATTTGGTACACGTGCATAATTAAGGCTGAGAATAAACTGTAGACAATGAAGGCAGGCGTGTACCGGATCTCTCCGTGCGCCTGTAGGTTCTCAACAATAGAAGTAATCATGCCTGCAGCTTGAAAGGCAATTGTTCGTGATGGATAAGCCATTTCTTCGACCCTGTAGTTATTGGGCGCGGATGAGGCAGGCGGCATGTGAGCCCTGTGAAGAAGACACAGCGTAGTGTAGTAATTAGAGTGCAAGAGAGCCGCCCAGAAATGATGCCTAGAGCGTTGCCAGCATACTTCTTTAGGACAGTTCTGCAACCAATCGGCGAGCGCCATATCCGAGTGGGTGAGATCCATTGCATTCATACGCCGTGACTTGGAAGCCACAGAGTATTGCTGCGACAGAACCAAGCCCATAATTTCGCACAGCTTGACATACTGCAGGAAGAACTGGACATGAACAGGGTCTGATGGGTACTCGGCGACAATGTCGAGCTCATCCTCGATGAAATCATCCTCCGTCAACATCTCAACATCCGAGTCATCTGTATTGATTCCAATCGGTCGTCCCAGTGCAACAGCGACAGAGCGATCCCGGGTGAACAGGGTCCACCAGATTCTCTTCCACAACCTCTTGTCTGGTTTGTTAAGCTGAGACATTTCGACGCTGCGGTGCATTCCAGAGCCCTGAGCTACAACCATAGCGACGCGTGTCCAGTAGAAGACATTCTTGGTGACGTCTGTAACTAGTCAGAAAAGCCATTGGGATGGACGAGTACAGATTGTGAACTCACCTTCCGGTCCCTCCCAGTACCAACCCAAAAGAACCAATGCTTGCACGATAGTGACACGGTCATCCTCATAGTTAGCATCATACAGCGCCTTAGCACGCTTATAAAAGGTCATAGCCGCAGGGGTTGTCGAGCCATTAGCATCCATAAGTTGCTGATTAGTGCAGACTCTCGATCCTGCCAGCAGAATCGCCTGCAGTAGTAGCAACGATGGCGGGTTCTTGGGGTCACGGTAGTGACGCATGAAGCGACTCTTGTTAATAATCGGCACGACGGGGGCCACCCATTTGAAGTAGGCGTCGACCAACTCATCACACAGCGGCTTGGGTGGGAGCAGGAATGCGCCCCGCTGATGCAGTATATCAATTTCCAAGTTGTCCAGGTCCGTCAACCGGGCGCGGGAGCCTCTAATATTCGGTGGGAGCGGGTAGTGCACGACATCTGTTGTTCCATGGCGGTCTTGAACCAGAAGAGAAAGATTGGACGACTCGCCCAAATATGCCACCCGACCAGCCTCTTTTATCGGAGCACGGGCAAACTTGGGCTTCATGAATTGAGCATAGGCATTATGGGCCGAAGCTTGTTGGGCGGCCTCGGCCTCGGAAAGGGCAGTATTGGGCATGCCGTCGACACCCATACGGTTGTTACGGTATCCAAAGGCATCATTCTTTTCATCCGAGTCTGAACTTTTCTCCTTTTCCCTAGACGCAGGGATAGAGTCAGATACCGAGTCGGTTGGCTCCTCGGTGGTCGTGGGTCGGAAATGAGCAGCCGCAGCGTCGACGATCGAGGAGGCGGTTTGCGGTGGACTGTCGTCATACTGAGTATCTTCTTTGTTCTTGTTCTGATTGTTCTTCTTTCTTTTCGGGGAGGGGATCTTGCATTCGATAGAGAAAGCGACACAATTGGTGCAAGGCACCCCAAGACTGGCTGCATCACATCGAACCTAGGCGACAGGAACGGGTTAGAATGTGGGAGGGGAAAAAAGCAAGAGGAGCGACCGAGCGCGAACTCACTTTGCGGGCATGGCATGTCTAATTGAGTTATAGAAGAAGCATCAGCCACATTGTCCAAATTCAAGACTAAAGGGGAGGAGAGAAATGTATCGCGATAAGGAACTGAGCCGAGGTGCGTGAGAACCTCGGCAGAGTCGCGTCTCCCTACAATATAAGAATCGGACGTACCTCGCACGCGCGTGATGCACGTTGTCTAAGATTAGATAAAATGAATTAGCAAGCGCATAAAAATGCTTAACTTGAAGAGTTTTCCTCCAAGGGGATGCGAAAAGCCGGAAAAAAAAACCCTCTGATCTCGCTTTGCGCCCGCACACTTCCCCGCGACAATCCATTTATCAGATGCCAAAACACCATGTCGCCAATATCAAAGAACTAAATGGGCAAAAAGATCTGGCTTACCTTCTGAAACTCAGCGGTTGGCCTTGTGGACCATTGCGCACCGTAATTCCCGAAGTCCCCGTCGAGCCCGCATTGCTCGGAACTGGGCTAGGATGGTTGTCCGATAGCTGGTCGGCGTTGAATTCGGTGGTACTCATGGCCACACAGTCTCTCCATCCAGGAATACGGACTTGATCGAGTCGGAGAATTGGAGAATGGAGGAGATGCGTTCGGAGGGGAAGGGGAAGCAATATGGATATAAAGTGTGTTAAGGCCCACGGAGGTTACGGGGTACGGAGTATAAAGGGAAAGGGGATCTCTTGAACACAAGACGCCACGCGATCAAGGGAAAAAAAAATAGAAAATAAAGAAAAGAAAAAAAAAGTACCGGGGAGGGGGGAGAGGGAGGAATATCACCAAGTCGGGGTGATTTGGGGTTGAAGTTGTGGCAATATCAAGTTCCTGGTGGAGTTGTTATTTGGTCAGCATTTATAGGATTTATAGGATTTATAGCTATGCGTTGAATTATGGAGTATGGGGTACGGAGCTCATTTATATTTTATTTCTTATGACACTATTACGATCTATAATAATATTAAACACGGAAATACTCTCTATATTATTCCCTTCCATTCTCTCTACGTCTTTGGTAAAATATGAAAAGGGGTAAAAGGCAAGCCTAAGCACTATACTAAACAGCCCATACTGGCGCAGGGGTTCACACCAAACCCTCACTAGGCGCTAAATGTAAAAGCCACCATTTAGAATGGGGATAAAAATATTGAGAGATCGACGAAAAGACCGGTAGGGGTAGTAGCACCTTAGCAAACTGGTAAAATGCTTCTTTATGGGAACACTATATACTATATTCTATGTAAGTACTGACACAGCCCGGGATGAATATGTACAATAATATTATGGAGTAAATGGAGTACGAATCTTGAAGTGCCAATCCCCAATCCCCATTCCTAATCCTGTCAAGACATTCCGGACGCTAAACCGACCTACCCTAATTAGGTCCACCGCGTGGAAATACCATTACTTCAGCCTCTATTCAAGCTCGGGGGTATCCAACTGGGTGTAATTCGTATAAGCAGATGCCATATTGGTTTTTGGGTCTTTGGTCATGACGTGCCAGGCCCCAGATCCTGCATTAGCTTCACGCCTCCAATCCTGGGTAAAACGACCACGGCTAGAGCCTACCGCCACGCGGGAGGATGCGGAAGTGTGGAGAGTTGTCTGCCCCATGCTTGAACAGGATACAGGTATACATTCTCATGTCGAAGATTCTACTTAGAACTGAACTCGGAGACAATATTCGGTCACGGGCCATATTGGCGGGATGTGCGGATGTATATGCAGTGTGACCTGCTGCTGCCCACTGGCCACCGCTTAATGTATACTTGTATAGGGCTTCTATAGAGTGAATTTGGCTCTTTTCTTATGACATGTGCTAGTGTTCTGTTTCAGACATATTAACTAAAAGGTACGGAGGAATAATGCGTAGTTGCAGATCATCCTAGCCGATCTCATCGAACTCAACGGTATCAAAATCAACCGATGAGATTGCGGGGGAGAGAAGAAAAGACGGGGATGAAAAGTTCTAGGGGAGAAGTTGCGGGGAAAATCCCATTTCACCGTGAACTATACTCCGTACATCGATGTAGATTCTTCAGACGTTGAAAAACCTGTCTCCAGAGCTAGCTTGTGATGCCTCGGCAACTTTGAGCTTTGACCAATGAGAGTGCTCGATTCCATTGAATCGATGCACTATTATTCTCATGTCTTTAAGGAACATACTGTCAGGCACCAACTTGGTTTTCTTTCACTAGGCCCGTTCGCCGGAGAGCCCCGGGGTCAAATGGATGTGATTTGTAGAATTGCGGATCGGGAGTAAATGGAAGTCCGATGAGTTTTAGGTTGAAAAGTGAAACGATCTCGAATATAAATCAAATCTTCATAGATCTCCGAATTAGTACCTTATAGCCAGGCGGATCATAAAATAAAATACATGGAAAAGATTAAACATGAATATAGCCCCATGTAAGTGATGGGCGCGCAAGGGTCTTGTGTGTGTTTTATACTAGGTTCATCTTCGACTATGACCACCCATTCTTTCCTGATTTGCCCTTGCCCTTGCCCTTGCCCTTGGACTTGGACTGTTTGGTCCCATTGGACTGGGTTTTCTTCGGCTCCTTGCGATCTTCGTGGCCACATTCTGTGACTTCTTCGATCGTCTGGACCACAGCAGCCCCAACTGCTGTTACCGTGGGGGCAAAGTCTACACCGCTGACAAATTGCTCGCTGAGGAATTCTAGACCTGCAACGAAGGTGCAGAGGGCGCTTGCAATGCAGAAATGGCTAATGGTCATGCCAATGTCAAGCCACGAGCCTTCGTCCCGCACCATGAAGAAGAAGTTGAGAGTCATGATGTCTGAGATAGCCATGACAACCATGAAGAGCGCGCTGGGGGGTACCTCCAGGCGGCGGTTAAGGATACCCAGATTGGCACTGATGATGGCGAAGGGGATGAGGATTTGGAGAAGCAAGAGCGCGCCTTGGGCGAATGGGTCGAAGATGGGGATAAGGCGGCGGACGCTGTCAAGGGAGAAGGTCGATATCGAGGCCACATTTCCGGTGCTGAAGAACGCTGATTGGAGGAGGAAAAAGAAAAAGAGTGCCACGCGGATATCAGAGAGAGTAAGGGCACGGTAGTAGAAGGTTTCGCCGTCGATAGTTGTTACGCCAGGATTCTTAGGCTTTTCCAAGGCACTTGCCGTGTGAACGTAAATGGCATGTTCCAAGCGAACCCATGTCACAATGGTCATGCAGAATACAAAGTAGAACAGCCCTTCCCACGAGATTGTGAGAATGATAAAGGTTGGCGAGAAGGTCAAGAAGATGATCATGAGCCGGTGCAGATAGTGACTATTCGGATACAGACGGTGGAAGAATGGAAGCGTCAGGGAAGCCACTGAGATTTGGTTAGCATTTCTCGGTGAATAAACATGTTGTGGTCCTAGGACACACTGCTGTATAAACTTACCTAGGACAACCCATCCAACCACGATATTTCCAAAAGGCAGGCCTTGGCGAGCTTGGAGAGAGAGCACAGAGGATCTAGTAACAATGACGGCAAGCAGAACCATGCCGAGCTGAATTCCCATAATTACTCGCGAGCCGACACGGCCAATAGCACCTGGTTCTTTGGATTCCGGGTCGCGATATCCAATGATAGAATCCTCAAACAACAAGTATAGGATGCCAGTGAGGAACATGAGTAAACCGCCACATGTGCTGCAAAGAGATTAGCCACCTAAAAAAGCCATTGTCATAAAAAGGAAGCTCACATTGCATCAAGATTTTCAACCTTGATTACTGGCAGAAGAGTGAACGAACTCATCAAACCGCAACCAAGAGTCCAAGTTGCAGACAATAACGCATGGCTGCGAATGAAGCTAAAGCCATGGATAATAGGCCACAATGCACCCAAGGCAAAGCAGACAGTGAAGATTTCGCGATGGAAATAAGATTGAACCATTGCCTCCATGACACCGAGGAATGCCAGTAGCTGGAGTCCAAACTTGACATATCCCGTGAAAGAGTGCACATGGCCTAATACAATCTGACGACCGGCAATCAGAGCCCTACGGCGGGCAAAAACCTCTTCCCAGAAATAAACCGGGAAGAATGCATAGAAGTAATAGCGCCAGGATGAGCCCTGGTAAAGGAAGACCGAGAACAAGGCGACCAGGATCGACGAGAAGAATGAGATACTGGCCGTCGTCCGGTGGGAGTCTGATGTTCCATGTAAAACGTGCAGATCAATAACTGTGGTCAGTGCATACGCGATCCAACCTAGATATCCAACAGAGACGATGGTCCGCAAGAATAGCCAGTCATAGGTTTGCAGGTAGCGCAGACCTTCAAGAGCAACGCGAAGAAGCTCGGCAGACACCACAATAGCCTCCTCATGGTCACCACTGGAGATGAGTGACTTAATTCTTGCCAGTCTGCCTTCAATCGAGTTCTCGTGGTAGCCCGATAGAGGCTCATATGGTACATACCGGATCACTGCAGTTCTCTTTTGCTCTTCTTTGACACGGTACATCTCCAGAACACCCTGCGTATTGGCGAGAGCGGCCAGCGCCTTCTCCTTGGGGCTCGCATTGAGATAGTCCAGCGGCAATTGACCAACGGAGTTGACGGGGAAGTCAAGACCAACTAGGTAGGCCATAAGCGCGGCAACGTCAGCCTGTGCTACATCGTGTCGACGCACTTGGTCGAACCCCCAATCTGCTGAGAATCCATCTTCGTGACCCGCAGCAATTCCGCTAGCGGAGAGCTGGGGTCGCGCGACGCCAGATCCCCAGGCAACCAATGGTGTCCGTGTGTTATCCGGATGGCCATCACCATGGCTGCCAGTGTCACTCATGCCATGGTCTGCGGTGAACACGAACGCCGTTTTGCTATCTCCATAGAAATCTTCTACTAAATTTGTAACTGCCTGGACTCCTTGATCCACCACCTTGATGTTGTGTAGGTATTCGTTCGAGTAGGGCCGGAAAGAGTGGCCAGTGGTATCCAACCCAAGCAGGTGGAGAAAGAACACCAATTTGTCGTCCCGCAATTTTCGATCTAATTCCGGGTCAGTCTTTGCCGATTCGAAGAGATCATGGACCTTGGAAAAGACCCAAGTATCCAAATGCGTCGCATCGACAGTGAAGTCCTCCGCTTCTTCACTGTACATCTCCGCATCGACCTTCCCTGGCACGGCGCCCTCCTTGAACATTGGGAGGATATCAGGGCTACCCCAGCTCCAAGTGTGTCGGCTCTGGTTGAAAACGCTGTCGAAATTCACCGGGTTCAGCTTCCACCCCGTGGTGACAGAGGACACATCCTCATAGAGACCTGCGATAAGCGCAACATGGCCTGGTCGTGATTCGGTGGGGACGCGGGTGTGGGAGACACCAAATGTTCCGTGGGAGAGAACCTTCGAGCGGATAAAGGGAGACAGGCGAATTAACTCGTGGTTTTCTGGATTGGCGTCGGGGGACGGGTCAGGGAAAGCTTGGAAGGCCTTGTCGGCCCGTAGGCCGTCGGCGACAAAGAGGACGAGACGTTTGGCAGGTGCAGGAGCTCCAGATGATCGCTCAACACCATACGAGCGCATGCCACTAACAATTGGACTGACGAAGTAGATGTCAAAGATTGAGTATGTATAGATCAAGTGGAAGACCACTGCGAGGGCAAGAAACCCGACGCGGCCAAGTCGCGCCATGATCTATGTCTCCTAGATGCTCAAGTGATAAAAGAGTGGAAGTGGTCCACTGCCACAAACAAGGTAGCGAAATTGACAAAAAAAAAGGAGATACGAAGGTCACAACACGTCAACCCTTCAACTTTCGAGACGCATTGGGGAACTTGGCGGTGAGAGCCAATCATAGGCGTGCCTTTGTTTACTCTACAACGTTGGCCAGGCTTGCTATACTTGAGTATGTATTTATTTCTTGGAAGCTCTGAAGTGTTTTCACAGAGCTGGAAAAATGGACTTTGATATGAAGCTATTTAATATAGTGTAGAAAGGCATGCTTATGTATCCAGTGGATGTGGGGGTTTTATACCTCTTTTGTGTGGATATTATGGTAAGAACAGAGTATCTCTCCCTTGGCAACGCCTCATTCCAAACACAAGTGTTAGTAAGTCTGACCTATAGCCCCGAAGAATGATACCCTCGAGAATATATAGGCAGCGAGGCGAGATTGAGCTGCCTTCCAAGTATTCTGTTGAAGGAGGACCCTGCGAAGCGTGTTTCACTGATCAAAGAGCCCACTGACAGACTTTGCATTAGGTACAAGGTAGGTATATACAAGTATATAAGTGTGTAACAACCTCGGAAGATAGATGTGTTGGCATTGATGTTATTGATCGAAACAAAAACATGACGTTCCTAGTCCCCGAAAAAACTCCGTGAAAATAAATAGACACCGAAAAAAACCAACTAAGTATGGCGTGCAGTACCAGCACTGCACTGCTATTGTGCTGGAAGAGACCGCCTCTTTGTGAGGGCATCGATGACGCGTGTATAAAACTTGGCTGCTTGTCCGCGGACGAATGTGATGTCTACGGCCAAGAAGTCTGGTAACAAGTTGACCAGGTCGCGATCGCGGTTAGGGTCCAAGTGAGGCAGGTATTGGAACTCAGTTTTGTCATAATCAGCCGAGACCTTTGGCACGACAAGATGGAAGTGAAGAGCTGTAAAAAGTTTAGAAAAAAGCTTTCCAACTACTAGGAAATCGAGTAGCTTACTTCCGTTGATCCCAGTCTGAATACAATCGTATAGGTAGTCTGACTCTCTGTTCTTGACATCACGAATGATCAGTCCTGTTAAATCGCTATATAGGTCTTCTTTTAACTGGGCGAGCTGTGAAGCCTGCGCCGCTTCGGCGGTGGCAGCTGCATTTGCACGGTTGGCGGCGCCGCCCTTGATGGCACTGCCGGGGACCTTCGAAGCCCCCTCGAGACTGGCAGCTGTGTTCCGTGCCGCAGCAAGCTTAGTTTGTAAGGCTTTGACTTCAGACTGGGCAGATACAAGCTGTGCGTGGGCCTCGTCGGTACCAAATTTGAGTCGAGCCAATTCATCATCACGGTCTTTCAGTTGCTTTTGGAGTCCACGGCTTTGCAGCCCTAGCTTTCGCTGAGCATCAATTTCGGCCTTGAGCGAGGCAACCAATTCATTCGATGCTGAGGATGTATTAATCCATCTGCCCTAGCGGATATAAGATAATATAAGAGCATACCTTTAGTAACAGTCTCACTCTGTTTTCGCAGTTTCTCCATGTTGGTGTTGGCTTCGACAATCCCGATCTCCCGTAGATTGCGGTATTTACTCTCCAAAGCATCATGCTTCTTAGTCAGTTCGCCTAGCCTGCGTCTAAGCTCTGGGTCCCCGCCCTGGTCGAAGTCGGTTCCTCCAAACTTGCGTTTACGAGGAGAAGAATCCTGTGAGTTGCGTAACATGGATAATCGAGAGCGAGCATTCTTCACCGGGGACATCGATTTATGATAATAGGCCGGTTCCTCGTGAATGATAGCTTCATCTACCAGCTCCGCTGTGGGTTGCTCGTTCTGCTGAGAATCTTCGACTTCAGGTTCATTGCTTCCCCGGCTCGCTGCACGAGTAAGAGGGCTCGGTTCGGCTTGCTTTGTGTGAGTTTCCTGAAAGCTAATGTGTCGAGAACCGCTCGGGGTAAACTGAAATTCACCATCTGTTTCGAGCTGTGTGCTGACCGCACGAGGCCGTCCCCGACCGCGTGCTCGGGCAACCTTCACAACCTTGGGCGGTTGCTTCTTTGCATTTGTCGAGACAAGCGGGTCTTCATTTTCCAGGTTCTCTGCATCGTCTTGTTCCGGTTCCATAGCCTCCACCTCAGTTGCCTGCACAGACGCTTCGGCGTCCTGCGCTGCGCGGCTGCTTCCTCTGGGTTGTCCTCGACGGGTAGGCTTTTTGTCTGCAGGGGGCTCTGGTTCAGCTTCAGCTGGTTGCTGCTTTCTTGTTCGAGTAGCAGATTTGGCAGGCTTGGTAGGTTTGGTCTCGGTCACATTCTCGGTTGAGGTACGCGGTCTGCCTCTTCGTTTTTTGGCGGGAGGTTCATGAGTTTCTTGTGTTTCTGTCGCTTTAACTTGCATGATGTCCTCATCATCTGAGCCTAATAGACCAGAGAGTTTGGGAGGGGCTTTCCGTTTGGGCATTGTTTGATGTATAATTGATTGATGACAATTACATACTCGCTGGACGCGCACCGACAATAACAACCCCAACACCGCCTTCTCCGCTTTATGACATGTGACTGGCATCCATCCCCCGGGTGCCGCCTGCCCCGAATGATCTCCGGCGACTCATCTTGTTTTAATCCTGGTGTGCTCTAATTTACTTTCTTTTATCCTTAATTTTCACTTTCACTAGGGAGGTCCTTATTTAGGCCATCACTGTACTCTATCTGATCATTCCCCTATCGACATGGCTTCAGCCGGTGGCAGAAGATGGCAGCAGTTCTTCCAAGAAATGGTGATGGTTGCAGGCACTGTGAGAATGTTCCTATTTTGGATAGGACTGGATGCTTCTAACACTGTTATAGTCTGCGTCCGCATATTTCCTTATTCGATACCTTCTATCACGCCTTGATTTCGACCCAGAAAGCCAGAAGAAGGAGGAACAACGACAGAAGTCCGCCGCCATCATACGTCGATTGGAAGGTGTGAATGAATTAGACGATGATGCACCACGGAAAGGTGGCAAACGGGAGAAAGGACAACGAAAGAAAGAGCTCACTTTGAACCAATACGAGCAAGCGATTGCAATGGATGTGGTTGCGCCAGAGGATATCCGTGTATCATTTGAAGATATTGGGGGACTTGATGAAATTATTGAGGAATTGAAGGAATCGGTCATCTACCCACTGACGATGCCTCATCTCTATGCTTCCACGTCGTCTTTGTTGTCCGCACCTTCTGGGGTCCTCCTATACGGTCCGCCTGGCTGCGGAAAGACCATGCTTGCTAAAGCTCTAGCGTCAGAGAGTGGAGCATGTTTCATCAACTTGCACATCTCAACGTTGACAGAGAAGTGGTATGGCGACTCCAATAAATTGGTCAATGCAGTGTTCTCGCTTGCGCGCAAGTTACAACCTGCCATCGTCTTCATTGATGAAATTGATGCTGTTCTTGGAACCCGGCGAAGTGGTGAGCATGAGGCAAGTGGTATGGTGAAAGCAGAATTCATGACTCATTGGGACGGCCTTACATCGGCAAACTCGACGGGAGAACCCCAGCGGATTGTTGTCTTGGGGGCAACAAACCGCATTCAAGACATTGATGAGGCCATTCTCCGAAGAATGCCCAAGAAGTTCCCTGTGACTCTTCCTCCGATTGCCCAGCGCCTACGAATTCTTAGCCTGATTCTCAAAGACACGAAAGTCGATCGCGATAATTTCGATCTGCATTATTTGGTCAAGACCATGGCTGGAATGTCTGGTAGTGATATCAAAGAAGCATGTCGAGATGCAGCGATGGTTCCTGTGCGGGAGTTAATTCGAGCGAAAAAGGCTAGTGGAATGCAAATAGATGCAATGGATCCCGAAGAAGTTCGTGGTCTCCGCACGGAAGATTTCTTCTCTCGCGCAGGTGGTATCAAGATCATTCCTCAGCCTGCACCATTATCCAACCCAGCCGGCAAAGTCTCTGAGAAGGAAGATGGAGACTGGAGTACTGCGTCTGAAGCCACATCGGAAGCTGAGACTCGACACTCTGTGATGGCTGAGCCGCCAGAGTAAATGTGAGGCACTTCCGGTTGCCTTGTTGATATTTATTTTCCTCTTGTCCCGCAGCGCGAAGACTTGGTGTATAATGTACTGGAAATGCCATAATCAGGATTATTGAAGGGGTTGTTTTGTTTTTTGATTTATGGATCTTTTGTTCTAGTATGGCCGGCTTGTTGATAGGATTTATGATGTCATATGTACAATGGGTTCGGATAGAATCTAATACAAATATTGCTCTGCTTTCTTATTGCGTTCTATTTGATCGCAATTTATATACGGGTACGGAGTAGAGAAGGCAAATATCCCTGGAGCCGAAAAAGTACCAGTACGCAGAATAGGTGGCCTTGACTGGGTAATATCATGTATCGCTACTTTGCCGAGCGGCTAAGTCACCTGTTCTAGAACAAACTTGCTAACCTTGCAGTAATTTGAGCATTCTGAGTAGTCTGATTGATTCCTTGTAATCTATACTGCGCACTTCCACTATATAGGAAGATAAATATCTTTTAATTCTGTAATTCTTGTGGGCAATCCTACATTTAACTACTCCGTACTCCGTGTTCAAAGGTCTGCGGGTCGTTATCGTCACGCCTCCTTGGCCTCCTATCAACTATCCTCCCTCACCTTACGCTCGCTCTTGTTTTCTATACCTTCCAAAGAATTTGTGTTCTTGGACTCGTTAGCTTATATTTTGGACGAATACCTGAATATATGATCAAACGTATCCTGCCGTGTTCCCAGTCAAAAGGCCACGAATGCGAGTCCGGGTGTGGATGACGAATGGGTCTCTCCTCGATCAACTCTGATGGCAACTGGTGCCTTGGCGGTACAAACTTCTAAGGGAGCTTTTATTTTGCATCCTTAGACCCATTTGCTAGATTCACAGGAATGAGTTCTCAAAATAGCTTTGACAATGCTTCCCCAAGCTCCAGCACACCCAGCGCAAGCACAACTTCAACCTCCACGATTCGATCGCGCCCTCGCCGCTTAGTTTCATTCATGGACGACGAAGCTGACAGCAATAATGTTACAAACTCCTATCAGGACGATCCCCACCCTTTCCCCTCGAGATTGTCAACAACTCTTGCTCTCTCTGAGAGGGGAGCGAGTCGGTCCCGCGGAGCAACCCCCTCGCCGTTGTCATCCCGTGGAGCGTCACCACTTCCAATGCAACACCCGTCACGGACGACCGAATCGATCAATCGTGGTACTCGCAGTGGATTAACATCATTTCCTTGGAGTGGACCACCAAAGGCCTCGTCGTCGGGAGGTGCTGCGGACTTTCTGGACTCCTCATGGTCTTCTCTTCAAAGCTTAGCATCTTCAGTACTGGGGAGTGATGCTGGACGAGTCCCTCCGAATAGTGCAACAAACACCCACACGCGACGGAAGCCATCTCGATCTGATGTATATATTAAGAATGCTCCTAGATCGACCTGGGGCCCATCGGCGCCGACCGCTCCACAGTTCGGAACTGGGACAAAGGAGGAGCGACAGGCTTTAGTGCAGGCCAAAAAGAGAGAAGCGCTGCTCCTTGCTGATAGCGATCCGATTGCAAGCCGTACGCTCCCTCACAAAAGACGCGACTCTGGCGACATTTCGTATCAAGCGTTTGACCCAGAGCACGATGAAGACGCTTTGGCCTATATCCACAAAGTGCAACCCACCGACACCATCACCGGCGTGACGATCAAGTATGGCTGCCAGGCTGCAGTGTTTCGGAAGGCGAACGGTTTCTGGCCCAACGACAACATTCAGAGCAGAAACACTGTCCTCCTACCAGTTGATGCGTGCTCTGTGAAAGGCCGGCCCGTTCCGAAAGAGCCTGTAGATCTTTTGAGCAACAACGACGAAGACCCCAGCGACAGCTCAATCACCCCTATGGCTGCCTCTACTGATGATGCCTCAACTGAACAAGATACAACTGCAACCACATCTGGGGCCGATGAAAACCATGCTTGGAAGCATGAATCGTGGGTGTACATGGATGGGTTTCCAGGACCAGTGCAAATTGGCCGTGTTCCTCGAAGAGCATTGGGATTCTTTCCGCGTACGCGTCGAAAATCTATATCTTATTCGGATGCGGAACCTCCCGACTTTTATCGAGAAACAATCACTCCTCCGTCTCCGACTGGATCACCACCTCCACCTTCGTCCTTTGGCATACTGCCACGAACTCGACCGAACGGCGACCAGTTCACGCCTCCCACTCGTCCGCAGCATCGCCGCCAGCGCAGTAGTATCCAGCTGTCTGGTACTGGGGTGGGAACACTTGACCCCACCTCGACTGGCCCAGGGCCTGCATTAGATGGGTTCACCCGATTCTTCGCACAGCACATGCCGAATCTCGCACCGGCACAGCCCCTGGACAATGCTCGGAAAGCTTCTTTTGACTCTACATACACTGTTACATCCAATGCATCGACTGGCCTCGAGAACATTGGCGGGGCTTTTGAAGGGTGGGTTCGAAAAGTAGCAACGCGCGCTAAGGCCGGCATCAATGAGCTACAGCAAGGATCGCTCACCCAGCAGGGTAGCAGCAGAGGTCGCAATATGTGGCGGATGGACGACCTAATCGAGCTTGATGATGGGATGGTGGATGGCCGGAACTCCCCCAGCCCGCTCAAGGGTGCATCACGGAGGTCTGAGTTACAGGTCACCTCATCTTCATCATCATCCAACCGATACAACAGCCCCTCGGTGGTGGCAGCGAGCAGGTCTCGTGCGACTGGATTTGGTTCGGGCTCCGGTTCATCCGCCTATGGCGATCGGGTTAAGGATGATTAACGTGTTTGAATTTTCAAGCGTACATAATAAGAGTCTCCGCATGTGTGTATTCTTCGGAGTTCAAGATTTTTGCATTTTCTTTTCATCGCCCACTTCTTTTTCCTGGAGTGGCTTGGTGCCTTTGTTCCCACTTTGGTTTTGCCATTTTCCAATCCCAGGTCACTTAATATTTGGCATTGGATCATCGCACGCATGAGAAGTTTTGATAGGACAGGATGGTTTTTATACGCTATCTGACTATTTGCATACAGCTCATTGACTCAATTGGATATTCGGTCAATGTATCAAATAGTCAGACTGTTGCGTGACGGATTTGTGGTGTTACTGTCGGTTGAATAGAAGCACTCCCTTTGTCATCTCTCTCTTTAGCATGTTGGATGTACAATATCTTCAACGCTCTTGTTGCTACTGCAACGATTTTTTCCCTATATCAAATGGCTTTCAGCCTGATTCCCCACTATCTAGAACAATATTTCCCCAAATAGACTGTTTGTTCTGCAGCGACATGCATCTTATTTTTGTCTTATTTTGCCTAACGTGTAAAATCATCTTCTGACTGGTAATAGTATAGTCGCTCTCCACCCTCTTTACTTGGCCCGGAGTTTCCCCTTTATTTTCCCACCTATAAGCACACGTGGTAGCTAAAGATCACACATCCCTAATGATAGAGGATTTGATGATAGTGGGGTTTAATTGTGATATAATATTCCGGAAAAGGGGTTGGTAGAGAATGAACTAAGTATGTAAAAGTGATCTTACCGTTACTTCTTGACTCTCGTTCAGCTTAAACTCTCGAACTTCCAAGATGTCGATAACAATCACCTCGATACTGCTTTTGACGTTGTTCATCTCTATAATCCCCGGGGTAATAGCCAACCCCCTCTCATCCAAACCGACAGGGACCACATCGAACCCCCCAATAGCAACCCTATTAACGAGCAACAAACGCTCAAATACCATCTTTGTGGGCCGCTCTCTTCCAGAGTTCAACCAGGATCTTTTCCTGGGCATCAAGTATGCCGACGAACCAATTCGCTTCACACCAACCGAGATCAAGAGCGCCTATGCATCTGAGGATAGTAATTCTGGACCTTATAATTTCTCCTCAGCAAGGCTCAGCCCTACTTCCAAGTCAGTATATTACAATGCTACGGAGTACGGCTATGACTGTCCTGCGTTTGGATCCGATACTACCAACCTGGTTACCAAGGGTATTATCACTTTGAATGAAGACTGCTTTAACTTGAATATAATCCGACCTACCGCCGACGGAAATCGCGAATTGCTTCCAATTATGATCTGGATTTTCGGTGGTGGGTGGGCACAGGGTGCCACTGCGGATCCGAGGTACGTCAGTCGAGGGATATAGCACTGGGTATGAATATTCATACCTGGGAAGGGCGCTCAATAGTCGCGGTTAACCTTCCGTTACGCTGTCTACAGATATAATATGAGTTATATTGTTGAACAAAGTGCACTGAACGGCAAGCCAGTTTTGGGTGTTTCTATCAACTACCGTCTGGCGGCATTCGGATTCCTTGATTCGAAGGAAGTGAGGGTAAGGCAACTGACTATATACGAACTTGGATATGGCAGATTCTCGATACTAACTTGGATCCCAGGCCGAAGGAAACACCAATCAAGCACTGCGTGACCAGCGCACGGCTATGCGCTGGGTGAAGAAGAATATCAAAGCGTTTGGTGGTGATCCGGATAAAATCACTATATGGGGCGAGTCTGCGTGAGTCACTAGAAATACATTTTCGGAATATCAAATGCTTATCCTTGAATCAATAGTGGTGCATATAGTGTCGGAGCTCATCTGGTGACCAACAATGGGGATAATGAGGGTCTTTTCAGAGCTGGTATAGTGCACTCCTACCAGTATTTTAATGAACACCAGCCTAAGCTCGACTAGCAATCATGGATTCTGGAAATGCCGTCGGACCCCCATATAATGGAACAGAATGGCACCAGCCAATGTACAACCGAATCGTCGAGAGAGCCGGGTAAGTCTTATGTTGAACAAATTTCTATGAACAGCAGCTGATATACTATCCCCAGATGCACCAATTCAACGGATACCCTTCAATGTCTCCGTGAGCTGCCCTACGAAACCTTATACAATACTGCAAACGAGGGGCTGGAGTGGTTTGCCACCGTCGATGGCTCATTTATAGCCCAGTTTCCGCAAATTAGCTATAAGCAAGGCAAATTAGCTCGGGTACCTATCTTGATAGGGACGAATACCGACGAGGGCACCAGTTTTGGGACAACAGGCACGGACACCGATGAGGACTGCGTTAATGAATTGACTAGTAAGTGCTGTTGCATAACATGCTTACCCTCACATATTATAATATCGCGCTAAACGAGTACCACAGCATCTAAACGCTGGGTCCTCGACCGTTCCCAAGCTACCCAGCTTCTATCCTATTACCCCAATATCCCCGCTATCGGCTGCCCCTACGGTTGGGGTAATACCACCTGGCCCTCATTGGGACTCATGTACAAGCGCTATGAATCCATCGCCGGCGATCTGACCATGGTAGCGCCACGGCGCATGCTGGCGCAACGGATGGCCGGCATGCGCGACAATGTATACTCGTACAGATGGGATGTGGCGGCGTTGAATAGCTCGACAACGATTGGGGTGCAACATTTCGCAGAGGTATGTAATGACACGCCTAGTCTAGATACTACCCACTCAAGTTAGGTGCCTGAAAGATAAACTGACTTTTGGACCTGGCTATATAGATTCCTTTCATCTTTGCAAACCCAGTGCAAACCATCACACCGCTAGGAGCTGACCCTGCGCGCCTAGAACTGGGACAGATGGCAGCACGTATGTGGATGTCTTTCGTAGCGGACCTGGATCCCAATGGACACGGTGGTTAGTAGAACGTGGGTGCGGCTTGGTTCTATTGCCTGGGAGCTGACTTCTTTCTAGTGTCTGATATCGCCAAATGGCCCAAATATTCGTCCCGCGCGACGAACTTTGTTTTCCGCTTACCCCGGAATGAGAGTTATGTGGAGGACGACACGTACCGTGCCGGTGGGATTGATTATATCAATACCATTGCGCGGTGATTTGGAGAAGGCAAGCTAGGCTAGGTCATCTACAGTGTATGTATGAGCAAGGGAAACATATGGCAGACATGTGATAGTCCAGTTGGCTTTCTTCGTTGGAAAACGAGTCAAATCAATAGACAGAAAAGAGACCGAGCTTTGATTTTGCTATGCAGGTAGCCTGTCGACCGTATGAGACGAACAGAAATGACCCAAGTGGGGGGTTTTTTTTCCTTCTCGGTTTGTATTTGGATATCTCATATCTGGCCGGAGATTCAGGAATAGAGATTTATTTAAACGCTCTTGGTACCGATCTTGAGGAGCTCGACCTCGCTGTGGACAGTTAGTTAGTTGTTATTTATAGTTTCGCAGCATGGGGTAAAAAGGATACGGGTTACTCACAAGACAAGCTTAGAGTTGGCGGGGATCAGGCCAGGGAAGCCACTAAAATGATTTGATATCAGCACAAATCTCACGGGGAGAATCAAAGGTGCAAGTTGGAGTTGTAAGGTATTGGAGATATCATAAAAATCACAGCTTGTTGATTCAGTATTGGGCTTGGTTGGTTGGTACATACCGGTCGCCATAGCCGTAGTCACTGTTCAGAATCGAATATTAGCGATTGTTCAGTCGATCAGCCCAAAACTGCAAAGGAAAGTAAGTTTAAAACGAGCAACTCACGGGCTGATGGTCAGAATGGCCTTCTCGCCGAGGGACATTTGGGGGACACCCTCGTCCCAGCCTATTCACCAAGTTAGCAAGCGGAAGCCAGCTATTTATGTCACAGAAAACATCGGATAGATTGAAACGCACCGCGGATGAGACGACCGACGCCGATGGGGGTGGCAAGTGGACCACGGCCAGGCTTGTGGGAGGTGTCGAACCTGTTTTGAGAGTATATCAGTGCCTATCTCCTCGGGTTGGTATAGATCTTCAGCTTACAGGCTTCCCATGAAGTGGTTGTCGGCCTTTTCAGCGTCATACAAGCAGCCGGTGTAGTGGATGGCAACGTGCTCGCCCTTCTTAGGGTAGTCAACGCCGTTGCCCTCAACCAGAGTCTTCTTCTCGACGCCCATTGTGAGTGTAATAGATGTATGAAGGGTGAATATGAGAAATATGTGAAGAGAAGAAACAAAAAGGAACGGGATGACTTGGGGAGGGGCAGATTATCCACTTTTTTTTTCCTAAGCGGGACACGACGTAATGTCTTTGGAATGTCTTTTTGAATGATATGTTACTTTTACATCTTTACATATATATACCTACCTACATATGTAGGTAGTTCATACATATGTACATACATATGTGTACATATAACTATACATACTTCCATTTCCTCTGCCAGGTGGGGCTTTCCTATCTTACCGCTTGAGGGCGCTCAGAGTCAAGAAGCTTCCAAGGTCAGTAGATTTCCGGGGGTCTCTTAGTGAGCTACTCAGATCAATCACGTGATAAATCAGTGAGACCCAATGGACGCTCACTGGTCTCTCACTGATTATTGTAATGGTAACTAATTAATCGTAGTGTTAATATTATAGCCGAGTGTGCTTGCTAGTAACTTGGACATCAATTGAGGTTTAAATTTTACGCTAATGATTGGAGATTCTTGCGTAAGAACTCAGTTGTATCGTTATGATGGTGTGTGTTGTCTCCCAATAATATCCAACTGTAGACAATCAATTTACATGGCCGGCAGCCCCGCAACGGTTTCCACTCGCGCCCGCGCCGCCTAAGCAGGAACCCTGCCATATGTTAGTCCTAGATAGGCCGACCAACCATTGATGTTGTCTCTCTCATCCTGAAAGATCAGATTCCTGGTGTGATCAGTGGCAATTCTGTCGTCCATCATAGGATATGAGGATATGTTTAGCTAGTGGAGGTGAGAGACTACAATCGCGTGCGACAATTGTCAAAGCCGCGGCGACCGTCACGGCCAGACAATGGAGATCGAAGCTCAATTCGGCCCGCAGGCGAATGCGCCCACTGCAAGGCATCCCGGCAATTATCCAATGCCGCCGGATAAGGGTTGTCTGGTGCGAGTTGGTACTCGATCGATAATAGTTGCATGCCGGTCAAGAACGTGCAGGTGGTTCTTGTTGCCGAAAATTCCTTGGCGCTGAAACTGATATATGATTATATCCTCCACCGTGGATATGGATGATGGTCGGGGTGTCCCGGCCCTGGATGTGTACGTCCTTCTTGCAAAAGTGGTGGATTTTGATCTGGTTGTCCCAGGTGGGGGACCTTGCGAACGAGAATTTCCAGGAGACATCAACTGGAAGTGGGATTTTGGCTTGCTGGGTGACAATAGTGCGCATGGCTGCTCTTCTAGCTTATATGCCATGAATAGCGGGTCTTTTGTCGAGTTCCAGCCGGCTAAAGATGTTGGGGGCCGCCGGGAGGGGGGGGGAAGCAGGGGCGGTGGTTGTTACTGTAGAATTTGAGTGAGTATATGATAGTGGGGATATCTTTGGAAGCTATGACTCGAAAAGATATCTTGACCTCACGTTGGAGCAGAGGTCGCATTAAATCGATATATACATAGTCGATCAACTAGGTAAGGATCCGAAGCTAGACTTCAATATCACCCATGTATACACATATATGCGTAAATTCCGAAAGACGATTGCGGTCCATCTTGCAATCATCTTCCGGTATGAAACTAAATCCATCCTCTACTATGGCGGCCCTATCAAATGATGGGAGGGATGGCCCTTTCCCGACCTCCAGTCTAGAATATACGATGTTGATTTGCACGGCGATTATGGGTCTTTACTTGGGTTATCTTTGGCACTTCTGAAGCCAATTCCCGGCATCCTGTATAATAAAGATGTGTCCGATCTCTCTTTGGTGGCACTAGTTCTATGTTCCAACATACTACAGCAGAAACTCGAGAATTGTACAACTTGATGACTGCACAAAACAACAAACTTCACACCCCTATTATATGGCCTTTTGTTCAACCGCTTGGAAACCCGTGGGTGGTTATTGCAGATTACCAAGAGTCCCAAGATGTCCTAGTCCGGTGCACGAAGGAATTTGACAAGTCGACCTAGTTTGCAACCGTTTCTAGGGGTGTTATGCCCGAAAGTCATATATCTATGAGAACCAATGACAAATTCAAGAAACACCGTCGCTGGATACAAGGTGTCATGGGAAGCCATTTTCTCAGTGATATCGCTGCTCCGCATATTTATGATGTCTGCCTAAGCTTCTTGCAGCTTTAAGAACAGAAGGCAAAGCTTGCGAAAACACGCCTTTCCAAAGCTTCAGATGATATACGCCATGCTGCTATAACTATGTAATTTGGACTGTTGTCTTTGGAGTGTGTTGCAAAATTTTCAACTTCCGGACTATAACCTAGACTTATATTTCCTCTCCTAGAGTGATTTATCCCAACTTCTGAAGCATGACTCTTCCTGCTGCTGATTCGAGATTTCCTCACTAGACTCTCCCACAGTTGTCTCTCATGGCAAGCACGAGAGTGTCATGGAACTGTATCATAACCAAAATCTTGAAAAAAAAGAACAAAAAAACCACATAATGGGGATGAGGATCCGAGGGGCTTTATATAGTCAAATTTATGTGTCCACTGACAATATTCACGCTACATGCAAGAGAATATCCAATGCTGGATCCAAATTTTAGGGCACAGTTCAAGACGGCTATGCAACTGTTTTCGATCCTACCAACTACTAGGTCAGGCTTATTCCATAGAGCCTCGTCTATGGAACAGAAAACATAACGGCAACTGACGTTCAAAGCTACAGGATGTATTATACCATGATCTGCATCAAAAACAAGGATATCTCGCTCAAGCTATATCGAAATGTTTTTGGCTTAGTGCTAAAACATAACCTTCGAAACCCCAAAGTTGTTATCGAGGCTACTTTCTTGGCTACAGTCTACCAGGCGCAAGTAACCAGGTGGATGGGCCTGACCACGACGCTCAAATTGAAGGCCTCTTGGGGCTAATGTAGAAATATGGGTATACATTTGGATAATACTTCTATCTCACTGCGAAGAAGTATTGCTTGTTATTATCATACGCACAGTCTAAGTGCAGCTACCGGTGGAAGATTCACCCGGCGGAGGGCTATGGCGCATAATCCCAAGACTGTCGAAAATAGGGATATCATATTGTATTCTATTATCTGCAAGGTCGAGCTCCGCCACGGGTACTGTTCCATGTACGCAACATCTGTTTCCCATTTACCATTCAACGTCAGGCCATCGTACTTATGCAGTCCTTTAATCTCCTCCCAACCAGGGACATAAATATTTAGAAACTTTCCGTTGAGAGCTTCTCTATATCTCTCGAGTAGGTCCAGCACTGCTTTTGCGCAAATTTCAGCGTTCAGGTTGGCATAAGGACCAGCTTGGTCTACTCGCAGCCACTCCATAGAATATTAATTGTGAATACGGATACCGGTAGGTTTCCAGCCAAAACTTACCCCAGGCGAGACAGCACAGAACGTGAACCCTTCATCGCTCAGGTCTAGTGCATGTAGCTTGGTAATACTGTTTAGCGCCGCCTTCGATATTTTATAAGCATGGTGAGGCACAATCATGAATCGCTCCTCATGTGCCAGAGACCCCGTGATGGAGCTCCTTTAAGCGGCATCAGTCAGCTAGTCAGTTCCAGCTGTCTGCCTATGCTCTTCTGCTACTATGTACTGCTTTGTGGGTTTGTTACATCCGTTCCCATGAGGTAGCATGGCTACATGCTCAAGATCATTTTCCGGTTCCCCTCCCGGAGGAGTGGCAAGAATGCGAGGGTGACATTATAGACGACCTCGACATTGACTTCCATTGTTTCCGTCGAGTATTCATCGTTGGCCGAATTCTGGCCCAGTGTTCTCACGATTTCTAGATCAAAACTGCGGGCCACTCCCAGGTATGAGGCCATAGCTGTTGCTTGACTGAAAGTACTTTCAGATACTGTAGTCTAACAGGCGTGATTTCTTCTTATATAAAGAATTAAGAAGACCAAGAAGCATCACTAAAGAAATACGTATATACGGTAGAGACGCAGATATAGTATACGCATGATCAAAAAGACTCCTTATTAGGTTTAAGATAGAACTACATAGAGGGCTGGTGGATGCCGGAGTCTACGGGGATGTACATTAGTGCAGCGGGAATTGCGAAGGTATGCGGCGATAAGCAAGAAGAAGCATTCAACCGAATTACTTTATCATGCCTGCCTCATGTTAGTAAGCCAGGGAGATGTACAAGAAGGGCGATGACAGGTCAGTATCTTCTCACCGATCTACTAACCAATTAATTGTGTGCAAGGTGGACAAGGGTCAGGCCACACCACCATCTAACTGATCACATCACAGTTCGCTATGGTTGGTCCGCGTGCAATAAACATAATACCCTCCTGTAAGCTGACCAGACTACATACCAATAAAGGTCTTTTCATTGGCCACGGACTGCTGCAGCACTGGCCTTACACTCCTAAGCCAGGCTCTGGCCTCTACATGGATCATGTAACATTTCGTCTCAAGACAAGAACTTGGCGGTGTGTCTGTAATTGCCCCAATCATGCTAAATCCATTACAATCCGGACGGCATATGGTCAGATTTTAACGAATCTCAAACTGCAAATGCAACCGTGAGGATTGCAAATGGAAGACGCAATTCACTGGGATTGACAGGACCCTGTTGCTGCCGGTATTTTATGAGAGTTTCCCACACCATTTATCCATGGCCGCTTGAGACCGACCCCTTGCGGCTACATCTCATTCTTTCATATTATTTTCAGCAGCATCGTCTTTAGCCATGTTTACTTCAAAGCCGCAACTGACGTCCGAGACGTCACTGGATGCCCCAGCACCTCCAGTCGTTCACATTCCCCGTGAGGTTCGACGGTCCATCAAGGTCAATGAGGTATATAGCAAGGCCTTAGACCAACATGGCCCTGTGATCGTTGTCCCTCGACACGGTCGGGACGAGTACATCATTGATCACCGATACGCCCACGAGGTTCTGACCGATACCAAGAACTTCACTTTCGAGAAAGCGGTGTTCGAGTTGCTTCACCTAGGCTTCCTGGCCCTGTTCGACAATGGCGCCTTCGTCCATGATGTAGATAACCTGGTCGAAAAGAACGTCCAGCCTCGCATGAACGCCATTATCGAAAACATCTTCCCCGTCTTTGAACAATATTTCGATCGCATGGTGGACGAGCTCCCCAAACTCGCTTTTGGCAAGACGCCCGTCGAGTACCCCGACTTCTTTGAACGAATCCAACTCGCCGTCGCTCAGGCCATGGTCGTCGTGATCCTCGGGCATGCGCACGCCTCCTCCGTAGCCGCAAGCCATTTTGCAATGGTGGCAGTGGCGATGGCCAACCTGACGGGCATGCATGAGAATACGCACGAGTGGGTGCGGTTCCCGTGGCTCTGGGTGATCCACAACGGGTTTGCGGCCATCTTCTTCACCATTATCCCCCGGTTTTTTTTCTGCGTCGTACCTGCGCTGTGGAAGACGCGCAAAGAGCACTTGGAGAATGGCCTCGCCGCGCGACATGCCAATTTTGCCCCGCTCTTTGACATTCTGCTCACCCAACACTACGACGGCAAAACTGGCTTCTCGGCGCTTGCCGGGTTTTTCCGCTGCGTCATCCTCAGCATCGGCGTTATCTTTGCATCAATTCACCAGACTGTAGTCGCTGCCTCCTGGGTCCTGGTCACATTGACGCAGAAGCAGGCTGAGCACCTGCCAGCCCTGCGCCAGGAATGGGAGACGGTCAACCCGCCGGGCGAGAGCCTGACCGTCAAGAAGCTCAGCCAGCTCGCCTTGCTCGACTCTTTTATCCGTGAGACCTTGCGCACCAAGGGAGATTCGTGGGGTCCTGTACGACAGACGACGCAACCCGTCCGCGTGGGGCCATACGTCCTGCCCAGGGGTGCTATGTGCATGGTGCTTATCGCGCGCGCACATCAGCACCCCGACAACTATGGAACAGAGGGATGTGTATTCCACGGCTTCCAATGGTCGGAAAGGGGGCGGTCGGCCGCCCAGGGAAGCCACGATTTCCTGACTTTTGGACTGGGCCGGTGGGCCTGCCCCGGACGGCAGCTGGCTATCCACGAGATCAAGATCGTGCTCTACATGTTCTTTTCGAAATTTGATATCAGCCTCAAGGGGAACTGCTTTTGGATCACAAACACTATCAACACCACCTCCGTTGCGCCAGAAGCGACCTTGCTGTTGAAGCGGAGGGGCTGCTAGGGTCACCTTGAGCAACTAGATTCTGGCAGGGGAAAATGGAAGGACACACAATCTGCTCGTTTCTGGTTGGTGCTGTGTACGGGCCTGTCTCAGATCAATCCACCTCCAGATTATTGAAAGATTATTTTGGAGGGGGGCGAGGAGCGTGCATATACGTATTTTGAATTTATAGTTGTCTCCAGGGCGAAGTGGACCCCCAGCCCGGATCTTAATTGAACATCACATTTCCACATTTCCTCCCCTATAATATACAATGGTATGGCCTGTATAGGGCGGGAAATTTCGGGGGTTTATACAAAGTGCCACATAAAATGGTTGGAATCTGTTACAATGTTATTGATGTATAACTAATAGGATCAGACTACTCAGCCCTTTTGCTCGGACTAGAGAAGGGATCCTGCTATTTGTCCCCTTAATGTCCCACGGAGTACCTAGGTAGGTACGATAGTAGAAATATCAGGGAATATATATACAACTTATATCATTGAATCATGCCCAAAAGGCCATCTTCCTCACTTCCTCCACTGAAATTTCCACGATTTGCGTATTAGGGAACCGAGCATCGGGCACAGGAGATGACGCAGATGCTTCTAGTTGTAGATAATGCAGCATTGAAATACCAACCTGATCCAAGAAATCAAGCACAGGGCGGAAGTTCAAAGCAACCTGTTCGACGCCGTGGCTGTCATCAGACAAACAGAAGCGACCCTTACGCGACACAAATTCCTAAAATCATCAGATTAGTCGTAAGATACGTAACGAAAGATTGCATTTTTACCTTGCAAATCTCCGCTTTAGGATATGGTTCAGTCATTCCCTTGCGCAACGCAGCCGAATTGAGCTCCAGCATACCGCCATACGAAGCAATAAAGTCCAAATTCCGTAAAATCTTACTCCAGACCCCAGGCCAGGTAGTAAAGCTGCGCTCCATGTCATCACTCTTCAGACGAATCAAATCAAAATGGCCCACAACAAGCGGTTTTAGTTGCTCCAACATATCCAGCTGTGCATCGAAGTAGTCCTCGAACAGTCGCTCATCTGTTCCACCGGCTTTCTCTCGAGCCTGCTCGTACATAGGCCGGTCATAGTCGATTGGTACGGTGTGCATGTGGTGAACTGAGCCAATGAAGAATTCAAATGGAAACCGTGAAAGTGAGCGTTCGATCAAATCTTTAGAGGCGGGTCGGATCCAGTCAATCTCAAAGCCGATGATGATCTTGATCTTTGAGGCGTATTTCTCACGGAGAAAGACTGCTTCCTTCCAGTAGGCGGCTTCATTTGCTGCATGACTTTCTTCTGTAACGCCAGATTCAGACTGGATGATTGGTTAATTCGGGATTATGCAGTGGGTGCTTTTCTTACGCACTTCCTCGGGGTAGAAATCTTCTCTATGGCGGGGCATATGTTCGGTTAGACAGAAGACTTGCATCTTCTTGTCGATGGCAGTTTTAATAACATCTTCCAGGGAATTTTGGGCATGGCCAGGGCAGAATTGTCCTGAATGACTGTGATGCGAGAATGGCATGATTTATGAATATGTCACTACGACTCGTTAGCACAATATCCGAAGTGAAGACAGCGCTGTTAGATGGACAGGGATAGGCGTAGAGCTTTTTTTAAAAGAAAGTGAACAGATTCCTTACTCACATCTGATTTTTGGAATGTTTTACTGAAGAGTATGGAATATGCTGGTTTAGGTACGTTGGGCCCTGGGTGGATAGACGATAAGAACTTCTGTATCGCTTTATAAGCGAACATTTGAAGCCCTGGAGGTTAACAACCTCGGAAGGTACATTGGAAGTACTAACAGCTTTATAAATAACTAGTGAATAGTATTCTATATCCTAATATACAGTTTCTTAGTCGGACCTCGAATCATTTCCCCCCATGATTAATTCATTTAATATACCCCGATGAGATATTTCAGTTTTCCTCTTCTCGCCATCTCCTAGGTATCGCTGACCACAAGCTTTCGAATAACTCATATCAGACACCAACGAGAAGGTCCCAAAGTGAAGCGTACTACCATTTGAGTTGCGGACATACCTTGACCAGTACTACTTAAATTGCGAATATTGTAAGCATTGGGCCAGATCAGTTGAACCAGACGGCAAATCATGCCAAAGCCTTGACCTTCTCTACATCCTCCCTAGAAGAGGATGAGTCCCCAGTAGTTCCCCAGTAGTTACCGACTGAAATCATTTAGGTATGCATACCAGGCACGTAACTGCTGGCCGTCCAGCGCCGAGCCCGCCGCAGCCTTAGAGAGCAAGTGGGCTGGCTATCTTGGTAATGGCAATGAGCTCCAACCAACAAAGCAGAGCCAGATAAACCCAACAAGTCACCCAGCAGACAAAACAGTAGCAACCACATACTCCCCATCATGCGAGATTGACAACTTCGCGCTCCTGCGCTCACCCGCATCCCCATCCAGCGCATTCCCAAGATAAACAATCTCAGGCCTCCGACTCACACCCTCACCAAACCTTCCCCCATCCTCCTGAATCCGGACCATGACATCTTTCCACCCAATCGAAGCCGCACCAGACGGCGCTGCTTTGCGCGCTGCCTCCTTCGCCGCAAATCGTCCCGCCAGCCAGCGTGTTATGTCCGCTGGCACAGGTGGAGGTTGTTGGTGGTATGCAGTGCGCGCTTTAAGGACATCACCGAAGCGTGTGTGGAAGTCGTGTTGTTCTTGGTCGCAGAGGATGCGGCGCGTGAATCGTGGGAGGTAGTTGGGTCGGGCAAGGAGACGGGTTATTCGTGGGATATGGACGATGTCTGTGCCAATGTTCAGGGGGAATGGGAAAGGAAGGGTTTTCATTTTGAGTTTTCTGATTGGTGGTGGTGTTTGGGAAAGTTGTTGTGAAGGTGAAGTGGTAGGTAGGAGGGTTGCAGCAGAGGTGTTAGACATCTCGGGATAGCCGTTAGAGTGTTTTTTTCCCAAGGGTACCTAGGTAGCACTTGAATTGCTCAACTCGTTAGAAGGCCATTAATCGTGTATGAGGGTCGTGTGTGGATGTTAGGGCGGTTTTCAGAGCATGCTTGTTCTTGCTGTTTACATCTACGTCTTCTCGTTTCGCTCTACATTCCCTCATTGGTACATCCACCCCACTGACTGAATAAGCGAGCTGATCGCAGTTACAGAGAGCAATACTCATACCAGAGTGAAGGTCCATAGCTAGCTCTTATCAAGCACAGACTCCGAGCGACCCGGTGTGATATTGCGTCGAAGTAATTGTACCACTCGACTTTCTTCCGCGATTGATCTTGCTCGATGACAAGGAGAAGACCAGAACCGAAAACCAGTGTCAAGATGATAATTTTCTATGCAGCGTACACGCCTCCTATGTACAGATCAATCAACCTCATCCGCTGACATCCCAAAATCGGTCCGTGTAGCTTCTCGAAAAAAACGTGGTCACAAAAAACGCCACGGAAGGGCGGATAAACATCGTTGCGCGCTAGAAATGGCACGAGGGCGGAGGCAGTTTGTTCGGATTAAAAATCCCAACTGTTCACGTTCGACCGCTCCATCAGTATAAACCGTATCGAGGGGTTGTTTAGTGGCCAGCGGCGGGCTTCTTCTCGCCGCCATCAACCTCCTTCATGAAGTTCCTGTAAGATATGCAGTCAGTAATACGATCGGGGCTGATACTGAGATGCTTTTCGTAGTTGGCAGCTCTATGTTCTCTGCGATGGTGTTGGACATACTGGACGAAGTTCTCCTCATCCTTAGAGGCGGCGTTGATAGGAGGACCCTGAGCGGTCTTGGGCTTCTCACCACCGGACATGGCGAGCCAAGAACCGGCGAACATGGTGCCGAGGGTGGCCATGGCGAGCTAATGAGGGGGTGGAAAGAACCCAGTCAACTTTCATGTTTCACAGGTATCCGCACGAAGCGCGAGAGAGGGATGGCAAGCGCGCAGCGGCGTTTTCGGAAAGATAAAAACTTACAACGTGAGAGCCGACCTTCTTGCCGGCGAGCTGGTAGTAGACAACCATTTTGTAGGGTTGGAATTGAAGTACAGCGAGAGGTTCAATTGGTAGCGATGTGGACGGAATCCTCAGGCTTGGACCAAACGACGAGGTCGGCACGGATACCGCCTTTCCTAATTTGGTTAGAAAATTCACATGACTTCGGAACTGTGGATGATTAGGTAAGGATGCTCGGCCACCCGGGTGTATCCGATATCATGTGACCTCCTCGGAATGAACGTCACGGGTGCATTAGCATATGAAGATCAATCACAGCACGAAAATACCGAGAAGTACGGAGTACATACATACTATTGGAAACCGACGAAGGATAATAATTAAATTGAAAGCTTTGATGATGAACAATAATAAATGTTGAATTCAACCGTGAGACATCCCATGTATTACTTCTACCCCAGATCCTGACCTACCTCGGAGGGGACTATGCTACCTCGGAGGAAGGTATCCCACAACTAACGCTGTATATCCCGGTTATGGCTGTGTGTTCCGGCTGTAGTGTGCGGTTAATATGAGATTCTTTTAATAATAGCTTGTTTCCCTTGCATAACTTTTCCTTGTTCTTCTTTACATTTTTCATATCATATACCCCTTCCTCCTTGATTTCCTGTCATTTGGCACGCAAATACATAAGTGTTGCTTTTTTCAAAACGACTACATAACCAATAACTGACCATACCATACTACTTACGCAATGGTCTGGGGCGGTCGTCAACAGGATGAACCCCAGTCTCCCCCGCAGGAATTGTTGGATAAGCCTATAGTCCGAGAGAAGCTCCCCGCAAAATTGCAAGAGCTGGTTGATCGCGAAGACGAACTCTACGATGATCTGTACTCCCAATAGTATGTCAAACTCTTTAACTCTCCATTGTTTTGTAGTCCCAGGTATATTGTTGCATGCTCGGAGGTGGAGGGGAGAAAGAGAGTGTGGAGCGGTCCACGGGTACTTCCCGGCTTGAGTCGATGACATACGTACTTACCCGTGGACCACCCGTGGACTCATCAAACTCACCTCTAGCAAACCAACGCAACGCCAAACCCCACAAAAAGACAAAACATAAACTGACGATGGGCACTTCGATTGACGGCAGCTCGGTCAACTCTACAGATACACCGTTCCGTTATGCCGCGTACGCCAATCGAATCCGCACGATCCTACTCTCTGCCCATCGATATGTCGCCTATACCTCAGACATCGGCGAGTCCTTCCGTCCGATCGCACACCCATGGCTTGTGCGCTCTGCCTACGGTATCTCGTGGACATACCTGCTAGGTGATGTTGGTCACGAGGGCTACAAGGCCTATCTCCGGAACTGGAACGCACTGGCTCCCACCGGCGAGACATATAAGGATGCTAGCCAGCCTTCGCAGAACCAAATTATCAAGGGTATGGTGACGGGAAATATGATGATTGGCAACTCAGCTGAGTCCAAGAATGCGCTTTCAAACTGGCCGACCCCGGAGATCCCGCTTGCAGAGGACTACCGCATGGTCATGGCCAAGCGCGCGGTGTTCCAGAGTATCGCGAGTATGGGATTGCCGGCATTCACAATTCACAGCGTTGTCCGCTATTCTGGCCAGATGGTGAAGGGTGTCAAGAGTGCGTTTATTCGTACCTGGACGCCAGTCGGGGTATGTACCGTTTCCTTTTCGGCAAAAACGCCAATTCGCAAATTGGTGAATATGATGCTAATACACTGTTTCTGATAGCTTGGTCTCGCTGTTGTTCCCTTCCTTCCCTATATCTTCGACCACCCCGTCGACGAGGCCGTTGAATGGGTCTTCCGCACCGGTCTTCGTGCTTACGGCGGTGAAGCAGCCGTCCGCCCACTTCCTGGTAAGAGCCTGCCTCCCCGAGAAGAGGAGGAAGTCCGTGCCGCTGCGGCGGCAGATCTCTCCTGGGACGAGTACAAGGCCGAGCGGGATCGAGCGCGCGAGCTCCGTCGCCAGTCAAGTGATCAGACCGGCAATGGTGGAATTGCATCGCTGACAAGCTGGTTTGGAAAGTCTGAATCGGAATTGGATAAGAAGAAGAAGAAGGAATGAGGTAAATACACAAATTTTTATATATCCTTTTAACTAGAGTGCTGTCTTTGGCTGCTTCTGTCTTTTGCGTATGAGCGCATCTCCCTTATCACTTATTGTACATATAACTTCCCATTATCTGATCTCCTCTTCCTACTGATATCCACTGGGCTTGCTTATGCATGTACACCCAACCATTCTGAACAAATACAATTCATCATCATTAATCTATTTTGCCGGGTATCTTCCCCCTTGATACTAGATCCTACTGAATAATGTGACCGGAGCTATCCAGAATCACATTGTGGTATCTGACGTCTGCATGAACAATTTGTTCGCCACGCTCTAAGATACGCCCTTCCTCGGCTTCTTCGAAATGTGTAACCCCGTGCATGATGGGCAAGCTGTTGGTAAGCGTGAATTTTGATGTCGAACGCCTGATACTCAAACTATGTAGTGGGTCAGGTTTCATGAGATGTCTTTGTCTGGTCAATGGCATATCTATGCTGACTGTCCCAGCAGCTTGAAAACATTTCACTCATGCGAAGTTGCAAACAACGATAGCCTTGGCAAAAGCACAAGGCGAAGCTAATTCGAGATATTCTGGTGGAAAGAGAAACAAAAGGACAAGGCCTGTCTTGTGGATAGTCAAAGACAAAAGCAAGATCAGATCGGAGTTACTGTCTCGAAGCTTGGACATCATTGATGAAGGGTTTGTCTGATTGAACAAGCCAACTCTTGAAGGCCTGCCCAAAACAAGCTTAGAATAGAAGTGAGGTCTAAATACCCTTGATCCTAGCCAGAGTCGGGTTAGTTTGCCTCAAGAACCCATGGTTCTGAATAAAAGAACGCAGGGTGGATCCACCACCTTAGATTCCAAAGTTCCAAGGTTGGAAGGCACCTTTCCCGAATGTTACTCTTTGGTTAATTAAAAACAATTTGTTATTATCCTCAGCATCTGTCACTGGACCTTGTATTCTCTTTTCCAGTAGCATGTGATATTAACACAATGGAACAGGTGAAATTCAAACAGTCACACGTCATTTGGCACCTCAAAGCCCTCCACACGAACCGACTTGGTCTGATACTGTATAATCAAACGAGCTAGCTTCAAGCGGTCATCTCTACCAAGCGTCTGAGTGTTCTGACAACGGTTCTTCACAATTAACCCGTCGTAGTCATGCTGAAACTCCACCGTTGCTTCCCATTCATATACCGGGTTCCGCTCTCTAAAGTAATAGGGCCGGCCATGCCTCATGACGACCTCATAGATTTTGCGAAATTCTCGAGAGTTCCCAGTCTTGATTTCCCCATTTGGCAACACTACCACACTTGCATGCCATGGCATATCACCAAACAGGTCACCTTGCCGTAGCAGGGGAATGGAGATCTTATTTCGCCCTAATGAAGGGTGAATCGAAAGACGGATGTGTTTTCCAAGAGTGGCGTTAATGACGGCTTCATATGCCTGAGAAAACAGTAAGCCAGGGAGTGAGATCTCTAGGACATCCAAAACATCAAGTATATCATAGTATTGAAACTTACGATGAGCCGGTTGATCATGGTTTTCGTCCTCTTGGACACCTCAACCGCGTAGAGCGCCGGGTCGGCCGCGAGAAGAGGGTCAAAACCTTTGGCCCATTTTATATCCTCTGAGATGCGACTAAAATAGCTCTCGTATGTTGTCTTGGTATCTGGATTTGTCTCCAACTCATGATCAATGTCAAATCTCGGATCGAAGTATGTGGGTGACATCAGTTTCTCCCTGCAGGCGGGGACAAGATGTAGGTAATCTGCCTTGGGAATTTTCTCGCCATCTCCTAACCGCAGCAAATTTGTAAGCCGGATGAATTGGATAGAAGAAAAGTGTTTCTCTTGGGCGATTTTTCGCAGCTCCATGCCATAGTCGTAATATTTGTCGTCGGGAACGCCGACCAAGTCTGCATCATTAGTTTCTCTGTTTCATTCTCGATAATTATATGACTACTGGACTGAGATAAGAAATGACCTACCATTATACACTGGCCCATCACAAATAAGGATTAGTCGCGCGCCGTAAGGGTAGACCTTTGAGATCTCCTCGCACAGATGATTCAACTTTGCCAGACCTAATTCTTCTCCTAGATCAGCCCCATCTCCTAGCACTTTGTCCTGGTTCGGGCTCTTCCATGGAAATGCAGGTAAGACCATGGTTACCGGCTGGTTTGTCGTGATATTAATCTTCAACTTCTCAGGCAAGGACTCAAACACTGTTCCGACATCCTTTTGATGGCCATCTTTGCTCGAATGCAAGCAAAACCGCTTGAACACCTCGATTACCCTTTGAGGCACTTCCTCTGAATTGTATTCAAATTTCATTATTAGTAGAATGCAGATGAATTTGCGGATGTGTGCAGCAAAATGGGGCCGTGGGTGTTCGGATGTTATTGTTATCCCTTCGTGTCAAGATAAACATCCGATTGTAGGCAGCGACATATAGTTTACAGTATTTTATCAAATTACCTCCACAACCTATATGTACTCATACCTGTAGTACATAGTACCTGTACTCTGTAAAAAAAAAACAGAAACATGTCTGCAAGCTTTCTGCAGGGAGCGGGTACATGGACACCTGAGGAGTCATATTTTAGAATTCAATGCTCATATAGTTACTGCCCGCTTCCCATTCTATTTTCCGAAGGTTGAGCGATATTCTCTTTTTGCGCTTTGGAGTCATCCCAACCAATATGGGCCAGCCAAATATATCCCAGGGCAATGCAGCCGGAACATACTTGACGGCCGCCGCTTCGTCCTATACAACGTCGGCCACTACCTATCCTACTCTTACCGAAGAATCTCCGCTATTTGTTCCCTCAAATTCTCATCAACAAGATGAGGACCGCAAAGCTGAGAATAACGAAATCCCTGATGGAGGTCTCGTGGCCTGGACCCAGGTTCTGACAGGACACTTAGTCGTGTTCAATGTATGGGGCTATATCACATCGTAAGGGAACTGTCACATCCGATGAGAATTTCATCTAGTAACATGATGCAGGTATGGATTCTTCCAGGAATACTACGTTCAAACTCTCGATATCAGCCCAGCGAATGCATCTTGGATCGGAGCGGTGCAGATGTTCCTCGTCCATTTTCTGGCCTCTCTCTCAGGCAGAGCAATGGACGCGGGTTATCTGAGACAATGTATCACTCTTGGATGTTTTTTTCAAGTTGCAGGAGCATTGGCCACCTCATTCGGCACAAAGTTATGGCATTTTTGGCTAGCGCAAGGCATCGTCAGTGGGATTGGCCACGGACTTGTCTTCAGCCCCATGATTTCGCTGTACGCGACATACTTCAACTCCAAGCGAGTGATGGCCGTCTCGCTGGCTTCTTGTGGAGCAGCGACTGGAGGGATGGCATTTCCTGTGGTCGCTTACAAGTGTTTCGACAATATTGGATTTGCATGGACTGTCCGGATCATGACTGCCATTATCCTGTTCAACAGCATTATAATTGTCAAGTACACCAGATCTCGGATTATACCTCGGAGTCCTCCTCCCTGGATTGATTTCAGTGCGTTCCACGAACGCCCTTACCTCCTTTTTTCGATCGGCTCATTCCTGATCTTCGAAGGTATTTACTTTGCATACATATATGTAAGTTTCGTTTTGTATAACATTTGGGCTGGCGGTATAACAACTAACAACATCTCCAGCTTAGACAGTATGCCCAAGCTCACACAGGATTTACTGCATCAGATTCACTTCTCCTCCTGATCCTGATGAACGGCGTTGGTGTTCCGTCCCGCATCGCATCTGCATTCGTGGCAGACCGGTGGCTGGGTGCGGTAAGGACTTGCATTGCAGTCTCAATCCCTTGCGGTATCGCCATTCTAGGGTGGATTGGTGTACACACCCATGTTGGCATGTTCATTTGGGCCACGGTCTATGGGTTACTGGTTAATTGTGCGCAGAGCCAATTGCCCGCTGCGAATGCGTACTTTGGATCCAAAGACCCGGAGAAATCCGGAACACGTGTTGGGATGATCACCACGATCAATAGCATTCCACTATTAACTGGGCCGTATATAGCAGGACAGCTAATCGCGTTACGGGAAGGCGATTACTTGTACGCGCAATTGTTCGGGGGTATTTGCATTTTGACTGGGGCGTTGTTTGTAGTCGGGTCTCATTTTTCAGGGGCTTGAAATTACCATACATGATTATATTTCAATAATAGAGAGTTATGCTGTGTATCTAACTACTTGTCTTACCCCGGGGATGGCGGCACTAATTTAGGTATCATCATCAAGCTACCTAACATACATACACGGTAGACTTGTTTGGCATACTACCTTATTTTTTCGCTGTCATCCTCATATGAACATATGAATACATTTCCCCCCTTGAGATTATATCAACTGATCTTAGCGAATTAACAAAAAAGTGTGACCTGCTTTAGTTCGGAATGGCATCCCTGTTACCACGTTTTCTCCAACTGATCTCCTCACGAGGTTTCTCCTCCACCAACGGAGTATTACACGAAATGGCCCTCAGACCTTTTCATTACCACCTTCCATTGTTCCCAGGGTTCCAACTGCTGGACGTGGCCGCCCCACTGGACATTCTCAACATCCGTACCCAGTACCCTGACACATCAGCCATCACTCTGACTGTATCAGCTGCAACTCTCGACCCGGTCTCAGTGAAACCAATCCCACCTGCTAGAGCCAAATGGCGATTTGATCTGCCCGCCTCAAACATCAATACAGCTTGCAACCAGCAAATTTTGCCACAATGTACCTTTGCTGACGTGATCTCTGCCCTGAAAGCGGGGAAAGTTGCCGACGATGGCAGTGGCGAGTTCAAACCTATTGATGTGTTGATCATCCCAGGTGGCCCCGGGACACGTTTGAACCGTGTTTACAACACTAGTACTACATCCGATGAGGTTAAAGTCTCTAACACAAAAGAGGTTCAGGATTTTCTCATCGCTGCTGCACCCTATGTCCGCCACAGCATCATTACTGTCTGCACGGGCAGCCATCTCCTCTCGCAGACTGGTCTTCTGGAGGGACGCCAGGTAACTACGAATTCAGCTCGCTATGACGATGTCAGTAAACAAACGAGCGATGTGAAATGGCAGCGCAATAGACGATGGTTGCGTGATAGTATTCCTAAGGATGCGGTGTCTGACGGCCTGTCGTTCCTGCCTGGGATTGAGATATGGTCATCTGCTGGAATAACTGCAGGTATTGATGTGATGCTGGAGTTTATTTCGGCGCATTACGGTGGCATCGAAGTCGGAATCGAGACTGCAAGGCGGATGGAGTATCGCTGGGAGCGAGAGAAGGAAGCTTCTTACTTCCTGTGAAGGGTTGGCCAAAATAGGTTCCCAAAGTTACGCATGAGCTCAATTTCCTTGACTGAGGCTTCGGAGGTAATACTTGATGCGAATTACGAAAGCTTTGAGAATATCTAATACTCCCCGGTCTTGGCATGAATATTGTCAGGCCGTGAAATTTGAGTCATTTCAAGCACTTGACATGTCATCCTTAATAGCAGTAGTGATTTGTATCACTATTACAAACAATAGAGTAGTGGTACTTAATCGGTCAGTCTACCTTCGAGCTCGCACTCTGAAGACCCTGGGCCTTTTTGACTTCTCGTAATGTTGTAGCCTTCGGCTGTCAAAATAACGAAATTTCACATCGACATTTACCTTCATCCCCGGAACCTTTTGCCAGAGACATCTGTTGGTTCCCCCGTAGCCCGACCTCTCGTGCGAGGTATTCCCAAATCCAATCTAATCGGGAAACGACCCCCAAATCATGCATGAACAGCCACTTCAACTGCTATAGGATTCTTGAGTATTTTTGTTCAAATAGTAACAAGTTTGCGTGTGATATGGCGTATCTACTCATAGATATACATATATGTATGTAGTGTCCATCTTATTGTTGTTGTTCTCCAAAGCTCTTCTATGAAATGCCTGATTGTTGAGTGGCTTTGGGCCCCCTATAGGTTCAGGACCATGTAGGCGCCTTGGCAATTCTATCTTTCTTTCTCTCTGTTCCTTTCTCTCCTCGGTCTATTTGCTACATAATGAATGTACACAATTTTTTTTCTTCTCCGTGAAGATCTCTCATTGTGTAGCACTCCCTAGACTAATCCGGAAACATGAAATCAGTCATACTCCAAATCATGCACTGGTTTCAACACACATGTACAAAGTGTCAGATGGTAAGCAATACCCCTTCATTTCCCTTGTGCAACAGCATAGTTCCAGTTCAAGAATTCGCCGAAAAGAATTTATTAATAAAAAAGGACAAGGAAGGGGACAGGGGAGTTTCGAAGGCGAATATGTACATTTCAGTCAACGAAAAGCAGAAGCAATCGAGAGAAATGTGGCGAGAAAGCCACCAAATTCCAATACAAGATCCGGGGATATCACCCCTATAAAACACGAGAATATTCGAATACCTGATCCACCCCTTCCCAATCCCTAGTTCCAGCCCCAACCTCTCCGCTCCCGTCTATCATGAACTATATCAAAATGCTAGCAACAACAGTAGTCCAAGTTTCTGCCCCCCTAGACATAATTCCTTTGGACCGTCCCACCCCCACCCCAAAGACTCGAGTCTCCTTCCTCCCTAAACCACACCCAATCCCCCCCAAACCCGAAGCCACCACCAACTTCTATCCCGATACACCGGCAATATGTCCCACATTGACCTACCTAAAGGCAAAGGAAATACTGGATATCGTGGAGCGCTACGGCTCTCATGAGTGCACAACCGCAGCCGGAGAGTGGCTCGGCCGGTCATCGTTCATGCCACACGTGCAGACACATATCGCAGCCAACAAAGCGATTTCCATGGTTTTACCTGCTTTTCCAATGAAGAGTAATAATCGCATGGACAAGGTGCTGGGTGCACTTCCAGATTTAGGGGACGAGCTTGGGTTGGCCCGGTTGGTGAATCTTTGTCGGGATATTAAGGTTATTTACCCGCCTGGTGGGGTTGTGGTTATTGTTACGGATGGAGTTTGCTATAATGGTGGGATCCAAGTCTCCATTTCATTTAAATATGAATGTCAGATACAGGGTTGAATGCTAATTTGATTCCTGGATTTTAGATCTTACAGGGATATCTGATGAAGAGGTCTGGGAATATGGGAATCGACTGCGGAAGATCGCTGTTGAGAAGGGATATGCTTGTATTCAGTTCCACCGTATTATGAATATGCTGGGCCTTTATACTTGCGCTCAGATTTCCAAATCGGATTATGTGAAGCTCTGTGGTTTATCGAGGGCTGAACTTCATCGACGCTGTGGACAGCAGGGGTTTGATGTCGATAAGTTTTTGAAAAGTGATGAGGATTATCTGAGGACTTATAATGGTAAGTGCGTTGCTTTTGAATTTGGTAAATGTATCATGGCTGATTCAATGCAGGATATGATAAGTTCATGAAAGTTGATCTCAAGTTCAGCCCAGTGACCAAAGACTGCGCTGGTCCCAAGCAATATAAGAAAATGATCAAGAGTATTGCAAAAGCAATGATTGTGCGCGGGGTGGTATGTCATGTCGAGTGCTACATAAAATAGCAATACTAACCCCATGGATTATAGGAGTATGCGGAGCTAGTACGCCAAATTTACCCTGACTCGCTGCGTCTCTCCATTCATCCCTCCTCAGGGCAGACGAAGCTGTCCTGTCCCCTTATCCCACAGAAGAATTCATTTTCCATGAGTCCTTGGCACTGTAGTGTCGCAGTGACAACTGCAGGGGAATTTATAACAGCTCACCAATCCGTACTTCGACAGAAGTTTGACCTCATTACTAAAAACGGTCGACCATATTTCTTCCGTGAGAGCTCGCCACTCTTCAATTGGGATACCAAAGTTGATTTCGAGCATCTTTACGGTCAAAACTTGGTTATTAGGGCACAGCAACAGAATGATCAAGAACTACCTGACTCGGATTTGGACAAGTTGGCGCTTTTAGCAATTCAACAGAAGAGTGTGTCCTTTGTCTATGTGTAAATCCTGTATCCTGACAGAAAGGGTATATCGGTTATTGAATGTATTAATTTTCATTTAATCTACAGGATCTAATACGAACAATTTAGCAGCTACGGTAGACCAACATAGCCAACTGGCTTCGCAGTGCTTTACCTAGAATTTTGCGGGATATTTATCTGTCTCGTTATGTATTCAAATGCCTAGTATGTCATTTTTGCTCATATTCGTCGTATCGCGTATATTCAATACCATCAGATAGCCGGGATATTCGTTGTCCACGTATCAATGTACACCTCATCTGGCATAGATCGCAGACTAGAAAATGCTAGCCCTAGGATCATTAGTCTGGAAAGGCAGTATACCAGACTAGTAGCGTATATAATGCACAAGTTGAATTCCTTCCGAAACTTGGGCAACAATGTCGTCCGTGGGAAAACGTTGGTCTTTGCGTTGTCAATATTCGTTTTGGGACCATCTCCGTTCAAACAATCCACGAGTTCTTTGAAATCAGATAGAAAATTCCTGGGTAGGCTGACTGGTCCAACTCTCTTAGAGTGAGGTCCATTTTCGAGGAAACTGATCATGCAATCCAGAAAAACAGGATGTGCAATTCTATCTGAGAAGATCTCTTTGTAGTGTGTCTGTTCCATCTTTTCTTTGTCCACAACAGCATATATGTCTTCCAACCTCGTTTTTGCTTTATACAGATCCTGTTGATACAGAGAGTCTCGACAATGCCAAGAGATTTCCCGTAATAGATTTATACAGCCACACATAAACTCGCGCGTCCTGTCTGTCCGAAGGGTAATCTGCGTTAGGGGAATAATCGCCAGACCGGTCATAGGAACTGTGATGGAGAGAACTGTGGCAACCCTCCATAGGGTCTTTTCAATCTCTGTAGGGAAATGGAAGTTCCAAGCTATCAGATGGAGGCATCCGAATGCAGCCGACATGATAGCCAATGTTGGAATTGCCACATGAGTTGTCTTGGATGCTCCTACGGGAATATTGTCGTTCTTGATGCGGTCAACTCTTTGATCATCATGGGAGCTCCGGTGATTGGTGAGAATTTCCCAGAGATTGTCATGATTTCTTATAAATCTGAGTGGCTCGGCGCTAGTTTTCTTATGCCAGACTGTTATTGGAACACCGATATCTTGAGGCTTATACCAATATACAATATAGGTGCCTATCCCAAAAGCAGCCAGACCGAGTGTGAGAGCTTCCAGTTGAGAGAAAGGTAGGCTCTGTGTCTTTCGGACAATAAGAGAAAGCACTAGTTGTGCTATCTGCAGGAGCGCAATTCCCTTCGCGAAGAAGTCTAGTTTGCTTTTATCCGCAATGTCATCTCCAGTGACTTTGGGCATTTCGTAAATATCGTATTCTTGAGCATATTGCGAGGCAGTCAAGGGAAAATGGATGCTCCCTTGATAATGAAAGCCACCCATATTTGCGAAATAGGAGTGCGCAAGTGTCCAGTCTGGGATTTCTTTGGTGTCGGGTTCTCCGGGCCCTTCAGACTTCGGAAGATTCTCGGATTTTGATTTCTTGGATTCCAATCCATCTTTGGCATCGACAGTCTCGACATCTTGCTGCTGACTACGAGCTGATTTGGGGATGAGTGGCCGGATCATCCAAGGGTATTTTGCAACCTTCCTGTCCGTGTACTTCTTGATGTCCTCCGTTCCTTGTACAGCCAAAATGAGCTCAAAGAATGCGTGTGCCAAAATAAACTCAGGCAAGAAAACAGTGATTGCCATCCACTTCAGCCTTCGCAGGGTTTCTCTGATGGCTCCATCGTGATCTGCCTGCCCCGGGACATTTAGGTGTTGGATGCTCCATGTGCAGGCAACAATGGTTGTCAGACAGCTCAGGATAATGTCCCAGGTGCCGCGTCTATCAGGGCCCCCTTGCCATCCGACTTGAAGTGAGCCAGTCTCTTCGGTAGCTATCGCCAGAACAGGGATTGAATATATCAAGATCAAAAACAACATTGCATATCCGTTCCGGGACTCAGATATCTTAGATCGAACAGGTTTGCCCCAAGCAGCTACACTCCTTATATCTCCGCTAGGTGAAAGAACTATCCATGTCCGGATTGTAGAGTATCCGAACTATTATTACCTTGCCGCTTGTAGTGGATATCTCCGAGCCGCTAGGTGTGACATGGCTTGCATATAAAACTTACAGCCAATCGGATTTGGAGGAAATGAAGACCAGCCAGCCAAATTAGGTTAATTAATATGCCAACCTTAGAACCCGACCTCTTATTAGGGCACTGCCACGACAGCGCGAGGAGGAACACTGATGCACGCACGCCACCGATTTTACGTACAGTATCTTTTCAAATACATACACCAAATTAGATACATAAAAAGCTAACTATAGGCTACATATTGATAGTTGATTAGTCATGGTTATTAGTATTGATATTATTAGAAAAAAAAGCAAGTAAGTAGGTGCATATACATTAGCGTCTCTTCTCGCCCGAGCCGTCGTGGCAGTGTACGGAGTAGACGTTCTTATTAAAAATCATAACTAAGGCTGTAGCCAAGTCGTTATGGCAGCACATCAGCGGCTATTTGCTATTTTTGTTTCAGATACTTAGTATCAACCCTAGTACTCCATATTAATTCTCTACAGAATCACTCGAATGCCGAATAATATTATTCAAGTCATGTACAACGTCTTATAGTATCTCCATTATTTTTGATCTGGCCGGATAGGAAAACTCATATCACTTCAATCATGTGGGAGTGGCTGAAGTCAAAGGCTCAAGGGATGAGCCTGTTTGACGCAGTGATAATAGGTGACGCACGGAAAGTCGAGCAACTACTCGCCAATAAATGCGACACCTCAATTGCAGACCAGTCTGGTATGACAATTCTACACTGGGCAGCGTTGAGAGGACACAACAAGATTATACCTTTGCTTTTACAAAACGATACCAGCCTTGCTTCTAGAACAGACCATCACGGGAGGGTTGCCATGCACTGTGCAGCAGAGAACGGCCATCTAGAGGCTGTAAAGTTAATTGGCACGACTGGTCTCAATATCTCGGACTCAATGGGCAGAACAGCATTGCATTGGGCCGCCGGAAATGGTCATTTAGATGTGGTGATCTTTCTACTTAATAAGGGGGCCAATGCGAGTGCCCTCGATTCTTTCGGAGAGACACCGCTATCCAAAGCAGCATCCATGGGACATGAATCTATCGTCCAGCAGCTACTACTGCCTCAAACGGTCAAAATCAACAAGCCAGATCAAAATGGATATACAGCCTTACACCGAGCAGCTGAGAGCAAGAATGGCAACGTCGCTTTGCTTTTTCTGAAGAACAAACTGGTCGACCTCGATGCGAAGACCGCAACCGGTGAAACCTTTTTTGATGTATTAGGCCAAGAAATACCAGAACCAGAGTACGGGGTCCTTGAGGCCCTTGGGTTCATAACAGCGAAAGAAGTCGGCCCCGCTACAAAAGTTACTGCAAATGATAAGGCCCGTGATGCGGCTGTACTGCATCACCGACTGAACAGAAGATCAGCCGTGGAACTCCTGCTGAAACGGATGAATCATAAAAAAAAAGAAGACGGGTTTGAAAAAGTACTTGTATCTATTTCAAAAGAAAGAATACCCGCGTTTCTCCCCACTTTCGATGGGCAAGCATTAGAATTCCTGCTGTGGGCAGTCACACACAATATGATCGAGGTGGTGAATAGGCTCATTGCCCAGGGGATTCCTGTTAATCGCAAGGAACGTTATCCGAAGCCCGTACTTCAGCACGCAGCTAAGAATGGTTTTGTCGATATGGTACAGCTGCTTCTGGATAGAGGAGCCGAAGTTAATGCGAGCATAGCCACTTCCAGCAAAGAGACGGCTTTTATGCTTGCAGCAGAAAATGGTCATCTTGAGGTCATGCGACTCCTGATAGACGGAGGCGCTGATATCGAGGCTGAGTTGGCATACGAGAATACGCCAGCCTTCCAACGCGCATCGGAATACGGCCACGCCAATATTGTTCAGTTCCTGTTAAAGCAGAGCGCTCATCGTAACATTGCGATTCCTACCCAGAAAAAACTATTTTCTTTGAGATGTGCGATAAGCAGCGGTCATTACGATGTGGTTAAGCTTCTCCTAGACGAAAGACTTCCTCCCGACGCAGATGTCTATGGTAATGTTAAGTCTGGCTTAGAGATTGCAGCGTTCAAGGGCGACGTCAAGATGTTTGAACTTGTGAAAGAAAACGGATTCGAGCTTGGGGATAACTGCTTTGATGCTTTGAGGCCTGCAATATGCAGAGGTCATCATGATTTGGTCGGGTATCTCCTAGCAGGACTTACCCGAATACATGTCAGCGGCTCTGACGTTAATCATGGTCTGGAGATTTCGGCGCTTAGGGGTGATCTCAAGATGTTTGAACTTCTCAAAGCTCACGGGTTCGAGCTTAGCAGCAACCGCAAAAAGCTTGCTTTAAGGAATGCAATAGGCAGCAGTCATTACGATGTGGTCAGACATCTCCTAAGCGGAGTAATTCCGGAAGCAGATATTGTGTCTGGAGTTGATGACGGCCTAGAGGCTGCAGCACAACGTGGTGATCTCAAGATGTTTGAGCTCCTCGAAGAATACGGGCTTGGTCTCAGCAGCAACGGCAAGAAGTATCCCTTGAAGAAGGCGATAGGCGAGGGTCATTGCAATGTGGTGAAGTATCTCCTAGACGGAGGAATTGGCGAAGTAGATACTGTTTCTATGGTGAAGGTTGAACTGGAGGGTGCAGCATTCAATGGTTCACTCAAGATGTTTGAACTTCTCGAGGAATACGGATTCGAGGTCAGGAGCAGCAAGTATCTCATCGGAGCAGCTGAAAGGAATTTCCTTCCATTGGTCAAGTTTCTGATGGACCACAACAAGGTTGATATCAATGAGAGAGGCAGTGAATATTGGATGGCGCCTCTTCATTTCGCAGCAAAGCATGGCAATGTTGAAATGGTCAACTTCCTTCTTGACGAGGGGGCTGATATCAATGCCCTAGCAGGCAAGAATTTGTCACGCTGTGCTGTTGATGAGGCAAGAGCGGGGGGTCATCTTAAAGTGCTCAAGGTTCTTTTCGAGAGGGGGGCAAAGAAGTACAATCCCGAAAGGGATCGATGGGTGACTCTCTGGGACCCTGAGAGCACATAAATCCGCTCTCATCCAGCTCAATGTATTAGGCGAATTTTCACTCTAAATCCATCGAATTGTATGTCATGGCGAAACAGTCCAATCCATTCTGTCAGGGGTAAAACATCATAATTTCAACGTAACAGGCATGTATTACAAGTTACTTTTATAAGACAGGGTTGAAAAGAAGAGAGATCTACTCGTCTCATTGATAAGCTCACGTCCACATCTACAAGGCCACACGGCACTTGAACACATTTCATACATCTGTACAGAAACACAGAAACGCACAAAAACAGCAAAAAGCACAATTGAGATACAACACAGACAGAGAGACATGGAGAGAGGAAATAAGGGCAGGGGAAAAGCCATTGGCTCTGTCAAAAAGATGCCACCCAAATCCAATATTAATGTGCAAGTCCAAAGACTGAATGACCAATAATTCATAAGGAGAGCTTTCAAACAGGAACCAGAATTAGAGAAAAAGATTTTGTCCCAAATTTGGTAGTCCCAGTGCCATTGAAAGGAGTAAAGGGATAAAAAAAGTATTTGGTGAACAAAAGGGGGAATATGTCAAGAAAGAAGAGGGGGAAAAAAAATAACGCGACACACGCAGTGACGACCAACCGTCGCTCGGAGTATCATGTTGAGAAGAAGAAAAGTGGCCGGTCGAAAAAATTGCACAGAAAGAAGAGATACGTGATATGTGACATGTAAATCCTTGGTGGATGATGGACAATGAAAATGAAGTTTTGTGCAGCCTCCCTGTCCCTGCCTCCATCGGAGTGGGGAGAACATGAGCGCATTGGAATGAACAGTTATCTCAGAAGAAATAAGGGTCTTCCGAATGCCCGGTGCCCTCTAATTGTCGTCGTAGGGTCCAAAATGGGGTGGGGTGTGATGGAAGAAATGGTGTATGCGTTGTATTGTCGGGAGCACGTCTAGTTCCATCCCAAAGAGTTCTCTGCCATCACGGGAGCGCTGATCATCTGCGAACGAGCAGTTCCACGGCTACCATGGCTAGGGGCCCGGCCACCAGCAGCAAACATCGAGCCAGCGGCGGAACCTCCCTGGCTCATCTGCTCAACGGTCGAACTAGAGCGCTGGTGCAGCTGCTTTCTCTTGCGGTAGCGGCGGGCAACCCAGAACATACCCGCACCGTAAGCAGCAGCACCGGCCACAACACCGACTCCAATTCCAACAGAGCTAGCTTTGGCCTTCGAGCTGCCGGAAGAGCCATCAGTGTTGTCGTTGTTGCCACTGTCCGGGCCATTATCACTGCCGCCATGGTTGTTACTGCCAGTCGAGTCGCTGCTACCGCTAGGGTAGTTTCCAGAGAACTCAAGGGGAATTGTGGGGTCAACCATTGACATCAATGACTGGATGGATTCGCTGTGTTGGTTGTAGAAAGCAGAGTTGGGGTTAGCCTTGAGTGCTTTCAGGGCATCGACCTTGTCACGAGGGAAATAGAAGATAGCAAGGGTGGCGTTATAGCCAGCAGTCCTCCAATTGTAGTAAGGCTCAATAGCAAACATAACTGGACCCTCGTTAGGAGAGAGGTTTGGCATAGCATTCTCAATAGCCTGAGGAGTGTAGTTGAAGATTTGCGACGACGACAAGGGAGTTGTTGCAACAAATGACCAAGGTAGCTGGCTATTGAAACCAAGCTGGAGCAAAATAGAGTCAGACGGCGGCTCCGTGACGTCCTGCGATGGGGTGATAGAGCCAGGAAGCGCTGGTGCTGTGGGCTTCGCAGTCTGACCGGACGTCGAGCTTTCGGTGGAGGTGAAGGTGGGCACGATAAGGATAGTTGATGGCATCCAGTTATTGTCATTGAGGGTCGAGGACGTAAGCACCTCAGTGGTCTGAGGCTCCTCGGTGGTCTTGGCAGTGCTCACTTTTTCGCTCGTTGAAGTCGTTGAAGTCATCGAAGTCGTCGAAGTCGACGATGGACGAGGGATGGGGGCTGGGTGAGAGGTAGACATGGGAACCTTGGAGCCATCCTGAGAAGCACTACCAGAAACATAAGCGGCAGTGGTAGTAGTGCCTAACAGAGGAGCCGACGAGGTGGTAGAACCGGAGACAGTTTCAGATCCAGAAGCAGAGGTAGACTCCGAGCTGGACGGGTGTGGAACAGGAACTGATCCAAGGGTGTTGGTCGGGGTTGGTATGGCACCAGTGTTGGTACCTCCCTGGCCAGGAATGAGCCCAGTCGACTTAGGCGGCAAATAACTACCACCGGGCATAGACGCAGTTGAAATTAAAGCAGTGGCACCAGTGCTAGTAGAGATGGCACCAGTGCTAGTAGAGATGGCACCAGTGCTAGTGGAGATGGCACCAGTGCTAGTAGAGATGGCACCAGTGCTAGTAGAGATGGCACCAGTGCTAGTAGAGATGGCACCAGTGCTAGTAGAGGTGGCACCAAGCAGGGAATCCACGCTTGACATTAAACTGCCGACCAGGTCACCAGAAGTTGTAGTTGCAGTTGCAGTTCCAGTGGGGGTGGTCAACGGTGAGCTAGTAACGGAAGCAAGCGTGCTAACTGGGGTCGAACTGACAGCGTCCGAGGACGCCGTAGAACTTGTGCTGTTGCCGGTAGAAGACTTATTACCCAGACCCAAAAGGTCAAGGAGATCCGACCCCGAGCTTGTCATGCTCGAGGCTGCGCTTGAGGCTGCGCTCGAAGTCGAGGTGCTGATTTTGTCGGCGCTCGAGGAGCCAGTAGGTGTCACAGAGGCGGAGCTGTCGGTTGTTGATATGCCGACCAGGCCGGCCAATCCTGAGGTCAGGTCACCAAGAAGACCGTTGCTAGAGGATGCAGCAGCAGTAGAAGAAGCGGGCGAAGTTACCTTGGCCAATGAGTCAGAGGTAGTGGTGGCAGTCGAGGAGGTGGTGGTTGCAGTCAAGGAGGTGGCAGTTGCAGTCGATGATGTGGATGTGGAACCACCTCCAAGGAGGTTACCCAAATCCGAGGTCAAATCACCAATAAGACCGTCGCTGGAGGTTTTAGTCGAAGCAGGCGTAGCTGAAGCCTTGGTCGATGAGTTGACCACCGATCCCTGCTTCCGTGTGGTTTCCGCATCGGCGGATGTGGCCTCGGAGTCCTTCTTAGTAGTGTTTTCAGTGCTTGAGCCCTCTGTCTTCTGCGTTGTCGTGGTGGTGGTGCTAGCGGCTTCACCACCGACGGTCATAGTACCAGTAATACGGTGGGTGATCTCGGGGTTCTTGGGGTCGATCGAGATGGTCACAACAACGACTTCCTGTCCCTTCTGGAGCTGAGCGGCGGAAGAGGTTTCGGGGCTGAAAGAAGCCACGGAGGAAGAAGCCTGTGTAGGTTTCAAGTTGTCGAGTATGCCGTCGAGGATCGAGCCAGTGTCGGACTCTGCGTTCCTGCGAATCGTTCGCTTGACTTCTTGGGGGAAGTACCAGCGCGGCCGTTGGTCGTGCGCTTCGGGAGCATCTTGAGCTGCGACGAGTTGGAGACCGCCTACGGCAATGAATGCTGCGAGCACGGAGATAGCGTCGGGACGCATGTTGAACAATTCTGTACGTGATAGCTCAGAGCGATTCCAAGGTCAGTGTACAAAAATGCGATAACCACCGTCTATCAACACCTCATGAATGAACAAGGGGTTATGACAAGAAGGAGATCGCCTGGAATATTCGAGTTTCCAACACAACCAGACTTTGGACAGTTGTAATAAGTTCACAGTTGCAAGGTTATTCAGAGTATCCAATGTCTCGATGGCAACCGATGAGACAGACCAAAACAGGCGCAAACAATAATTTGACGATGAACGAATGGAAAGGGGAGTTTAGATAAATCTGAAACGAACCCCCAAAAGGTGAAAAACGAGTGTGGGCTTAGAAAAGCTGTAAGGAGCGAACGACGACTTTCTGTAGAACCGTCCAAGCAAACGGGATCAAAGAAAGGGAAAATAGGCAATGCGGGCGAGCAATGCAAGGGGAATTTGGCCCAGGTCAAAAACGCTGTTGAGAAAATCAACAGGCGAACACAGCAAAAAAAAAAACAGACAAGGGAGGGAAAGAAAGGAGCAAAATGAGTGAATGAGGTTGAAGGATCAGAGAAGAAGAGGATCACTTCATCATCAGGGGGGGGAAAGGTGGAATGGGGGGAGCGGGACACGTTGTGGCAGCGTCAACAAGAGTAATTTACGGTAAATTACGTATTTTAGTGTATCCAAGGATCTAGTCCGGGCGTTTGCCAGGTGCATGGGATGTGGCCACGCACTTGCCCCTGAACGTTAGTACCTTTAATGTATTGCATGTACAAAGTATGGAGTACATATATGTATGTACGTATATAATATGTACAAAGTACTTTGTATGTTTAAATCATATTGATCTGATTGTAAACTTCTCTTGTTGATATTGTATATATTGTATACCATAATACCTAAAGCTAATAACCTTTTTAAGTCAAGGTTTACTCCAAGGCCCTCATCTGAAACCATATAGACATAGCTAAGCTACCCTAAACAGTAACCTGCACGATATTGCCAAGACAAGGCAGTCTACAACATAGCTGGTACTTTACATAGTGGCGATGATAGATTGTGCCATGATAATAAATGTCTATTGGAAGAATGAGCCTATTCCCTATAGGTCCATGATCGTTTTGTACCACTACATCCGACCGGTGTCAACATGTACAGTATACAAAGTAGAAACCGCTATACATTTTTGAACTATATTTATGTTTTTTTTTTTTTTTTTTTTTTTCCATTACGCCGTTCATCTGTATGACAATGATCTCCGGAATATATTCTGGTCATTGCAAATATCAAGATCAACGCTGAACAAATCAGATGAGATTGTAAAACAATATTCAGATCTGAGTTGAGCTAGTATTCAACTCAGAACCTACATATATGTATATTGCATCCATCGATATATATATATTATCTAATGTCAGATATGGAGTATAGAGGATATATGTTCTAGACATAAGATGCGCAAGCAAAATGAAGTTTTACAATATAGGACAATGGCAACAATTAAATTTCGAATACAACCCCTGTAAAAAAAAAAAAGTCCGTGTCACTGAGAAAGCGTTTTTCATTTAAGCCGGTCAATAGCCCCAGTAGCCCGAAGTAAAAAGGGAAAATGGAGTCGGAGGTAAATCCACCCAAAGCGCACATCTTAATATAAAAAGAAAAAGCGCAGCCCACCAAGTACTTTTTGTACCCAAAAAGGGTCTAGCCTTGGAGTCCAACTAAGTGGGTCCCTTCCCACACGCGTTCCTGAGCGTGGAAATAAAAGAATGTACGTGGCCTCAGCCCTTGGGCTTCTTTACTTCTAATACACAGCCCTTTTTCGCCCAGCTTACATTATACCATAATTATCGTGATTTGAGGGCATTGCGTATTTAGTTCCTTGTGGCTTATTATCAAGGAATCAACGTGCTAACTAGCCGCTGTTGGGCTCGGTAAGAGGGTTGGCTGTTCCATACGGAGTATGTTATAGAGCCATAAGTGCTTCTATAGAGTCTGAGACAAATGTAATTATCTTAGCTTAACTTAGCTTAGCTGACCTGTCTAGAATTGTATGCTGTGCAACATTACTAGTTCAATCTCCTATGGAAGTAGGGGATGGGCCCTGGCTCAAATTGGGTCATTAAAAGCCGGCAGATATTAAGAATGTTTCATACTCTATCGAAGCTTAGGTTTTGTCTCTACTCCGTAGAGTCATGTTAATAATATTAGATTAATAATCTAAGAGAAAAAAAGCCACTGCTACGAACACCTCATAGTTTAGGTATTCTACCCTAAAACCCGAAGCTGATTGAGCATTCAATTTTGAATGATATACTAATACACCACGTGCCCCGATCGGAATGGAGGAGTTAGGGTGATTTCCCCTCATTCTTGTCGTCATTTTCAGATGCTCAGCATTCCTAGTGCGTTTGAGATTTTGCTAAATGGCGTGAAACCAATTAAGCCGAGAACAACTTCAGTCTCGTTATCTCTGCCAAATTCTAGCTTTCCCCCCTTTCTTCTCTTACAAGGCCTTGCCTCTTTGGCTTTGTTCAGGAACTTGTGGCTGCATACTGCATGAAACCTCGAAGGCTTTAGAAATGCAGGAACAAAGGACCGAGCATACAAGCTTATGCGAGAGCCATACTCCGTAGTGGGTTTTGAATGATAGTTGACTCAGCCACATTCTCTTTGTTTGACCTACGATAGACGGCTTGAATTTTTATTTGAAGGCATGAATATAACATCGGAGTATATATGTATCAATGCTCTTATACAGTATACTTTTCAGGGGCTCATCAACTGTACCAAGTGTATAGACGCTGACCCTGTTCCTGAGCGCTACAGTTTGGTTTCAGCCTGTATTTATTGAAAGTGCTGAACAAGAGTTACACATAGTTAAGGTCAATAATACTGTAATCTTTCCAAGGCTGTAAACTATACATCATACCGCTTTCGCACCCATTGAAAATAAAAGAGTCAACATGTGAAACAAGGATTTATCTGTTCATTCCCCCACATCATCCCTGCTTCAAAGTCTAGAACTGCGTCCATTCCCAGGCTTGGTAACAAGGCCAGAACACTCGATTTCCACATCCGATCCCATAGGGAGGGACTTGACCGCAATACAAGTACGCACCTAGAAGCATAGTGAGAAACGGTCCAGTTTTTTTTTTTTTTTTTTCTTCTTCCCCAAGAAATAACAAGAGAGAAAGTTACGACGAATTCTAGAACAATATTTCTCCATAGAATTCGAATCTCGTTCTTTTGATTTTTAATTCAGTACTCACCGGCTTAGGATCCGAAAAGAAAGTAGCGTAGACTTCGTTCACGGCCGAGAAATTGGCCATATCGGTAAGGAAGATGTTGACCTTAATAGCGTCGTGGAGACTCGACCCTCCAGCCTCTAGGACAGCATTGAGATTGCGTAGGATTTGTCGCTATTCACATGTTAGAATGTATATCGCAAATCAGATGCTCTCACATACTGTTCGGTCCTGGATGGTTCCCTCCACCATTTGACCCGTAGTCGGGTCTACTCCCAACTGACCAGAGCAGTAGATCATGTTTCCGACGACCAAGCCTTGGGATAGGATTGGGGGTGGGGCAGGTGCACCCTTGGTGCTGATGGCGATTCGTGTTGGCTTGGACATTTGGATTTTGGATTGGAGTATGAATTGAGTCAAAATGAAAGAAAGAATTCGAGGTTCAAATTATTTGGCCCCCCGGCCCCGGGGGGAGATTCTGTGGGGTTCCCGATAAAGTCCACACTGACTACCGACCTCGGAGCACCCGTAGATTCTACGTTAGCGATTGTTACGATTGTTGCGATAGCGAGGTTTAAATTATTTTTATTTTAAAACAAAATAGGAATCATGTATTTTTACTAGAGTATGAAGAAGCAAGCTCACTACAGAAGTTGGTACTGATAATATATATCTACATTAAGAACTTCCCCTTTTACCATCGGCTCGGATGCTTCTAATTTGTCGATTGAATTGTTCAACTGTCCGAGGCCAGCATTCCAGGATTTTTTGATGCTCAGGGTTTGCACTGAAAACTATGTACCAAGAGAGGAGAGCTTGTAGCACTATTACTAGCGTATAATAGGAATGAAAAGCAGCACATATCGTTCCCCCCCCCTCCCCTCAAGTTTTCTCAGTCGTTGTTTTTGGCTATCTCCATCTTGCATGTTCCTTCAGAAGTTAATGAGAGAAAATATCCTGGAAATTGAAACTAAGTTTGCCCAAAATAAGCACACAGGTGGTGAGCGATCTGCATCAGTGCAGTCTCCTGACCCCTCTCAATTACTGTCTTAACCTTGACTCGAGCACAGCCAATCCAAACGACCCCGCAGCTCCAGGCCCTAGCAATATGGTTCCAAAGAGGAGAAGTATCAAGTCAGTCTTTTCTAGCCCGGACATTCCCCCCTGGATGCGAGATAGCGCGAGGTCCAACCCAACTTTGTTTCCTCTCGCCATGGATAGAAGAATGCGAACAAAGACAACACAACCCGTGCTTACCACAAGCTAGTTAAAATATTGCTCCAGGGTCTCCGTTGACTTATCCAGCCCCGGAAGATAAGCGAACCCGAATGTGCTGGTGCTATTAACGCCGTGGCCAGTCCACGAGAGAGGCATTGTATTTGCCGCAGCCAGTCTCTTCCAGGCTAGAATAAAGAATGGGATGAATTTTGCCTCTGCATCGTTTGCCTTGAGAGTGGTGATCACGGTAAATAGATATGCTGCACCAGCAACTATCCCAGCCAACATATGAAGCCGCAATCCAGAGCATCGACCACTGGCTCTATGCTGTGTACAAGTCTCTTGTTTTTAAGTTAGAGCCTTCATGTTATTCATGTCTGATTATCTAAGGTAACCCCAAACTCCGCCCTGGCCGACTGCACAGCTATGAGACGTCGTTGCTATTACAAACAACCTGCACGAGCTGCTTAGTCGACATCCAAACAAAAAGCCCACCAGTATTGAGATCAGTGATGCAATGCAGTCATACTAAGATTCCCGATTGGAGAGGGTCAAGACCATTGTTAAGGTAGGCGGGGACCTGACGCGATTACTGCGGAGGCTAAGAAGGAACAAGAGGCGAAGAAAATCACTGCATCGCAGCTGAGACGATCTTCACGTTGACATTGGAATAGAGAGATGCAGTCAGTTTGGTCTTTTCTTGTTGGATCCTTCTTGTGTTTGACTTCTACGCTTTTGTGGATTTTGCCTGGGGGTGTGAGCCATGCGTTGTCTGGGCTTGATGTTGTTGCTTGACGAGCGAGACATATCACTCTGCTACCCTTGCATCGCCGAGCTGAACATTGAAATATTATCTTATTTTATCCTACATATGTATCAAGTAGTTCTTCTCCTCTTGTATCTTGTATTCAGGCAAATTAACAGAGAACAGCACTGACGACGATATTTAAGTATGACGTCAATATTGCTGACATAATTTTGCGGGGAAACTAAGCTGTAGTCATCTGATTGGCTGTATCACTTGATGCTGATCCGGAGTCCTCTGGTCCTTCTGCCTTTATTTTATCTTTCTTTCTCGTTCCTCTTCATTTCTTCTTCTATTGTGACTGAGAAGATCAGAAATAAATATTCCTGTCACATCTATTCCAATTATTTTTGAGTTGAAAGCCCTCTGCGGGATAAACTCGGCCAGAATCAGTACTCTCATCACTATACCCCCGTAAGTGGATCCGATCGACAACGGGGAGTTATTGATTACTGTGAGAATTACTAGACCTTCAATAGTGCTAGAATAAATTGCCTGGAATAAACAAAAACTTGAGTTTTCTCATACAAGCTCGAGGATTCATCATGAGCTACTTGGCTGCAATGTCAATCAGAAATTCGGGGCCTCGAGTCATTCGCCCGACATCTTCCCAATTGGTGGCCACAAATACCTCAGAACGGAGTATATGGCGATGTGCACGAAACGCCCATGGAGACAGAGCAGACCGTATCTCACGAAATTTCGACAAATATCGGCGATACCTTCTATACCACCGGCGAAAGCCCGAAATTCGCCATGACAGTAATCCTACCCCCAACGATACACACTCAAGCTGGAGCCGGACAGCTTGGCTTTCTCAGTCAAGTTCCTCTAACCTCCTGGGTGAACGAGAGAGCAGACTCTGGGATTCGGATTCGGGGCAGATGCACGAACGAATAGAGTTTCTGAGAAAATATATAGAAGCAGACCCTTACAGAGCTGTGTTTGGGCGCCGATTTGACCCCTTTGAGAAGTTCGACAAGTTCGACAAGAACGACACTTTGTTGGAGAGTTTTCTTCAGTCTCTCCCTAGTATGAAAAGATCCCCCAATGTTAGACCGAGAATAGACAAACGACAAACGAAAAGTGAGGACAATCATGTTGGACTCCAGTACGACCCTATCAGTGGACACATGGTGCCAATAACATCATTCATTGCACCCAAATTCAGCAACGCAGAACCAGAAATCAACTCTCATAAAGTGGTTAACTACCCCCCAGGCAATGAAGTCAAGGCAAAATTCGCCTACAGCCCCAGTTTGGCCGAAGATGGACAACTTCAGCCTGAAAACAAGGGATTGACTCCCCAAGCACACTTGATCTCACAACCAACAGTTGATTGTCCTCCAGGCAGTGAACTTGATGGACTCTTTACCTCTACTTCCAAATCTCAGGATGCACAGGGCAGGGCCCAGGCTCCTCAGGAGACCGAACGAAGGCCTTATGTAAACATCGATTACTCTCCTGGAAGTGAATTGGAAACTTTGTTTGTTTCTGAATCTATTCCTTCTGTGCAGCCTCAGCCGGACACATTCAATCTCAGCGGAAACACCAATAAACCGAACTTGGATGCCGGGTTGACTGTAGGCGACAACGTGGAATGCTCTCCAGGAAGTGAGCTAGAGGCCAAGTTCATATCTGATCCCGCCAGCCGCTCTGCCAATAGTTACCTGTCTGGGTTGGAGACACAAACCCCGAATAAGCAAATAAGCATCTCAATTGATTGCTCACCAGGAAATGAGCTAGATGCAAGGCTTTCTTCTGAGCTTACTAGTCTCAGTCTTGAATCCAGCGATCCTGTTCATCTAACGACCACCACAACCGCCATGATGGGCACTCAAGAAAGCGTTGAGTGCTCTCCAGGTAGTGAAATTCAAAGTGAGATTCAAGCACAGATTCTATCAGAGTCGATTAGCCAGAACAGTACCCAATCAGGAGCCCAGACCTCTTTTGATTGTCCTCCTGGGAGCGAACTGGAGGCCATATTTGTCTGCAGCCCAGCTTCGATTGAGGAAAAGCAATTACAGCCAGAAGTACCTGCCAGCCTTGATACATTTAAGATAGCTAATAGTGTTGTCGACTGTACACCCGGAAATGAACTAGAGGTGAAACTCATTTCTGAGATGGCTAGTACCAAGGGTCCCAATTACAACGAGGACCCGGGCGTCTTAGATAATAGGGACATTCGATTTTGTTACACTCCTTTGGAATCAAAGTTGCAAGCAAATCCGCTGGATTTCGATGCTTCCAAAGGCCGCATTGGTGACTTTATTCCCCAAAGCCAAAACTTGGCCACTGAAAAAGAAGAACAACAAGTACCCTCCCAAAAGAGTTCCCCCAAATTCCATATTTTTGCTTTAGATGTGTCGACATCTCAAGTCACGACCGCACAAGCAGATTCATTCTTCGGTATCGACGAAGATAGTAGGCCAAGTGAAATTCTTTCTCGACTGCACAACCCTGCCAAATTCCTGCCCTATTTTGAGAAAATGCAAGAAGGCGGGTATAAAATTGCAACTGGAGGGGGAAACATTCTTGTCTTCCGAAAGTCTCAAAGCACCCATCATCACCCCCTCTCAAATGCTGCAACAGACCAACAATTAGCAATTCAGGCCAAGATTGCCAAACATCTTCGCCACGACCCAATGGAAACTGCCGCTATATACGCCGGGACTCCCTGGCAACCCACCACTGAGGTGAGTAGGCAGTAAAACTGTCTATTCAGGTGGCTTCCTAACAGGCCGACTTAGCCTCCATCAGAACCCAGTTCCCCTAGCTCCGAGCCCGAACCAACCACAAACTCCGAGTCTTCGGTTCGTAAAGCAGGCCGCAGAATTCTTATTGCAGGTACAGCTACTGTAGTGACGTGTTATACTATCGGGGTCATGACCGAGTTCTTCCGCACCGGCGGAAAGGATGGGCGTGGGATTGATGGGTTCACTGTTTTTGAGTCAGATCGACGTCGAGAATAGATTGCACCGATCGCGGTTTTTGGTTTCCATCATGCGATTATTGCAAGTCAGTCATTGGTATTGAGTTCTAGAATATGAGATTGTCACGCGAGTTTGATGGGTCTTTATTTCTTTTTGTTTTTCCCCATGCAAACTCATGTATCCTATCTACTGTCATTTTTGTCTTGCGGGATATCAAAGTGCTTTGAACTAGATCGAGATACGGAATAAAACCAAGTATATATTATAATTGTTTGATGAACAGGATGAGTAGAGACTAGGTTGTAATTCAATGAGAGCCTGGGGCGTCACCTGTAGCTGCGAACCTGTTGATATCCCAATATTTTAAGTTAAACCAGCTTTTTTTTTTACCAAGAGCTCCTTGAAGGATGTTTTGTCTTGATCAAACAGCATAACTTGTCTCCTCACAGCATACAATATAAGATGAAAATTTCAGTATCAGTATGATATATGGAGACCGGGAGAGAGAAGAACAAAAGATAATGATCAAAGAACCCCATATCATAGGCCTCAAAGTGTCGTGGCCTGGTTTTTGGCACGTGAACAAGACAGTTCCAATCCAGCCCCTTTGCCCCCAGACCATTCTACGTAGGATTTTGATCTGTCTAGAGGTTAGCTGGGTCGTAGGGGACTTAATGAGACACATTGACCTGTCATATTGCCGTGAGGAAAATAGGTGGAGAGCAAATAAGAGAGCGTATTTTTGCTTATTATCTCTTGATGGATCAGGATATACCCCGAAAACAACAGAGATAAGTGTCTGCAGGTGTGGATGTCAGTTCTATTGAGAAAAATTTATATGTAGATTTGCATTCTGGGGTCATACGCATGCTGGATCTCTATGTTGTCTCCTAGGTGCAGATTCACATCATGTATAAGGGCCAGCAATAGTAGCTGCTTCATGAAAAAAATAGTGTATAGAGAGAATTGATCACAGTGGCAAGGAATGATCCCATTTCCAGCCCGGGGTAACATTCTACAAACGAACTTTGAGAATCCCATCTTTGAGTAGCCAGCCAGCCAGCTCATTGAGGTGCTTGACTGTTCTGGCTGCCGGGCCATGTTTAATGCTCACAAGTATTGGCTGTTGGTTGTTGTTCAATCGAGGGGGAAGGACAGATGGGCACTGCAGCAAGGATTTCGACGTATTGGCTTCTCGTCTTTGTGATTGGACTCGTAATGCATTTTCCCATAGCATGTCCTGCAATAAAATTGACAAGGCTTAGACTTACTTTGTCCAAATCTTGGCGTTTTGGTACAGGCAGTATGTTCCAACTTTGTTGCAATTTTTGCCACTATAGGAGATCTGATGCTTAAGTATTCGATTAGGATCAAGATTGTAACTTTACTTCCACTACTAGAGAACATGTTAGTATCCTGTTAATCATAAAACTACAAGTGAATACTAATTACCTCAGTACTTTCCAAGGCTAAATTTGACTTCTAGGCTCAGGAGGTCCACCTGCAGGATTAAAGCAACAGAGAAGACATAAGTCTAGGGAAGTGAAGGTCAGTATATATAATATGAAGAAGAGTAAAGGAAAGAAAGAGTAAATGGAAAGAGAAAAGGGTTAGGTCATGGCACTGCTTTTATATCTAACATGATATTTTGTCTATGCTAAAAGTGAAGAATCTAGAAATACAAAGTACAAACTGCATTATCTTGGCAACATCTAAAAAGAAAAAAGAGGTTATAAAGGCGACAACGACAGATTTAATCAGAACAGTCAAGTAATGGAAGATCTTAGGCACTTCCCTCGTAGTGCACACACGTAGCACACACAACATGTTACCTGCTGTCATTGGCAGATATTTTCCTCAACACTTCCTTTTCTCTAGCACTTTTTTTTGCCCAACACAGTACTGTCCCCTCTATATCACCCTTGTAAGCCCATGCTCTACAAACTTGATGATTGTCAAATTTGGACCCAACAGCTGCTGGAAAGAAATATCGAGACCCAGCAGCTCCTTGAAGGTCCAATTTCGCAACTCAGCACCAATAATACTATCTACTCCATAGATTGCAATACACCGGCTCTCTTCTCCAAACTCGTCCATGTCAAGCATCAACATGCGGGAAAGCTTCGCAATAAAGTGCTCACGCATAGCCTGAACCGCCTCGATAGATTCGAAATCTTGCAGCAAGGACAGGATACATGGACTCCCGCCTCCAGCAGACACATTCTCACTTTGGGATTTTGTAGCCCAAACAGTGTGGTTGAATCGCACATCCGGGGCCCAAAAACTGTCGACGTCACCTGCTTCCTGTGTTGCTTTAGTGAGCTCCATTGGATCCAATCCAACAACAATGTGGTCGGAACTCTCGAACCTGTTCAATGATCGCAATCTCAAAGCCGTGGAGACTTCTTCGTCAATGCCATACACTCCCTTGCATCGGAGTGACCCCTCGAGCTTGTTGTTTTCTGCGATCACCCCGACTCCGAGGATCATTGGAAGAATGCTCGAGACTGAATTTTGCCGGTGGAAGCGACGGTACCGTGCAATAGCATCGAGATAGCCGTTTCTCACAGCATAGTTGCTTTGTCCCGGTGTTCCCAATACCCCAGAAACTGATCTTGTTGTCACGAAGAAATCTAGGAGAAGATGGGAAAGGACTTCATGCAGGTTCTTTGCGCCGGTGACCTTCGGATATATGGATGTTTTCCAGTTCTCATACGACATATTGTGGAATAATCCATCCCGTGAGAGTGGGTGCGTCAGTTATTCATCAGTCTAAGTGATACAGTCAAGGAATAGCTTACCCGCAGTACCGTAGCAGCATTCAGCACTACCCTGATAGGCCGGTCGCCAGGTACAGAATTGATGACCTCTTCAATATCGGACTTCATACCAGCATCTCCCCGAAACACCTGAACGTTGGCGCCAGCGGCTTTCAATTCATTGACAAGCAGAGAAGCTTGCTCTGGGTCAGCGCCAGATCGAGAGAGGAACGCAAAGTTACGAGCTTCTTTCTTCATTGGCCACGATGTGAGACTACGGCCCAAGCCTCCGAGAAACCCGATGAGAAGGTATGTGACATCGACATATGTATGCAGGTAGAAACATGATAATTATAGCTCTGGTATGCAGTGGCAACATTTATATAGGGCATCTAGTGCTCTTGGCAATATTATTTGCTCTTGGCGCATCAAAAGCCTACCTACATATCCACGGATGGATGGATCTTAGCTAAGATCACCAATTCCCCGGGGCCTGAGGTCATAACTAATGTGGGCGGCAAAAGGTCCTTAGCCTCGTACTCTGACTCTAAATATGTTCTATGCGTCATTTCATTATGCTCGACGTAGGCAGGATCACTGCCCCCTATATTAGCCGAGGGCGTATGCAACTTTGTATATACATTTCTATGGCCTCACACCGCCTCAAATAATAAGGCGGGAGAGATCATCATACTCAGAGGATGAAATATAATTGCGCCAGAAGCGCAGACCCTCAATTCCTTCTTCTCGACAGAGAACCCCCCGGTCTTCGGCCATCTCCAGCTCTTCAGCAGCCACCCCGACGCTCCACTTGAACCGATGTGCAGCTTCCTGGGCAGTAATGGCCCGACCGAAGAGGGTCCAATCCCAGATAACAGGATCGTCGGGTGGAACTCGCCGGAGCTCCTCCATCCACGCCTGAAGTTTTTCGATGGTCTTTTCGTCGCTCCAGTCATATCGCTGCACAACAAGAAGGCCACTTTTGAATCGCCGTAGACGAACCGGCAACTTAAGCTTCTCCCACAGTTCTGCTGCTTTCTGGAAATCTGAAGGACTGGCCAATTCTACTCCATTGCGAGACCGGTTGAAGACAGCCCAAAGATCAATTAGACTCATAATCCCGCCTTCCCGCTGCAAGATGCCTTTTCGGTCATCAGTGAGATACTCGGCTAGGTCGCGCGCAAGTTCTGATAAATACAGACTTTCAGATCCGGAGCTGAGCATGTCTTTGGTTGTCACCATCCCCAAAGCAGCAGCAGACTCAGATAGCACCGCGCTAGTTTCTGGAGAGCCTTCATTGGTACTCATGCCAGACTCACGCGCCAGAGTTTCGGCCAGCGCAACAATCTGCTTGGCAGAGGCCATTAAAGCCTCCAGATCTTCAAAGGCGTTCCCTATGACCAGTTCGTTCTTCCTCCGGGCTTCCAACCCTCGGCGTTCTAATCCCGCGATACCAACCCCGGAAGGTCGTGGTGCTGGGGAAAGAGGACTTTCAACAGTAGTGGCAGGGAAAGGTACGCCCGGTGAGGAGGCGCCTTGCGACGGCGAAGGCACTGGGGGTGCATTTTGTAAGAGCCATTTTCTTTGAACCAAAGCCCCCTTAAGTCTTTCATAGAATGTCTTGTCTCCACCTGCACGGAATGAAAGTTTAATGCTCTCACTAACTTCGGTGTTCGCGATGTGCGATTGCTCAAATAACGGCGCAGGAGAGTCCACACGGTTAGGGTTCGCTAAGGAGCCAGCCGATAGAGGCGCTCCACAAATCTCGCATTCCACGAGAGATGGGTGGTTCACAAAGGTACATCGCGGGCAAGAGACAGTTCCTCCGGGCCCAAAAGACGATACAGATGAATTGACATTTGGTTGACCTGTATCTTGGGCAATACTTGGTGATCCAGCTAAACTTGGCAATGGAGACTCTCGATTTGTTACAGCACTTATCGCTGCTTTAAGAACGGTCGTAAATGGTGGTTTGATGCCACATGCTAGACAAGGAGGTAAATTTGTAGCCGCACTAGCGGTAGCGGGATCGAAATTGGACGGAACTGGGTTAGAGAATGTGCATATAGGACATATCCAAGTGGCATTGATTGGCTTTGGAGATGGTAAGCTCTGTGGGAGGTTCGTTTGTGGAAGATGAGAAAGTGACTGCGTTGGATGGAGGGCCGATTGTTGGGTTGTAGCCGGGCTAGCTGTTGCGCTCCTCGTCTTATCGGTCTTCTTCTTCTGTGGTTTGGGGTATATGGTGACCTTCGGAGATGACTTCAGGAAGCCAGCCTTGAATCCATCAATTTGTTAGTGATTGGCCAGGAGTAAAAGCCTTGAAACCAAGATGCATGCATGTCGCACCTGAGACTCCACTCGATCGAGCTCCTTCAGATCAATGGCCACCGAGTATTTCCGCGGGTTCTCAGCAGCAACATAGCACACTCTGTGTGATGTAAGATAGGCATGGCCATTTTGATAATTCTGGATTTTGTATTTCCTTTGCCGTAATCAGCACCCCGCATCAGGAGCATCATCATGAGCTACTTACCCTTCATATAACCCAACCGCGTCCTGGACAAAGAGAAGGATTTCATCGGGTAACAGCAAGGGTCTGAGTGCAGTAGTCAGATCCAGCGACTTGAAGAACATCTAGTAGATTCAACCAGCTCCCAGCATCAAGGAGATCCATAAGAGGAGAGAGAGCATCCGTCACTTCAAGCCAAGGCGATTGCGATAACCTGATAAGGCCGGATGTTCGGATAAACAAAGGTCCGGTGAGTAAGCGAGTATCTCACCGTCACGGGTCGAGTCTGTGTGGACTTCACTCTCACTCTCCCCCGGCTCGTGATCATCTCATCTTGAAAATAAACGTTCGTCTCTTCTCTCATCTCAAAATCGGTATCAGCGGAGAACAGAGATCAAAACTTGATTCTTCTAGCTGTTCCTCGAGTCTTGCCCCTTCGTAGCTCTTTACTTCCTTTCATCTTGTTTCTTTGTTTTTTTTTTCCCAAATATTGCATCTACGATGAGTTCCAGCGTACCACCTTGGCGCTCTACCGCCCCAGGCACAATGTCTAGTGCATTTCCTCCGGCTGGTAAGATAAATAATTCGAACCGAGTCTGGTTAGTCTCGTATCAGGAGGCTAACAACCTGACAGCAGGTCCAGCATACACTCCAGTCCAAGCGCGTCGTAGCCTCGCCCATCATACCAAGCCAACGAATGGAACCGTCTCTCACCAGCCCATTCAGTCGGCATCACCGGATGCAGAAACCCGGCCACGAGTGGAGTTCCCACCACCTGTACGCTCGTATGTGCAACGCTGCTTTGCTCCCGAAAACCAGGTTGCAAGCGTGAGCATTCCTGAAATGCAGGAGAAGCTGAGAGACGTCATTACGGACGCGGCCCAGAATGACAAGTTGGGATTGATCGACTGGGAAAGGCTACCTTTGCCTCAAACTATGGTGCAAAATGAACGCAACAAAATCCTGGCCAACCCCAGCTCTTCAAACTGGGCATCTAGTCATCCAGCTTCTCCGGGGGATGCCACACGGAAGCGAAAGTCAACTGATGGCCATCATTCGGACACGGGATCGCCACCATGGAGAAAAGCTAACCGCAATCGTTTTGAAGATCGAGTTACTCACCCTACCACAGAGAAAAAACCACGCATAACACTGGACCAGTCTAGTAAGTCCAAGGCTAATTTGGAAATGAGGAGGAAGCGCTTTGAGGGAGTTGGAGGCAGCGGGAACTCTCCCTCTTCTCCTGCAGGATCGCCGATGCGTGCTGCCGACGCGGATCAAGGCCCCGTTGTCGGGCGATGCCAAACATTGGAGAAGAACTACTTCCGATTGACCTCTGCCCCCAACCCGGACAGCGTTCGCCCTCTGCCAGTTTTGCAAAAGGCCCTGGATCTATTGAAGAGAAAATGGAAGCACGATGGCAACTACGGTTACATCTGCGACCAGTTCAAGTCTTTGCGTCAAGACCTAACGGTTCAGCGCATCCGAAATGAATTCACTGTCGTTGTCTACGAAATCCACGCCCGCATCGCCTTGGAAAAAGGGGATCTTGGTGAGTACAACCAGTGCCAGACCCAGCTACGAGTGCTGTATGCGCAGCAGCTGGGAGGACACCCGACGGAATTTAAGGCCTATCGTATTCTCTATTTCATTTACACACGGAACTGGACGGCGATGAACGACGCACTAGCCGATGTGACTGCAGAAGATAAGAAAGATGTGGCCGTGAAGCATGCCCTGGATGTCCGCTCTGCCCTTGCACTCGGGAACTACCATCGTTTCTTCCAGCTGTACCTCGATACGCCGAATATGGGCGCCTATCTCATGGACATGTTTGTCGATCGTGAGCGATTGAGTGCTCTCGCCACCATGTGTAGAGCGTGAGTCTATTTCTTCCTTGATTTCCCTTCTGTTTGAACACTCTAACTGACCTTTTATTGTAGATATAAACCAGATGTCAACATCCGATTTATCACAGAAGAGCTTGGCTTCGAGTCCGATGAGCAGACCGCACGTTTTGTTCTAGATCACTCCTCCGAAGAACTGTTGGAGGAGAAGAACGGGGCTGTGAGGCTGTTGACTGGAAAAGCAGGCTCGTTGTTCGATCAAGCCAAAGCAGCCGCCCACCGTGTCGTCGATATCAAAGGCCAGATCTAACCAAGTTCCTATTTGTCCATCTTTTTTCTTGCGCCAAGGATCATAAACCATTGGATCTCAGTCGACCCCATTTTCTTGTCTTTTTTTGGCGTATTTTCAAAAAGCGGCAGGCGTTCCACATACGTTCACACACATGGATACAACATAGCCTTTCGAGGGTTGTTAACTTTTTTTTTTTTACTTCATTGCCTTTTCGTTCTCGTTCTCCTTGACATCATCCCCCGGATTTCTTTTTTCACAGGATTGCCAACGGAATTACGACGATACTAATACCCCCCGGCGGCGTCTGATTCTGGAGTTGATCGATTGTTATTTTTTGGGAGCAGCAAAGGACCAAAAATGTGCTCTTTTGACTTGATCTGATGGAGACAGGCGATTGCACATTGACTAGTAAATACCTACATCCAATCTATCCAGTATTTATTCCATATACAGAGTTCTGCCTTGACTACATATGTATACATGGAAAGAGAGGTGACTGATTCACTCTGTGATCCGGGCCTCTGCAACAGGCTATTGTATTCGCTAGTTAACTTCAAGAGCCTTTTAATTTTTCAATCATATACCTTACATCTTCTTTTTTGGTAACGTGCAATATTCAATTCAAATTGTAATAATTCAACACCATCACCTTACAAACACCAAAGACTATCGTGCGCAGCCCTGAAGTTAAAGCTCAGCCACCATGGAGTCTTTTTTTCGTCCTCATATCCTTCAGGCCTTCCCTACTGGTATCAATGCCAAACTTGTCTTTGAAATACCGCTTCAAATCTTTCGTCGTCGTGAGCTTCTCTCCCATTTGAGTTTTGAATTTGTGGCCTTGCTGGGGCCTTGCGTGCCCTGCGGTCTTGGGTCTTTCGGCACCTTCGTTGATCCCCGTACAGCATCGACCGCTATATGAGGGTAACAGTGCCACGTGCCCATTTCTAGTCAGGGTCATAGAGCGATCCACAAAATCCGCAGAAAATGTTCAAATGCTCTATCTGGGAGGTGTATGTGGGCAGATAGTGCAAGTGGTTAAGGACAATGGAGCACTGCTGGCAAAGTAATGCCTGTAAAGCTTCACACCAGCAAGGTTGTGTCTTTTCTCCATATGTTGGCATTCCACACCAGCAGCAAGAAAGATCTTTACTCTTCCTGTCGGGAGGGGCCGTATCTTTTGTCTTTGTGTTTGTGGTTCTATCAGTAGTGGGCAAAACGTGGGTAGTTTGTAACGCAGCATATGACTATAGAAGTGATCTATAAGCCTGAAGATATAAAAAGCAAAACAAAAGCTAAACAATTATTTAATTTACGTGTATATATTTACTATCTTGTCTCTGGTGTGCCTAAAATACTGCAGTTTATATATGAAATTTATGTGAATTTTTAAACAGATGAATAGACAAAAGCACCTGAAGACCAAAATATTAATAGTCCGGCCCAGCTAGGTCAATTGGCAGAGCGTGTGACTTTGAATCACATTCAGGTTAGGCATTTTCTTTTTTTTTTTCCTTATATTTTCCCTTTGTAACATCCCTCTTAGATCTTTATTACTCCCTACGCATTTACACTAAGCCACAATAATCACAATGAGTCTAGATCTTGTATGGTAGCGTCGAGGCTGGTTAATGATGGCATGTGATTTTTGTTTTGACCAATCTAGACACTTTGTTTTTGATACGTATTTTTCTTTGTTGATCGAGTCTACATGTATTATATATACTACTATATAGCACCTACCCGTGGACATACATCTACATATAGTATATATTGTACTAGTATTATTTGAATTACTTGTAATTTCTCTGAAATATCACTAAAAGAAGGACCTCTCTGAGACGTTAAAATCTATATGAACCATGGTAGTGGAGAGAAAGGCAACGATTCCTTCTTTTCCTTCTTTTTTCGCTTCTGTGTACCTTCTGTGTACCTTCTGTGTACCTTTTGTCTTATAAAACATAATGTATAATCATGTACCTAATAGTAGATGTAGATATCAATTTAATATGTAAGACCCAAATCATATTGAATCTGGGTGTGATTCCGTTGCACTAGCTTATGTATCATGTGCCCAATAATACGTGTCCACGGGTAATCTTGATCTGGGACCTTATGTCAGATGGCAAAAAGACTTCGACATTAACGGAGATTTAAATTTACATATAAATGTGTATAGATTGTTTCAATATTGTACATGTGTATTAGGTATATTCTATAACTATGTACTCTGTGTAGGTGATACATAAATGTACATACATAACTATATATATTACAAAGTGCTTTGTTCGAAGGGAATATTTTCAAGGTTCCAAGGTTCCAGAAATGACTGTATTGACAATACAATCTTAGGTTCATTGTTATATATACATATTTACTCCGTATATATCTTATATACAAACATATATATATATATATACATATGTACATATATAAATTATAGATTGTATACTCTGTACTTAAAATAGTATAAAATGCTAACATTAACATCTATTAAGGAACCCCAAAAAAGTAAAAAGCGGGCCCTAACAATCATCCAAGCCGCTTGGTTGGAACCGCAATACAGAGATTACTCCAGGTATATAGGTAATGCTAAAAAAGAACACTTTACTCCTCCCGTCCTTTTCAAAGGTTTTCCCTCTTTGCCATCTCTTCCTTTTTTTTGGTTTTTACTCTTCTTACTATGAAGGTGAGTTCTCCCCCTTGAAGGAGTATTTGGTAAATTAATCCATATAGGCCTTTAGAAGATCCCTAAAGGGGGAGAAAGATCACAAACATTCTATCTCTATTACACCTAAATCTGCTATTGCGATTTTACCCCCTAAAAAAGTGAGAAAAGAAAAGAGAGATGTTTCCCTTGAGTTTGGAGAATATTCGCCTCTTTAACCCCTCCCTGTCCCACTCCCAACTCTCACTCTTGGCGGTGGCTGACCGCATTTCAGGTAATTAAAGCTCTCTACGACTATCAACCAGAGGGGAACACGCAGGAATTGGCATTCAGCAAGGGAGATTTCTTTCACGTCATCAGCAGGGAGGACGATTCGGATTGGTACGAAGCGTGCAATCCGCTGATCCCTAGTGCTAGGGGGCTTGTGCCCGTCTCCTTTTTTGAGGTTATCGGCAAAAACGAGAGGGATAGTGGGGGTTCCGGCGAGTCCAAGGACCTCGATTCAGGATTCTCCGACCGCGGTCTTTCCCACCCAGATTCTTCCATCACCAAGAACGGCGTATTCAGAATGTCTGCACTCAAGGGTCAAGGCGCTATGGTCTACGGAATTGTCCAGTATGATTTTCAGGCCGAACGACCCGATGAATTGGACGCGAAGGCCGGTGAGGCCATTATTGTCATCGCCCAATCTAACCCGGAGTGGTTTGTCGCCAAACCCATCGGTCGTCTCGGCGGACCAGGCCTGATTCCCGTTTCTTTTATCGAATTGCGTGATATGCAGAGTGGACAGGCTGTGGCCGACCCGCTTGACGCGGTGCGACGCGCTGGTGTTCCCAAGGTTGAGGAGTGGAAAAAAATGACGGCCGAATACAAGAACAGCAGTATCACACTGGGCAAAATCGAGGGTGGTCACGGCGGCAACAGTGCCAACATGATGACTGTCAACTCGGGTATGGAAAAGATGTCCATGGGCCATCAGAGTCAAATGAGTCAAAATGGCAATGTTTATGTAGGCGAAATTTCCTGGCTCCCCCATTTGCGATTCTTCTTTTTTCTTCTTTTTTTCTTTTTTCTTTTTTTTTTTTACTAATGATGCGCTTTGAACAGGAGCACCAACGTAACGCCAGCAAGGGAACTTTGTCGCAAGTACCCATGTCGCAACAACAGAGCCATCAACTTCTCGTCCCCGTTTCCGCCTATATTCCACGCTACTGTTTCGATAACGACAAGTATTGGTACATCATCGAAGCGAAGATGGAAGACGGTCGCTGCTGGGAGTTGTCACGTTATTACCACGATTTTTACGACTTCCAGATCGCCCTTCTGACCCAATTCGAAGACGAAGCTGGTAGCCGTGGCCGTGGACGAACCCTCCCTTTCATGCCAGGTCCCGTCACACACGTCACGGATGCGATTTCCAACGGTCGACGACAGAACCTGGACGAATATATCAAGAAGCTTCTATCGATGCCCCCGCATATTTCACGTTGTCAACTCGTGTGCGAACTCTTCTCGCCCCGTGAAGGAGACTTCGAAATCGACCCCAATGCATTCGGTGAGGACGCCCGGTTCTCGGGTGGATCTCAGCACTCTGCCGGTGGGGATCCCCAACAAAGTGTGTCGCGTCAGTCTTCGCAGCAGCAGATCAATGTGTCCAACGACCGGGCATCCCAGCAGCGTGCCCCAGCACCCACACCCTACGTCAACGGCGGCCCACCCCCCATGAACCGCCAACCCAGCTCCATTACCCAAGCCTCTGGTGCATCGGCCAACAGCGCGATGAAGGTCAAGGTGTTCTTCCAGGATGACCTGATTGCGATCCGTATCCCATCTGGCGTGAGCATGCAGCACCTCCAGGACAAGCTATGTGACCGATTGAAGATCCAGGACGACATCATTGTGCAATACCGTGATGAATCCTCCGGCTCCTATATCGATCTCCATACCGATCAGGATCTGGAGAATGCCATGCAGCGGAACACAAAGCTAACTCTCTTCGTCAGCATCGCATAAAAAGCACTTATTTCCTTCCTGGTGTTGCGGTCAACGATAGACTTGCCCTTGATTCCCATGAGGTTATTTTCTAACCTCATATTAATGTTTACCATGAGTAAGGTTGGTGCATTGGAGTTTTTGAATGACGCATGTTTATTCTCTGATTTGATTTGATTTGATTTGGTTTTTTTTTCTTTCCTTTTTCAAACTGGTCATCAGTTCTTTGAGCGATTCCACATGGTTCATGAGGACGAGGTCGCGATTTAACGAATCTGATGCGAGATGTACGGCATGGTTTCTTTTTCTCTCTGCGTCTTTTATCTTGATTTTCTTGTCTCTGCGATATCGCATTATGCGCTTTCTTGTTTTTATTTCTGCGTCAATTTCGCATCAGATCTACATCTCATCCTGTTCAGGATCATACCCCGGTCTGTCTGCTTCTATGTCGTGTACATATTTATCCTACTTCTCGTGCATATACCGGGGAGGCCTTTTTTTTCACATGAGAGTCGCCCAACCGTGGTGTTTCATAACTCTCTTATACCAAATATAAATATTGATACAAGTTGAAACAACATTCCTTGCCTTAAGATAGAAATGTGGCGATGAATCACGTGACTTGGTCATACTCTCGGATGTCCTTTCTTCGACCCTAGGAACGGAATCTAAAGATTTTCCTCTGGAATTTTTAATTATTAGCCCACTTGCAGGGATTGTATATATATTGTTGTGCCTGTTGTAATTCGCTATCTACAGCCCGGGCCCTAGGCTTACGAGGACCCGCTCTCCGGAAGAAAAACAAATCCTTGTCTACAATACAACACCTCGGTTAACGCCTCCGCATTGCAACCACTCCGCTGAACCTCGAATCCACCGTCGCAGCACATCCGCAAACACAAATTCTGAAGAAGGACGCCAATGAGCCGCCCATCGGCAAAGTTATGCGTAGAGTGCTTCCCGAGCGCACTGCGGGCGCCTCGGGGCCTCCGCCCTACGGCGTTGCGGGGCGCCGCTCATAGATCCTATGTTACCGAGCAGAGGGCGCTCGATACACTACGGCGGCCGATTCGATCTCCGTTGGTATGTGTGCCTTCAGAGAGGATCCGCACCCAGCTGGGTGTTCAATCACCGCAGAACGGACGGGGTCTGGCCACAGTCTCGGACGGCGAAAAGACCTCCACCGCTCCGCCGCAAGATGGGCCCATGAGGGAATATGATGTGCGTGTGCAGGAGGGGAGGCTGAGGGATGACGAGTACCAGAGAGGTATGTTGTAAGCAACTCCGGCAGCGTACAGTTCCCAAAGCTGACATGCGCCGATTCTATAGGGATTATCCAAAATCTACAGGACCTCTTCGAAGCGCTGAAAGATTATAACCCGCCCAAAGTTGTTCATCCAGAGCCCCAGTCTCTAGACCCTCAACAGAAGTCGTCCTTCTTCGGGTCTCTATTCGGCGGTGGCGCGAAGAAAAAGCAAAAGTCTGCTATCCCCGAGAACCTTCCGAAGGGACTGTACATGTATGGTGATGTCGGGTGCGGCAAGACGATGTTGATGGATCTGTTCTTTGATACACTGCCGCCGAATATCAAGAACAAGACACGCATTCACTTCCACAACTTCATGCAAGATGTACATAAGCGCATGCACGTGGTGAAGATGAAGTATGGAAATGACTTCGATGCGCTGCCCATGGTTGCGGCCGATATTGCCGATCTCGCGGGTGTGCTTTGTTTTGATGAGTTCCAGTGTACGGACGTAGCCGATGCAATGATCCTGCGACGGTATGTGATCTTTCCCGGGACGAGATCCGTTCAAAACCCTAGCTGACAATTCACCACAGGCTTCTCGAGATCCTCATGTCCCATGGTGTCGTCCTTGTCACCACATCCAACCGCCATCCAGACGACCTGTACAAGAACGGCATCCAGCGCGAATCCTTCATTCCATGCATCAATCTCCTCAAGACTGATCTGAGCGTCATAAACCTCAACTCTCCAACAGACTACCGCAAAATTCCCCGACCCCCGGCTGCAGTCTACCACCACCCGCTGGGCAAGGAGGCACAGCAACACGCAGACAAGTGGTTTGAGTTCCTGGGCGACCCTATCAATGATCCCCCGCACTCAGAAAAGCAGGTTGTCTGGGGCCGCGAAATCAAGGTACCCTGTGCTAGTGGTAAGACGGCGCAATTCACCTTCCAGCAGCTCATCGGGGCGGCCACGGGCGCCGCCGATTACCTTGAGCTTGTCCGGCATTACGATGCGTTTATTGTCACAGGCGTGCCGAGTATGAATCATACCCAGCGTGATCTGGCAAGACGCTTTATTACCTTTATCGATGCGGTATATGAGAGCAGGGTGAGTAACGAGCAACATTCTCCTATTCACCTTTTTTTTTGTCGTGCAGTTAACTGATATCCCACATCAACAGGCTAAATTAGTCCTCACAACCGAAGTCCCCTTAACAAACCTATTCATCTCCGAAACCGACGTAAAGAAAACCCTCAAAGGCGACGGCGACCACTCTGATCTCTCCGACGCAATGCGCAACCTAATGGATGATCTTGGCTTGTCCGTGCAGGCGCTAAAGAACACGTCTATTTTCAGCGGTGACGAGGAGCGGTTTGCATTTGCGCGTGCACTTTCCCGTCTTTCTGAAATGGGGAGCAAGGAGTGGGTGGAGCGCGGGTTGGGGATTGGAAACAGTCCTACGCAAAATCAGGAGGAACGTGACGCTTGGCAGAAGACGAGGAGTCATTGGAGTGAGGATAATATGTAGATCCTACTTGCCCTGTTAGTTTTGTTTTAAACGTTACATTGTGCCATAGAGAGATACCTGTGCACATAGAATTTGATGTATATAGCATAGCTTTTGGAATTATGAATTATCTCTACATGTACATATTTACAACCTTCTCAGGTTCTGATATACAATATTCCTATTGTACAACATACTCCATACACGGAATACACTCGGACATGATTTCCCATGTGACGTCACACTCCATCCATAAAAAATAATCCGAAACGTCCAATAAAGACGAATCCAGGTGTTTTAACGTCATCAGTCATTTACAGCATGGCCCATCCAAGTGCCAAGGTTGTATTGCCAGTCGGAGTCATGATCAACCAGACACCTGGGCAACACAGGTTACCAAGCTATAGCTCTTGTGGATTGCAGGAAACTGCCCCACGAATGAAAAGCGAGGGATTCACGGTGGTTGGCAGTGGTTGGCAATGGTTATCTGCTTTGTTCCATTACAGGTTTTCCCTGCCGGCATTGGCCGGTAAAGTGCCCGAGGTGTTAGGACCTGGATAGGTCACACTATGGTCATTCTTGCAAAGCGGTTATTTCACCCTGGCTAGACTCGAAGACTTGGTTAATCCGCTTTGTAATTGTGCGATTCCATTTGGTAAAGATACCTATGGATGCAACCTTCTGGGGAATTACATCATTAACATCGCAATTGGGGGATTACACAGTGATCACCCTGATTTTTATATAAAGTGGGAAATTCACGCCAACACATACTTCTTTGCTCCTTTTTCTCCTTCTTCGGTAGAATTGCTCATTAGTATCAATATATATTCCGGTATCATTAATTGATACCAACCACATATACTATGGCAGCAAATCCCAACTCCAAGACTGCAGACGGAAAACATGCCGATCTACAGAAGGACATCGTCGACGTCCACAGCAAGCAGCATATGACAACCGACCATGGCGTCAAAGTTTCCAACCCAGACCAATGGCTCCGTGTTGTAGACGAAAAGAAAACCGGGCCCTCACTCCTGGAAGACCAAATCGCCCGCGAGAAGGTACCTACATACCATACCCATCCACACATAAACACCAATCTGTATCCGAATAATCTAACTAACCGATAACAGATAATGCGCTTCGACCATGAACGCATCCCGGAACGAGTAGTGCACGCGCGTGGAACAGGCGCCTTTGGCAAATTCAAGCTATACGAGAGCGCCGAGGACGTAACAACCGCCGGCGTCCTGACTGATACCAGTCGGGAGACACCGCTGTTCCTGCGGTTCTCGACCGTGCAGGGTAGCAAGGGAAGTGCGGATACGGTGCGTGACGTGCGCGGATTCGCCATCAAGATGTATACCGCCGAGGGCAATTGGGATATTGTCGGGAACAATATTCCTGTCTTCTTCATTCAAGACTCGATCAAGTTCCCTGATGTTATTCATGCTGTAAAGCCTGAGCCGCATAATGAGGTGCCGCAGGCTCAGTCTGCGCATAACAACTTTTGGGATTTCCAGTATCTGCATTCGGAGGTTACGCATATGAATCAGTGGGTTAGTGTCTCTATTTTCTGTTTTGGTTGTGTGAGTTGATATCTGGTTGCTAACGCGGTTCGTGGCAGATCATGTCTGATAGAGCTATTCCGCGGTCGTTCCGGATGATGCAGGGATTCGGCGTGAATACTTATTCCTTGATTAACAAGGCCGGCAAGCGCCATTTCGTCAAGTTCCACTTCACTCCAGAGCTCGGCGTGCACTCGCTCGTCTGGGACGAGGCGCTGAAGATCGCCGGTCAGGATCCCGACTTCCACCGGAAAGACCTAATGGAGGCGATCGAGGCAGGAAAATTCCCACGCTGGAAGTTCGGCTTGCAACTCATCCCCGAAGAAAAGGCCGACAGCTTCGAGTTCGACCCACTCGACGCTACGAAGGTCTGGCCCGAGGAGCTAGTTCCCATCCGCTACATTGGCGAGCTGGAACTCAACCGCAACATCGACGAGTTCTTCCCTCAGACCGAGCAGGTCGCATTCTGCACGAGCCACATCGTGCCCGGCATCGACTTCTCTGACGACCCTCTGCTTCAAGGCCGCAACTTCTCGTACTTCGACACGCAGATCTCGCGGCTCGGGCCGAACTGGGAGGAACTGCCCATCAACCGGCCAGTATGTCCATATATGAGCTTAGTCAACCGTGACGGCCAGGGCAGACACCGCATCACAAAGGGCAAGGTGAACTACTGGCCGAACCGGTTTGAGGCCAACCCGCCCGCGACACAAGAGCAGGGCGGCTTCGTTAGCTACCCGCAGAAGACTCAGGGCGCAAAGAAGCGCGCGCTGTCAGATAAGTTCAAGGAGCACTTCAACCAGGCGCAGGTATTCTACAACTCGCTCTCCCCGGTTGAAAAGATGCATGTGGCGAAGGCATTCTCCTTCGAACTAGACCACTGTGACGACCCCATCGTCTACAAGCGCATGACAGAGCGTCTAGCAGCGATCGATCTGGACCTAGCCAAGAAGGTTGCGGCGAACGTGGGCGGCGAGACACCTGTCAAAGCCCTCAAGGAAAACAAAGGTATTAAAGCCAAGGGTCTGAGCCAGCTTGAATTCATGCCAGAGAAACCCATCATCGCGACGCGCCGCATCGCCATCCTGCTTGCCGACGGCTTCGACTACAACCAATATACCACGATGAAAGATGTGCTTACCAAGCACGACGCGTTTGTTTTCACAATCGGTGCGCAGCGCCAGGGTGTAACTGCCGAGTCTGGGCAGAAGGTTGTTCCCGACCACTTCTTCAATGGCGTTCGGTCGACACTGTTCGATGCGGTCTTCGTGCCTGGCGGAAAGCATATTCAGGCACTGTTGAGTAATGGCGTTGCTAAGCACTGGATCTCTGAGTCTTTCTCTCATCTCAAGGCTATTGCCGGTATTAATGAGGCCGTGCCGTTTATTGAGCGGCAGATCGGGCTTTCTGAGGTCGAGGTTGCGAAGAGTGGTTCTCCACTGAAGGAGTCGTATGGTGTTGTTACGGGCCATGGAGACGCGGTTTCATTGTTGAAGGTTGGCAAGGTCGGACCTGATGCGAAGGGTCTGGCTGAGCAGTTTATTTGGCATATTTCTCGACACCGCAACTGGGCACGTGAGCTGGATGGACTTTCTGATCAGATTGCTGCTTGAGTTGGTGGTGGTGAGTGAAATGAATTGAATATGTGACCATGAATGAAGATTGTACTTCGTATTTTTTTTTTCTTCCAAAGGGAGTTGAATCATTCCATATTTCTAAGCCCCAATCCCTTTCTTTAAATTTTTTTAAAAAGGAGTCCCATTACGGATTCAAGGCTGTAGTTGGATCTCACATTCTGTGATACACCGCGTCGGTAGCCAACCTGCATTCTTCGTCGGCTGATCTGCAAAACGCACAAACCCCAATCCACAAGCTCTTGTAGGGCTGGGGGAAATTCTGTTCCTGGAAGATTCCAGGCTGTCTTGGAAGAACTTATAGCAGATTCTTTGGGCCTATGTGCATAGCTCCGACGATTATACTTGTACCTAACCCCAGCCCTTCCTAGATAGCATACTCCGTACCCCAACCACCATTAGAAATGACATACCGCCATTACTGAGACAGCCATTTAAACCTAACAAATCACAAAATCTCTCCATAATACTCAACCTCCCGCATACTACATCCGCCACATACCTCATAGCGGCCGGAGCCACCGGCCACATTTCAAGGCGAAGAGTTACACAACGGGAATATCGGACCAGCCATTGCTTTCTGAACTAACACTAGAAGGCAGAAGTATTCGCGATCTCGCAGCCAAAAATGTCCCTTTTGTAAAGGAAAAGCTACTTTCCTGGAATTTTGTTTTGTTTCATTTTGTTTCAACTATTGGATCACTGCAATCATGGTTCTCCATTTATCACGTTCAACACGGTTGAGCGTTGTAATTGGCATATCGACATGTTTCTTTCTGGCTGAGATTTCGTGTCAGTTGCCCTTTTTCTTGGTTTTGGTGGTAGTGGTTTTTGGTATGGATGTGCTGATACCGGGATAGTGGGCTTCTATACACACTCTATTGCTCTGATTGCAGATGCTTTCCACTATGTAGGCGTTTTTGGATGTGGAGTTGGAGATTTTATTGGCTAATATTTATCACAGCTGAATGATTTAGTTGGGTTTATTATTGCTCTTGTTGCATTGAAGGTACAGAGTACTTGGTGGTTTGGTTGTGTGGTGGCTGTGCTGATGTGAGGTGTAGAAATCCGAGCGCAGTGACTCGCCCAAGGAGCTTACTTTTGGTTGGCAGCGAGCTCAGTTGCTCGGTGCCTTTTTCAATGGTGTTCTTCTATTTGGGTTGGGTATTAGTATATTTTTGCAGTCCATTGAGCGGTTTATTGCTCTACAATGTGGGTACCATCGCCCAAACTGGACGGTGAGTGTTGATTTTATTGGCGATGACTGACGGTGCATCTAGATGTTCACAACCCCAAGATGATGTTCATCATTGGCTGTGTTGGATTGGGTCTGAATATTATTAGCGTGGTCTTCCTTCATGGTAGGGGGTCGTGGAGTCGTTATATATATATATCACGCTAACAGTACCCAGAACATGGACATGGACATGAACACAGTCATGACCATAGTCTACCATCCACAATTGAGACACCGGCTATTCATGCCGAACAATGCCATGATCCCAGTACCAAGGTAAGCTGCAAAGAGTTGAGAAATCCGATTAATCGAGCCCGACTAACATAGCTTAGCATGACGATCACAAACATATTCATTTCGAAAAAGATCACTGTGCAGACTCGGGCGGCCACAGTCATGGTCATGGTGGCCACGACCACGGTGATCTTGGCATGATGGGAGTGACGATCCATGTTATCGGTGATGCAATCAATAACTTGGGCGTCATGGCCGCTGGTCTAGTTATCTGGCTCGCTGCACCCCACGCCGGCCGATACTATGCCGACCCCGGCGTGAGCATGTTCATTGCCATCCTTATTATTCTGTCATCTTTCCCTCTGAGTACGTGCTTTCCAACAGAAGAAGGCGAAAATTAAATAGCGAAGCTAACACTATCCAGTGCGCCGAGCCGGGATGATTTTACTAGAGAGCGTACCCACAGGGGTTGAAATGTGCGATGTCAAACATGACTTAGAAAGGGTAATACCGCCATTATATTTTCTTTCATTCCATACTAACAATTACCAGATCAAGGGCGTCAGCTCAATTCACGAACTCCACATCTGGCGCCTTAACCAACAAAAAACGCTCGCTTCAGTGCATGTTGTTGTGTCTGAGAACTCGGTAGAAGAGTTTATGAAGACAGCCCAAGTGATCAACGAATGTTTCCATGCCTATGGAATCCATTCAATTACACTACAGCCTGAGTTGGAGGAAGTTGAGGTTTCCGATGGAGCTTCCCGGTGCCAGGTTATCTGCGGGACGGTCTGCGAACAGTTTACATGCTGTGGATAAATTTGTTACATTGCTATGATGCCCAATACTGCTCACTCTTCCATCAAACCAGCCAATGGTCGAGCAGTAACTCGATCACCTTCTTCCTTGGTCTAGTGGTGATGATTTCCGCTTGTCATTAATACCGATAAGCGCGGGAGACCGGGGTTCGATTCCCCGAGGGAGAGATTTCTTTTTTGCTTCTTTTTTTTTTGTTCATCATATTATTCCAACTAAAATCCACCTGCTCTTATTCGATGTGTTTCCTAGGCGTCAATATTCTTGTTGACGTCAAGCCAAGCCGACCTCGCTAGATTTGACGTGTTTGCGAAGTCAATCGAGTATATAAAGATCAATAGTCTCAGCCTTTGAGCATGTGATAACTACCATAATTTCGAGCTATTATTGTAGAGATATACATAACTCATAAATAGAACCAGCTTTTGCAATGGCACGCTTTTGTCAGTGTCGTGAATTACAACTAGCGCAGCGGAAAACTCCCTTTAGATACTCCCCGCCTTCTATCCTCACATTGAAAGACGTTGCACAATGTCTGCATTTGTGACGAGAGTTGAGATTCCGAACTAATCCTCGAAAAATGTCATGTTCGTTGGGATGATTTACCTGTCCCTTCCGGACTAATGCCGCGATGATCAGTGACCCAAGGCATCCAAAAGAGTTCAAGACATCAAGCATCTCTGGGCTTTCGATAAGATCAAAGATGTGCGCCGAGAGAACTTCGACAATACTTTCTCGACGACTTAATTCATGTGAAGGCACTGAGGTCATGACTTCCCGAACGACACCCGGAAATACTGGAGAGTTCCAATTTGCAGTTGCCCATCGAGAGAAATTTTGGGTAGCCAGGGACTTCAATGGAATGATTCCGAATTTATCAGCCGAGATAAATACTTCCATGTTGTTGAGAGCAATTTTCTTATCTTCTGTGTCCTTCATTTTGTCCTCTGGATTAGGCGTGGCGAGCTCTGGATTTGGTTGATATTGAACTGTGTGTCCATCCTCGCTATACTCCCGAAGGTAAAGGAAGGACAAGACACAATAGTCCCTGGGTTATCTTCTGGGAGATTGATGGCTTTTGCAATGGTTTCCTGGGGGAAATTAGCAACCAAAATCAACCAGCCGAGGTTTTGCTCAATTATACCTTGAAACCGCCACAAATTGCGCTATTGAAGTAGCTTGACTGGGTGCAAACAATAGCCCGGTGAGGTTTGAAAGTGATCCCTTGACAAATAATCTCCATGTCAGAGAACTGCCCTTGTAGGAGCAAGTTTCGCATTACGTCCTGAAAATCAGACGGCATTGACATGGTGCGCGACTGTTGAGGTCTTCTTGATTTCTTGCGTCTTCAAGAAATAAGAAATAAAGAATTCAAGTGACCGTATGTTTCTAACGGAAATTTTTATTTCTATACAGGGTAATGTGACTATGACGCGTAGACGCTGTGATGAGCATCCGATGATCAATAAGAATACCAGGGCCTAGGAGGGGCACTGCTGTAGCAATTGTTGTGGATTCTGAGAGAGAGTGGAAGAAGTGAGAGATCTCTGACATTCAATCCATACAGGAGCATAGTATTTATATGCTGAACAGCTATCAAACAACTGCTCAGTCTGCAAACAGTCAATGGGAATAGGGTCATCCAATAGCAATGGTACTAACCAAGATGACCCCTGGGGCGATCATGTTACTAAGTAGCTCAAGTTCATTAATGTTTGTAGTTTTTCTTTCCTTTTTTTTTCAATATTTAAGATATACTATATACAAAGGTGAATGTACAACCTATCAACATTAATACGTCAAGTCCAAACAGAATTACTCCGCAACCCATTAATCAATACGAGCTGCATAATTCTCCACTCACACAGATTTAGCATATCTAAATGGAAAGCAAATTCCGATTCCGAGATAACAATGCAAATCACATAGATTGCATGCGGGGAAGACGGAGTAGCACAAATGATTGCGTTGTATCTATGTTTTGCCCTTTACATATCCCCGTTTACCCTCCGAAACTACCGGAAGTATACCCCGCACATATTCCACATCTCAACTATCACTAAATATGACTTCCGATTGGCAGCAGCAAGCCAAAAAAGGCAGCGATATCTTAAAAAATTCAATCCCTAAGCAATGGCTTCTCCCTGTCGACAGGCTGCCACCAGTCTCGCAGAAGAGTGTGGTTGACTTCCCCGGCAAAGCGGGCTGTTGAATGAGAACGAGCTCCTTATCACTGATATGTCGGCCACGGCGCTGGTGGCAGAAATGGGCAATGGAAGACTCAGCGCGGAAGAGGTGGTGGTTGCGTTCTTGAAGAGGGCTGTACTAGGCCACCAACTGGTGAGATTAGGAGACTCGGCTCTGTTGATTCAAGCGTTGACAAGTTTGTTAGCTCAATTTCGCCAAGGAGTTTATGGCCGATGAGGCTATAGCTCGAGCCAAAGAGCATGATGAGTACTATCGACGCACAGGGAGACTGGTCGGGCCTCTGGTAAGCTTGAATACATACCCGTTGAAATTCATATACGCAAGATTCTGAGGAAACGACCACAGCATGGCGTACCAATTAGCGTGAAGGAACACATATCTATGAAGAACCGAACATGTAACACGGGATACGTCGCTTGGTGAGTAGGAATCTATCCACCACGACAAACCACACTACTGACAAGCAACAGGGTCGACAAAGTCACCACGGAAGATTCATTTCTTCTCCAACTTCTATCCAAAGCCGGCGCAATTTTCCATGTTCGGACTAACCAACCCCAGTCCTTAATGGTATGTACACAATTTCATACTAGTATTGTATCTCATAACTAACGCTATCTAGCACCTGTGCTGCAGCAATAACATCACTGGCACAACCTTGAACCCACTCAATCGGACTCTAAGTCCAGGAGGGTCCTCCGGAGGTGAAGGTGCCTCAATGGGCTTTAAATGCGCCCCAGTAGGAATTGGAACTGATATCGGCGGATCAATTCGCTGCCCAGCAGCGTTTTGCGGTGTGTACGGCTTCCGTCCTTCCTCATTGCGGAACCCTGCAACAGGAATTAAAGTCGCTGCTTCAGGCCAAGAGACAATCCGAGGCGTGGTGGGCCCGATGGCTAGTTGCTCAGTTGAGGATCTAGAGTTGTTCCAGAGAGCTGTATTGGAGCAAAAGCCTTGGAATATTGAGACTTCGCTGATGCCTGTGCCATGGAAGATGGTTACTCCAACGCGGGATATGACTGTGGCTATTATGTGGGATGATGGGTGTGTCGTGACCCAAATAGTTATCGGTTGTCAGTGTGCTAATCCATTTCCTAGCTGCGTCCGACCCCATCCACCTATCACTCGGGCTTTGAGACATGCCAAGAACAAGCTGGTAGCAGCAGGCGTGAAAGTCGTAGAATGGGAGCCGTATAAGCACCAGCATGGCTGGGAAATTATTGTAAGTGCTGAACCTACTCTGGACACACCCTCTATAACGCTAACATAGCTCAGTCCGCTCTGTATTACCCTGACGCTGGCAGCAAGCAACGCGAGGTTCTTGCTGAATCAGGCGAGCCAGTACGCCCACTAACCGAGTGGGCTCTCTCCTATAGCCGGAGCACGCCTCTTTCTCACCCTGAGGCATGGGTTTTGCACGATCAGCGCGATGTCTATAGAGACGAGTACCACGCTCTCCTCAATCGTCACGGTGTTGACTTTATTCTCTCGCCGACATACCCCGGCGCAGCGGCAGTGATGGGCGAGTCGCAATATTGGAATTATACTGCGGTTTGGAACTTGGTAGATCTGCCTTCTGTAGTGTTCCCATCTGGAATCACTGTGGATCCTAAAGTAGATGTGTTGACTGAGCAGGATAAGAAGTATGTTGCCAAAAATGAGGTTGATGAGAGGGAGTGGCATAAGTACCAGGATCCAGAGAGGTATGAGGGTGCATCGGTGGGACTGCAGATTTCTGGGAGGCGGTTTAAAGATGAGGAGACCCTAGCGGCAGCCAAGTTAGTAGAGGAGATTATCAAAGGAGAGACCTAAGGGACTTGGGGGATGGGGATATATTGCTTCATTGTTTTTTTTTTTAATTTTTAACACACATTCACACTTCAGCTATGTCTCTTCGTAGCAAAGACTATAGCAAGTGGTGTAGCAGTCTTCACTTTCTTCCCCTCAAAAGCTCTCTCCATCTCATCCCAAAGCGGATTAATTTCCGACTCTGATACACGCGGTGTCGTCCAAGTAGACGCATAACCCTTAAACCAGTCACAATCCTGCTCATCCATCCAATCTGGATCCTCCTCCTCCCAAACAATCTCCTCTCTGTCATGAACTTGACTCTCACCAACTCGATCGTTAATCCTGAAAGCCTCAATACTCCCTCGAGCATTAACATACAACCTCTTCACACTCTTCCAATCCTTCACAGGGAACCCGAGAGCTTCAGTCCCGGAATTCAAAATCCTCAACGCATGATCAAGCATCGGATCATCGACCTCACCGGCATAAAATGCACAAACAGCCCCCCAGGCCCGCTGAGCCCTCTCATTCCCAACAATGCGCGGATAGTTATAATGCGTAACAACAAGCGTCCCACCGGGACATAACTCCCTCACAAACTCCCCAATCGCAATTGCTGGCCTCGTCCAGTGGATACACTCACATGCCATGATCAGGTCGACTGAGTCCGACTCCACAGAGCTCTTTTCAGCACTTTCCTTCAGGAACCGGAACCTGGATTCCGACAGGTGGGATTCCTCAACTAGGAGTCTTCGAGCGAGCGCAGTGTACCCATCGTTTGGGTCCGAGACGATCACTTTGTTGAAGCGGGGGGCAAGACTCGATGAGACGATTCCGCAGCCGGCGCCGATGTCTTGGGCGAGGGACCAGGCGGAGTGGGGTTTCTGGGAGTGGTAGGCGAATACTTTTTTCGAAGAAGGAGGGTGGATAGATTGGCCGGAAGGTGAGGTAGTCAGACCAGTTTACGCCTTGGTTGGCATTGAAGCCGTATTCTCTGGTGGATGCAGGTTGGTCCGATGGAATTGTTGATGTGGACATGTTGGGAAATGATTGAATGATTGGGAGGGGATGATTTAATTGATCTACCGGGAACAATAGGAGGTATTTATAGGTTGTATTGTCTTTGTGAATATGTGTCGTTTCTTCATTTTGTCATTTTCAGGACTGTATAGAAGTACATACAGGAACGAGAGCGCGCGTGAGACCCGCTAAAGGATCGGGATCGCTGAACAGGACTGCATCTATTCGTTGAACTTTGGAAAAAACAAATCTCTTTCTCCAATCATAGAGCTCCCGATGAATAGTCTCGATAAGATCTCTTGGAAATCTCGAAGAACATCGGTCAAGTCGATCTCCGATTCCTTTTTACGTACGGCTTGTCACAATTTAGAGCCATCACATAGTTCTTTGACATCTATAATATTTTTGTCCTTGATAACCATGGCACTATTCATTTCTTGCGTAGAATGCAAGTATGCTCGAGTTCTTCTAATCCAATTTCCTTGAGCTCTACTAAATTGTGGGGATGGTGGAGTCATACAGTTACCCCTGTCGGTGACCTTCAATAGCGCCGTGAACGATTTACTAGGGCTTTTATGAACCTTAGAATGCACTAAATCAATACACATAGTCCCGTTTATTTTTCTACATGCTTTATATAGATTAGTGAGATTGAGTATTCCAATATCTCAGCTCAACTCAGCTCTCAAATCCTGCAGTGTCCTAATCTGAGCACCATCCTCCCCAAAATTTCCAGGATCAAGCCATTTCTCCATGGCAGCCTTTAGCGAAGAGTCCCACTCATCCCTCAAAATAGAAAACCAAGCCGTATCTCTATTTCTCCCCTTAACAATCATATGTTGCCGGAAGACCCCCTCAAACGAGAATCCCAACCGCAAAGCCGCGCGCCTTGAGGGCTCATTCAGCGAATGACATTTCCACTCCAATCTTCTATACCCAAGGTCATGGAAAGAATGCTGAGCAAGGAGATATATCGCCTCTGTCGCGGCAGTCGTGCGCTGAAGCGCAGCCGAATACATGACATTCCCGATTTCGATGCCTAGATGGTCCGGAGTCATGCGCATCAGAGAGAGATAGCCAACTGCTTTTCCGAAAGTGGGGAGAGAGTTGCGCTTGTCGATGATTGCGTAGAAGAATGGATCTGTTGAAGTGGATTTCGATGCGATGCTAGTTTTGAAGGTTTCGGCGTCTGAATACGGCCCATCGAACATGTAGTCCCAGAGAGCTTCTCTGGGTGGTTCAAGTCCACCGGTTACAGCGAAGAGTTCATCGGCATGCTTTGGGGATAGTTTCTCAAGGAGAATCGTTCGTCCTGGGATTGCTTGGCTCGTTGGTAGTAGAGCTGGAGCGAAGCGGACTAGTGGGCCTTTTGGGCGTAGTGATGCCATGGGACTTATTGTTCGAGAATTGAAAGAGAGGTGAGATATACAACATATTCGATGTTTATTTATTATCTGAATGCTATCAGCCTAATGACTCACGCCAACTGTGATTTGTTGCGAATCCCGAGATCCCGTGACATTAAGGTTATGTAAAGACATGATAGGTTGATTCTCCGAACTATATAACAAGGAATATTGAAAAATGATGTGAAAAAAAAAGAAAGCACATATTAGTTCAATGGGTCTATTCTACAAAAAACTAATTGATTATATTTATGTAGACTACGAGCAGCTCTATTTTTTAAAACAACCCAGTTTTTCCCCTCTTTGTGTATAGCAAATACCATAAAAATATCAGCTCAAACGCACCAAAACACATGACTGTCCCACTAAACAACTGAATGCCAAGGTAGTTCAAATCCGCACTACCATGGGAGCCAATTGAAGCGAGTGCACCTGCTATTGGTGGTCCCAGAAGAGACGCAAAGCTACTCAAGCTCTGTGCCATTCCAAGCCAAGTCCCGAGACTCTTGGGATCAGGACAGACGTGAATGAAAACGCTCGGCGGGAGAGGAATCAAAGCCCCGGAGATACCACCTGTGATTTGGGTCAAAATAGAGCCCCGTTAACCGAGGCAAGAGGGGCTCACTTACCATAGAACGCTGCAAAAAGAATAAACCGCACAACACTGTCTGCGCTGATCCAGCAAATACATAGAACGCCCGAAAGTACACCACAGACAATCCAAGCAAGCATTGAACCGAAGTAATGAGCAAATAAAGTTAAGCCAACACGGCCGGTAACCGAAGCAGCCTGGGAAATCATCAAGATATTAGAGGCCATTGAACTTGATGTGCCCAGTCTTGTCTCAGCGTAAGTTGGAATGTAATAGAAAGGCGTGATATAACCAAGGTAAAGAAAAAAGTTCCCAATAGAAAAGCTCCAAAAAGGCAAATCCTTGACAGCACGCAAATCAATCAAGCTTCTGCGCTGGGTGGGTTTAACCTTCACTGCATGTCTCTGGGGCCACAAAATCATAAAAGCGGCCGCGATGAACAGCGCCAGCATCACGAATGCTATAAGACGGACGGTCCATGGGAAACCCAATTTTGGTATAAGCTGGTTGAACATGACAGTGTAGATAATTCCCCCGACAGGCGCACCACTACTCGAAACACCCAGCGCGACAGCCCTTCTTGTTGTGAAAGAACGGCTGACCAATGCCATAGCGGGGACATATAGCAGTCCGAATCCGAGGCCCACGCAGACTCCCTGGCTTAGGAATATGGCGTAGTACTGATCTGCAAGACTGAGCATCATCATACCAATTACTCCCAGTATGCTGCCAACGAAGATCAAGCTCTGGTTGTATCCCAGGTCAAAGAGTGGACCGGATAGTAGGCCGCCGACAATGAGGAGCCATGATTGAACTGTTCCAATCCAAGCGATGTCGGATGATGTTGATGATGAGATGTAGTTGAGTGCATAGAAGCTTTGGAATGTTCCAAATGAAAGATTTAGCCCCCTTGAGGAACGTTAGTTTTGATACTCAATTGTAACTCAGAAGGTAGTTGACAGACCAGACATTGAAGAATATAAAGAAAGCACCGAGAACTTGGAGACAGGCGTGCACTTTACTTTTTACAGTAGCGGTAGAGGGTTCGGGCGATTCCTCATTTTCCGTGATGGGCGCTAGATCTGTGATCTCAGGATCAACGGGTGTTGTACCCTTTTCCGAGCACATATTTAGCAATCTTGAATAAACAGCCTTGAATAAGTTTAAAAAATATCATCAAGTCTGCGAGGACCCGAGGGTATTTACAAAAATTTGAAACCCCCTCAAAGATATTAGTCAGTCATCATCCTGGTCCTAGAGCCGATGCGACATGCCGTGTTTACCGAAGCGGGGGTGAGATTGTCTTCGGGGTAAACAAATCAGGCATTTTGGAGCACTATTTGGGGCCAATACCAAGCCAATTTAGCAAATTTCAAGTGACTAACAACCAAAATTATGGAAATATCATATTTCTCCAGATTGAGTTGCGCCGTTCGTGTAGACCATAATGGAAAGCTACGACTTACCTCGGGTATCTCGAATCTATTGATGATTTATAGTATGATGTTGGTCAAATCACATAGGTTCGCTAGAATTATATCTAAAGAACATCTTGATTGGTGCAGAGCTTGACTACTTAGAATATTTAGTACATTATATCAATAAAAACTGGCAGTCTGCTGGGAATAGCATCATAGACATCGAAATCATTTCCGAAGAATGGGATCTATCTGTTGAATTATTTGGAGACATCTACCAATAATGAGGTCTACCGAACATTTGAATTTGCCTATGTCTTGAAGTAAAGGGGGCATTGCCTATCATGATAATTTCACTGCTGTGTACTTCATTCGGGAGATCGACTCTGCAATTCACACCTTCTCTCATCCAGGACCAAATATCACGTTTCTCTCTGGCGGTCTCCTGAATTATAGGCCCTGACAACGACGAAACGATGAGTTGTTTGTAGTGTTCAAAACGTTCAGATCAGCCGTTTTTGCGATCAACATTTTAACCAAGTTCTTATGACTATCTAGTGCAGCGTAGTGGAGAGGAGTCGCACTAGTGACGTCTTTCACTCTAGGATCCGCGCCTCTCTCTAGCAAAATCATCGCCATTTCTAATTTTTCTCACTCTATCTCTGTTTCCTACCTAGGTACTCATGAACCAGCTGATCAAATCGACTTTATGGTTAGAAAAACCATTCATTATTGTGAAGTTCAATAAAGCCCTCTATCCGCGAAAAAAAAAGAAAGTGAAGCACTGTTTGCCAGAAAGAGGCACACGAAACTTTTTGAAAAGAAAGTCACAAAGGCCTGATATCTCGAGGAAATAGAGGAAAAGCTTTGGGAATCCCGGGCCAGGACATGCTACCTGATGTGATTCAGAAAAGATACACTCCAAGGGTTGGAAACCAACGATTCCATCACTCTTGTCTTTATTTACTACTAGCTGCCAAGCTTCTCAAGTGCTGAAGGTAACCTCCCAAAGTTGGAAATCATAGATCTTATTTCAACCAATCATATGAGAGATTGCCTAATTAAGGATAGAGGCTAAGTCGGAACTAACCAGCATAGGATTTATTGTTTATTTTTTCCTGTCACTGAGACACTCCACAAAGACAGTTCTTAAATGATTATTTTTAGTTTAGAGTCACCTATGGTGATTTGCCATATAGAAATCTAAAGGGCAACAAAGCCAGCAAGCCAATACCCTACACCGCTACACCTCGGAGCTCGGACTGTGGCTTTGCGCTAAACCTTGGGAGTACCAATGTGTTGTCATTGATCTGGCGGCTAATAAATCCCCAGGTTAGGACTCTATGTACTCCATACTTACACAGTAGATCTCGAATGTGCTTGGGCTTCATTTTTGACTTTCTTGTCTGGTTCCTTTTTTTTAAAGGCGTTAAATTATTTGAGGCAATTAGAAATTGTAGAAGAAAAAAGAAGTCAGAATTCTGACTCGTGTTTGTGTTTTCTATGGTATCGCTTCTTTTAAAAAGGAAATCTCCAGTCCTTGGGTATATTACACTTTCACTTCATCTTATTTCTATATGAAGCGCCTATATTTTATCAAGCCATACTTCCAACATCGCACAGAGATGTCACCATTGTTCTGGTATCTTTTTCTTTATTCTGTGGTAGCGCTTGATATATCCAACGATGATGATCTGGTAACATACATCACTGTGAGTCTCACAAATGGATATCCATGTCAAGGTACTGATTTGCAATTACCCCCCAGCTCCCTCAGCACCGGGTCCTAAAATGGAATGTCACCTACTATGATCAGCCTGACTCGGAAGTAGCCCCAGGCTATTGGTTCGTTGCACCCTACTATCTAAATCAGGGTGAGCCAAAAACGAACCGATGGATGCCTTGCTAGATTAGCCCTTATATTTTTGATTACAAAGGGGTATGTATTTCTTATGTTTTCTGTACCTCGAATATATCCGCTTACGACTAAAAAGGACCTTGTTTGGGCTGGATCATGCGAGTTCAACAACCAGAACGTCTATGATTTTCAAGTGGTAGACATGATCGGTGAAAACCCCTATCTCACTATGCTTGTTCAAGAGAATTTTGCCTACCGAGAAAGCGACGGGTCCGCTATCATATACAACAATGAATACAAGCCCGTCCACTCAATCCCCCAGGATCATCTATCGACAACCACAAATTCTACCTAAAAGAACCACTCACCGCCCTCCTCGTCACTCATAAAGACGAAGACATGACTCTAACCCATTTTGGCTACCCAGAGCGGCTAGACCGTATCCGAACAAACGGATTCATCGAGCTCGATATCAACACAAGCAAATACCTCTTCGAATGGTTCTCCGGCGACCACATAACCCTTGACGAATCGTTTACCCTAAACCCAAATGACCCATTTCCAGACGTAGATTATCTGCACATGAACTCAGTCGACAAAAGTGCAAACGGAAACTATCTCATCTCGGCCCGCCATACAAACGCGATCTACCTAGTCTCCAGGGAAGACGGACAAATAATCTGGCGACTAGGCGGTACAAAGAACGACTTTGAAATGGATTTTCAATTCACAGGCCAACACAGCGCACGCTTCGTATCCCAGAACAGCACACACATAATCATCTCATTCCTCGACAACGGCGCCAACCTCCCCAGCAATGTACATAGAGCTAGACCTGCTCGCTATGAAAGTCAGAGTTCTGAATCGGTACATGCGGCCCGACGGGGGCAGCAACCCTTCACGAGGAAACATGCAGACACTGCCGAATACAAACGTGCTGGTCTCGTGGAGCTACTACGGGTACATGAGCGAGTTCATACATGACGGTCAGCTCCTCATGGAGGCCAGCTTCGCCAGCGAACGATTTAGTACCTACCGAGCTTATAAGTTTCCCTGGCATAGCCGGCCAGCACATCCACCGACGCTTGTTTCGTCATGTTACGGTGTGAATGGGTCATTTTTGTCGACTGTATTCCATGTTAGCTGGAATCGGGCCACGGATGTGCAGTGGTGGCGATTCTTTGCACGGGCGAATGCAACCGCAATAGACAGAGAGATTGGGGAGGTTGCAAAGAATGGGTTCGAGAGTTCGTTTATCGTCCGTGGGTTTATGGATTGGGTCTCCGTTCAAGCGTTGGACTCGGAGGGTAGAATTCTTGGAGTTTCGGAGTTGTTGAGGACTGAGCCCCCTGAGTATTGGCCTGAGTCGGTTAGTGGGTTAGTCCCGGATGATCCTGATGCTTTCTTCGGCGAAGAACCAGCCAAATTGCCACTTGTATTTGGGGCGTTTACTTGGCTATTTATGGGCTTTGTGATAAGTACGATTGGGTACATCTGCTATCCTGCCGTTCGTGGATATGCGCGACTGGTGCAATTGAGGTACCCATGTGAGGGCACAGACGAAGAAGAGCTGGGTCTTATGAAGGAAAAGGTCTAGACCTTGGTTGTATTGTACATCTATACATATTTCATTTCATATAGTGTGAATAAAGTGGACGGGATTAAATTGATGATCCAGTAGCTGGCCAGTAATAACTACACCAATAGATAAATTAGATACCTTCGACACTAGCGTGAGTTAAAGTTGAAAATTTAGGACTGAATTTGTCTTTCAGGTTATATTTCGAATCATCATCCAATGCATTAATTCCATCACCCAAAACATAGCGCATAAGTACATCCATCAATACACATCATGTGTCCAGGTACCTGGAAAGGGAGGGCGACGAGCATAAAAAGCAAAAAATAGCACTATCATGAGAATATTTCCATCATAAGAGAAAAAAAGCAGAGTAAACACCTGATATCTTCAAAAAAAGCGCAAATCAAAAGAACCCCACAAGACCAAGGGAAGCCAACCTAGAAGGGCAATCCCTAAACAAAAGAAAACCGCAAAAAGAAATCATATCAGTCATCTACTTGCGCCAGAACATAGCTTTTCCAACTGCCCTACCAGCACTCCAGCGAGCCTCGGCAAGTTTATCCTTGAATGACGCACCGCCGCCATAGCGCACAGGACGGGCAGAGGTCGCCCCAGACTCAGAGGTGGCACCTGCACTCGAACCACCGAAAGAGCTGGGGGCAAAGTTTGTCATATTACCCGCATCGAACTTCGTCTTTCCTTCGACGATTTTCTGAACGACGTTCAAAATAGCATAGGTAGTCGAGCCAATAGCACGAATAGCAGCGAGGATAGTGACAGACCACAAGATGATAGCGAGGTAAATGTTTGTACCACCCGAATCAACGCCGTAGACTTCGGATACCGCCATGCCGAGGATAACATTTGCGACCATCCAGATGGAAACCATGTAAGTACGGACAGCGCGGTAGTAATCCTCCTGCAGCTGCGAGTCTGATGGTGGGGGCTCTGGGACCTCGAGGCGATCGCGGAGGTTGCGGAGGGCAGCGTCATAGCCGGAGTCAATATCGAGTTGTTCGGATGGCATTTCAATGACGACAGTTGAGCCATTAATTGTCTTTGCTGCGCCAAGATCGGTGTGGATCACGTTGTCACCTTTGGTTCCCCAGGTTACGTCGTGGGTGTTGCAGAAGGCGTAGACTTGGAGGATGCAAATGTAACTAGGCATGAGCAGGAAGTATTGAACGGAAGAGGTAATCATGTGCCACGGGTCCAGGTAGAGGATTGAGGCGTAGAAGTAGAGGCCGACGGTTGACAACATGGAAATCACGATGTTCATCATTAGGCCATCCCCGACCTCCATGTCCTCGTCTCCCACACCAGCACGAGCAAGTAACTCTATGACCACCAGGTAAAGGGTGCAGAAGACCGTGTAGAACATGATAATGGCGTACACAATGATACCAGAGAGATATAGATTTTTGGCACTAGAAGGGAATGTCAGCTAAGTCGCAAAGAATAACGGACCACTGTGGACTCACCCTTGGGGTCGATTACCCAACGAAATAATGAACTGTAAACACATGACCAGAATACAAGCATAACGCAACACAATGAAGATGTATTTGCCCATGTTGTGACCGAAAGGATCAAGCTTCTCATCAGTCAAAGAACCAGCGATAAAGTAGAAAGCGAGGTAGAAATTGGCCTGTGGAAAGTCAGTAGACGGCTCCAAGAAAAAGAGAAAATAAGACTCACAAGACCAAAGTAAGTAAACAGCAGATTAAGGAATTGATAAAAGAACTCGATGTGAAGCAAGACCTTCCGGGCGAAAGTATGATCTGTCTGCCAGATCTGCTTGGCATTGCAAATCGAATACACAGCCGCGAAAAAAGCACCATTGAGCCATCTTCGGCGCTGGGAGATGAACTCAGGAACCGTGTCCGGCACATCGGTTTCTCCAACAGCGCTCTTAACAAACTTCAACACCCATCTCTCTTCCCGCTTGGCAACCAACTCCCAGCAAAGAATACGATCTTCGGCCAGGTACATGTTGGCAGTGAAAACATCTGCATCTTGACCATGAAGTGTTTCACCCTTGAAATATTGGTTGAGGGGACCATGGCCATCTGCGTCGTTTTGAAGGGCAAAGAATCGATAAGCACTGAGCGCACCAGGCAACACAGTAATATAACCAAAGACTGATTCCAGTGGCTTGTCGAGAATATTGGACATCTTGTATTCGAAGTTCTGACTTGCCACGAGAGGGTTGAGCAGACCAAGCATGTTCTTACCCTTAGCAGCCTTGATCTCTCCAGCAGCGCCGGCAACATTGGAGTCCTGATCGAATGCCTTCCACAAGTGGTAGAGCGCCATTGGCTCTGGTCGAGTTCCAACATCGAGCAAAATACAAATGTTGGGTTGCAGGGCACGACCGAAGGCATTGAAGAACCATCGGTGAGAGTTCAGCTTCTTCTTGTTGTGTTCTTTCAAACAGAAGATAACCTGACACGGGACAATTCCCTTCTCAGCACCCTTAAACTTGAGATCATCATCGAGCGAGACCTGTGTGGTGTACTCGTACACGTGTGCCTGAACTTCCTTCTGGTTGACAATGTTCTTCGCGATGCCCTCTTGGTAAACACCCAGGGCAGCCAATGCATTAAGCGTACGCGGGTGGACCTTCTTACGTCCATCAGCGATAATGCAAACAACGATTTTCTTCCATCCATCACGGCCCCAAGTACGCGACTTAGTCCGCGAGCAGAAGTGGCTGATATTCTGCATAACACCATGCATGGTACGGGTGAAACCAATCTCGTCTTCGTTGTACATGGTAATACAAATAAACAGTTCTGTCTCGCGAGTCGTGGTACCAATCTGTTGTCGAAGCTTATATCCCCGTTCGCCGTAATCGTCCGGATCAGATGTGACAGCGGTGTATCGCATGTGTGTGAACTCGCGCTCGTCACGACGAGGCAAGAAGCTGTGAAGAATAGTGGGAATTTTGCACTCCAAAACAAGCTCGCCGTTGACCAGCTGAACCTCCTTTTTGGCGACCTGCGTGGACCGGACACCACGACGGCCCTGCTTGTCAGGCGCTGGGCCATAGTGGAGGTTGGGATCCATCATGTGTGATTCATCGTTATCTTCATCATCGAGCTCGACTTTTGACATGCCATCTTTCTCGTCTCCCAACATTGTCGACTCGCTCATGAATGATCGGACGCTGCCGCGCGAGGTATGGTGAAATGTGCGGCCATCACCACCGAATGGATCTTCACCATGGGCATCGCCAATGTCGATGCTTGTATCTACTTTTGGTTTTGGTCCAGAGAACAAAGGCGCAGGAGGCAATGGTCGACGAGGACTGCCTCCATATCTTGAGCTGGGTGTACCCGGCCGTGGGCTACCGTTCAGATCAGCGCGTTCATATCCAATACTCGATACGGACGGCGGTCTAATGTGTGATGGGCTCCATGGGCGAATTGGTGATCCTGTGCGCGGGGGAATAGAAGGGTACACGGAAGTATCTGCGAGACTTCCTGTGGGAGGCGGGATACTGGGTCCACTGGACAAGCTGGATGGTGGACGTGAAGGCGAAGAGACACTGGGCACCTCGTAATAATTATCGTATCTTCGATCTTGTCCGGTCCTAGAATTGCACGCCCTAATGTTAGACCTTGGTTTTGGGAGACGTTCCATTTTGCCTTGAAGCTGGCAGGAAGAGGGCCAATGTGGAGTGGGGGATGAAATGGTAAGCAATGTACAGAGTACCGGATTGCCGAATGTAGAATGTTTACGGGGAGGAGGATCGACCAAACAGCAGGAAGGAGTTGGCTCGAGCCTAATAGCACAATGCCCATTGACAGGCAATTGCCCCAAGGCACAAACGTTCTCCCAGCCTCTCCATCACGTTAATGCAGGAGTTAGAGCTAGTGGTACACGTGGTTCCGTCGCGAGGGTAACCACTGGAATGTGAAGGCAGGGATGTATTGGAGGCAGTCGTGTAATACATACGGAGTATGATCATAATCTGGGTCATAATGCGAAGGCGAAGGAGGCCTATGACTACTAACTAGGTCATCTGTGCCGTCGCCGCTTGGTAGCAAGCGCATTGTTCCTCCATTGAGACGCGAAGCATTGGTTGGAGAATCGGGATCGGACAGATAGGAAACCGTGTCGAGGTTGAGGTATGCGGGCGGCGCGTCGCCGTAATTAGATGGCTGGTGGCGGCTCATGATCGAACTCGGAATGTGTCTTTTCTTGTCAACTCACTCCCTCATAGTATGGTCCCTGAGGTGGGTATCGATCAGAGAATGAGGGTCGATCCCCGTCGAAGATAAGAGTGGGTGTGGACCTGTGAGGTTCTACAGATGAATAGTTGAGGTTCGAGGAATGGGAGAATGGAGAAATGGAAGAATGTGAGTAAAATATCAATATCAAAGCTCGACACACAAGCAAGATAAAGAGAAACACAAGGCAATAGAAGAATAAAAAGAATCGATTAGGCAACAAGTCCAGCCCGTTCATATCCGTCACTTTGCATCAACAAGGTGGAGGTGCATATGGTTGTCAGGGCAACGCGGGACTTGGATGTCACGAATCAGCACGGGGGAAAGGTCTTGAAACACAATAATCAGGTGATTATTAAAATAGAATACATGTGATTTTCTGTCATCCATTCTATTCCCTATGCCATCAAATTTGTCAAGATATTCAATAGTATCCAATACCATGTCTTCCAATGTTCAATATCGACCATCCTCCGAAGTGGGTCGATGCATCTGCAGAGTGCATTTGAAGATTACTCCGTACATCGTTTAAGGTATCACAAAAAAGTGAGTAATTCTTCCAAAACAAGACTGGCCTTGCAGATCTCCCCATTCATAAATTTCATTCTTGTTTGTTCTCGTTCTCGGGCCTTCGCCCAGTCCGATCCTCAAAATATGGCCCATCGACCGACTGGTTAGGTTAGGCTTATGACAGTGGGTCCTAAATGCTGGCATAACGACACGCTCACACTCCCTCGTTTAGCAGCGGCTCTCTCTCCCGGTCCACCGACTCGGGGTGGGCAACACGACGGAAGAGGCTGTCGCGGCCAGTGTACTTGGTCGTGGAGATGTAAAGAGAGACGGCCAAGAACACGGCAAAGACAGTAAAGGCAAAGATCCATTGCAGGGCAATGACCTTGATAGCGACTTGTCTAAGGGCAAGTGCTGGGGGTATATATATCAGCAAAGCACTAGAGAAAAGTGAAGATACGAGGAAGAACTTACACAGCGTCAACCAACTCAAGCAATACCCAAGGATATAATCCTCTCGAAGGACAATATCAAACAGTCCAATCACAAGAATAAACCAGATAAAGATATTAGCAACAATACGTCCAGGCAGATTGTGGCTGTTGACAGCAACCGCGCCGTTCCAGAATAGCGCAGTGAGTGTCCAGGCATAGGGACCGGCAATGGCGGGCAGGTGCACGAATGCGGGTAGGCCGCGATGGCGCCAGTAGGTGACTGTCTGGTTGATTAGGTGAGCGACGAGGATGATCTCCGCGCCCCAGAAGTGGTTCCGGGTCCAGAGGAGGATCCAAGCGGCGAGGAAGAGATTGTTCAGGATAAAGTGGGTGGCTACGTTGGCAGCTGCCGTGACGAGGACACTGTTCTTGGAGAAGAGGTGCCAGACATAGCTGAGCTGAGATAGGAGGAGGAAGATCCTGGATAGGGTGTTAGGCTGTAAATATTCCAAAGCATAACCATATCCAATATCGGCATGGATGTGCTATTCAAAATTGAACTAACCAGAAAACGCCAGTTACAGTAGTGTTCTGGCTGAATGGAGTGTTATGCTTATTGGCCTGCTTCCAGATCTTTTTGCCCTTCTTGGTATCGTCAGGCGAGTGAACAGAATAGTAGCCGCCGACCACCACGACCAGAGCCCAGGTGAGGGGTACAAGGACGCGGTATGTATTCAGCGAGCTGGCGCTGTGAGTTTCACGTCTAGCAAATGGGTTGAATGATGCCATGATAAATTTATTACCCAAGCTGATGAAGCTGAGTATAATAATAAAAAAGAAGATGTTTAGAAGAGAGGGGTCTTATAATTTTAAGAAGGGATTCCCCGCATAGGGTCATCAGACCATCATCCAATAGAATTAGACCATTCTAGGGAGAGCAACCTTGGAAGAACAGGCAATGATGTAGATGAGGTCAATTTCACGATGATGACATCAGCGCTTTTTTATCTCATATTTAGGGTTACTTTTGCACTATATGCGTACTTGATTTTCTCAAGGTGAAATTGTTATTTTTTATGATATACTATAGTCAAATATAGTCAAATATAGTCCAATTTTATTCGAGGCTTTCAGTTCCACTAGGAATACTTATGTTCCTCGTGAAACAGGGACTGAGCGCCATCCCCCAGTCGACTCCAGCTGGAACCATAACTCGATGCAAATTTTGCCAAGCGTAGATCACCGTGCACAGTCCTATTCGATACAAAGATCAACCTGACACTGACATGGAAATACAAAAAGGTAATAGTGAGCTAAGAACTCATAGGACATTGAAAGCGGAAATCAAGGAAAATGAGACCCGCAATTGAGCCTAGTTAGGCGCCGGAAGACGATTTGAGACTAAAAATAACCTTGAAAATGGGTATGAAACAACGCAAGGCACGGAATACGCCCTTTTTAGTATACATGTTATGTATATGTAAGTATAAATAGGAATTACTTGAGGTTATGGGTAATGCGGGGAAAGAGGCCAGTGCTCACGCCTCACGCCGGTAGAAAAAGTAAGTCTACCTTATATGTACATATGTAACATAGTAGTATAGTAACGATGCCAATGATATGATTATCTAGGGTATCAAAACCAACATGCAAAAAACAAGACCAAATAGAACCCCTCCATGCCATATACATATAAAAGAAATAGAAAAAAGAATCACAATCCCCGTGCCTCCCTCACAGCCTCCACAATCCTCCCATGAACCGAAGCCGGCCCAACAACCATACCATAACACCCAGCCAATGTACGACCTAGCGCACAATCAACCGGTTTCCCCTCAAGATCTGTAACGAGACAACCCAATTCCTGCACAATCAGCATGCCACCCGCATGATCCCAAATCTTGGAGCGATAATCTGGACTCAATGGCACCTTGACGAAAGCATTACACCCTCCTTGCACGGCAATGGCAACATAACGCATCTGCGCTGACCACAAATCCACCGGGTTTGGCCACGGGCAGCCAAGACTCGCCGCCACACGGGCATGAGCCTCAAGATCCTGCGTCTTCGCCGCACGGGTATCAATGAACCGCACGTCCGAAGCCCCAACCTGCGGGACACGTTCAAGCGGACGTGCCGGCAGCAAAGCGCCCGGACCCATAGGTCTGATGGTAGCACCCTGCCCGACAACGGCTGAGATCATCTGGCCGAGACCGTTGCGGTCGACGCGGTGTTCGGCGACGGGTCCTGACACCAGGAGATTAGGGCAGCCGAGAACGCCGATTTTCTGGATTCCGTTTTCGACGAGTGAAAGGCATACTGCATACTGCTCGCCGCGGATATAGGTTGCTGTTCCATCTACGGGGTCTAGAGTCCAGGTTCTGCTGGTGGGGGTGCAAGCGCCTCTTGCACCGAGGTCGATTAGGTCGAGGAGTTCGGAGTGGGAGCGTGGGGTGTGGAGGAGAGCTTCGCTGTCTGGGTCATTGAGGTGGATGCTGGTTGCTAGGTCCCAGGTTCTTGCAAGAAGCTCGGGATTTGAGCGAAGGGCTGTGGCATCTTCTTCGCCAACGATGTCGTCGTCTGGGAAGGCATTGTGGATGGCTGCAATTATTGAGGCTTGGGCAGCGAAGTCGGCAATTGTTACGGGCGAGGAGTCGCTCTTGTCAAGGGCGCCTTTATCGACTGCAGAGAGGAGCTCTTTTGTAAGGAGGGCTGCTCGTTGTACGGCTAGGCTGGCGAGTTGGAGCTCTTTGGCGTAAGGGGTTGAGGAGATCATGGTGGGTAGGTTGAGGTCGGTGGTTTATGTGGATGGTTTGGAATGATTGACCCCGAAGAAGAAGATTTGGTCGACTGGAGGTAGAAGTTCCAATTGGAAGTGACAAGTCTGAAAACGGCGAGTTTACTTTTTGGACAAGATGGAGGGGTATCACGTGCGACATCGGGAAGGTATCCCTACGTCATATTTGGATCTAGCCCCTGTTGAGGTGGAGTGGACATATACAAATTTTTACTACTAGTACTATATCGAATCTGCTTCGAATCTACGAAGTACTACATGGGGCAACTGCAAATTGTGGGTGATATCTGCCCAAAAGACTCCTTCCTGTCCAGGCTACAAGTCCGCGTTCAAGGGATATGGTGACGGTCCTATGTATTTTATCCAGAAGGGAAAAAAATCCCGTGCCTGTCCTGAGGGGAACACTCGGGTATCGCCCGGAGGTGGAGAAATGTCGGATGATTATCATTCTCGTAATTGAGTAGCTATTTACCACGTTGTGAGGAGCAGATGTAATCAGACAAAGAAAAAGATCAGCTTCCTCTACGGCTGTACTAATGCTAGTGGGTACCCTATATTTCGATTACAATTCGCATGCCTGAGTGCTCCCGAGGTCGTATTGGAGTCTAGTATGAGCCGTTCAGACCGCCTTGTGCTTGAGTACAGAAGGATGAATGGTTCTAGATTCGCCAGGTTTAACAAGTCATAATCATTCAATTGAGGATATATAGGGTATAAGCCCTCAAGACGGAAAATAAAAATAAAAACAGCATCGGGTTGAACCTCAATGTACTCTTAACGAGAGAGCCCACCTGGGCAGCTCGGAGGTATATCACATAAAACGCCGAATCCTCATGTAAACCAGCATAAGATCAGAAAGGAGCAAAAGCCAGCTCGTAAGCAAAAGCCAAGCTCATCTTCGCATGCTGCAGCATATGATCGAAGCTCAAATACTCGATCTTATCCTCGGTAGTGTGGATCCTCTTATCGGAGTTCTCAAACTGAGATTCGATCACAAATGCAGAGGGGTATCCATACCGACTAGCAGAAGCATGATCAGAGCAGGCATAACCACACTTTGTCTCGACATAAGGCACATCGCAGTAGGTAGTGATAACCTCCTTAATGAATGCAGTAAGTCCAGCATCGACATAGTCGATAATAACACCCACAGACTCCTTCTCGCCAGCATCCAGAGTACCCTGAACATACCCAGTCATATCCTGCTGGAGCATGGCCTTGATGTTCCGCTGATTCTTCTTATATTTAGCATAGACAGCCTGCGATCCGAGCAAGCCACCTTCCTCGGCAGAGTACCAGTGGAACTCGATGGTGTTGCGGGCCTTTCCGTGGGCGATAGTCTCCGACCGCAGCAGGGCACGAAGAGCTTCGAGGATAGTAACTGTTCCACTGCCATCGTCATCTGCGCCGGGCGCAGCCAGGATTGAAGGCAGGAACAGGTTGATGCTGTCCTGGTGGGAACCGAGGACGACGGTATTATCCGTCTGGCCGGGAATGCGGGCGATGATACTGAACTGTCCCCAAGGATGGTCAAATCGCTCCACGGTTGCACCATGGTCGCTGGCGCCAGACTCGTGCACTGCAGCAGTCACTTGGTCGAATAGCCAGGTTGCTGACTCGATTCCCGTTTGTGACTTGTAGTAGCGCGTGTAGAAGGATGTGAAGTGTTCTAGGTTACTTCTCATGTTGCTCTTGTCGAGAGTTTCAGCCAAAGGCAGAATCTCGTGTGAGTGCTCCATCGTTCCTGGGTAGTGGACTACCCGTGTGGTGTGGAGGGTTCCGTAGGAGCCTGATTGGTATTCCTCGGTGACATCGATGAAGTTCACTCCATCCTGGTGGGACGTTAGCACTATGGCATGATTTAATTCGAATCAAAGCTTGGCTTACTAGCTTGAGCGACCATTTTTCTTCTTCGGTTACCCATCGTGTCCGGTATGGGGCAAGTTCGATCAGAGACTTAGATTGAGGGTTTTGGACAATTGAAGGTGCTAGAGGTTGTTGCTCTGGGTTGACCATAGCCATGGCAGTTGCCGTTGCACTCAGCGCAAGAGTGAGGAACTTCATGATGAAAATAATGATAAGAAGAATAAACAAAATACGAAACTTGGAGAGGGTCTCAGGTTTCTTTTAAAAGCTCTGGGAAGAGGTATCACGCGCCCTGCGCCAAGCCATTTTTGGACCCCGCGCGCTAAAAACACCGAGGCTCTGTATTATTCTTAGAACGGAAAGACTTCCGGTGTATCCGATTTTTAGAATCTCAAACACATTACTATATTGGCTCCTCAATTTATGTCCAAGGTGCCAAAATCCAGGGCCTTGAAAAGGCACAGGCGTGGGGAATTGAAGGGGATTGAAAAGGTGGAGAAAAAGAGAAACTCCACTATGACTGCGCCGTGACTCACAGCCCTGCGGAGATAAGGCTCATTGATTATTTATATATGACCTATTCCATAACTATACAGCCTTGGAGCTAACTAACTCTACTACGGAGTACGGAGTACTAGTGTTTACTTTGTACAGCCTCGATATATTTTTGCTCCACCTTCTGGTTCCTGAATTCCAAATTCCACACCCAAATAGGAAATCAGGGCTAGGGCTATCAGTCACCCACATTCCACCAATCAGCGTCAATCCAGTTGTCCCGTGCAGACAACCTTGCGTCCGACGGGGTATCATCTCTCCCAGGTCCTTATCTTGCCCATTCCTATCCTATCTTTATCCCTCTTTCTCCCTAGAACTGTTGCTTGAATTAGACCGTACATTATGGCTATCCATCCACGCCTGCGCCCAGAGGGTTCGCAAGGGCATCTGTCGCCGCAACAAGCCCTAGCCATCTCCACATGGACAGAGCAGCATGCAGTAGTGTCCCTGCAGGACTTGTCCCTGTCGGACTCAGCCCCTGCAGCGAGGATGCCGCCCACACCGACCCCGACGCGCTTGGGTCTGCGTGGGACCACTGTTTCGCTGTCGATCCCTCTCGACGACGCGATCCCGTCGCAACCAGTCAAGGTCGAGTCCCGTCCCCCGACAGTCAACTTCCGACGTCGGGAGCCTCTGCGCCGAGATGGCCTCAAGACCCGGGAGGCTCTGCTCAAGGGTAAAGACGGCAGCCGTCGGAGACAGCGCTGGGAGAACGGTACGTTGTATATGCACTAGATAGGCCGTGGTGAATGCCGATTTCTTTACCTTTTTCCTGTTTGCTTTTGGCTTTGGCGCAGGTTTGGCAGGAAAATGCTGACCAGACACTAAGATCGTCTGTTGCACAACCCCTGGGCGCAACCGCCGTCTTCAAAGGACTGGGATATCCAACCTACCTATCCTCGGCATGACCCGATGCCTTATTATCTTGCGCCCCTGTGGGATGTCCATTATTCACATGTGGTGGATCATCAGTCGGCCGTGAAGGCTGCTGAGCGAGCTAGTGAGAAGCATCAAATTCCAAAGGAGCTGAGATTAAAGCTGAAGCATGCGCGTGCTGCGCATGGCATGCTCCGAGATCTGGAAGATGAGGTCCGTACATTTATTCAGAAGTGGAACGAGAGGGAGCTTCTGCTTGAGAAAGAGGGCTTACGGGATGCCCCCGACAACTCGGGTAGCGACGACTCGGAAGATGAGATCGTCTTTGTCGGCCGTAATGGGCAGATGCACGACTCGCCCGAGCGAAAGGAGAGGCTACGTCTACTCCGAAAGGAGATCAGCTCTCACAGTGAGCGAGAGGGTGAGAAGATGGTGCTTGAGACTCTGGCTGATGATCGTGCCGCTGGATTCGGGTATGTTTGCGTTTTTTTTCTTCTTTCTTTCTTGATAACAAAATTGCCTAGTCCACTGACACTTCTTAGTCGCTGGCTGGTTCACTCCATCGCATCCTACTATGGATTGCACACTTGGTCCGTCACAGTAGAAGACCGACGAGAAGCCTATGTGGGCTTCCGAGCTCCGATCCCAGGAAGCCGTGTCGGACTCGTTTCTCACCCAGCTTGCCATTCGGAGTCATCGATCAAGCCTGGCGAGGAGCTTCCTCGGCCTCTCTATGCGCAGATATGATATAGACTGCTGCTTTCATGCTTCTCACCTGTCTTCCAGATTGGACATATATTTTAGTTTTCCATCCAGGGTAATGTTGACGGACATTGTAATCATCTCGGCATGAACGCAGACGCGGGTGGTCTCTCGGCGGTCTCTCGGCTACGTGTGATCGTATATAGATTTTATTGGACATATTTTCTTCGCAATTCAGGCCTCTCACGTAGCATTGATGCAGTGTTGATCAATTGTCGAGGTGACTATGATCAGTGGGGACTATGAGTTCATCATGTTTGTGTTTGCTCAATCAGGCCGGAGTGAAGAATTCGAGTGGGATAGAACCTCCTTTCGTTCTCGCGACGTACATATGTAGGTATAGTCTGTGCGCTGAAACTAGCCGATCCTATGTCGTCATGCTAAGACCCTGTTAAGAAGATTAGATAGATCGTACGATCGGAAGAATGTATGAACTCTTTAATTGTTGAGGGGCGACCTATCCAGGAACAGATCGGATCTTCTTATGGCGTGATATATTCTATATACATCCACTGTACGGAGTATATATAGTTAGGGATGTGTATACTCCGGATGGATGATCTCGGCTATTACTGTCTCCACCACACAACGATGGATCGGAACGGACCGCGGGGTCCACGGTTTCCTAAGGTTCTCATGACGTCTGAAATATGTACATGTATGTAGAAAGGGATGCCTTTTCAAAACTAGAAGTTGTGTACCCTGTACTCAGGATAATGTATATAAGAATTTTCAAGTGCTTGGACCCTAGAGGGCTCGAGCCCTGAAATAACAAAAAGAAACACTTCAAGTACTTAAGTATCTCCCTACAACATACGGAGTAGATACGGAGTACAGGGAATCTCGTGTCCAGACCAGTTCGATGCAGCCCCCCGCAATCTCACTGGCTCTTGCTGGGAAACAAAAAGCAAAAATGGGGATGAAGCCACGAATGAGGATAAGACACAGGCACTATCACACAACGCATAACGCACTAGAGAGTAATTTTATCACTTCTTATAGGTAGGATTTATTAATATTCACTCATAGCCCCCGGATGTGAAGCTGGCTGGTGTTCTTTTCATCTTCTTCTGTTTCTATTTGTGCCATAGTTTAAGATAATTGGTTTTAGCTGTGTGGCTCTCGTAAATAAATTCTTTGATAGTGTGTGGGTGCGTATGGAGTAGAAGAACAAAGAGTCGGGTACCAAAAAATGACGAGTTGAACATTCTCCATTCCCCCCCCTCAATGTTCTAAATACTTCCCACATTGTGACAGTCCAGTTTTCTACATTCTCTCTTACCTGATTTTTTTTTGGCTTTGAGTATTCGAATTTCTTTTTCTGTGACTTTGCTTTTCGTCTCTTTTACATTTTCCCCCCCCTTCCCAATTCCAATTCCCCTATTTATTCTATATTTTTGTCTTCTCAAACAGGAAATCCCCCACCCCTGCCCTTTTCCCTTTCGATCATATGATTCTCACTCTTATTGTTACTGTATCCCTGATAATAACTCTGGGGATATCTTAATGTTCCTTGTCAATTTTATTATTCCCTCTGTACCCCATGTTATGAGTATCTGACCCCTCCTTGACTTGCGGAATCAACCGGACTATCTACAGGTCCAAACGCCGGGTGTGATCGCTTTTACTCTGATATATCTTATTTGGTCAACCACACCACCTGCGGCTTACTTACGGCTGATTTTGACCATATTCCTGGCTTATATCCGCTTTTTCTACCCTTCTTCGCCTATTTCACTGTAGATCAGTGAAACACATACATATACACACCTATAGCCCAAATCGGCATCGCAACCACTATGGGCTCCTATAAATCCTGCCAAGCTGGCAGCTACAGCTCAACAGACAGTTCATCCTCAAAAAGCACGGCAGCAACAATTCACAGCGAGAGAACAGTCCCCAAACCACACAAAAATGACTGGGTCCCCAGCTCAACCCGAAGACACACCTACAGATCCGAAGCTGAAGCCGAAGTTAAGTATGAGAGTCGCGAGCAACGCCCTCGCTCCTCAACTTCAACCTACGCTTCAACAACAAACTCCATAGCCGAACTTGATCCCGAGCCCCAACAAACCGAGGCCTCAAGCCCCCACGAGGGCCGCTACTGCGTAAATGAGCGGCAAGAATTTTATCCACTAGATGCAATCCCCTCAACACCCTCATCCTTCGCGCCGCTCTTCCCGTCTTCGCGGCGACTGCTTATCCGCCACGACGACACAACCATCGACGGAAATATGAACTTGCGCGTCGACACGCCCGTTCATCTCCGTGACGGCTCCCAGCGCGACGTTATCCTCTTCCACCTGCGCATGTACGACCTCTTCTCGCGGAAGTTCTCTTTCAGACGGTACTGCCGGGACTCAGGGCGCGAGGTGTGCCATTCTGCGAGGCGGGAGGTCGTGCCTGCTCATGAGCGAAGGCCTGCACTGCGAACCTCATGGAGTAATGTTTTTGCTGGGTTCAGGCCTGGTTCAGCAGGTTGTCATTGTCAGCCGAATGGGGAGCTTAAGAGGCAGGATTCGGGGCATGGGGCTGGCTGTCCCCATGGGAATAGACATGGACATAGCCATGGCCATGGCCTTGCTGCGGGGGAAGAGGTAGATGAAAAGACGATCGGGGAGGATGAGTTGGAGAAGGAGAAGGAAGGACAGTGCACTTTGCCGATACTGGGTGAGACAATTTTGCTCGAATTCTCGAATTATGCGCATGTCGAGCTACGCCGCAAAGGACCTGGCTCGACTAAGAAGTATGAGTTCGAGTATTGGTCCACGAAGTACCAGTGGCGGAGGGAGGTCCGCAAAGAGGGTGATCTGCACGAAGTGTCTTATTTCTTGGTTGACACGCGCACTTCCAAGACTATTGCTCATTTGGTTCCGGATACGTTGGCGCCGTTGGAGGTTGTTGAGGAGGAAAGTAAGGGGGGTTGGGTGCCACCCTCTTCATTGTGGATCAGTGATCCTGAAGTTTGCAAGACGATGCCTGATGTTGCCGAGTAAGTTATGTTGAATCCCTGCTCTACCCCTCAACCACCTGGCCCGTTTTGCTCTCTGGGCCGGGCCTTCACTCTATTTGCTTTTTTATTTTGTTGTGTATTCCCCCTCTTTTTTTTTATTATTTTGCCTCTCTTTTCTTTTTCTGTGGTTCGTATGAGGGGGGTTGTGGTTCGTGTACAATTCACCAACGCATCCGCCATGCGAAATGCACTATAATATCCCTGCACAAAGTGATGATGAGACATGAGGCTGATGGATTCGTTCGCTTTTTCCCAGTGTGATTGTCGCAACAGGGATAGTCGCGCTAGTTGACGACTGCATTCGTCGTCGCTGGCATCACGAGCGGCGTCCGTCCTGGATCCTGCCCGCTCAGCACTCGTTAGCAAAGAGTCTGGAGCGCATGGGCCCTCGGCGCCTGATCGGCCAGGTATTGCAGCGGAGAGGATCCGCCTAAGCGACACAGGGGTTATCGGCTCCAAGTCCAGACAAGGATAATGTATGATGAGACGAACTTGATGGATGAGTTGGTCCTGCATTAGTCGGGATATTTATGGTGCACGGGATTTGGTCCTGCATTTAATGACTTAATGATGTTAATGACGCAGGATATGAATGTTTTGTTGTTCTTGCTCTGGTTTGGCTTCTTCTTGTGGATGATTCTCGTTATGCTTCTCTATGTTTAAAATTTTTTTTTTGTTTTTTTTTCTTTTTCATCCTTCCATCCTTTTTGTTTCATCTTTCTTGTTCGTTGATACGAATCATCTCGATGTAACGGGACTCCGGGGGACTTGAGAAGCCTAATTCCGGGCGATCCTCTAATACGGATTTGACAGGGGATCAAGCAGGCTTGCAGATTTGGGCATTTTAAATATTACATGGATTATAGCCGAGCATGATAGCTTACAATTTCATTTCGCATCCGAAGGGGTTTATTGCTATGCTGGCGTTGCATACGTTGAGTCTGACCGCTTCAAAAAGTGAACCATGGTTCAATTCTTGAGCTAGGGCTAGTTTAATTATGCGAACCATGGTTCGACTCTGGAGCTAAAATGTCTCGTGCTCTGTTGACCTATTGACCTGTGAACTAAATGCATGTACACCCTACAACCTCACCTAAGATTTTCCTCAGAATGCAGACAGGGTGAGAAATAAATAGACTAGCGCGCCATATGAAGAACCCTGGAAGCTCAGTACTATTGTTTGGGGCTCATGATCGATTGGCTCTGGATGAATCTTTTCTTTTTAGCGCGAGTAACAGCCCAAAGAACACCCTTGACCTTGCTGCCTTATGGGAAATTCAAAGAAATAGCCAATATAATACCCGGTATTCTTTTAAGATGCCGGTATACTGGTATACTATGTCTACTACTGTAGGTACCTACATTGTACGTGGTACTTATGTAGTCTACTGCGCAGCATACATGTAATAGATGTACATCAACAGATCAAGATTGGGTGCGGGGCAAGCCCCTCAATTCGTTTTTTGTCATTTCTTTTTTCTTTTTTCTAAACATTTTAGACGCCCTATAATGTGCTGGCCTAGTCCCCTGTCGACCATCGGCTGTTTCTCTACGTGTTTCGTGCATACTCGATGTTAGCCGCATTATTGAGAACCATGGTTGAGGATATTGAACTCTGCATGAATGCCCAACACATCTCTGGCAAAGTGAACATCCATTCGCTCCGACGGGAACATTCAGCCTGTCTTTAAAAAAACAATAACAAATGAGCTGTCGATGAATTTCCTTCTATGGGTATCTCTGCACATCAGGGCGGTTAACCCGACGGGACTAGCCGACAACATGAAAATGAACCAGGGGGTTCTTGGCCGTATCTTTGTTCGAGATCTCTGCAACACATGCTTTCCTGACGCCTTTCTGACGTTTCTCCGGCGGAAATGCCACCCATCTCGCCTCATTCCATCGCTTTGTCCCTTTTTTTCTCTTCTATGTTAATCCTAGGCCCGACAGCAACTGTTCATGCAGGGCGGCCCGGTCTGTGGCTTTGGAGGTGCCCAGCAACCCCTTCCAAGTCAACAATGTGTGAAAGTCGACTTTCTCCAAAATAGTCATGATCTCATTCATCATGATGAGCTGGCAACACTTTCCAATGCGGCCCAACTTGGGAGTTGAATCTACACTTCGGGCATCCTCTACATCCATGACTTGAAAAAAACAATTAAACAATAAAAGCTATGACACCAACGCTGTGTCCACAGGCTCCGCTTTTTGGGCAGAGATCACCTACAGCTCTCTATACCCCTCATGCAGTCTCTCATGGTTGTTCCAGAAGCCCGCCGTTCCGCCGATACGGTTTAAGTCCATGCGCAAACTAATCTCGGGAGATGATAGTATTTTCGTTTTCTTTTGGTTTTTTTTTTCTCCTGACCTAAAGTACTTGTGCTCGAGTGAGGCAAGGAAGAAAAAATAAAATCCCAAAAAAAAAAAAAAAAATCCAAAAGGAAAATCGCATGCAAATCAAAAAAGAAAAACCCAACGTGGGGTTCTCTGACTTGTTCACTTTTCTATCCAATCCGCATCCAACTTACTCCCGAAAAAGATGTCATTTACTCTGGGATCCTAGGGGAACTGGCCAATATCTCCTTGTCTGTCATAGAACGGGAACTAACTTGGAAACATCCGGTTTTGCCCCTCTTCCTTCCATAACCCTTACGTGCTGTCTAGCGTTTCTTCAAGGGCTGTTTTTTGCTTAGTCGGCGTGCGCCGGGCCGTTCCAGGTTGCAGCCTCAAAATGATCCGCATACTTTTCCTACGCCTACGTTCCTTGACTGGTGGATAGGGAGGGGGGATTTGGCTGACGCTGTGTCATGTCCACATCGACATGCATAAGCCCCCTCTGTTAGGTTTGAGGGTTAGGCTCCTGTTTGTTCCCAGGGGGAAAATATTTTAAAAAAAATTTTTGACAAAAAAGAAATACCAAAAAATTTAGAAATTACAAAGAAAAAAAAAAAAAGTAACAACGGGGTGTCTTTTCCTGGCCTTGAAGATATGGCCCACTGTTTATATGACTCCCCGCTCCCCATGTCGTCCAGGTCTAAAAAGGTCATTGAAAAATACATTTAAGAAGATCTCTAGAGATTCCAAGCGAGTCCAATTGACCTCGTCTGATCCTGTTCTTTCTTTTATATCTTCTGGTTTTCCCTTGAAGTCCGACTTGCTTTTCTCTATCTTCATCTTCAATTGGGTTATTAAACGACACTATCGTGCACTCATATCCTCCCCGCCTTCTATCCCACTTCATACCATCTCAATCGCAAAGTTCAACAGCTCCTCCGTTATCCCATCCATTTACGAAGCAGCAATGTCTTATACTACCAGTCCTCAAGGGAATAGCGCTGGCAGCCGGCCCAGTTGGCAGGATCAGCTCCAGGGTAAGCCATTGGAATGCGTATTCCAGCATCAGCAGCATCAAATTATCTCCCAAATGACAAGAATACCCGACTAACCGTCTTCAGATCATTGCACACGCACCAAGCTGTCTCCTCCTGTCTTCAACATTGTCTCCGATCGGCGAGGTACTTACCCGATTTCCAATCCTCCTCCTCCTCGGTCTTCATCCACCGTCTTCCCATTCTGCAGAACGTGATTATTTTATTTACCCTCCTATCTTCCGGTCCAATACATATATACACAGCGTACCTCCATCCACCGCTATGTGTCTCGTGTGTGGGCATTGCAGGAAGGGAGTGGAGTCTTGCAGAAAAAGACGGAGAAAAATGCCCCCCTCCTTCACTTGTACACCGACTTTTAGTTTCCGAGCTTTTGACAGTGGAAAGCTAATTAGTTTTATCTCGCCATTGCAGGAGGTCGTACTGCCTGGTCCAGTACCGTCACCGTCCAGGGCCAGAATATCGCCGCTCGTTACTGGTATGATGGTCAGTTTATCAACAATGCCAAAGAGGACGCCGCCGAGGTGGCCCTCAAGGCCCTAAATCAGCAGCCCCGGGCTGCTACTGTCTATCAGGGTCAGCTGTTCCCGCAGGCAACCTCGTCCGGCTATGGTCGCGGAGCTGGCGGCTTCTGATCGTATTCTTTCTTTGAAATATTTCCTACTAGTCTTGGGTGGCATTCTCTTCACTTCTTGTGTTTTTATCAATTTGCTTGGTTCTCGATTCTGACGTTGATCCTGAACTCTGTTGCTCTTCATTTTCCTGGTGTGATGGGTGCTTGTTCTGGTTTGTTTCCCCCCTGTTGTGAAGGGCCCTCGGGGATCCACAGGTCCCCATCCGATGCAAAAACCCATACCTTTGTTGTCGCGTTGCTCTCTCACTTGCGTTTTTGACTGCAGGAAAAAAAAACATATCCCCTTCACCGCAATCTTCTCCTCCCACCTCTTTTTTTCGTGTCGACACCCTTTTCTTCCCGAGTCCCTTTGATGCATGCACTATCCCTCGTCGACAACACAGCCACTGATTCCCAGTTTCTGCAAGTCCAGCTCACAATGACTCACTGCAATGCAGAGTCTATGTCATGGACTCTGGTGGGATGATTCATGATTCTTGACATCAGAAATACGGGCAAATAATTAAAAAAGATTTAGAAAAAATGCACCATCCACCATCCCTGCCCCGGATGACCACTTCCAAATGCAGGTCACTACCTTGTTTCGCATTTGTGAAACCTCAGAACCAGTCGTGACACACCACACCCCAGATCCCGACGGATCAGGTAAAGGGTAGGGTTTCTGGATGTCGTCAGGCCTCGTGTGATGCATTGCGAATCAGACTCTCTTTTGGCTCTTTTCAGCGCCCATCCCTCCTCACATACGTGTCTCTCTGGGGGTGCACATATGTATTCCTTCAGAGACATCCCAAATACGTTTTTCTGCAACCAATTATTGTTTTCGCTCACCGGATTGGGGTTCATACATGCCGCCTTTGGTATATGATTCGTCTCTACTCTTGCTGCTGTGCTGTCTACGTTGATACAAAACCTGAAATTGGGCCAGAGGCTTACTGCCACTTGATGAGAAGCGAGGGGCTCGGGTCTCATGCATCATGTCAAGTGACTGCTGTTTGTCCCTACGAAAACATATGACTTGTCATGCTCAAGCGGGTTCGATGTCATACCCGGGACAATTTCCAATCGCTACTCTCTGCTACGCGGTTCGAATAGCAATTCTACCTTGTGGCATTGTCGACAAGTCTAAGGTGGCATTTTGAATATCTGTTGCCCCCTGCTGCTTCATTCTCCCTGGAGCTATGGACAAATGCCTGTGTCTGTGCCACCCGGGATGCACAACGACTCATCCTAATCTCAAGCGCGATGTGACATGGCAAATTTGGCGATAGAAGCAGTTTGGCACAAAGGGTCACGAGGAGTTAACCGGATTAAAACAGGACAAACATTTTTCATTTTTCGGGCATCTACTTTGTCTAGAACTTGGATTTGGATTTGATTTACGTTTCGTCTGATTATTCGATACGTTTTGCTTCGTTTTGTCTTTCCTTGGTTTAAATCGAATGTATGCGCCTAGCGGAGGGAGTTTCTTTGGTATCTGTTGGTTCTTGTTAGGCTGTGTTGGGTTTAAGAGGTTCTGACACGGGACTGGACCAGGGTTATATATTACGTTGGTATCATATATGGATTATACTGGACTCTTGGGACTGTAATGGTCAGGGTTTAGTTTCTATCAGATTGTTTTCTTTTGTTTTTCATTATACGATTATGGAATATCTATCGACAGTGCTTTTATAAATGAATTCTTCCCTTTTCTCTTGATTTCCTATTAATGATGGGTATACTTATGAAATGGACCCATAATTCATGACCGCCGGCTGGAACAGACTTGCCCCTTTCTAGAAAAGGGCGTTGTACATGCGTACCCTCGTTTGAGGTACTGTTGATCATCGCGGGTTCTTGCCGCATTGGCCTTCCGCCCGAAATTACACATCCGCGGGTAGCACAACGTTGGCCATGTGGCTAGCCAAACATTAATTTCCGACACATAGCGGCCGAGTTGGGCAGCATTCAAAATGACCGAAATTGTCTTTTGGGTGAAATAAGCCAAATACATTGTATTTAAAAAAAAGAAAAATATTATAAATATCAATTGATGCTTCGAAATATATATATCTCTACAAAAGTACACTGTAGAGTTGACGTTGGCTGTTGGTCAGTTTACTTTGGACTGAACCGTGGAACGCTGAACTCTAATAACTAGCAACCCTAATTGTCTATTTTGACCAACTCATTGCCGATAGGCCTCAATGAACCCGTGGACTCAAAGTGCTATATAAAGCATCTAAGAATAGATGTTCTCAGTAATTAGGGTTAGCATTATACGCAGTGTGTTGCTAACTAGAACTGTACATCATTGTATACCCCAGGCTACCAGAGTGATACTCAGCCTTGCTCGGGCGGTGGCTATGTCGATCGACTTATACGAGACAAACCAGTGAAAATTAAGTCAAGACGTAAAATACTTTCAGGCCTAGGTCAGATACCTGGTGTTCGAGCACGATATAATTAATTATCCCATCGCTAAAGCCAACCGCATACCAATCTACCTCAAACCAAGCACTTCCACCTCTAAAATATCCAATCAATCCGAAGCATCAAACAGCTATCTGTCCCATTTCAAGCAGATCCTTTCCGCCCAAATATTACTATGTGTTTTGGATCATCGCGTAGAGAGACATCTAACTCTCTGCCCCCGCGGCCCGCATACTACAGCCATGGCGCCCACAGCCAGCACAAATACAAGGTTGATGATGCATATAAGAAGAAGAACCATCGCACACACCGAAGCACTTCTTCTTCTGCCGGAGCCGTGATCGCAGGAACGAGTGGAGATGGAGGTGGAGGTGGAGGTGGAGGTGGAGATGGAGGTGGCGGTGGCGGTGGCGGTGGCGGGTGCTAGATCTGGGGCTTGATACGGGCGTTGGATGCTGTTATTGATTGTATGACGATGAGTTATTGACTACGAGATATATAGGGCTCGTAGATCTGGAATATGATTGGAACTTGTAAATTTAGTTAGACAAGGGGCACATTGGAGACCCAGCCGGCATGTACAATACATATATTTAAACCTTGTACATTACTCCGTGCGTTAGATAACAGAGCTGGAGTTATCAGTTTGCCGTCTGTACTCTATATAAAGCAACGAAAATTTGTAAGTTGCTATTAAAATTAATTATTTCAGGCATCTATTTGTTTGAGACTGAGATGCATGCAGTCCCAACTTCGTATACAACATGTATACCCTGCAGCTCGTAAACTGCGTCCTATCAACTTTCACCACAAATTCTCCAGTCCTACCAATCTAATACGCGAAACTCTTTCCATTTCTTGCCCCATCTCCACGGCGATTGCGCCACCCGTAGTAGAGCCTCAATAGAATGCAACCGGCTGTCACAAAGAAAAGCAATGCTGCATTTGTCCAATGACCGGTCGGATAGCCGATTTTTGCCTCGTCACTTTTGTAGATCCAGACACCGACAATCTGGCCTGGGGCACCAAATGATATGTTCAGTGCAATTGCGAGTCCCGCACCGGCTGTTGAGCTGATATTGGAGGATAGCCAGCCTAGTAGAGGTGGAATGCAAGCAAAAGCGCCACTGGCCGCGACTATGAGGCATCCATAGCGGCTCTGGGGCTTGGGTTAGTTCATTGACTTGGTACTCGCTTGGCATGATTGGCCGACTTACTAGATATGCATTGGCAGGCAGAACTGCGGAGGCGAGAAAACCAATTGCCCCGATGAAAGAGGATATGGCTGAATGGAGACCACGGCTGAGAATTAATGGTTTCAGGTTAGTAATTGCGTATGCCTCAGAATGAAAGACATTTTACCTGTTGAAGTAATCTGCGGACCAGGCCACGGCTATAGTCACAACATAGGCTACCGCGTATGGAGGCACGGTCATCAGCTGAGCACGGAGATTGGAGTATCCCAGACCAGCAGTAATGGCAGGTGTGAAAAGAGAAAGACTTGAGAATGGTGTGGAGATGCCGAAGTATACCTTTTGGCTGATGAGTATTTCAAAAACCGACTGAAGGAAAGGCCCAGAAAACATACCGCATAATGAGCATACAATCTCCAATCAGTCAGCGTATCCTTTGCGTCTTCCCACGACATAGCATGAGCAGATCCCTTAGAACCTTCCAAAACCAACCTCTGCGCAGCAAGCTCCTTCTCCTCAGCAGTAAGCCAACTAGCAGTCTCTGGGTAATCTGGCAACAAGAACCAGACTAAAACAGCAGATGCACACGACGGGGCCCCCTCAATGATAAACAGCCACCTCCAAGCAGAAAGGCCATGAGTGCCATTCATATGACCCACACCAAATGCAATTGCACCGCCAAATGCTCCAGCTAGTGTTGCCGATGCGAGAATCAGGGCTACGCGGATCGATCGCTCGGAGTTGCGATACCAGAATGTGAGGTAGTATACGAAGCCGGGGAAGAGACCGGCTTCCATTACGCCAAGGAGGAATCGGAGTCCTGTTACTTGGGCGTAGTTGTGGACACCACCAAGACCCATTGTTGTTGCGCCCCAGGAGAGCATGAGGAAGGAAATCCAGCGCTGGTGATTGTTAGTGGAATTGTAATGGTTGGATTGGTTTAGACGTACACTTGGGCGGAGCTTCTTCAGGAAATAGTTTGATGGGACTTCGAACAGTGCATATGCGATCAGGAATACCATGAGTGCAATTCTTTTATACGTAAGCGCTTTGAATACTCGTGGTTGATCAATAGTTGCTACTCACGTGAACTGATACGAAGTCATATTAGTCTCCGAGAGAAGATCATTGTGAGTATCCGCATTCAGAATTTTGGCATTGCCTATATATTTTAGCTTCAAGTCTATCTGATATCGGGGTCTGGAGACATACCAATGTTAGAGCGATCAAGATAACAAAGCAAGTAAATTGCAGCGCACAAGGGGATGATGCGTGTATCTTGTTTCCAGACTAAAGCTTTTTCGCGTGCCTTGAGAGCATCGTCAACGACATCGGGGCTGGCAAGCTGCATTAGGGTCAGTCCTCTTGAGCTTGCACACCGTAACAACAGAGTAGGCTCTATAATTAGGAAACAAGGAATGAGAAAACATACCTCTGAAGCATTTTCAATATCTTGCATGTATTTTTCGGTTTCCATATTGACAAGATGTCGCCTAGGTACACAAGAGAGTTGTGTCGGGAACAAGAAAATCAGAAAAGCAGTGTTTTTTTTTCTTTTTTTTTTCTCGCTTTCTTTTTTCCCCCGTGTGATCTACCTTCCCCGGGCTGATGTCCCCCGCACTAGGGCGACTCGGCCTTCTTCCGACACGCCTCACCGACATCGGGTATCCTATTTCGGGACTAGACCTAGAGCTTGAATTGTTGATTTCTTTGTCTAAGCGACGCTTCGTACTTCATACTCTGTACGGAGTACATATTTAGGTGATATTTGATTGGCGGCTCTTGTTACCCCTGAATTGGGGTTTCCCCGAATCTCCATATTGGGATCTCAGGGACGCCTAGGGTCGATTTCAAAAAGACTCAACACATGGAGCATTACTGGGTAGTAACGGGCAAGGTTATCATTAGCACTTGAGCTATTGAGTAGTATTTCTTGAGGTACATACCTAGTTTGCAGGCTATGAGTTAGTTTTGTCGGGAAGCAACAGTATTCACCAGTTGTTATGTTTAATCGCAACTGAGCTGAAAATATCTCCAACATTGAAATCATAGAGCATTGAAGATATTTACAAGGAGTACGGAGTATATAGAGATACATTCAAATACATCTTTTATTTGTGTATAACATACTCCGTAGAGCGCGTGTTGTATAAGCTCAGAGGATGCAAACCAGACAAACAGCTTATCAGATAAAAGTGGCCCTGATCGCGTCGCAAACACTTAAATCACCCCTCCCCATGCTATGCCACCGTCTGCTAGCCAGGCGCCCCGCTAGAACATTATATTCAGCTCTGTCCATACCAATTGCAACTATGTCAACCACCACTGCTCCCGTCCGCAAATCTATGCCCTCCGCATTAACCTTTGATCGCCACGCCAAATGCTCGGTACGTCCTTGTGGCATGACGGGCTATTTAAACCCTATTGTAACATATATCTGATGCGTGATATGGTATAAATAGACAACAAAGGCCCGTGCGAGTACCCTCCACCTTCCTCATGGCTCAGTCCCTCTGCCGATCTTCATGCCCGTTGCGACACAGGCATCTCTCAAGGGCTTAACATACGACCAGCTACGAGAGACGGGGTGCATGCTGTGTTTGAATAATACATATCACTTAGGTCTGAAACCCGGCCAAGCGGTACTAGATGCGGTGGGTGGAGCGCATAAGTTACAAAGCTGGGATCGGAATCTCTTGACCGATAGTGGGGGGTGAGATGAACTACCCTCGTACATTGATAGTATGTTACTAACCGGGTATGTTGCTTCTCAGTTTCCAGATGGTGTCACTTCTTCAGTTGGCCACTGTTACGGAGGAAGGAGTGCGATTCCTTAGCCCGCACGATGGCTCGCCAATGTAGGTGACTTCGTTGTAAACTGTGTGGCTGAACATCTGAAATGCTGACTTTTCACCAGGTTACTGACTCCCGAACACTCTATTTCTCTTCAAAATTCTATCGGATCTGATATTATCATGCAATTAGACGATGTGATTGCAACCACTTCCCCTGATCATGCTCGCATCAAGGAGGCTATGGACCGCTCTGTGCGATGGCTAGATCGGTGCATCGAGGAGCATAAATATCCCGAGCGACAAAACCTCTTTTGTATCATCCAGGGTGGCCTGGATCTCGAATTGCGAAAACAGTGCTGTGAAGAGATGGTGGCGCGAGATACACCGGGAATCGCCATTGGAGGTCTATCTGGAGGTGAGGCGAAGGAGGAGTTCTGCAAAGTGTACGTGCCTCTACATTCATGAAACAAAAAGACCGAATGAACTGACCAACCAAAGAGTGGATACATGCACTGACATGCTCCCGGAACATAAGCCCAGATACGTCATGGGCGTGGTATGTCTTTCTGAATTGGTTCTTCTGCCTTGGCTAATCGCAAAAACTAGGGATATCCCGAGGATATTGTTGTAGCCGTGGCTCTTGGTGCAGATATGTTTGATTGTGTTTGGCCGACACGGACAGCGGTAAGCCTCAACATGCCCTCCAGTTTGGTCTTTGCACTAACATTAATCAGCGCTTCGGTGATGCTATCGTCTCCTCTGGGACCCTGAAACTAAGCCATAAATCGTTCGCCAATGATTTCGGTCCAGTTGAGGAAGGCTGTACTTGTACTTGCTGTCGTCCCACTGACCAAGGTGGCCTTGGGCTCACGCGAGCATACATGCACCACATCACAGCCAAAGAGACCGTCGGCGCTCATCTGTAAGTGTGGACCAACCGCAATATCTTGATTCTGTTCTAATACTTCGACAGTTTGACCATCCATAATGTTCATTATATGTTGACCATGATGGGCAAAATCCGACAGGCCATTATCGATGACCAATACCCGGCTTTCCTTCGCAAGTTCTTTTCCGATATCTATGGAGGCGATAAATCGAAGTTCCCTAAGTGGGCAGTAGGTGCTCTGCAGGGAGTTGGAGTGGACTTGTTGGCCGATTCATGATGGCGTAATCATTGGTTTTAATCAAATAAGATCTTAATGAGATTTTGATAACGATAGATTCACTTCACGTTATAGAAAAGCGTGTGTGTCCATTCCAGCGGTGTTAGACTGACTGAACATAGAGTGCATCTCATCAAATATTTACAGAGCATAAGACATGATTCCTCTATTCTTGAGCTATTATTATTGTTAGAATAATATGTAACGGTCAGAAATATCTATAATTAGCAGTTTGTTGAAATCTTATATATGGGCTTCAAAATGGTTCTATATGTCAGTATCAATGTTAAGCTTCAGGGAAGAAATTATTGTGTGTGTACCCAAGCAATGCAGCGCATGCTAATACTCATAACAGCGAACTAACAGTTGATTGGATAATTCCTTGAATAAGTTGATTGGAGGACTATAAAATACGAGATTCGCACGTGATCACGTGTCGCGTCGACGCGATCCACTGATCCCCAGATCCCTCCTCTCCATCGTCTATTTGGTACTTTAAGTGTCTCTCTACTATCAAATATCAACAGAAAATTTAGTATACCGTCTCTCACTAATTCCAGCTGCGCCATGACTCAAGACCAAGTCGCCGCAGCCCCCGCGGCATCCTCGCCGCCACACGATCCCTCGCACGAAGAGCACCAATATCTCAACTTGATACGCACAATCCTCTCTGAAGGCGAGCATAGACCTGACCGCACTGGCACTGGCACTCGATCAATTTTTGCACCGCCACAATTACGATTCTCTCTCTCAAAGCCGAATCCAGAAGGCGGCGAGCCGATCCCCGTCTTGCCCCTCCTCACCACGAAGCGAGTTTTCCTACGCGCCGTGCTCGCCGAACTCCTCTGGTTCATCTCTGGCTGCACCTCCTCGCTCCCACTTTCCGAGGCTGGTATCAAGATCTGGGACGGAAATGGAAGCCGCGAGTTCCTGGACAAATCCGGCCTCGGTCACCGCGAAGAAGGCGATCTAGGACCCGTGTACGGGTTCCAGTGGCGACACTTTGGTGCCGAGTATGTCGACGCCAAGACAGACTACACCGGCCAGGGTGTCGACCAGCTCAAAGATGTTGTGCACAAGCTCATTCACAACCCTTTCGATCGCCGCATCATCATGAGCGCGTGGAACCCCGCTGATCTGAAAAAGATGGCTCTGCCCCCGTGCCATATGTTCGCCCAGTTTTACGTCTCGTTCCCGCCTGGCATGAAACTCGATGAAAAGACTGGCCGTCCATCGGAGAAGGGTACCCTGTCCTGTGTCCTCTATCAGCGTTCTTGCGATATGGGTCTTGGTGTGCCCTTTAATATCGCGTCCTATGCTCTCCTCACTCATATCCTTGCGCACGCTGCGGACCTTCATCCTGGAACTCTTATCCACACTATGGGTGATGCCCATGTCTACCTTGACCACATCGATGCGCTCAATGAGCAGCTAGTTCGGGAACCAACTGAGTTCCCCGAGCTGCGCATTAAGCGTGATGACCGGGGTAGCGCAGTCGTTGATGGCTGGAAGGAGGATGAGTTTGAGGTCATTGGATACAAGCCTCACAAGATCATTAAAATGAAGATGAGCGTTTGATTATATAGATTTCTGGTTCTAGTTTGCGGACACTGTCCGAGTGACGATATTTGTATGATACCAATTATCCTGTGATTTATGCCACAGGCCTATACATATTTTGAAATAAAAAATAGCAATGCATTCAAAGTCCAAGTCTATATGATCAGCAAATAAACCCATAGATGGTTGGGGCAAAACATGCTCGCAGGTGTATCAGGCTGTGTATATGCTCCGAAAAGCAAAAAGCAATATTAAAAGATTTAAAAAAAGAGAGCAATTAAATGCAAATAAATGCATCAAGCGCTTTTGATAACAGCCCCAGCGCCACGTAGCAACACGATCGAGTCACCTTGCTTTACCTTCCCAGCACCAATAGCCTCCGAGAACTCAAGGAACTCCCCAGACTCAACATGGAAGATGCGCAACCTCGAATCCTCCCCATCAACCCGATTATTCAAATTCTGAACCCGCAACTTCTTCGCCGCGTCATCAAGCACACGCCCAACTTTCCACCTTGAATCGAAAAAGAAATCCCCAGAGGGCGGCTCTGCAGCCTGCGTCTCCGCGGTGCCAACAGTATGCAAATACAGCCTCTTATCCATAGGAACCGAAGCATCCCCCTTAGCTGACCGCTTAAGGTTATTGACAGCAACAGCACGCGCAGCCGGACTATTCGGTTTGGGCTTCAACTTCGGTAGAGCAGGCAGCAGGGTCCCCTTGGCAGCGGCTTGCTGCTTATCGCGGCCCCAAGTGCGTACACGCGAAAACATAGACTTTATAGTATCGTTTGGCGAAGAGGCATTGCGCTGGCGCGTGCCTAGCGGGGTAATCTTGGCGCATTCGTGTTCTTCGCGGAGACGGTGTTTGAGGCAGTACTGGTGGTTGCACTGGGGACAACGCACAGCAGGATCTTTGAGGGTGTTGATGAGGGTTTTGCACTGTGTATGGGCGCATTGGTCGGTGTTGTAGATGGATGGCTTTTCGGGGGCGGTGCGGTTTTCGTGGCTCTTGTTTGTTCCATTGCGGCGGCGAGCCCATTCGCCTTCGCGAGGACATTGGTGCGCGGTTTCGGTCCGGTGATCTAGACAGTATGTACTGTGGCAGGATTCACAGCGAAAGGGGAGGAAATCTAGCTGGCCGCAGTACTCATATTGGCAGTGTCGGCCTAGGGATTCCAGGTCTGTGTCGGCCATTTGCGTGAAGGTTTCGTTTTGGTCACTGGAGGGACTGCGCCCTTTAGATACAGTTATGGGGGGCATTATTGAGCTCAGTTATCTTTGGACCTGAGGATAAGACGCAGGAACTGGAGGAATGAACTAGAGATTCGAGTATGTGATCTGATAGAACGCGCTGGCACAATCGCCATGTGACTAATGTGGAGAAGGTTCTGGGCTTATCTAACGGAGTTAGTGTTCGGAGTTAGTCCATGGAATGAGCCATGAATATGTATCCATGGTTTCATGATATAAGGAAACCATCTATCTACCCGTGGACTAATATAGAACAGTAAGACCAAATGATACTATAACATAGTGAGACATCAACTACTACTGAAGACAACTTCATCGGGTTCCACCATTCCTAGTCAACAATATAGCTATCAAAGCCATATGTAGTTAAGTATCATCATATGAAATAAGTTATGAGCGTCACACTACCATCTCTTTTGTTGACAATCCCAAACAATGTTCTAGATTCCTTAGCCCGTTTGGTACATCCCATAGGCAATGCATTCATTAGTGGAGGATTTCCGATGAGCAATCATATTCCACCTTCCTATCCATTGTCAACCAGAGAATTTCTTACAGCTAAGCGTCTTTAAAAGCTGTTCAAATCTCATCCCCTTCGTCTCTCGGCATAACTGAATGGATTGGTTGAATACTTTCCAGGTTTCCGTATCTTCGTCTGCCCTACCATTCTTTTTCCAGAATCTTGCTGGTGATCTCCCGTCTAGTTTGAGGCTTGTGAAATTTCATTTCTTCCCCAATCCATCTACTATCCTCAAACCAGACAGATTATACCTGTTTGCATGATGACAGTCGCTCTTGGAAGGCTTCAAGTCAAAAAAAAGATATTTATGTGTAATAGAGATGGGGTTGGTAGGGTATATAGGTCATCCCTTGATTTAATGCAAGCGTTGATCTGTAGCGAGCAAAGTGTTCCAACACGCAGTGACCCTTCTGTTCTTTTTTTTTTTCTTTTGTCAAGAGGCAAGGATACAGCTTCACAGGAAAGTGGGTAAACAACCTTTTTTTTTTTTCAACAGATACATTAAATATATACTGACTCGTCGTCGGGCAAATATAATCCCAGGCATCAAGGATCTTTGGGCCCTATATTTATTAAAATTTCTGCACTTACAAGTGAGGAGATGGACTTGATACCTTCAAAGTCTACTGTTATAAACAGTTTCCTAAACTGGCCATGATATCCTAAAAGGCAAGGTCGACTTAATTACATATACTATACAAAGGTGAAAGTCAAAATAGGACATCCAGGCAGCGTTACTTGAGAATCTGCTCGGACATTACAGCAGAGCATTTTTCTCCGGTTTGCCTTAACTGTCAAAAGATCCTTTGCAGGTATAAATAAAGGTCGGCCGAGAATCTAACCTAGGGCTGTGATGAGTTGGTCTTAATGCCGTTATTACCCTGGAGTGCTTAGAAGGCTGACCCCACATGTTCTTCAAGGCGTGTTTAGGGCAATACACACCAGACATTGTCGGGGTATAGCTCAAACATCTTCACGCAGGAACATATGGGTTTAGGTATTCTCTTTTTCTGTTCAATAAACAAATACGAGTGATTTTCCAACACTTATTCTATCTTTGGTCGAAGTCCTTTAGTTCTAGTGTATACCGTAGAACTGGGATGAATATCGATCCTATGCCTGTGAGTAAGCAGAACAGGGACCTATGTAGGAATCCATGGATGCCCTAGGTAACCATCTGAAATGATTGTTAACTGAGTGTCTTGTAAGCGATTTTATGTTCTAAGGTTCCGTCCCAGCCCTCACGCGTTAGTACAGCATATATAATGTATATCGTAGTAGAAATGGGCTGGGTCTGAGTCAAAAAAAACCCCCTGCACTGACACATCTCACCAAACCCCGCAGTGTCGGTAGTATTCTTAAAGTGGAACTGTTGAGGAATCTCTATTGGATCCATCTACTAGTGTATTGGTGCCCAGTGGTGACCATACAGACATGTCACTCGAAATCGATCTTAATGCCCAAGTCTTGACTCGTATACGGACAATACCTAGTGTGTCATACTATCCGTGGGTATAGTCCAGGAAACATGTAATGTAACCTTTATAGCCAACAGTAACGCCATATAGTGAATGGGCCTGTGCACAGGTGGAAATGTATAGCCGCGTATACTCCTCTGGGATTCTTATCTATGGCCATTATGCCCACCTATTATTGGAGAAGCATGGGCGAAGCTTTTGTCGGTGTATTATCAAGCCTTCATGCAGTCAGTGTCTCGAGGACTGCTTTGCCTACATTTTTTGCGTTGCAATCGGTTAGGCTCATTACAGTACACAGAAATGAACACATCCCAGTCTATTGTCATAGAGGACCAACCGTCTTTTTATCCCTCTTTTTATCCCTCTCTATAGTCATGTACTACTTGTACTATTGATTTACTGGTGAGGGATACGTCGGGATGCAGATCAGAAACCCCTATCTGTTTTTTTTTTCACTACCTGATTTTGAAGGCGAATAGTGACTCCACTCTGAAAAAGTCGAAAGAGAAAAACTCATCGAGATAGACTATGCGGTGAGATCGGGGGAATGCGGGGAGGAACCATACATTAGTCCGTTTGAGGCAACTGTATACGTCTGGATATTCTCGTATTCCGAAGTACATCCAAGTACTCAAAAACTTCTAGAATCTCGTCCCTGAGTTATAAGGTCGATCACGGCACGGCGACCGCACCAATCACCGGCCCGTACTCAGCACCGGCCGCCGGCCCGGTTGGAGCTGTGATTGGTTCGCTTCGCCGACGCGTTGTCTTTTTGAGCCAGCGATCTATAAATGTTGATGTTGCTTAATGTCTCGATAAGATATTCGCATTACATTATAGAATACGTGCTGGGGATATATCTACGGAGGGGTTTCTTCTTCTATCACTCTCCTCCTTCTTTCCATCCCCAGTGCACCCCAAATCGTGAAACCCTAACTCGTTCCATTGATCAGCATTGATCCACAGTAAGTTGTCTCATAATTCAATGGAATGCCCCGCGTTGAACTTATTTGACCTAACAGTGGTAGTCCGGTTAGATTGCAGCTTTTAACCTTGCCCGGTGCTGTATCTAAATCACGAACAGCAGACTGCCAGACGGTCACAAGCATATGACGAGAGCATCGTTCGCTTAAACTATATATCATAAACCATGACACAGAAAGTCCAAGAACAGGCTATGCCATTCGGTATCCAGCACACCAAAAGCCGGATGGCGGAACTGTTGGCGGCCGATGTAGTCGTTGCTGCAGGTTCAGCAACATTGATCACACCAGCGGTGATGATCTTTGATAGGTAAGCTGTGTCAAACTCCCCTTTACCAACAGGATACTGACCAATATCATCCAGACTTGTCGTCGAGAAATCATTCTACAACCAGCCTCTCTTTCCGGCATTCCGCAGACACCTTTGGCTCTCTATCACAAAACCTTCAACTTTCTTAACATCACGACCCAGTCTCCTCGTCTGGTCCCTTTACACCGCAACCTTTGCCACAGCCAATGCCTCAGAGACCATACTGAGCAAGTGGTACCCGAATATCGACCATGCTATCGCAGGCATGACCACCTTTGCTTCAACATTCATAGTCAACTCTTCCGTGGGCATCTGGAAGGACGTGAAATTTGCCCAATTATTTGGCCACGGCAATACCTCCATGGCAGCCACAAACAATACAACCACACCAAGCCCAACTCAAACTCCTACTCCCGCTCCTACTTCGGCTTCTACCTCCAACACAACCTCACCCCCTAAAACGGCCCGCTCAATTGGCCGCACCCGAATCCCAGTAGCAACATACTCAGCTTTCCTCGTCCGGGACGCTCTCACAATCTTTGGCTCATTCAGCCTCCCCGCCATGGTCTCAGCATCGATCCCAGACTCCATCGCCTCCCAAGAATATCTCAAGATCCTGATCGCACAGCTCGCCATCCCAGCCTCCATTCAACTCATCAGCACACCAATCCACCTGCTCGGCTTAGATCTATACAACCGGCCACAGGTGATGCCGACCAAAGACCGGATCAGCCGTGTCAGTCGCGACTGGATTAGTGCGTCACTACTGCGTATGTGTCGCATTATCCCCGCTTTCGGAATTGGCGGGTTCTGTAATACAGAGGGCCGGATTTACTTGCATGATCAACTTGATGATCTGCGGAAGGGGTCTTAAGGTTTCTCCAGGCTCGAATTATAAATATAAATATGCAGATACAGATACAGATATGAATAGACAAATATACCCTTTCTTTTTTTTCCTCCTCACTTTTACTTCCAAATGTTCAATTGTGTGTTCCTTATCCTCTCCCCCACTCCCGACATCACCGGGCCGGTCGTAGGCGCTTCACGGGATCGGCAAAGACCACAAAACGCGAATCTCGGACTTTTTATTACGTTTTTTTTTTCCTTCGGGATTTTCTCGCTTGAAAGTTGAGAATGACGTTAGGAAAGCTGGGCTTGTTAATATCGGATACTTTGGGCTCGAGGCCGGATGACAATGCCGATGCCGATTGAAAGTATACCTGATTTGACTACATGAACTAATTAGATGCGAAAAAGGGCTTGAAAATTAGGTTGAGATGACGGATAATTTATTTAAAATCTCGCAATCTTAAATCAACCTCCTATACATATCATCTGAGGCAACATAAACACACATGAGCACATAGTTCTAATTCCTTCTCACGACATCACAGTTGGATGTCTAGCCACTCATGAAATTTGACGCATGATTGTGGAAAAATCAATATTTTACTCCTATCATGTCGCAACCATGGAGTTCAGTTGGTACTGGCTATCGCCATAATTCATGTAAAATGCGATAGTACCGAACTTGAAAGCAGTCCAATGCTTCGCTGTCAATTGGATATAGCTGCGATCCTTACTAGCGTGATCCTCATCCTGACACCTAATGATCCCATTGGAAAGATGCTCTGCTGCACTAAAAAAAAGCACTGGCTAGGGCATCTATGCATTCTGGCGTCGTGTCAAAACCCTCGCATGGGAAAGGTCCACAGCTGTCTATTAGTATAAAACGCGATCTCACTCCGTTGTGCCACCTCCTGGTATGAAGGTGACTTTCTGAATTCAAGGGATTGCCCAGGTGTAATTTCAATAAAATACAAGTAATCCTGAGTAGATATGTCCCAACTAGGAAGGAGATCATGTGTAGGGCGTGTCAAGGAAGGTTCCAACACAAATCGACCTCGGTGACTTAGTGGATAGCCACTGGGAACGGAAAGCGCGTGCCTTCCAAGACATCTGGTAGGGGTAGATTGGCATGTTAAGGCGTGCCCGCCCCAAACTAGCGTTAAGGAAGTCCGGTCTTCCACGCCCTTATAGCTCCAACCCCTGTGTGACTGGTGCCCTTGAGGGTAGATTTCTCTTTCTTTCTCTTCTTCTTTTTGCTTAATACTTAATATACTAAATATACTGCATACCGCTTTGCTATAGTCGCCAGGGGGATATAGTTGGAGATTTCCCTTGCCCTAGCCTCTTTGAACATGCTCGGAAGATCATTCGAATAGCAAACGATCCAATTTAGAAGAGGAATGGTAGAGATCGAGTATGTAAAAGGTATCAAACATAGGTCAATAAATTAAAAAACTACCTACGCTCATACGGAAACAAGGCTGGGTTTTATATATGCCAGAATTTATCTCACCAAACATCTAGGCTCAGTAGTGGCTTTTCCGAGTTACAGACATTAGTCTTTATTAGAAAGCTCAATATGCTTCAAAAATAGCTCCAGACTGATGAGACTATGATACTCCGATATGTCTATCTCTAGCAGATGAAAATAAATACTCGTTTGTTACGGGCTTGCGTGGGGGTCATTCCAGCATGCTCGAAAGGACATTCGCTTTCCAGGCGGCGAATTTGTTCACTCTCGGTCATTCAGAGGAATGACTCAATGTAGGGGGGAGGCGCGATGTAGTCCATGGCTGATCACCAATCCGGGTAAGCTTCAACGGTCAAGCTATAGCCTGAGGGACAGGCACGAAGCGAATGTTGACCGGTGTGTCGTTGGAGACGGATGATTGGGATCACCTCGGGTGCGGGTCACCTTACGGACGGCAGATGTTTTCGCAATACTGTGGGATGGATCAAGTTGACCATCTGGTTTGGGGGAGCAGTTTGATAGAAGTAGTAATACAACTAAGCTCATCTAACGTCGCTGTCCATGGCTTCAGTTCCAGACGTATGGCCCTTGGATCCTGAGCTGGTGGCCAAAGAATCCGCATGGCTGAAATCATGCAACGCATGGTTTGGATCAATGAAAGACGGGTACTGCCCACCGGTAGTATTGAAAGACGACGGTCTCCACACATGCTGGTGAGCGATATTGACCAGCTTGCCGAGGACCGCAATCTCGAGTTTCAGCTTGATGCTGTACAGCGTGGCCTTGAGGGTCGTTTGATAGATATAGTAATCCCTAAACTCGATGATCATCAACGCGATATCCATCAGGATACAAGACACGTTGACGGCGAGCAACTGCAAGATAGTCTTGCGACTAACATGGTCCTGATTCAAGTGCAGCATACGATTCGTCTCCCACATGTACAACCCGGAGATGATGACCTCCTGCACACAGAAGCCCGTCAACTGCAACTTCTCCATGACATCGTACCCCGTAACCGAGGCTGACGAGCGGGAGAAGTTAGCCGCGTACGTGAGCACAGTCGTGGGCACGTGCAGGAGGAAAATATTCGTGATGATCATGGTTTTCACCATACGAAGCACCTGCATATTTTGGATCACCAGGTGGAGGCGCGAATACAGCACGAACGACTGGCCAGTTACCATTGTCCACCAGCCGATTGTTAACAGTGTGATGGGTACCCAAGCCACCGACGTCAGGCCGAAGAATTTGAGCAGGTAGCCAACGGAATACGGCAGAATTCCAATGCTGGCTATCAACATACTCCAGAAATAGGGGCCTTCATAGCGTTTGAAGGTTAGGAAGATGAGCACGACTAGCTCGATCACGTTGTACCATGCGACGCCGATGAATGTTGCGATTGTGATACGGACGCCAATGCTATTGCCTGTGTAGCTGCCCGTAATCCAGTTCCCTGGGCTGGAGTCGCTTGAAGACATATCTTCATTGGAAGGATCTGATATAGGAGGAAGAGGACAGACCGTAATGTATGGTTTTTTTCTTTTTTTTTCCCCCTTTTTTTGGCGCGGGGTTTCCCTAATTTATTAGAAGCTGGTTTTCGCCCCGACCCCCAAGGGTTGCCAAGTGGGCCAAGTGTTAATAGCTTGGATTTATTTAAGTAGAAGATCAACAATTCGTTTATAAGTACTCTGTAATGGCCCACTTTCTGTGTTTCTTTTCGTTACAACATTATGAGTTCCCTTTTGCGTTTACAAACTTCGACTTCGGCTGGGATTTCCAGGTTTATACTCGGTAGGTATAATGTGGTTTAGTCTCAGGCGTGGCTGATCACGTGTAGAGTGGCTAATGCTTAGTGCGTGCTTATTAGATGTCTAGGTGCTTATTAGAGGCTTGTGATATGCTTGTTAGGTGTTTCCATCACAAAATACAGTCATTTCACTCGCAAATTATTTGCCAAAAAAGTACCAAAAATATAAGTATGAATATGAAGGATGTCGAAGACAAAAACAAAATATCAAAATATAGTCATATTCGTCGTTGGGGGAATAAACTGATTAGCAGAGAAAACGCTGGAGAAAGAAAGCTCTTTCAAGTATCCAAGAACGCAAATAGTGAACAGCAAATATGTACCAATTATGCATTTACCCAGATAATATCAACCACCTTGAATATCCCATCTGTATGTGTAGAAACCGTCGTTCAAAATGTCTGCGTTCAAGCCAGCATTTAAGGTGCTTTCGTTCCAGAAGTCTTCCTGAGCGAAACCTCCAGTCGAGAACCATTCGTCGAAATCGAAGTTCAAGTCCAGGGCCTCTGCGACATTTCCCACTTGCTGCTCCACCAATTCGTCGTTTGGGCCCTCAACGGGCGCCATGGGGCTCCATGTTGTTGTTGCTGGCGTTGAGGGTTCTATCGCTGCATCGACCATACCAGATTCAACTGTGCTAGGAGATTGAACCAAGCGCTCTGTTCTGCCCTCGCTCACCTCCCTCTCAAACTCAATCATATACGCTCCTAGCGTAAGCCCCATCGTCCTCTTGAACACGCGGCAAAGATAACTCGGCGTTACACCGACCTCTTGTGCTAACTCCTTCAAGCCTCGCTTCACTGTCAGATCATTATTATTCTGCTTGGTCCGCAAAAGTGCTAGAACCCTTGTGACAACCTCCTCCCTCTCTCCAATGAAGCTCGCGTTATCCGGTTGACACCTCTTGCATGGCCGGTGACCATCGCGTCGCGCTTGCTCTTCTGTGTCATAAAAAACAACATTGGCTCTTCTAGCAAGGCGTGCAGGACAGGTCGGGCGGCAGTAGATCTTGGTAGATTTGACGCCATAGAGAAATGAGGAGTGGGAGGAGGGAGTACGGTGTGTCAGGGCGCGCCAACGAGCGTGGGAACTTTGGAACTGATCCGAACTAATCGAACTCGATGATTGTGTTTGCATGTTAAGAAAATGGGCTATTTTGCATTGGAATGTAGGGATATGATAATGTTAGTGGAGTGTTTTCTCCCTTGAAATACTTAATCTCCGCAAGTTTCGGAGGTGGCGTACCACATGGCATAGAGACTCACCGCCTCGGGGAAACCTGTGTTGAACAAGAAGGACTGAGCTAACAAGTCGCGGCTCTGTGTATTTGACTTGTAAGATATCACTAATTTCTCCACGGTTACTCTATGATACTGCCATATGAAGTTTTTACAAGAAATATACTATTATTCCATGGAGTTCTCATATACAATACGTATCCTAGAGTAATATCTAGTTTTTATGTCTGAGGATGATTTTATAGGATCAAAGTGCTATCATTTATCCGTATGGAATTGAATCAACTTGCATGAAATACAGAAATCATGGCGCTAATAGATCAACTGTAGTAAGTGAATCCTACTACTCCGTACATGTAGACAAAGTAGGGCAATGTCGCAGTCTACCCCGCCTAATACTACATAGGTACCCCTCCGTCTCCGAACAAGCCTTTAGTTCCTTCCCGGTATGCTCGTTCTCGCCCCCCTTCCACTACTGTCACTAGTGGTCCGAATAGCGCAATTTCATGGACTTGATAAATGAGGGAGCCCTAGTCCATGACCTCTGCATTGGTGGCGGGCCTTAGCAAATTCGGGACACTATCAGGACATTCCGTATAACGCTAGCTAAGCCCAAATCAAGGGGCCTAGTTCTTTTCTTTCTTCTTTCGCGATCACTAATGATCTGGTGGGTTTGGATGTTTGAAGAATCAGATGAATGATGTTGTACAAACATGAGGAACTGTTGATCACAGAAAATCACTAGCATTCAGCATCAGAGACGATCAGGCTCCCAGGGAAGAAGACCCAAGCCACCGCGCACAGGGCAATTTTTGAACGCGGCTTCAACCACCGACCCACTCTAATATTACCAGATATGTAATAGATAACACTGCGGTCTTCCACGCTAGCAGACCGACCTCATTCCTTCGGGTACAGAATGGACGACCAAGTCCGCCACCATGTAACATTCACCGGCGACAAGTCGTGAGTCCTCTTATTCATTTCGGTCGAGAACCCCGAAAGAGAGCGTGACCAAATTAATCATTGCTAGGCTGGATACTGCCCCCACGTGGAGCTGGATATATACCGCGCTCCTCGCTTCATCTGCACCATTGGACGATTTCTAACTAACCGGGACTCCGGTTGCAGGCCGTATCTGTGCAAGTGGAGCCCTCTTGGTGATGGCTTCGTGCGTGGCAGATTCGTCCTCTGCTACGTCTAGTCTGTGGACGAAAGGATCACGCTACACAAGGTGGCTGCCTCGTTTAATAATTTCAGGAAATTGCGCCGTTCCTTTCACTTCCGATTGATGGCATTGGAAAAGTATTTAATGCATTGAGAGAAGACGTCAAGATGGAGAACCAGAGTCCACGGTCAGCACTATGCGCATTTCTTTACTGTCCGCAGGTGCGCTGATGCTGCAGGCCTGCCATGTGCAGGCTAAGGCTGTCTTTGCTCATTTTATGGTACTTGTCTCCATCCATCATGGATTTTTTAATGCTAAAATGATTCTTCTAGGTGGGAAACACTCCGACGTGGGAACTGTCCGACTGGAAGAACAACATCCAGTTGGCCGTCGATGCCCACCTTGACGCCTTTGCTCTGAATATCGCTAACGGCTGGTATGCCAACGATGCATCTCTCACTCTGGCCTTCGAGGCGGCAGCTAGTCTCGACTTTCAGCTCTTCTTCTCCTTTGACTACGCCGGCAACGGGTCGTGGGCTCAGGTAGATGTCATCAGTCTCATCACACAGTACGGCAACTCCAGCGCCTACTTCCAGTACAACGGCGGGCCTTTCGTGTCAACTTTTGAAGGGCCTGGTAATGCGGATGACTGGGTCGAGATCAAATCCCAGACCGGCTGTTTCTTCGTTCCGGATTGGTCGTCGCTGGGTGCGATCCCCGCGGCTGCAGCGGCCGGCGGTGTCGTCGATGGTCTCTTCAGTGAATCTCTCTACCACCACATTCTCCTGGTTAAAGTCACTTACTAACGAACGTAGGCTGGGCGGGTTGGCCCTGGGGTGACAAGAACATAACCACATTCGTGGATGCCTCGTACATGCAAACGCTTAACTCCAGCGGGAAGCCCTACATGATGCCGGTATCGCCCTGGTTCTACACCAACATGCCCGGCTATGACAAGAACTGGCTGTGGCGTGGTGATGACTCCTGGTACCAGCGCTGGCAGCAGGTGTGGTACCTACAGCCCGAGTTTGTCGAGATCATCTCGTGGAACGACTTTGGCGAGTCGCACTACATTGGGCCACTCGATAACAGCTCCTTTGACGCCTTTACCGTCGGCCAGGCACCGTTCAACTATGCCAAGGACATGCCACATGACGGATGGCGTGACCTGTTGCCCTTCATGATCGATACCTACAAGCACGAGCGGGCTCTGGTCACGAAGGAGAGGCTGGTGGTATGGTACCGTACCTCTCTGGCCAATGACTGTAGTAACGGCAACACCACCGGCAACACGGCCTCGCAGCTGCAGCTCGAGTTCGCACCCGAGGATGTCTCGCAGGACCGGCTCTTCTTCACCGCGCTGCTGTCCGACTACGCAGATGTCGGGGTCATGGTCGACGCAGACTTCCATAAAGCCGAGTGGGATTTCCTGCCCCCTGGCCCCCATGTGACTGGGGGCGCCGGCCTCTACCACGGCAGTATCGCGCTGACGCACCTAGAGCGGGCCGAGGTCTTCATCACCCGCGACGATATCGACATCTTCTCCGTGTTCACGGTCCAAAACGTGTCCCCAGACAACTGCGTCGAGGGCCTGACCAACTGGAACGCGTTCGTGGCCTCAGGCTCGGACGGCACATTGCCAGAGCCCGTCTACTCGGCATTCAATCTGAGTTTGCAGACCTGCGTGGCTGGCTACAGTGTCGACGCCTTCACCGACCTGTGCGAGTTCACCTGTGCGTGGGGATACTGCCCCGTCGGTGCCTGTGTATGCACCAACATGGGTATCATCCTCGAACAGGCCAACCAGACGGACACCGTCGGATATCCGGCCAACGGCGACGCTAACTACGCGGGGCTGTGCAATTTTGCCTGCGCGGCGGGCTACTGTCCCTCTAAATACTGCTCCGTGGAGGTTCAACCGACCTATATACCGACCAGCTCACCCTTTGATCCGCCCACCTGCACGGGGGGCAACAGCACTAACGACAATTTCCTAGGCCTGTGCAGCTATGCGTGCAATTTTGGCTTCTGCCCACGGAACTCCTGCTCTTGCATCTCGGAGGGCCCCCTCATCCAACCCCCGGCCCAGACGAGCACCAGCACCGGCATTTCCCTTGTCGGGCTAGACTCGGGTCTATGTAATTTCGCTTGCACGCGCGGGTATTGCCCCAGCGGCACCTGTACCTCAGCCAATTTCGACGTATCTGTGCTAGCTTCACTAGGTGACTCGTTCGCTTCAGGTCCGAGTGCTGGAGATGAGTACGATGGCACGCCATGTCGTCGATTTACTCAGGCAGCTGGCCCACAGCTCTCATTGTCCGACAAAATAAACGGCCCCAAACCGATGGACTTCGAATTTATCGCATGCTCGGGGGCAAGGACCAAGCATATCTATGAAGATCCAGGTGCTAGCTCGAGCTCTGGTGGAGGAGGCAATGAAAAACCATCGCGCTCCCAAGCCCACCAGCTCGCAGATTTGAAGCTAGATTTTAACATGATAACATTGAGCATTGGGGGGAATGACGCCGACTTCGTCAGTGTTTTGGATAGAGTGAGTCTGATTTGTTCTCTTAACCTCACAAGCGTCGTGAAAAGAATATTGTGCTGACTCTCTAGTGTGTCTATCGCTTCAAAGATATTAAGGGATGCGCAGGCTGCACGCCAAGTGTTTTCCACAATGACTGCTCCGATGACTGCTCGGCCGCGTTGGATGAGATGAACAAACGTCTAGAAGCTGACACTTTTATCCCTGGCCTCACACTCGCCATCCAGGCCATCTTCAATGCTGCGCCCAAGGCTCATCTTTTCATGACCGGCTACCCGTCTTTCTGGAATCAAGATACGGACGCATGTGATCAAGTCAGCTTCAAATTCGGTTGCCTCGAGAATTCTGTCCTACCGCTGATTAAAGAACGCCGCCAACGCATGAACGATCTGACCAAAAATCTAAACGGCATAATCAAAAGGGTTGTTACCGCAACAACCCCGATAGGTGGAGGGTCCATTCACTTCGTCGATGTGGATCCCTACTTTGACGGACACCGATTTTGCGAAGAAGGTGTCAGCGAGCCCAGCTATCGTAATTCGGATATATGGTTCTACCCATTTGAGTATTCGACTGCGGGGACCTTGAATATCTCTGCTGTGGCCTCAAACACAACCAATTGCACTTCTCTTTGGGATAATGAAGGAGATGCTGGAGATTATTTTAACTGCGAGCTGCAGAATGCCCTGGTAGCTGACAACATGACTATCGATCTAAGCTTGATGTCGAATAATGTTGCTGGCAATGACAGCTTAGGGATTCTTAGCAGTGGGTCAGCTTCACTCCCCGCGTTCTTAGCCCGGATTTTCCATCCCACAATCAACGGGATGACGGCGTACAAGCAAGCTATACTTGATACATACCATGGGTTATCATGATTTAAGCAAAATTCGGAGACTAGGACATACATATATGCTTAAAATGTTGGTTATGATTTTTATTTTTATCTATAACCTTCAAACGGGAGAGGGCGAGGTTTACCTAGTCCTCTATAGGGTGCCTTAGGCATCGCTCAATATTATTATATATCTATCGAATCTTTATAGTTATTAGGGATGTCCTAGTCGATAATTAGTCTAATCAATTGCGACCTTCTCCTACTCATTTTAAATGTGTGAATGACGTTCGAAAAGAGGGATAATAACGCTTATATTGCTAGTATCTCTCTCTCTTGCATTCCTGAAGAAAGCATCCATTCCAACTCTTCAAAAAGGCAGCTCAAGAAAATTCCATAATATTGACTCTCCAGGCAAGTTCCGCAGATCCCCTAGATGCAATAAACTCAGAATTGGACGCAAGTATTTGAGTCTTTGGTACTACTCTCCCCACTGCCTCTCGAATAGCTTCTTCTATAGCCTCATCCATGATCCCAGTCATGATAACCAAGAGCTCATCAGGAAGGAGTAGACCTGTGTACCAAGGACTTAAGAACTGATAAACGAATTCTGCCACATGCGACGCATGTTTATCGCTCCGTGAATTGGCACCCAATTCAAAAGAAGCTATTGCATGAGGGTCAGCGAAGCCCGTATCCACATCCACTGCCGTCCGTAAAGGTGTTGTATGCAGTAGCATAGCTTGATCGGTATATTCAACCAGGAGTGTTTCGTGCACCGGTAGTTGGTTTCCCTCATCCGTGCATTGGTCCTTGTCCTCAAAGTGCTCACATAATCCTAGCCCGTGTCCCGCATAAGCAGCGAAAGCTTCCCACGGCTGGTATTTGTAAAGGCCCGTGAGTTTTGGAAGACCTAGGTAATCCGCCATGTCGTTGATATCTTCTTTATAAATTGCCGCAATTCCTGGGTAGCTTATTACCACGTATGGAAGGGTGGCGACTTTGCTCGAAGAAAGGAGCTTTTTGACGAGCTCGCTCATGATTTGGACGTCTGGAGATGCTGGTAGACCTATCTTTTTGCGGAAAGATCGCCATGCTTGTCGGGGTGTGTCGTTCCACATATCTTCCATTGAAGAGTAGGGGGGACTGTTTGGGTTAATATGGTGGAAGTTATATGTTAGGAAAGACTTCGCCTTGGGAAATGTACCTAGGATGGCATGCAGCACGTGACGAGAGTCGCTTTATCATTGCGATATAGTTGGAATCACCTTCGACGCGAGAAATGTCCTCGAACGAACCGTCGGGGTGGCGAAGGGATATAGTCCTGCGATATGTTTGTGGGCGTTATTTCATTTCAACCAAGGTAAGTAGCACCATACCCATATGAAGCCGTGAGAGAAATGCCTATTGACGGTTTCGATAACGCCGTTCGGTCCATTTCGTATGGTACGCTCGAAGGCCAAAGGTAGTAGATGAAAATGAATGTCAATCCTGTGATGAGGTATTTTGAAAGCATCTTTGTGCTCGGCCGGGTTGGCGCAATCCATCGATTGCGGGGTCGTTTTTGGAACATTGGACGTTGTAGGCGCCAGGATGTACTAGCACGGAGTAGAATATTTCTAGGCTAATCTTATAATAATATACATTAAATTTGGCGGTAGGATCAATATGCAGCTAAAACAAATGTGGAAATAGGTAGGCACCTGCCCAGGTGCCCAGGGTGGGCAGCGACAAGTAATTTGTCAGCCGGAAATACGTGGCCCCGGGGACTTCCCCGTACTAATGTTTCCTTTTCTACGGAGTAGTTATAGGATCTACTTTCCACTTTATAAATGTCGGAAATACTGTGATACTGGATGAAAACAGGGTATTGTACCTGAGAATGTCATGTGACAACCAGTACCCTTATAAAGGCTTTTAATTAAGGCTATACCTAACCTGGATGTTTATAAGGCTTACGGGTACCTTGCATGACGATCAACATCAAATCCTACGCAGGTACTACCCAAGATAGCTATGGTACCCCCCAAGAAAGTTTAGCGTGAGGGGGATATAGGTGCCTATGGTAGGGATTAGAGATCCCGATTAAAGGCAAACATGGGCCAGACCAGATGATAGGCCATGTATGCTCTAGATTCAGAAAAATGGTTAGCGGGTGGTTTGGCTTTCCGATATGCCCTCAAAGCAGTCTTTGGAGTAGCTTCCCATTTTTTGCTGTCCAGCAGGAGGGAGGTGCTTTACTGATTTCACTTCACACATCTTTACATGTAAAGATATTGGTGGATGAATACTGAAAAAGACAAGGTATATCAGTATACCCAAGTAACATAGCGTAGTCCTAGGGATGTATTTCAACATTATAACAGGACTAATCTAACGGACGCACTGCTATAAGCGTTTTATGATCTTTAAAACTCCAAAAGTCTGGTATTCTACCACTTTACTCTCCAATCCCTCCCCTTTACTTTGATCCTGACCCATAGAAAAGATAAAAATGCGCCCACATAGCTGAGTCCAGCAAAAAGAGCAACTCCCCAATATTTTTCTTTTCCTGTGGCTTCCACCGCATCAAGAAGACTCCCGGCGATAGGGATACTTACTAATACCCCAAAAGACACTACCGTAAAGCAGCTCGCGTAGTATCGTCCATATTCCTGGGTCTCGCAAAGCTGACCGAGGCATATTGGTGTCAAGCTAACATTTGAACCACTGCAAAACCCGAATAGTAGTATAAAAACTACCATGAGTGCGTAAGAATCCAGGTCTGGCGCGAGGATATCTGGTAACCAGAAGCCTAGAACTGATACTGTGCAGAAGAACAGCGAGACAATCATGGTATTATATCTGCCAAATCGATCCGCCATGTCGCCCGCCACGTATCGGCCAACGCATGAAGCAGCATTGAGAATCGCGAGAAGCTGATACGCAAACGCCGATGACCCCGTCAGGGCCTCCTCGTCAGGGAGATGCTGTCGATCGATATAGTAACGTGGCGTGTACGTGATCGGGATGAAGTACGCCAAATCAGTCAAGAGCACTCCGACAGTTGTGAGTACCATGGCTCCCGTTCCATCCATGAAGATTTTATAATCCGGCAATGTATCTCGCCAAGTTGTTTCAGCTCCTTTGCGGGGAGGGATTCTGCTTCGGCAGAAAGCCACGCTGATAGCACAAAGCACAAGCAGCACAAATCCAAGGATCCGGATCGACCATCCCCAGCCAACTTGAGGGAGGAGCGATTGTATCATCAGCGGAAATAGAACCCCGCCAAACCCTCCTCCTATGAACGCTATACCACTAGCAAGGCCGCGACGCTCCATAAACCAATGAGCGACGCAACCCATCGAGGGTGTCAGGAGAAGGGATGAGCCAATTCCGGTCATTATGGAGAATGACAGGAAGATCTGGTAGTATTCTATATTGCAATTAGCAAGGGAGATTCAAGATAATCAGGGTGTACAAGCATGAATGATTGCATGTGGTGTAGTATGAGGACCGTCTTACCTGTAGAGACACTGAGTGTGAAAATTCCAATCAGCGTGCAAATAGTCCCGGCAATCATCAGTGCACGCGGGCCCATGGCATCAAAGGTCGGTCCAATCTGCACTCCACAGACCCAGTTTACGAAGGCGTAGACTGAGAATATCCAGCCAATAGTAGATGATGAAGCCTCCGGTAATATCACTTTGGATATAACGACCTCGAACACACCAGATGTGTTATAGATACCTAGTGATGAGGTCAAGCCACACCACGCACCCAATACCACCAACCAGGCATCGCGGCCGCCTTCGGGATAAGTGATCTCACTTTTGAGAGGTGCTAGGTCGGGTGTTGTGGGGAGATGCGGCGATGTTTTTTCGACGTCGGAAGGAGAAGAGTATTCGTTGCCAGTGAGCATATCCTTTTTATACGAGGCGTCTGAAGCATCCATCGGTGATGAGCTATATTCGGACCTGGGTGCTATCGTCTCTGGGTGTTTCATTTTTCAAGTCGTGGAATCATCTGTATAGATGAAAGAGAGAAGGCGATTGTTTGATACCAGTAAGTTGCAAGCTTTTCGGAGTTTTATATGTAACCTTTTTTTGATATTGTCACGGAGTATGACGACATAGGCAGTGAACAAGAGTTCGATTGGAGAGAAAGGGCGTAAAGAAACAAAGGAATCATAATATAGCTTTCCAGCGTGTCCTGAATGTGTCCAATCAGCAGTAGGAAGCAAAATTGAACGCATAGTGACCAATTGGGGTGGAAACCTGAAGGTGTACTGGAAATAGCCAATCATTAGTCCGCCTGGACTAGGTACATACAGAGCCCAATCTCTCTGAAAACAGCGAGATCGGGTTGGTTCTAAAGATGATTTCATGCGACATCCAAAACAATCTACTTTGAATAAAACACAGTGCGACGAAGTCTCTTGTGTTCTAGACACTTAGGGTCTTGAAGAATCAGTCTTCCTTCATTAAATAGTTTCACTTACTAGTCAGAGTAGATCGATTTTCTGTTCTCAATTTGACTAATCAGCAGCGAGAAATCCAAACTATGAACTCAAAATGACCAATCAGGGCTAAGCATGATTTAAGGTACTCAATATAGCCAATCATCGGTAATATCATTAAGCCAAGAGTCTACAAATATGCATGGATAACATACATGAATCTACGGACATTATATCATGAAAGATATATGTTGAATAGGTTTTTATTTCAGATATTAACGAAAGTATTGTCGCTATATACACAACCTGTGATACTGTCTGAGATTCACCAATCTGAAAATCACTTTTTTCCCCTCCTTGCAACCGGGAACTTTGTCTGAATTTCGAAAAATAGCATAAAGCCGAGCTTTACTCATGCCACCACTGGCTGCACTGGCTGACTTGCACGTCCAAGATGCACCAAGTCCATTACGCCTGCAACTTGATAGCCTTGGGGGTCTCAATGAAGCGATCAAAGGCACGCGCATGTTCTTCCTCTTCCATATTGTACACAATGCTATTTTTCCATTGTTGAAACTCAAAAGCCGTGATTTCGGGGTATCTTGCCGGCTCATTTGCGACAAACTTGGGTAGTGGGCCAACTGAGGTATTGCGCTCAGCCTTGAAGAGATATGCCATTGACATTCGGGGTGGTATAACCAAGCCGCTCTCCCCCTTCATTGATTCAGGAGTAGTGACCTGATGGATACCACCTGTGATTTTTCCATTGGTCCAACGCGTCAACGTATCGCCAACATTAACAATCATTTCCGTCGTATCAGTCGGTGGGAGAGGAACAAAAGTGTTATCCTTAGGGCTGTTCCGATCTTCGATTTCTAGGCCACCGGTGCTGTCTTGGAACAGCAGTGTGATGGGACTGAAATCGGTATGTGGTGCAATCCGGCTTGTACCGCCTGTCTTCATCTCGTCCACTGGAATTGTGGGATAGTGAGTGAGTCGGAGATCTGTGGCGCTGGAAATAATCAGGGACTTGTTGTCCATTGGCTATCTTCAGTACATTCTGCAATCGCGCGATTGATCAGCTCTAGACCCGGATTCTTCAAAGGCGTCATAACCTAGCGTGGCAGTAGATTCGTTTCTGTATATTCGGCAAGTCAACATGGCAATCCCAACTGGTGTGCTGCATTGACCTCCCATGAAGAATCTTCTACGGGTTGTACGCAAACTGTTCATGAGGAAATAACAAAGGACTTGTTGTCAATTGGCCACTTTTAGTACATCCCACGCTTGCAGAATTGATCAACCCGATCTGTATAGAGCCGAAAACTTGCTAGTGATTGGTTATTCTGAATACATAATCCCGTGCTTGACTCCAATTAGTCACTATAAGGTCATGGCATCTTTGCCACTAGTTACTGACTAGCTACTTTCAGTATTCTGTACAATATTAAAAACCATACTCACCATGTCTAGATTTGTTTAATATATGTAAGATTTGCTAATCCTCCGATATTTCGCGTATACAGACAGCACTTAGCTCTTGATTGGCCACTATACGTTCACAAACCTGCTATTCGCTACTGATTGGGCAATTCCAGTACATATGATCAGTGTGCTTCGTACTGATCAAGGGCCTGATATGATGATATATGATGTAACGCTCTAAGGCAAAAAGCCTTGGAATACTAGTGGGTTTATATAGAGTTCAGACACGGCTTCCCCCGCCTTTTTTTAATATACGGGAACTATTTCCCCAATAGAGTGACATTATACCAGAATGACCCACTATCCGTCGTAAGAGGCCTGAAGAAACTTGATCTCTATTTTAGTTGCTAGCAGAATATATTATTGGATATTAATCCAGGGTATACAAAGTAGGGGTCCAGTGACAATTAATGTTTGAGGAACAGTGCAAGGTAGCAAAAGTACCAATCTGATGGCGAATCCATGAGGAGAAAAGATTATGTACTTTTTATGACTGGCTATGGAAGGAGGGAAAGATCCATCTGGCCCGGAGAAAGGTCCTAGCAAACAGGATGGCAGATCCCTGATAGCTATGTCTTCAACAATCTATGGATGTACTGGACATAATGCCTAATCAAAATGACAAGTTATTGACAACCTTTGTTTTGCGGTAGAATGAATCGTTTATCTACGTCCACTAAATTAAGCGTTTATAATAAACTATGGGATATCCTCAAGGTAATTCGCCCCTGACTAGTGTTGGAATGTTGACCGCATTATTGGTTTATTGTGATGTCTGAAAGATATGGAATCAGCCTAGAACACATGCACATCAAAAGAAATTCTACATTGTAGATATTGTAAAAGGTCTGTCAGGCCTAGAGTGGTGGAGTATCACCAAGCACGTTATTCATCATCCTGGAATAATATTAGCAACAGATCAACATGGATTACAGGGATAAACTCACGCAGCAGGATACCGCATTCCAGGAATCTCAGTCCGCTTAATCAACGCCCGGATATCTTGCAGTTCTATATCCGTCAAATTAAGAAAGACGGAGTTGGTATTCTCATCAAGATACTTGATCGACTTTGTTCCAGGAATAGGAATGATATCAGAGCCCTGGGCAAGAAGCCATGCGATGGCAACCTGGGCAGGAGTGCTGCCGTGATTATTGGCAACATCTTTCAACCCCTGAACCAGTTCGAGGATCTTTGGGAAGTGTTCCGGTGCATACTTGGGGAGCATGCGGCGGAAATCATTTTCGGGAATATCGGCGAACGACTGAATCTGTCCGGTCAAGATGCCTCGGCCAACGGGACTGTAGGCAATGACAGCAATACCAAGTTCACGGCATGTAGTCAAAATATCGGTGGTGGACGATTCAATGTCCAAAGCGAACGGACTATATTCCACTTGGTATGCTGCAATGGGGTGAACAGCATGGGCACGGCGCAGAGTTGCAGCTGAACATTCAGATAGTCCAAGGTGCTTGATCTTGCCTTGGCTAATAGTGTATCAGTGACAGAGCCTCTTGATCCGAAGGGGTATGACTTACTTCTTCAGTTCAACCATAGCCTCGATGGTCTTCTCAATGGGGGTTACGCCATCAACCCGATGACAGTAGTAAAGATCAATTGTCTCAACCCCGAGTCTCTTCAGACTTTTCTCACATGCAGACTTGACATACTCAGGGTCAGAGCGGACTGTCTGAATACCTGTAGCGACGTCGAATTGGATCGCAAATTTGGTAGCCAGGAAGATATCGTTGCGATTTCCTGACTTCTTCACCCACTCTCCCACTGCATCTTCACTGTCGAAGTACAGGTCGGCTGTATCCCAGAATCGCGCACCGATCGAATGGGAATGCTCAAGGAAAGCTACCTTGTCTTCAAGGGAACCGGCAAATCCATAGATACTGCCGAGACTCATGAGCCCGACACCAACTGCGGGAACTTGAGGGCCGTTGCGGCCAAGTGATCGAGTTGGAAGCGACATGGCTGGAATGAGATCAAAGAGGATGCAAGTGATAAGATGTGAATAGTAAAAGTAGAACCACGAGTATTGTAGTGAAAGAAAAACATATCCAGGTGGCAGCAGGGCTTTTTATATGGATTTATCCACAGTCAGAGTCCATTACAAAGGGCGTCATTCACAGTATCCATCTCTACCTAGGTAGCTAGCTAGATGGATATATGTGGGCCCCTTCAATAGACTTTGGCCAATCAAACCTCTTCAAAAGCGAGCAGACCAATCATATTGTGACGCAGTTAAAGATTAACTCCGACAATCTGCCAAGAGCCTCGGAACCCACTTTGATATTCTCCCGGAGTCTTGAGATTATTGTTCCTTTGATTCCTCCCGAGGTCAAACTGCTGATATGGACAGGCACATCATATTAACCCGAAAAAAGGCCAAAACGGGGTGCAAGACCTGCAAGTAAGTATTTGCCTTTCCTCATTCTAGTACTTCCTAACTGGATCAAGAATCCGCCGGGTCAAATGTGACGAAGGCCGACCAGCTTGCCGACGCTGTGTATCAACCAGTCGAGTCTGTGATGGTTATGGCATTTGGGGAGGAGGCGGAAGTCCCTACGGGCAGCCACATAGCAACCGTGCTCTATCAACCTACTGTACACCGGTTCCAGTCGGTAACCTCAGCCACGAGGAACAAATGTGCTTTGACTGGCTGATCAAACGAACGGCAAAGAAGTTCGCCGGTCTTTTTCCATCTGACTTCTGGGAGACCTTAATTTTTCAAGCTAGCACACAGGAACCCGCTGTGCGCCATGCTGTCATTGCCTTGTCGTCCACTCATCGGTTCCAGCAGCGATATACCGCTACGCCGGATAAATACGACGAAGAGTGTTTCACTCTTCGGCAATATAACAAGGCAATTCAACACCTACGCAGCAACACAACCAATAATAGCCACTCTCTTCGAGTAGCACTGATTACGTGCATGCTTTTTATCACCCTAGAATACATGCGGGGCCAGTATCAAACGGGGAGTGCACATCTCCAATATGGCATGAAGCTCCTCTCTGATATATCCCCACGTCCCCTGCCATCCATGCTCCCGACCATTCTATCCCCCGAAGAGGACTTTGCCTACAACGCCCTTGTCGACGCCTATATCCGACTAGGCATTCAATCAGCCATGTTCGGCCACATACGTTCACACGTATACATTGTAACAAAAGATCCACGAACCGCCATTCTCCCTTACACATTCACCTCACTCCTGGAAGCAAGACGCAGCCTAGACGACCTCTTGAACAGAGTCTACTGCTTAAAAGGCCATCACTACGACAATCACTCATCCCAGACACCAACCAGCAAGCGACAAATGCTCATCACACAAAGCAAAATTCTCGCAGACCTATCCCTCTGGCGCAAAACATACACCGCCTCAGTCGCACGCCTCGAAATCAAGAAGATATCTGGAAAGGACCATATGGGCTACCTCCTCATAAATGTGCATCACAAAATGGCCACAGTAATGGCCTCAGTCTGCCTCTCGCCAGAAGAACCCGAGTCAGAGCTGGTCTTCGACACTTACACTGAGACCTTCATCAGTATATTGACCAGCTTCCTCGATTTATGGAAAGGCTGGGTAGCAGCAAGCTTCCGCAAAGAAGACATCTCTAAGCTAGCCAATGCACCCGACGACCTGAAAGCCATGTTCAAAAACTTCAAGACGATGTCCGACGCGGACGCGATCTTAGAAACTTCTCTACTAGAACTTCTCGAAAAATCTGACTTACTCAACTACTACCTGCGGGCACCAGACTGTGGTAAGAACGGGTTCACCGTTGAGATGGGGTACGTCCCGCCTTTGTACTACACGGCTCTTAAATGTCGTGTCCCACGGATCCGGCGGCAGGCTGTGAGGGCGTTGAGGGCTGCGCCGCATCGGGAGGGGCTGTGGAATGGTTCTTTCTTGGCGGATGTCTTGGAAGAGATTATTAAGGTTGAAGAGGGTGATTTTTATGCTGATTATGTCTGTCTTAATTCGCCCGTTGGGCGTATTCTGCCTGATGATGAGGATTTGCTTGTGCCTAAGGTGCCGGCCGAGGCGAGGGTCTCAGATGTTAGGGTTATCCTGCCGGATGAGGTTGATGGGCGTGCTTATGTTAGTTATCGGAAGATGGTTGGGGATGGTGAATGGGCGACTTTTAAGCAGGAAATTGGTGTATAGGGCGGTAAATATTTCAATGAAAATGTGTATATATAGCCTGCGCCTATGGTTGTTGTTTATAGGTCAAGTAGAATGTTTTTGGGGTATAGGTAGCACATGTGCAGATCCTAGCTTTCTATCTATTGAAAGTCAACTGCATTCGTTCTCTTTTGATCATAAATCTTCTTTCATTGCTTATTGTACAATTTTTATATTACGGCCGTGTAAACGGCCATGGGTCGTGATTTCGTAACATGCTTTCTAGTATCCATAACACCCCGAAGATATTGTTTCCTGCTCTTTCAAATCCATAAATGACTGAAGTCCTATGCCTTGCATAACTAGTATGTTACTTCGCGCCAACCTTTTGACTCCGCAAAAATGCAGCCACCTGTTCATGCCTCGTGACAAAGAACATGCGTTTCCGATCTGACTTCCAAACCAGCACGCCAATCTCCGCGGCATACTGGCAAGGGGCCTGATATTCGGTCAAGCTGGTGAAATCCTTGAACAAAAAGCCCGCTGTGGCCCGGAGACGGTCCCGCTCCAGCTGCCACAGTCTGATCTGATCTGTGACGGTAGGCGGGAGCACAGATGCTGGCACACCCTTGCCGTTGGGTTGAGCAGCGCTGTGTTTCCGCAGCTGTGGGTGCGCGTGCGATAATAGGTACGAGATGATTTGATCAGCAGTAATTCCCATCTCGATGGCTCGGCGGACAGACTGCCTAGTAATTTTTCCCGTGACCAGATTGGGGAAGCGGTACTTGAGGTTTGTAAAGAGGGAGATGAGGGATATTTGTAGGGGTGATGAGGTATAGGCGTAGAGTCGGTAGTTGGTTTCAATGATGATGAACCCGGAGCTAGGTCCACTAGACGGCCCCATTGGCCCATTGAGAGATCCTGTGACTGGGTTGCTCAGAGCGCTCGAGTCGGATGTAAGTGTAGTAGCGAGACGGGTGGGATAAAAGCGCGTCGCGTCAGCGTCTTCCTGGTAAATAATACCAAAATCGGCGAGATCTGTAAGAGTTCGAAGTTGGTTGGGTGTCATATGGCTCTTTTCATAAGACGATCCGAGTTCCAGGCTGCTCAGGAGGAAAAGGAACGATAGAACCTCGACGCTATCCATGCCGATGGCCTCGGCACTCTCGACATAAAGAATCAAGATATGCCAGACCTGGGTGTTCACGTCCTGGAGCACAAATCCGAACCCGTCTTTGGTGATGTCGACACGATTGCCTCGGATCTCAACTAGGTGTCCTGCTTGAAGAAGCTGTTTGACACCCTTGCTCAAATTGACCACATCGCGCTGTCCACTCAAGGCACTTGTTCCAACCATGTACCCCATAACTCCTTCCCACTGTCGTCTAGCATATTCGTCCAAATCGGCGATCGATGTCAGATTGTGTGCCGGGGCTTGGGAGAATACACCGAAAGAGTGCGAGTTCTCGGCGCCCGTCAGAGCTTGTCGAAGCGAAGCAGCGAATGGGTTGGTGACCATGTACGCCCGGACATTTTCACCTGTGAGAGTCGTAGATAAAATGTGAAGTCGACCCAATATTGAGATTGCATTATCCCGTTCCCTTATGTGAACACGGTTAGTAATGACTGGAGCCAGACCTATCAGATAAACCACTCACTTCTTGCTCTCTGAGTTAACCCAAACTTCCAGATCAGCTGTTGGGAGAGGGTCTTTTAGGTAAAGGAGAGCCATCACAAAGCATTTTGCTATATTCACTGTTAGCGCAATATTCCCTTCTGTTTGGGTGAGCTCAATGTACCTAGATCGGGCAGCATGCGCCGGAAGATCGCAAGAGCTGTGGACGGCTGTTGGTATAGCTTATAAAAAGTTGTCCCGGGAAGCCCTTCTAGGTACTCCAGAGGGCGGGATGTTGCACTCGCCATGGTGAGCTGTGAGAAACCAACTTCTCAAGCAACTGAAAAGAATGAGCTGTCCAGGTGAAGTGGTTGAATGAAATGACGCTGGTACGGTGACCGAAGCGGCAACAAAGTGCAACTCCGGGGTGCTCCCGCCAGGTCTACAACATTGGACTTGTTAACTCTCCCTATATCATTACATCTCCAGAACATTTGTCACTTTTGAGAAATGGCTTCTCTTAAATTTGTCCGCTCGGTAATTATTAGGACCTTGATCACCTATAATTCCCTTCTCACTCACACAATACTGCTATCTATAGGTATGGGAATCTTTCCGAGCTACCTCGGGTCTGGAGCCTCGGTATGGAATTGTCCCAACTTGCCTCTCTACCTTCGAGATATTAGAGAAGAACTAACATCTCATTTCAATTTTGCTGAAGGCTGTTGAATAATGTAAGTCTGAGTCGGTTAAATGGTTGATAAACTTATCGCTGACCTCTACTATAGCTCCGTGTTACAGCTGCCAGGCCCGGTGTAGTCAACTTTGAGCTGGATATTGAAAAGCAGCATACAGTACGTCTTCTTGGGTTGCAATTTCTCCAGCAGATTTTTCTAAGGTCTTCTTAAAGACCCAACTTCTTGCATAGAACGTTCGTCTCTGACATGTATATCTTTAGAACCGCCTGAATATCCTCCATGGAGGCACCATTGCAAGCATGGGTAAGATATCCTTGTATGTGACACAGAATTTGTGACACTTGGCTAAACTCTGCTCTAGTGGACCTCGGAGGTTCGTTAGCTGTGGCATCTCGCGGCTTGTTCGCGACTGGTGTGTCAACGGACCTGAATGGTAAGTCTATGAATTAGCTATCACGCTTGACTTCTCTGTTTCTAATAAAATTGTCTCTCAAGTCACGTACTTGAATTCAGGTGGCAAAGTTGGTGACCGAATCTTGGCTGTATGTCTTTCCCCGTCTCACTATCACTATTCCTCTCAGTCTCAATCTTACCAAATGGGTACTAACTTTCGACATCAGGAGGTGACATGTGATAAATGTACGCTCCTGACTTGACTGCATATCTTTTGCTGCATATGTTCGCCATCAACTAACTAGCTGTAACTAGTTGGCAAGACCCTTGCTTTCACAAACATCAAGTTCACGAACCCCGATGGTCACATTGTTGCCCGTGGGAGCCACACGAAGTATGTACCCCATCTTATTTTCGAAAATAAATTACTAATATCCCTTAGGTACGTGACCCAGGCTTGGAAAGACCCCAATAACATTGTGGAGGAAATGAACAAGCACAAGGACCAATGAGAGCAAACTTGGGTATTACGATATATGAAACCGGAGCGTTTTAGTCGATCAAGTCTCATATCTACTTGAAGTCATGAAGATGGCCAAAGAAAAGATCGGTTGACATCGAAGCAACAAATCCGAGCCATCAGAGAGAAGACTAATTATAGAGCACAACAATAAGTCTGTTCATATCCCCAGATTATACTATACCATTTTGCCCGAGACAAGAAATGTTACGCAAGTTCATTGCATTCAAGAGCCCCTCGGAATACAAAGCAGAAAACATAGAGACCCAACATACTCCTTTATTGAGTGCTGCTGTTACCATTTTGATTTGCGAAACAACTCATACAATATCTTCATCTCCATCATCAGCCTCCATAGCCTCATCCTCATCCAAATAGCCATCCTCGCCAGCCGGCGTCGCATCCCCAATGGTAATATCTCCATCACCCATAGCCTTAATCTTGGCCTGCGTCATCTCAAACACATACTGTCCAAGGTGCTCAACACTCTCCATCGGCGTGCCCTCAACGGCGGCGCTGGCTTCCCGCGAGGACGGGAACATCTCACCAGGCGCGAGCATGAGCTTATCCGGTCGTTGCAGAAGAAGGTCGAATGCAGGCTTGAGCTCGTAGCATGATTCGAAGACTTCCCGTCGGCCGAAAATGTACAGACCCAGTCGTGCGCGGGAGAGAGCTACAGTCAGACGGCGGACGTCGCGCAGGTATCCAACACTGCGGGTTCTGGTGAGAGAAAGAATCACATCTAGAGTAATGTTAGTAATTCTAATGCTAAGTGATGTAAATATGCTTTGGAAGTCAACTCACAATCATTCTGCTCTCCCTGGTAGCGATCCACTGTCGTCACAATCTTGGGCATTCCAAACATGGGGTTCTTGCCACAGCGGTGACTCAATACATCCCGAATCAAAGCTGTCTGCCCAGCATACGTGGCTAAGATGGAGATTTTGGAAGCAGGGTATCCCAAGAGTCGCATGTACTGATACATGGCCACTGCATACTCCGCTTCACCCAGATTCTGGATAAAGTGAGGTGTCGGTTCTCGCTCTCCAGAGCCCTGGTAGTCAGGGACATTGATAAATTGGTAGTCGAACTGGAAACCGGCATTGGCCTGCTGGTACTCGGGGGCGGTTTCAACCACTGGAAGATCTCCGAGTTCCTTGTACCGCCAGCGGAAAAGCTCTGCAATGCTGGACCGTGCGCGTCCCTGCTTATCCAGGTTGATTACTGGGACACCCAATCGCGCCAGTCGCAAGAAGAGACTTTGCTCGAAGTGGGCATATTGACGGAAAGCCATGTTCTGAATGATGGGTGAGTTCTGGTAGTGGTCACCACAGAGAACAACACGCTTGAGAGGAAGTTCGCCGTTCTTCATGTTTTGCAGAGCGTTGGGGATGAAACTTTCAACTTCAGTAATCTGCGCAGCTTCTTCCATCACCACGTTATCGTAGTGGAAACCTAGATCTGCAATTTCTTGCCGCCGCATAGCTGCATGGGTCGAGGTCATCGCGATGATTCGGGCCTCCTTCACTAGGAGATAGTTCGCTTTATCGCGAGGCTGTCTCAAGATCTCGAATGGCCGGATGTCTTCTAGCTCAGAGAAGATTCGAGCAATGTGGCGTTGGCAACCTGCAGCGGTGTCGATGATCGCCTCTTTTATGGCATCAGCTTCGAATAGGGGCTGTGGAGCATTTGCAAAGTATGCTTGGAACGGGAAGGATGCGACAATCTCTTCATTTGATGTTCCTTCGGAATTGGCGTGATCCCAGAATTTGGCCCATGTTGGCTGCACGTAGACTGTATTGAAGTAACCTGCAGTCTCGCATGAATTTCCATGAGCACCCTCGACCCCGATCGATGCTGCCAAGCGCATCACTTCTGACAGATAGTGATTGCGGTTGTCAAGGAAGGATTCAACTCGTCCATACTTGCTATAGTTGGAATCAGTCTCCAATTCCTCCTCACCGTGACCCAATCGTAGTAAGTGCCGTTCATCAATATCAAGAGCAATAATTTTCTGGAATAGTTGATTCAGGGCTTGGTTGCTGTGGGCAATGAGCAGCGTCCGTTCATTTGGGAAGTTGTGGTAAATGTTGTTAATGATTTGGGTGGTGACATCAGTCTTTCCAGTACCAGGTGGTCCCACGATGACGGTGAGTCCTGGCTGCGTTCCAGATGCGATGGCTTCCACTTGGGCGGGGGTAAATCGAATTTTGTTCAACTTGGGAGCGTCGACCGGGTAAGGGCCAGGGTTTGGTGGCTTGTATGTGGAAACACGCATACTGCTAGGTGCAAACTCTGTCTCTGCGGCTTGCTCCCGGCGTCGCTTCTTCGGCGCGGGATTCTCCGCTGCAGGCTCTTGGTTAACATATTCAATAACGTAGGGCGGGCCAAAGCTGGCATTCTCAGCCCCCGAAGGTTCAATGCCCGGGAAGCTTTCTACCAAATGAGACCAGTCCAAAAATGTGTCTCGGAAGTCTACAGTGCTAAGTCGGTTTGGTAGCTGCGTGTATCGAGCACTAGCTGGATCCCCATAGCCCAGGAAGATGTCCTGAATCCAGGAAGGAAGCGTCATGTCAGAGACAATAAGCTTTTGCATCGTCTGCAGAATTGACTTGAAGTTATTCTCCCTACCCTTTCTCCGTGCAACCACGTTGATGAGGGGGTAAATGTCCGGTTTGCCGTGGGCCTGTTGGTCCTTATCGGCTTTAAATGCAGCCGCATCCAAATTGACGATCAATCTCCTCGATCGTGCCCTAGACTGAGAGCCATTTGTCTGGCCAGGATATTGTCGCAATGCGCGGCCTTGCTCGTCAAGTACCTGTACGATCTCGGCCGTTCGAAGATGGATCATCCGAGGGCCTTCAGATGCACCTTGTTCTGACTGTGACGAACTGGACTGGACGGCCAAAAGATAGACGACGTCATCAGGACGGAGTGAGTCCCATTCCCTCCTAACATTATCTGCAAGCCGTCCCACCTCTATTGCGATCTCGGCTCGAACAAAAGCCGGGTTTGTTGCCCCGACCTTTGGAGGTGCGACATCAATAATAGCAGGCTTCGAAATTGGAATAGCCATTCGAGAGAATCCCTCAAAGTTTAAGCTTCCGTCACGTGCTGCCTTTGGCTGCATGCGTTTAACGAGGGACTCCATGTCCTTGCGGATTTGGAAGAATGCTTCCGATCGGTAGAGAAGGAAGGAGCGCCAAAGGAAATCTCCGAGACTCAGATACTGGAGATTCAACTTTGGGATTGCCAGAGGCCTCGATCCGTCGTATGTCTCATTTCTCAACAAGGCCGGGTCGTAGAGGGTTTCCTCCGTCGGAAGTGGACTCAACTTCTCAACAGCTTCTTGGAAGGGTATCTTGCGTTCATAATAAGATGCCAAAACTTCCAGATAGAACTGACGGTCTGGAGTCACGTTCGATGATTTTGGGTAGCTTGTGCGGAATCCTAGGTGAGAGCAAAGACTCTGGAGCTCCGACTCGTCTAGAGAAGATAGCTGTCCCTCTAGATCCGCTCGCTGCTCAATTGATCCCATATTAGACAGCGCGAGAATCGTGAGCTTGTCTTTGAAGAACTTCATCGAGGTTCTTTGCAACTGGGCCAATTCCTGGCAATGCAGGTCGTAGACTCCCTGTGGAGAAAGAGCCTCGCCAGAGTAGTCATCAAGTGCAAATTCGACAAAATGTTTGAGAAGGCTATGGAAGTCACGTAGAAGGGCATTATCAGGCACACGGTAGAGCTGTGAAAGGCGAATAATCGACAGAAGGTTGAGATCCTTCAACAACGTGTTCACGTAACGCCTAGTAGGAAGCTGGCTTTCGAGATCAACCAAGAGCTCAAGGAAACGTTCACAGTATAACAAGTTCTCAGCCTGGTCCTTTTCAGGTCCATTCAATCTATGAAGGAAATCCAAGAGCATTGTATACAGCCATGAACGTTCGAAGCGCATCTTTGCTTTGGCCGCTTCATCTCCAGCCTCGTATCGCTTCACAGAGGCTCTCCATGCCTTTTTCAGTGTCGGTGCCTTTGCAATAATACGATCCCTAGTGTCCTCACTGGCCAGATTGTGCCAGACCGAGATAGAAACGAGGGGCGCACATTCTTTGCGGATCAGGACATTCTCGAGCGACTGGAAGGCACTGATGATAAACGATATGATAGAGAGTCGAGAGCGAGTCGGAAGTGAATGATCAATGCTCATCGAGAGAATACGGTGGAAGAGGTTGGAGAAGTCATCTGAGCGGTCGGAGAAGATATCTGCAACTGTCAGTTTTGCCCTGTTATAGATCATGTCGCATTGACTCACCCCATATCGGTAAATGCTCGCGATGCTTTACGCTGACGATCAATGCAATCAACAATACATGATGATTAGACGCATCCTCTGTGTAAGTCGGCCAAAGGAATCTAGAGAGCAGGTTAGCGTTAGCCCTGTAGGCATGACTAGAGGGAACGTACTTCTCAAGAACGTTCAAGTTCTCGAGGATCAATAGTGAGCGACTGCTGAAAGCCTCTGCTTCCAAAGGATCCAACAATTGCTTCTTGATGACATCGGGTTTGGCCTTGCGGACCTTCGTGTTCAGCCAGTGGGCCTTGGCTAGTTGTACCCACGGGCTTTCTTCACGAAAGTCCACCACTGTAGGCCTGGATTCGAGACTCTGCGCCATCGCAGGAGTCAATAGTTTCCTTAACCTAATAAATTGGAGTTGGTCAAGGAGGGGTGGATTGGCGCAGTCGGGAACATCTGAATTGGTGAAGCTGGGGGAGCTTTTCAAAAAAGTCTTGGCTTTGAGTTCCGCCGAGCCGCAGTTCTCAATCAATCCGACCACTTTGTTTCCCTCCTTCCTACACCCATCTAAGCTTTCTTTCTCCTCCTGTCACCTGTCTTTTAATAGACGATTGAAGTCACACTTGAGAAGAAGCTGAAGACCGCAACCAAGGAAATACCAAGTCCCCCTAAACAGACAATCGAGAAGTCGCTTCCGAACACACTCGAGACCACACTCGGAGACGACACTTTCGAGACAACCCCTCAAGGGTCCCTTACAAAGGCGCCTTGGTAGACACTTCACAAAATGGCGAACGAGGACGTCGCGGGAGTTCAGGTCTACAAAAGACTAGTGGACAGTCTCCTGGATCGCGCCGCGCAGGTCAAGCCTGACAAGCAGATCGAACCGCCTTTGACCGAAACACACCTGGGCGAATCGATATGGCAAGTACCATCTGAGGATGATAAAGCTACAAAGCATTTAAGCCCACAGACCAAGATTGCGGCCGTGGAGATCGCGTTTCGTGAGAAGTTCTATCGTGTCTTGGTACGGCCCATACAAGGCTCTAGTCCCCAGAGCATCGTTAACAGTTCATCATAGGCCTCGACTTCCATCGATGATCCCGCTTTCATTCAAATCTGGAACCTCCTCGACATTGTCTCGATCTTTTCTGATAATGGTCAGTCTCCACACTCCATCCGCATTCCTTATAACTCTAACAACCACCAGAGCAATGCGAACCCGGCCTGATTTTCTGGCTCATTGAAGAGCTCTTAGATAGTCAAACCATTAATGGTTGCCGCAAGGTGTTTGACTACCTGGAGTCCCGAAGGGAGAGGAACACCAAGGTCAGCATGGCCCCTCATCTACCGGATCTGTCGCAAAGCTAACCCCACAAAAGAAGCACTTCAAACAGAAAAGTTTAGTCATTCTACGATCCTGCAACGAGCTTCTTCGCCGGCTCTCGCGCGCAGAAGATACAGTGTTTTGCGGCCGGGTGTTTATCTATCTCTTCCAAAGTTTCCCACTTGGAGACAAGAGTTCGGTTAACCTGCGCGGCGAGTTCCACTCCGAGAATGTCACAACTTTTGATGAGATTGCGAAAGAGCCTACCGAGAAGCAGGAGCAGGATACAGCAATGACTGAAGGGACTGAACCTGCAGCACCCGGAGAGGCAGCGGCGGGCCAGGCTGAGACCCTTTCTCAGCAAACATCAAAAGCGCCCAAGGTTGTTGTTTCTACTGATGATGAGAAGAAATCAGATGACGTTGACCTGGATGCACTCTACCCGCTCTTCTGGAGCCTTCAGGCCTATTTCTCTGCACCGAGCAAGGTGTTCGATGCGGAACGATTTACATCATTCAAGACTGGAATGGAAGCTACGCTAGCTGCATTCAAGAACATCAACACTGAGATGGAAAATGAGAGTTCGGCCCGAGCGTCAGAAGATGCCCGCAAGTCGAACAAGCGCAAGCGCATCGCGGATGGTAATGAAGTCGCCACCAGCTTCAACCCGAAGTACTTGACCAGCCGGGATCTGTTTGACCTCGAAATCAGCGATACTGCCTTCCGACGACACGTTCTTGTCCAGGCTCTTATTCTCCTTGACTTTGTGCTTTCCCTCACATCCAAGTCCAAATCACGCCTGGTCGATACGACGAACAAGTCCGTTCTCTACGGTTTCACTTTGAATGAGGAGGATACCAAGTGGGCGACCAACACGCGAAAAGGTATCGAGGGATATCTGCAACAGGGGCCCGGGGGCAAGTTCTACTATCGCATGGTGGACACGGTCTTGTCTCGAGACAAGAACTGGGTGCGGTGGAAAGCCGAGGGCTGTCCATTGATTGAACGCCCGGCCATCTCCGCAGCAGAGTACACGGCTTCCCGCGAGCATGCCACCAAAGCTTATGCCAACAAACGCCTTCGTCTGTCCCCGATGGGCTCTCTCGATTTGAAGTTCCTTGCCGACACCGAGGCGCTCGCCAATATTGAACGTCTCAAGGAATCCGGCCGATACACCGTTCCTTCCGCGGACTCGTTCTTGAAGGGCATCATGGATGATGAAATGGATATCGATATGGCGATGACCGACGAGGACAAGGCGATTGCCGAGGGCGCTAAAGCCAGCAAGTCCTGGCGAATCTTGCGTCTTGCTGCAAAAGGAAAGCTCGCTGCATTCGACAAAATTGGAGACAACAACAATCTACAGGTCTTGTTCGAAACTGCTACAGCGATTGAGGATAGCAATGAGCTCGGTTCCTCTAGTGATACCAAGGATCTTCCCCAGTCCCTCGATGAAAGTCCGGACTTGCCTATTGAAACCAAAGAGTCCGGTGAAACGAGTGAGCCTGTTGAGGGAAAAGTCGACACGGCTGATCAATCTGAGGGTCAGAACCTTCCCCGGGATCTCTCCCAGGACCCAGATCAGGAAATGCAAGTTGAAAGCAAAGACGTCATCAGCAAAGAACAAGATCCAAGCACGGATGACAACGAAGAGGCCCTTGCCGCCTCTAACGCCTCGAAAGACTCTGCCACCTAAAGCCGAATTGTGGCTTGAAGAATATTTTTTGCTGGCTTTGACCCCCCTTTTGTCCGGAGAAAATCCCCCAATGGGCGTCTCAGTACCAGCCACACAACCAGATTATCAAGGCAACTTGCAGGATTTCATGCATCGATATCACGCCGTTGCCATCTGGGAGATTACTACATCCGTGCACCTGCATTATCTACACATCGGGAATTACTCAGCACATTTGCTGGTTTTTTTTCGATCAGAGCGGTACTCCGTACATTCGGGAGTCATCTCTCCTAAGAGAGTCCAAACCCTTTATCTTTGCCTAATTCGGGCTTATTCCACGAGCTTGTTTTTTTTTTTTTTTTTTTTTTTTTTTTTTTTTTCAAGAATCCCCCCCCCCCTTCTTCAGGGTCAGCTAGCTTCATAGCGGGATCTGAAAAAAAGATGTCTCTTAAACCGAAACAAAAAAAAATCAATTGGCCCCTATGGCCCATACGACTCCTGAATCCAGCATTTGGGAAGCGGGTCACTAACACAAGCGACGAAAGCTCATACCCCAGGGACATAACGTGGAGACCAAGATTCTTTAACTGATCGGCAACTCTAATACAAATGACTTGAAAGGGTTCCTGCATGAAGTAAAGTAGAAAGAATTAATCACGTTATGTTGTTCTCGCTAATTTCTGACAAGTGGCGTTGGCGTTGCAGCCATGTTTCACTTTTCCATTTTATCCCAATTTCTTTGTTATATATATTTTTGTATCAGAGACTAGGGTAAGATTAAGTGGCTTCATTGGAAACAATCCAAAAAAAAAAAAAAAGGAGAAAGAATACGGAGTAAATCTACCGGAATATAGTATAAACATAACTCTGTACGCGAGATCACGGGAAAAAAAAGCCCCCATCGAAATCATTAGTTGCAGAAGTGGGCACTCTTTTTTTTTCCTTTTTGTCCACTTAGCCCCTTTTCGCAGAAGAATTCAAAGTATGGAGTAGTTCGTGACGATATAGTGCAATATAGTGCAATATAACACAATATAGAATATAGGGTTCGAGAAGAGCAAGCGAACAAGAAAACCGCGCACTGATCGCCTGGGGTTCGATGCATAGCAACTCCACTGGAAAATCAAACCACATGGGAAATTCAACCGTCTGAACCACTATCGACACAAGCGTCAAGTTTGATCTCCACCAGTGGACATATGGAATATAACGGTATGTGGTCCGATCTGATGCACTGGCCATGTGGGACTTTGGAATTATTGATTCTCTACTCCGTAGACGGAGTACCTACGGAGGATATATGGACCGGTTTATTCGGATTACTGTGACCCGATCTAGTCCTATTTAAGGATTGTTGGTTTTGGCAATCTGGTATATATAAAGTACTACTACTCCGTACTCCGATACTTTTCGTATAATACTGTCAGAAGATACATTCTCTAGTACTTTGTACTCCATGTAATACATATATATGTATTATACTGCACGGGCTAATGTGCCGGGGTTTTGTTTTATATTAATTCTAATCAAGTAAAAGCGAATCCCGCCAAGAGATCGGCTTGCGTCACCCACTTAATATGATAAATAATAAATAGGGTAGAGTACATATAGGGAGTACTACATAGGGGTGGTCTATGAAGTACTTTATATATATAATCCTTTATATGACTATATAAAATCATATGTTTATATCTGTAAATATATATATATATATACAAAGGTATATATTTTTATATACCTAAGGTATATAAGGTATATAAGGTGAAAGAGTATTTAACATAGTAAAAAGATCAAGCTAAATGTTTCGATCGATCTTTCCCCGCACCGGGAGATTAGAAGGACAACGTGCATCATACGTTTCTTTCTCTTACTACGTAGCGATCGTCACACTTTCGGCCGCCTCTCTACATCGAAACGCCAACGGCTCCGAGTTTTCTCCTCAAATGATCCACTTAAAATGTGGTTTTTTTTTGTATACTCTTTTCTATGTTTTGTATGTGTTTGTATGTTTCATTTTCTAAGAAAAAAAAACACAGAATATGCCAAACTCTTAATACTATATGCGATAACTAGGACCTTTTTCGCCTATTAATCCTATCCGATATCCGACCCGATGCTCTTCAGTACCATTTTCTTTGACCCACATCGGATTTTGATGTTTTTTTTTACGCCTCATTCTGTGACTTGAATTGTTTCACATTGTGGAGATTTCCAGGGGAGTCTCTAACAACTACCGAGTGGGATTCTAACTCGCTAAAAACGGTCTAAATTCCGCTATTGTCTTGGGAAATCAAGAAATGGACCTAACTTCGTCTCAGAGGCTCTATAGGCGATTAAGCCCCTTCAAGTTTCAGCTGGCTAATGCAGGCTTGGTTATTTCCTGTTTTTAAATCTATTTATTATATATAATTATATTATACATATTATACATATTATACATATATTATACCGTATATTTCTTTTTTCCTTTTTCTGGCATTTATCTCCACTCTCGACTCTTCGCTTCTTTCCGAATTGGAGCGTAGCGGGCAGTTCTCTGAGTGGCTGTCTTTTTCTCCTATAGCCCCGAGGGTCCGGCTTAGGGTGCCGCTTATGGATCCCAACGCCACTAACATAGCCGACTGGTTCTATTCCACATGGCACGTTCTGTTTCATAACGTGTAGAACCTTTTCTTTTTTTCTGTCCGTATAGATCCGAGCACGGTCAATTCCATATACTTTCTTATATATACCAGACAATATATCAATATATACAGTAGATATTTATATATATATATACATATATATAAACATACAAGTAGGGCATTGTCTCCTTTATCTTTCTCTCCAAGTCTCAGGTCCCGCAGGACCCATTTCTTTCCTCTCCTTTTACCCAAGCTGAAAAGTTCTCAGCTTACAGACGATTCGCCATGAAGATTCAATGACTAGTGTCATATTCTACCCTTACGAAATAGCTCTGGGAATTTCCCGTACCTATCACTTCGTATGCAGGGACGCCTTATGGATACAAGGGCTTTAGGCCGCATACGGGCATTGGATCGGAAACGATTTTATTCTCCGAGCCGATCCTTTTAGTTTCTGACGCTGTGTATTCTGTTTTACCCAAGGTTAACGGCTGCCACTATAGACCATTTAGTATAGGATCTTCATCCCAGGTAAATAGATCGTTGATCTGTGTGGACTCGAATCTGTTGGACTTTTACACTGTACTCCGTACATATGTACATTAGTTCTCACACCCGGCCCACCTAAAGAATTTATCTGGCCAAATTGGCCGAACCGTATTGTATGATTTGAATGTGTTTTTTTCTTTCTTTTTTTTCTCTTTCCTATGGGGGAATTGGATATTCTCTTCTTAGAAGTTGAACAAGTATATATATATGTTATACATGCTGTTATAAAGTGGCCAACGTTGTGGACCCTATTAATATCCCTGTATTTCCACTGTTACCTTGGCTATCAAGACCTCTTTGCCTCACAGGATATCTCCGGTCGATCCTACTCTAGCGGCATTGTCCCAGGTACCACATTTTCATTTTGGTGGATGCCTTTCTACAATCTCTTATACTACCCAGCTGCGTAAAGATCATCAAAATCGGAACCGATCTCAGATCGAAAAAAAAAAAAAAAAAAAAGGACTCTGGAGACAGTTGTCCCGCTTGACGTCTTATCCTCTTTTTTTCGTTTGGGCCTTGTTTTTTCCCTTTCTCCTCTGGGAAACACACCGGTTCCTTTTCACCTGACCTTTTGGCGCCTTTAATCCCCTTTTCCTGTCAACCCTACTTTTAATTGCACTGAAATCCTTTTTTATCCTTTTTTTTTACCGGCACTTCAGACCCACCAACGTCTCATATCGGGGGAGTCTACCGTTTCCTTTTTGGGCTAGAATTTCTCCTATTGTTTCTCTGTTAACGAAAAGACTTGACTTGAACTTGAACTTGGACTCGACTCTCTTTCTTGTTCTTTCATATTTGTCGATTTTTTTGACGGGTAAGGGCAAATATACAGGCCAGACATACCAAAAACTAGATCCTTACCATGTCAGTCGGTGGCCCTTGCCTTTGGTTGCCTTCGTTATCTTCACCAGTTCCTTCGCCCCTGTCTGCTGTTTCCTCTCACCTATCAGCTCGAAACAGCGATAGACTTTCATTAGGGCCCAGGACTATCTCACCACGACTATCTATGCAAAAAAAGAGGAGCCTGGCGTTCCTGTTCCTGTGCACGTTCCCGCTCGTCCTGTGGAGATGCAGCCAGTTGGTTTTAAGGCTGAGAACGCCTTGAATAACCCGGTGGCACAGCCTGTCAGCATGGGTTCAGCGCCGTATTTGGGAAGAGATGTTTCACGGGATACGGTCAACCAACGATTGGAGGCCGCAAAACAGGATATGCTGCCGCGTGTTAAGTTGGAAATTCCGAGTCTGAATCAGCGGGTCTTTTCGAGTGTTCAGCCCCTGGTCGGGCCCGGTCATCATGAAGAGGCCGGTATTTCATCCTTTTCGGGCCATGACTCGAGAGACGACCACGAGAGAGAATCGACAATCAGTCCTGATGACGATAAGGATATCATGGGTAGCGATGACAATAGATCGCCTTCCATGGAGAAGAAGAAGATGAAACGTTTTCGGTACGAATGTCGGAATTATGAAGTACAGCGCGCATTGTGGCTGACAAGAAGTATAGTTTAACACATAACCAAACCCGCTTTTTGATGAGCGAGTTCACTCGCCAGGCACACCCCGATGCGGCTCATCGAGAACGTCTGTCGAGGGAAATCCCCGGACTGACCCCGCGTCAAGTGCAAGTCTGGTTCCAAAATAGGTAGGGCGGTTGTTCATCTAGTTTTGGATTCGTTCGTCATTGACTAACGTGGATGGACTGCCAGGCGAGCAAAGCTCAAGCGTCTCACTACGAATGATCGGGAGAGAATGCTCAAATCTCGGGCCCTTCCTGACGATTTCGATACCACAAAGGTTCTCCGAACGCCCTTTGAGGGCAAACAATCAGGTGCCACGCCAGTGGCATCTCCACAAGGCTATGCCGCTCCAAATCCAGATTTCGGGACTTTGAGAACGCTGCGTACCGATTGCTATCCCCGACCAAATGAAGACGAATATCTCGTCTCGCCTCTTAGCTCTGCATCAACAGCAGGAACCTACATGTCCTCGACGGGACGAAATGACAGCCTGCCTCAGTCAAACATGATGTTCCGTCCTGCTGCATCTGCCTCCATGTCCGATTTACATAGAACCATCCGCAACGATTACCCAATCACTAGATCCAGCAGTTTGTCTGATGCATCCGCCCATCCGTCAGCATATGCGGGGTATCATATGCACAATCGCTTCGCAGGACCGCAGCCAAATCAACCAGGTCTACCGTACATGAGACGACCTATGGAATACGCTATACCCCGTCATCCAGGAAACTTGGGACCATATGATCAGCATCAATCATTCGAGGGTTCGGTGTCACCAACAGATACTCAAAACCCACATATTGCCTATGATATGCACAATCTAGGTTCGTTTTTTTTTTCTCCTTTCGACTTCAGACGATTTTCTAACATGATTTTTATATAGGTCCCCAACAACAAAACTACAATCTTGGAATGGGCTCTCAATTACCTACCCAAGGTCGACCTATGGCCACCATGCAGAACCTGCCAGTCTCGGCAGCACAAGATTATCGGCCATATTCCTACGAGGCCACCACAGGCCCAATGGGCACACCAATTCCCTATACACAAGCAAATACCTCGACTCTGAGTCTCCCAACTTCAGAGCCACCTTACAACTACCCCAACTATATCCAACAATAAGCGGGGAGGGGCAAGACAGTGGGCTTTACAAAAAAAAAGTTGGCTGCCACTTGTCTGTTATACGATATCCTCGTTTTGCTTTCCACCTCTCCTGCTTCATCTCCATCCCATCTCCCATCTCCGCCTTTCTGGTTAACTGGTTAGCTGGGTTAACCAAAGATCCGCGATCTACATCAGCGAGTATTAATCATTAATCATTCTCATAGCGTTCACCATTTCTGGTCTCTGGTCTCTGGGTTTTCTTTTGGGGGGGTTTTTCTTCTGTGTCCTGTGTTATCAACTATCTTTTTAAACCCTTTTTCTTGTCTGCATCTACACCCTTCATTTGATTCCATATCACCATGTTGTTCTCCATTTCTGTCGCGTTTCTTTTGGTCTGGTCTGGTCTGGAATCTAGCGTCATTGTCTGGGAGGCAGTTTTTGTCTAATATTAATTGTTTCTGATCTCGCTGCATAGCCTCGGGGTGAAAGGTGGAAATGGTATAGATATGCTACTGTGTTATAGAAGCAGACAAGACCATCAAGTCTACAATTCACTTAAACCAAATAAACCACGTTTATCTTTGACATTTCTTTTGCATCTACTTTTATGGCACTATCAATATTTCAATGTCTGATTCTTCACTATGTAGTCTGTACTCCATACTCCATACCAACATGATATATTCTGACTTATTAAGGTCTAAGCTCCGGATGCAACTAAACAATAGTTCCCTTGCGTGCATACCCTATAAAGCCTCCCAAAACAGAAGTCTAACCCAACGTGGTCCTGGTCATCTAAATCCTATCCATCGAATCAGAATCAAGACAAAAGTAATCAAATTCCCTTTCAACAATCTCCGTACAACGTAGACAGTCAGGCCACATCTTCACAGCCACTCAAGAGGCGTGTATTTGTTCGTCGCTACTGTGGGCCAATCAGCGTCCACCGAAACAAACCACCGAATCACGTGGTACCATCTCTCCCGGCCAATCATAGTCCAGCAATTGATAATCACCACCCTCTGACGCATGCGGACGAAGTGGTATAAAGGAACTCGTAGGAGCAGTGCAATTATTTTTCTTTCTCTCAGACATTCTCATCTCGATTCCAAGAAAAAGACATTCTTCAATATTTCAAACTCACAAACCTCTCGCCTTCATCAACATCATTCAATCTTCAAAAACTACGTCATATCAAACCAACCCGCCAAAATGGTCCACCCCACTACTACTTGCTGCAAGACCGCCCAAGATGGCTCCTGCGTCTGTGCCGCCCAGGCCAAGTGCTCCTGCGGCCAGCAGGACGCTCTCAACTGCAGCTGCAACAAGGCTGCCTCCGAGAACACCGTATCTGGTCCCCGCTGCTCATGCCGTATGTGAAACTCCACTATTCTGATAATTACATATATACTAACATATTTGAAATAGGCTCTCGCCCAGCTGGCCAGTGCACCTGTGAGCGTGCCGTGAGCGAGAACAAGCCTGTTGCTGGCGAGACTTGTGCCTGTGGTAGCCGTCCTCAGGGTGAGTTTTTAGGTTCCTTTTATAGATGTGATTTGAATGCCTTGTTAACTTTGAACTTTAGCTTCTTGTACCTGTGAGAAGGCTGCTGCTATTGAATCTGCCCTCGAGGTTGACTTCACTACCCGTGCTTAAGTGCGATTCACTTGTATCTTTTGCTTTGATGGAATGCTCCGTCATTGATATTTGCATTTTTGATCCCTATCTTCATGGGGCGGTGGCGTCTTGGGCTTGGGCATTCTTATTGGTTGAGGTCTGCTTTGGGGGTTTACTTTATCATTAACCGGTTACTGAATGAGATATGAAACGAGATATTAATGCTATCCAATTTTCACTACCATGTAAATACCAAACGCAAGGAACGAATTGCGAGTAACTTGTAGGCTACGTATATTTTTCCCGTGCACATTAAGAGTTATCGAAATAGGCTTGGGTGGCTTTGAAACGGAAATATACATACTTCTTAAAATAGACATTGGTACGACGTGTCGAGCCTCATAAAGCTTGTTTATAGAAAGATGCACGTCAAGGGCAATATGTTGAAATGATTATAAGCTTTTAACCAGCACCTTTTCCGAGATTCACTATTTCGTAGAAATTACTATTGACATATGTTGTACTCCGTACCTATGGTTCATCCAGACAAAGAAATAGAACCTATACTCCTTGCACCGCCACACCGGATCAGTATTCCTCCGCCGCCACATACCGCCACAGCGGAACCCGGGCAGATCGACAGCGGAAGTGACCCAAGTGAAATACGGAGCGGACTAGTTACGGGGATGGATTCATCTCGACTTCGCCTTTTGCTCAGCCTGTTTCTCCTGGGATCTCTAAACTGGGCGCTATTTTGTATGTAGCAACCCCGCCGTTCAATCGGATACCTCCGGCCCACACCAACCAACCACTGCTGACAAGCTCCCCCAGAATTCAACACAACACATCTAACCCCCTGTTTTTAAAGGAGCTTCCACAAGCCCGGAAATTCATCACCCGATACGCTGCATAGCCAATGCCCCATATTCGACCCGCCAGCATAACCAGGACATGGTTGTGTGACGTTGTGTGTCCGATCGCGAACCCCCTGAGGTGATAATCCCGCGTGGCATGCGAGGGCGCACCTCGATCGAAACCCCGCCATACCACAGCCATCAAAGAATAATTCTTCAGTCTGTGGGCTGATAAATACACTACACTATTGTCGCCGCTATGTCGTCGATGCGAGGACTCGTGCAGTTCATTGCTGATCTGCGAAATGCACGCGCCAGAGAACTCGAGGAGAAGCGCGTGAATAAGGAACTGGCCAATATTCGGCAGAAATTTAAGGCTGGCAATCTTAATGGTTACCAGAAGAAGAAATACGTTTGCAAATTGCTTTATGTCTACATTCAGGGTTATGATGTCGACTTCGGCCATCTCGAGGCTGTCAACTTGATCTCTTCGCCCAAGTACTCTGAGAAGCAGATCGGATACTTGGCTGTCACGTTGTTCTTGCATGAAGAGCATGAGCTGCTTCATTTGGTTGTTAACAGTATCCGGAAGGATCTGGTCGACAACCATGAATTGAATAACTGCTTGGCCCTGCATGCTGTGGCTAATGTTGGTGGTAAAGAGCTTGGAGAAGCGCTCGGCTCAGAAGTTCACAGGCTGCTTATCTCACCGTGAGTCTGCGACGTTAATCTTTTTATTTAGTACTATTCTGACATTTTCCAGTACCTCCAAAGCTTTCGTCAAAAAGAAGGCTGCTTTAACCCTGCTTCGGTTGTACCGCAAATACCCCGGCATCGTGCGAAACGAATGGGCTGAAAGAATTATATCTATCATGGATGATCCAGATATGGGAGTCACGCTCTCGGTGACCTCTTTGGTCATGGCGCTAGCCCAGGACTTGCCAGAGGAATATAAGGGCTGTTATGTCAAGGCCGCGCAGCGATTGAAGCGGATTGTTGTTGACAACGAGATTGCCCCAGACTACCTCTACTACCGCGTACCATGTCCATGGATTCAGGTTAAGTTCTTGCGCCTGTTGCAATATTATCCTCCATCAGGTATGTTTATTGCTGTGGATACTTATAATTCAATGTCTCATATACAATTATAGAGGACAGCCATGTTCGCGAGATTATTCGAGAGTCACTCTCCCAGATGATGCAAGCTGCAATGGAAACACCCAAGAATGTCCAGCAGAACAATGCCCAAAACGCCATCCTTTTCGAAGCCATCAACCTCCTCATCCACCTCGACTCTGAGCACAATCTCATGCTGCAAATTTCCACCCGCCTAGGCAAATACATTCAGTCTCGGGAGACCAACGTTCGATATCTTGGTCTGGATGCGCTGACCCATTTCGCTGCTCGAGCTGAAACTCTTGACCCGATTAAAAAGCACCAGAACATCATCCTAGGCTCGCTTCGCGACCGCGACATCAGTGTTCGTCGCAAAGGATTGGACTTGTTGTACAGTATGTGTGATACCAGCAATGCCGGCCCCATTGTCAATGAGCTTCTGCGATACCTGCAGACTGCCGATTACGCCATTCGAGAGGAAATGGTACTAAAGGTCGCCATTCTTACCGAGAAATACGCCGCTGATGCACAGTGGTATATTGACATGACATTGAAACTGCTCTCCCTGGCAGGCGAACATGTCAATGACGAAGTATGGCAACGAGTCATTCAGATCGTGACCAACAACGAAGAACTACAGGCTTATGCAGCACACACCCTGCTGGGCTACATGAAGTCCGATTGCCACGAAAGCTTAGTTAAGATCGGCTGTTATGTCTTGGGCGAGTTCGGTCACCTCGTTGCCGAAAACCCAGGCTCGAGCCCTATTGAACAATTCCTGGCCCTGCAGTCCAAGATGTTCTCCAGTTCCGACAACGCGCGGGCCATGATCCTCTCGTCCTTTGTCAAGTTTGTGAATCTGTTCCCCGAAATCAAACCTCAGCTCTTGCAAATCTTCCGCCTATACAGCCATTCTCCCGATTCCGAACTGCAACAGCGAGCATTTGAGTACCTGTCGCTGGCGACTCTCCCAACCGACGATCTGCTGCGAACGGTCTGCGATGAGATGCCACCATTCTCAGAGCGAACGTCGATTCTACTTTCTCGGCTTCACCAAAAGACAGCCGGTGCGAGCGAGAAGAAGACCTGGGTTATCGGTGGCAAGGACGCGAATGCGGACAAGCAGGAAATGCTCTTGGCACAGAACACCGGCCTTAAGCGCACCTTCACGACAATCGTTCATGGCACGCGCACCGGGTCAGGCAATGCTCCAACCAGCCCAAAAAGTGCGTCCAATGCAGCCAGCGCATCGGGCGACTTGGCAGGCCTGGATCTCAGCGCTCCATCGACCCCAGCTCCCAACATGGCCAGTGCCGCTCATCTGACCCCAGAATGGGACGTCGGCTACAACCGACTGTTCTTCTCGCGCGAGGGTGTGCTATTCGAAGATGCACAGATCCAGGTCGGACTGCGCTCGGAGTACCGTGGTCCTATGGGTGTCGTGAAGATCTACATCTCGAACAAGTCCACGTACCCAATCGGGTCTCTTACCACCACCGTCGACAACCCAGCCTCTCCTCAATTGAAGATCGACACGAAGAACCTTCCCGAACCAACAATCGTGGCTGCCGGGCAGACGCAACAGACTCTGTTCTGCACTGCCCACGGCCCCTTCACGGATGCGCCTACCATCCGTATCTCATACTTGGCCGGTGCTCTCCAGGCCTATACACTTCAACTGCCTGTCCTGATGCACCGCTACATGGAATCCTCGTCTCTGTCGGCTGAGGAATTCTTCAAGCGATGGCGCCAGATCGGCGGCGGACCGCTTGAGTCCCAGAAGACTTTTGGCTTGCTGGGTAAGAACAAGGTCATCACTGAGGGATTCACTCGGAGAATTGTCGAGGGATTCTCATTCAAGATTTTGGACGGTGTCGATCCAAACTCGCAAAACATCGTTGGTTGTGCCGTGTACCAATTCGAGGGAGGTAAAACGGGCTGTCTGCTGCGGCTAGAGCCCAACTACGAGAAGAAGGTATGTAATAGCACTCCTCCAGTTCCTTTAGTATCGGCATGCTAATTCTTTTATTTAGATGTATCGCGTCACTATTCGTGCCACCCAAGAAGAGGTCCCGCAGTCACTGGCCAGACAGATGGAGCTGAAGCTGGCGCAGGGCCTGAGACCAGAAGAAGTAGCATTCGATTAGGGCGTCTGCAGGTGATATGGAAGCATTCATGTATATCTCTAATTAGATTACTAAGTCAATATTAGCAAGTGTTCCTGATGGAACCTCGCATCTCTTTTATGTATAAATCCTTGCCAGTAAAGCGACAAATAGAAGTACTATACATACGGTACATCTATCTAATGATCAGCATTCTTAGTAGTGATAACCACCACCAGAAGCTCAACACTTTTTAAAAATCTAATCTTCACCGCGCAAAAGGAATCATAACTCATAAACCTCCCCAACCCTCAAATTCAAACCACACTCGCTTCCGCCTTAGGCGGCCGATCCCCGAAGATCGTAGTCCCAACCCTAACCTGATCACTACCAAGAGCAATGGCCCCCTCAAAGTCCGAGCTCATACCCATACTAAGTTCCAACGCAGCCTCATCCCCAACTAATCCAAGCTCATTAACCACCCGATCCCTCGTCTCCTTCAAACAAACAAAGTCCTCATTCTCATTCTCCGCCGTCGTAACCTGCGATCTCGCAATAGCCCCAATAGTCATAAGACCCTGCAACTTCAGCCGAGGACATTGCTCACGAACATATCGACAAAGCGCCGGCGCCGCGGCAGGCTCAACACCAGCCTTATTCTCCTCCCCCGACGTATTAACCTGAACATAGATACGCAGTCGTCCATCCTCATCGTGGTTCGTAGCAGCCATCTCAGGACCCCTCTCGCCCCACCCTTTATCAAGCAACTTCGCCTTCTTTTCGGAGTCGACGCTCTCGACCGCCCACAGCCCACGCACATCCCGCGCAAGCGTCACGCACTTATTGCTCTGCAGCCCGCCGATGAAGTGCCATTTGATGCTTGCGGGTAGCAGGCGCGATTTCTCGAGTAGTTCTTGCAGGTAGTTCTCGCCGAAGTGGACTTGCGATCCTGGCGCTTGGTGCAGTACTAGTGCATCGGATGCGGGCTTGAGCTTCGAGACGGCTACGAGTCGGATTGGTTTGCTGGGGATTGGGGATTGGAGGACTGCTGTGCTCACACGCGCGCGCACGGCTGTTAGGTTTGAGAGGAGTGCGCTGGCGCGCGCTGGTGTCGCTGGGGTCATTGTGGGCGGTTCGGATGGTGTGTTGGTTGTCATTGCAGGTTGGGTGGGGTTGTTTGTTGGTATTGTGGTAATTGTGATTGTGATTGTTGGTGCTGGTGTTGGTGTTGGATTTGATCGGTTGGGTTGAGGGGTTGAACTCCTTTGAAGAGTATTTTTTTTATTTGGAGTTTTTGGTTTGGAATAAGTTCCGTTATGGATTGCAATGATATGTTCGGTCAATTGAGTAGGTAAATCAAATCCGAACTATGGATAGAGTGGACATTCTATGAGAGCCTGAGGCACTGATTTCCTCGGGCAATACTCCGTCACACGTGACCTGTATGCACCGCCACATCATAAGCCTCATAGTTTATTTCGCTTTTTCCGTTTGCATCTTTCAATGTTGACAATCGTGAGATCATTCATCTCGATCTACCGAATGTCAACTTACATGTAAAACTCTATATTACTTTTTTTTTCCTTCGGCGCCAGACGATACAGACACCCGGCAGGTAGTCCCGATCCTGGCGGCAAGCCAAACAGACATCTGCTCCAATCGCGGATCTGCGTCCTCGGAAAAGAGACCCCTGCGGAGCGCCGGGTATGAGCGGATCCTAGTTCGTCTCGACCTGTCAGGGCTGACTGGCTACTGGTGCCGATCAGATTGTCGCCGAGTTTCAAACTACATCCTTTTGATGCAGGACCTTGATCTCTATTTTTAATTTCTGCATGATTTGATTTCAGCACAGCCTTTGTTGAACCTATTGAAACAGAAAAATAGCCGCCCTTTCTTTTTTTTTTCCTTTTTCTTTTTACTAGTCTCCCTTTCTTTTTAAGACAATCCCATATTTCATTACCTCTAGTCTCTTGTGTTCAGGATGCTTGTGCTTCAAGTAGATTCTTAAATTCCTCTTAAGAGCTACATACTAGACTTACCAAGAGCGAAATGGCGGTACCAAGCCGGAGAATACGACCTGGTTGTCAAATGTAACCTCTCAGTTGACGGATGAAGTAAAATCTAGGCCAAGATATAAGCCCCTAACTAAAAATATATAATCAAATAATTATATAGTCATAATAGTAACCCCAAAAGGTTTTAAAGGGGTTTTTTTTTCTTTGACGTCAGCTCCAATCAATAGCCGTGGTTCCCATTCATAGATTTGGTCAATGACTATTTACTCATCATTACATTAGAGCTGCCTAGTACAAGGATTTAAAAAGAGCTTATTGTCTCATGTCTCCGATCCTTTTTCCTGATCGACATCTTCAACTCTCTCCATATCAACACGGCTGATATCAACCCGTCTCATTTCAGCTGGTCTGAACACACGAGTCTCGCAAATTCCAGCATCTCGACATCCAAATCATACTTCCAGAAGCTTTCCGATTAGGCTTAGTAGCTAAACAGCTCCGACGCCGGAAATAATTTTCATCATCTATACACTGTTTGGCATTTGACATCTTCATTTCCTTGCCAATACACCATCAATATTCATCTCGCAATCACTCTGCTCGACACATTCTGAAACTACCACAAAATCATATCATCTTCCATCAACTATTTCTATCAACTATCAACTATCAAAAATACACTGTGGGTACCTACGGGACCCCCAGCAACAGTCAACTGCAACTGCAACTTTGAAGACAAAAACATCCAACAAAATCAATCATGTGCCGCCAATATTTTACACTGTACGAATGGTGCCAATGCGAAGAAGATGCTGGAAACAGCGTCTGCGCCGCCCATCGCCGCAAGGGCTGCGCGGGCGTCAGCGTCGAGACCGTGCACATGCACTGCTTCTGCAACTCGCATGCCACACGTGGTTTCAAGTCCGAGAAAGAGACCCGCAAGAAGGAGAACAAGGCACGCCGGTCTCAGGATTCCCTTGATGAGAAAGACTCTTTTGGACGCCGTTGGTATCAATGGTATCAATGGCGTCTGCGGTCGCGTTAATGGTCATATTTACATTTGACTTCTTTTCAATATCTCTGCTCTGTCTACCTTTTTACAGCTTTGGTGTTGGGGAACTAGAGGCCTCGGATTTGATCTTGGGGAAATGGAATTCTGCTGGGCTTACGGCGTTCCATGACGTGGATGCAATGATCTAGATGATCTGCATCGACTTTGATCCCTTGTCTTTGTTGAATTTTTTTTTTCTTTTTCTGTTTTAAATTAGATGTGAGTCCTAATAGAGAACATGAAGCATATTGCGGATTGTTACAAAAGCTATCAATGAAGAAGATACAATATCATTGAACGTGTCATAGTAAGACAATATGAAACAAATCAACTCTTGAGATCAATAAGAAAACATAAACATCATAAAAATCATAAACATCAAAGGATAAACAATAGAAAAAGAAATGTATAGGAAATATATAAGAATGTCTGTTGTATGTCGTTGTTCTATGGTATAGTGATCAACCGAACTCTTGCCCCATGTGGCTTAACCCAAACATGTGAATCTCCACCTTCTTTGTCTCTTTGTTTCTTTTGTTCCCCCTTCCCTATTCAACCTCGACCTATCATCTTTCGCATTTTATCCTTGAATGAAAAGAGACATCGTGTATTGACTCTTTGTAGTAGAGTCGATATCTGCAATATGGAACCCAAGTTCCCCTCCATTCAGGAGGGCCCCCCACTATTAGGGGACAATGGCGTAAATAACAACAATATCGATGAGGCGCATTCTGAATTGATCGATTCTCTAGATCGCTTGACTCTAGCGACAGCGACGCCATTACCTCTATCACCTCATGTTTCTTCTATTCCATCCTATCTTCCCTCTAGATATGTTCAAGCGACTCGACCTGTACCTGTTATCCCTCTACTGCCCAACCGCCCTGCTGGTGTCTCTTTGCAATCAAATCAGCCGGTTCTGTCTGCCTCACCACAAACAGCCGGTTCTGTTTCTGTTCGAGACGAACGACGTAAGTCAATTGCACCACTACAAAAGCGCAAGTCTACTACATCTCTTCGTTCGGTCTCACAACCGCTCAAATCTTCATCTCCAACTCCTGTTCCTTCACGTCGCACATCATTCGCTTCTGTGGGATCCCCAACCACTGCAACATCACCCGCAATGCACCCCGCACGCCTTGTCTTCAGCCCGGCTCCTGAAGTTCCAATTCCGACTGCTTCGTCTGTCGCCGCTGAGCACTTCTCGAAAGAGCTTGGATTGCACCGATCCGGTGATATCAATACTAAAACTGCCGTTATTGTTCACGACGACTGCTATGGCCATCGTTACTCCCAACTTGAAGCGCCAAAACGCATTATGGAGAGAATTGTCGAAAGACCAGAGCGCATCCGCGCCTGCGCTGTGGGCATCTCAGCAGCCTATGTCCGCCTTGGCTCTCGGTATGCGGAAGATCTCGCGCCAAACCCAAGATTAAGCTTGACAAAACTTGACGTTCCTTTTCAAATTATGAAGACTGATCGCAAGGTGCATTTGTCTGATCCTGCGGTTACCGATGTTCATGGAACCCAATGGATGTCAGAATTGAAATGGATGGGGGACCTTGCAGAGTCACGTCTCATCATGGATGGAAACGAACTTTCCAGGCAACGGACAGAAGAACACGACGGGCTCGGGACAAGTGGTCCCGCCTTGAATACCAACGACCTCTACTTATGCTCGGAGTCTGTGAACGCCTTTGAGGGAGCCCTGGGGGGCGTCTGCGAGGGAGTGGATCTTGTTTTCAAGTCTGGCCCGATCCAGCGCGCATTCGTCTGCATTCGACCTCCCGGTCATCACTGTTCAGCTAACTTCCCTTCCGGCTTTTGCTGGATTAACAACGTTCATGTCGGAATTTCCTACGCAGCAACCACCTACGGTCTGACCCACGCTGCGATCCTTGACTTCGATCTTCACCATGGCGATGGGTCTCAGGACATTACATACGATCACAACTCCAAATTACTCAACAAAACACAAAAGATCGACTTAGCCAATACCGATGCTATGAAATTCAAGGAATATGAAGACGCGCCTCCATACGCCAAAGCAGCAATCGGCTACTACAGCTTACATGATGTGAACTCTTTCCCTTGTGAGAATGGCGAGCGTGACAAAGTCATGGGTGCCAGTCTCTGTGTCGAGGCACATAATCAGTCCATCTGGAACGTACATCTCGAACAGTGGGCTGATCTCGATGCGTTCTGGAAATTGTACCAGACGAAGTACAACGCATTACTCACCAAAGCCCGCTCATTTCTACGCGGACGTACAATTGAGCTCAACCAAGAGCGACAAGAAAATCCAAATTCTCCACTGCCCAAGGCGGCAATCTTTATCTCTGCTGGGTTTGATGCCAGCGAGTGGGAAGGTGACGGCATGCAACGCCACAGCGTGAAGGTGCCGACCGAATTCTACGCTAAGTTCACTGCGGATGTCATCCGCATGTCACAAGAGGAAGGCCTCGCTGTAGAGGGACGCGTCGTCAGTGTCCTCGAGGGCGGTTACAGTGACCGCGCATTGTCATCCGGTGTGCTCAGTCATCTCTCAGGTCTGAGTGAGAATTCAGAGTACCAAAGTGAGTGGTGGTCTCACAATCATCTGACAGAATTGGATGCCATCATGGCTCCACCGCCCATTAAAGGGCGCAAGAAGAGCGCTGCCACTTATCTGACAGCCACGAAGTCCTTTGCGGCAAAGGTCGTCGCCCCTGGGAGAGAGCGGAAGTCCACCGGGGACCTTGATGCCAACATCACCACTCCTTTGCCAGAAGTGAGCTGGGCGGTGGCCACGGGAGAGCTGTCTAAGCTCATTATCCCCGATGACCGCCAGACCTTGAGCTGCCGCCCGGCAGAGCTGAACCGCCAGCGGCGAGAGCAGATCGCCCAGGATGGGGGTCTTCACCTTCTCATCCCCGTCGAGAAGGGGCGCCAGCTGCGCTCGCGCAAACCCAAGGAGTCGGCCACCGTGCCCAGCACCCCCCACCCTGCCACCCCACGACGCCAGCCCCGCAAGGGTCTGAAGACCCCAAAAACCACCATTGCTGCCACGACCCTCCCTAATGCCTCCCGCGAGGCCTCTCCGTCAGTGGGTGCTTCTCGTCGAAAGAGCACCAGTCTGACGCGTGCGGGAACTCCGCACAGGGGTGTCAGCCCCATGAGTCTCCCCCCAGTTCCACAGGTCCCAACGACCGTGAGGGGAGCCAGGGACGGCCCTCGAATAATCCTCAACATGCCGGCGCGGGAGCCCAGTCGTGACCGCAATTTGTCTGGCGGTGGGGTTGATCACCACCGCCGTGGCCGCGGCTCAAAGTCCCCCAAGAAAGGGAAGAAGAAGGGTGAAGGCAACTCCGGCGGAAGCCCAGCTGCTTCCGTCCGTGGTTCTCCCCTGATCACGGTGAAGGATGCCGTGATGGAGGATGCTTAGGGCGAGAGGCGTGATCTTTGTTTCTTTTTTTTACATATTAATTCGATACCCTGGCTGATTTTTGTACAATTCATAATTCAATTTCTCTCTAAACTTCTGTGTTCATTTATAAATGCTCATATTCTGCAGCTCCTGTCCACCACGCAGGCAGAGCTTTAGGCACATCTACATTGTGACCATCTAAAATCTAGGGCACAAGCCGTATATCTCAGTAAACTGGGAATTCCTCCGGCTCCCTAAAAAGTGAAAGAAGAAGGTCGGCTCCGAAAGGAGCTCCCGTCCGCTAGTTCTCCGGCTGTAAAGCACAAACATGAGTCTATGGAGGATACTTAAGCTAGTATGCACTCGTTAGTTCTTATCCTTCTTTGATATATTAAATCGGTTGTGGCTTGCTTATTTGATCAACAACGCCTTTGGGGCCACCTGGATACCTGGAATCAGAGAGAAGTCAGATTAAAATCAGATTTAATAAATTCTTTCTCTTGTGAGAAAGAGATCATTTGGTTTGATATTTGTCTTTCGTCTGAAAAGCTCTCAGTTCCGCACATCTTAATGCGTGATCGGGACTTAGTAGCGTTTGTTGTTGAGTCCGAGTGGTTTCATTTCCTGGGGCAGGGTTCACAGTCAAATCCCTCATCAATGGCTTAGTCGGAGTCGTCTGCAGATACTGTTTCAGTTGTCCCGCACGTCCAAGTCATCTATAAATCTCGTATGCTGAAACCACTCGGTCAGCATATTCGATTACATCCGTGCTGACAAAGTCTTAGCTCTTCCAAGGTTGCCCAGGTGCGGGTTAAAATGTTGGTGATGGCATCATAGTAGACACCCAGCTCTTTCTCCCGGATATCTGGTGCCAACAGGTGTTCACCTATAGACTTGTTGTGGTATGTGAGTGAGGAAAGTTGATTTCACTTTTTTTTTCATTATTAACGTTAATCAGAACCTTGTCCCATCCAGACGCCTGGTTTCTTTTTGCTTGGTTGGCTACACGTACTTGATGCGTGCGATAACGTATGGCCTCTCGAGCTTTCCAGTCTTCAAGTCTTTTTCCATCTCACCAACTATACCTTCACCACAGCACCTATCGAGTCCGGAAATACTCTCAAAGAAACTTCCAAAAAAGAAAACAATGCTTTCGCTGGATGTTTCGGACTAAAGCTCAAATTGCAGAATGGTTCTACGGTAGTCATAACTTCATGCTTTCGTATGTAACAGGCTGACCAAGTTTCTTCTATCAGTCTCCTTCACTGGAGATAGCTCACCAGCAGACGCTTTTCGCGCGGAATCAGTAACTCACATCAACAAAGAGAATGAACAGTTTGTCAGAACCCGCCATCCAAGTCTATCTTCACAGGAGCATGTGTGTGTCTCGGAGTCTGTATTCGGAGGGCCTGTTTGGCTTGTCAACTCTCCTCTCGCCGCGTCCCAAAGTGTATATGCTGGCGGTCGACCTATCCACTATTACCCCGGAGATTATAGTATAGAGACATCTTATGGTCCACTCACCCCCCGATCGCCTGAAAAATACAACCAGCACTTTCACCGATATACCAACCCGAGACGATTGAGACTAAGGAAGATCTGGTCGCAGGAAAGATGGTATCCACGATCTGTGCGTCGACATGATAGTAGAGGGGGGATGTCGCAGGGCTAGCCTGGAGCTTTCATGTGAAGTGTATACTGAAGATGACATGGCATACATTGGTTTATCAAGGGGCTGTTCCCACGTGACAAGTACTCATTTGAAGAGGAGGGAGGAACGGGAAGGAAGGAATTCCTATTCGTAGGCGATATCAGGCCTTCCAAAAGATGTTTTTACTTTCATATGTACCTCATTGGACTACTGTTCCAACCTTGCAACGCTGTACGCAGAGAGGGAACGACAACTGAAGGCTCTGGATTCCTGGATGCCGAGACCTGTGATATATCATACTAATATGTTGCATTAAAGTTTTGTATGGATTGAAATACATTGCAGTATTCCGATGTCACTTTTTGCATCTCCTTTGTACAGATGGTGTATACAGATTATATTTACCCTCGTCAGATATCGAACAAAAGCCCCATCTTTCATCAAATGGGCCTGTGGTTTAGGGGTATAATACCCGCTTCGCACTACAACAGTGACTTGCGGGGGGTCCCGGGTTCAATTCCCGGCGGGTCCATTCTTTTTTGTTTTTGTTTTGTTTTTATCCTACTTGGATATCTTTTGTTATCTTATTCTTTGGGTCTTTTGGATGTGGTTATATTCTTTTTATAATATATGTAGTTAAGAAATAACTTGATTTACTAAATTACAACAAAATATTCGTGTTTTCTTCCTTAGTGCTAGAATTTCCTGGTTCTTACAAAACACCTATCGATATATATATGTTGCATCTAGTGTATAAATTGCATTTATATATATATATACTACTCCCTTGTTGCCATTGGTCTAACCCGATGAATCTCAAACCCACCCTCGTCTCTATCCTCGCCCTTTTGGGGCCATAGGATTTGTCGTGTCAAAATCGCCCGAACCATCATGTAGCACACAAAAAAGTACACCAACAGCAACGGTAGTATCGCCGCACACCCCACAATTTGAATAGGCCGGCAAGAGAATGCCTTTCCAATAGCAAAAGTAGCAGTGATCAAGGCAGTATTAGGAAAGACAAATGAGAACCAGGTCATTGAGAAGACCATGCGTCCATGTCCAATCGTCGACCAATGGGCTGCGCTTGCAATAATGAAGAAAAATATGGCCAATCTAGACAAGAGTTAGATAACTAGATGGAACCAACCAAGGTGCGAAACATACCCCCAAAGCCAAAGACACGAAAAATTTGCAACAATCTTCATCACATCGGCAGCCAGCGCCCCATTACCCATAAAACTGGCTGGAAACGACCTCTTCGCCTGAGCAGCCATATTCACCAATCCGGCAACTGTGAACCCACTTGGTCCCACAGAAACAAACATACCAGGACGGAGATTTTCCCTTGGTAGCTTTTGCGTCATCAACCGGTAGATGAAGGCCGAGTACACCATCAACGAAACCAAAAAGCCAACTCCCTGGATAGTTGTGCCGCCAATAATAACCGGCAGAGATTGCGACGGTTCCAGCTTTGCACTGAGAATCCCGGCATGAGGGCCAATAATGAGCATCGGGTAAGCAGGGAAAATCCAGATAGGAGTCATCTGCGCAATAGTGAACGTCTGTGTCGACCAAAGGACAAGGTAGATGCCCGCTGAGAACATCACGGCGAGAGTGGCATCAATCCAGAATAGAATACAGACTGCGCGCATCAACCACGGACCTGTGTTTTCGGGCCCGTACTGTGATATGTTAATTAGGATCGTGCCGAAGGATACTATCGATGCGGGCACGAAGAGCGACTCTGTTGGATGCATGAATGACGCCTTAAACGTGTACGGATAATGATAGAACCGAACAAGCAGAAGAGCCCAGATGATGAGATATAAAGCGACATTGATCAAGAAGACAACGATGCCAATCGTATCCAAGCCCTTGAACCGAAATGGTACTGGTCTTTGTTAGCCATGTTCAACCGAATATAATAAAATCGACCATGCACACCTTGATACAAGACATTAGCCAGCCCACCCGTAGCCATAGTCAACGTGAAATACGCCCAGGTGACATGGCGAATGCGCTTTTTCCAGCTCAGCTTGCCAGAAACCGTGCGCTTGAGCCCAAACAGGCTCAGCCCGTTATGATCTCGGCACGCATTGGCGGCTTCTTTACCCGGATTTGTTTTCACAGTGGCCCGCGATGAGGCTCGTTGCAGTGCAGCTTCTAAGGCAGATGAATGAGCCTCGCGAGCCCCACCGTCAGGGCTTTCCTCGACGGCTCCCAGCATTGAAAGCGCCCGCTCGGCATCTTCTATTGTTGGCGTTCGGTACCCATCTTCGCCGGGAATTCGCATGTGCCGGGGTAGGTTACTTTCGGTGGACATCACTCGTTACTGCGATTTGCTCAACGAGTGCACACAAGGCTGAATAAGTGTGGAAAGCCTGAACTCCCCACCCCTCTTCGGGGATTTTATTTTTTATTGTGCTGTTTGCTTGAAGATGACGGCATGGGCGGTAGTAGAGATGATATGACAGAAAACCTAAGATGCTAGCGTGAATTTTTTGGAAGCCTTTTTAATTAATAGCGATTAAAGAGCCCTGTAGAGAAGAATAGACGAGTCGTTGGGATCGAGGATCGGCGTGCATTGATGTGGGGACCGATGACAAGAATCTACCAGTGGCAATGGCGAATAGACTATTGATATTCCACTATATATAACTTTGCACAATAAAATAGGCGAAGGGTATGGCGCATCAATGGCATCAACGCCGTTAAATCCCATCATCACCTCTCGAATATCACGCACTGGTTCTCCGGCACAGACGGAGCGGTGCTACTCGTTGAGTTCACCCTCGGGAATCGGCACGTATCCGGCGCCACTGGACGGTTTACTGTTTACTTTAAACTACCAATTCATGGGCACGAATTTTATTTGAGCATTATTCTTGTTCTTGTCTCCATGGCGGGCGTATATATTTTGAAGACTAGTTCGGATTCTATGCTTTGTAGTAAGAAGATCATAGAAATGGTTACACTTAAACTACATGTAAGTAAACAGAACTACGCTGTACCTGGTCCAACACAAACCAATTACCGCCCCGAAGATCGAGAAGGAGCTGGTCAATAGAACTCTGGTCGTACCGAGCATTTTGATATGGTGTGAGGGTTCTTTTGAATGTGTAGTTTCACTTCGTCATTCCGGGGAAGTCCAACACCGTGAACTGCTCCGAAATAATAATCTTCACGTGGGAGATAATGATACAAAGAGTCGCAGATCAGTGCGAAACTGGAGAGAATCGAGCCCAATCAGGGTGGCTGCTTTGAGAGATAAACAATGTAGACCACAGGTACTACATGGATTCCTGGAAATATGTTATGTGGATGTAAGGAGGTGGAGTAGTTTATTTTGATCTATTTTTCCGATTTGTTGACCTTATGCCAGCCTCTTTCAATCTCCAAGCCACCAATACTATAAAGACAGAACAGGAAGTAGGGCTTAGGGCTAACTGCTATTCCTGTGGAACAGGGGGAGCCGAGGCATCTCGATCTCCACTTCCCTACCAGATACCAGATGTACATGCCGTAGCTAGCTGTTCTACTACATTGTATAACCATCTTTCAAATTTAGAAAATCTGTTTCGGTCTATCATAATATCTACCTCAAGCATGTCGGAAACGATAGATACTCGCAAATCGGTGCTCATCACAGGGTAAGCTTACAAGTGACTTGCGACAGATAACAGCTTCTGATATGTACTGTAGATGCTCCCCAGGTGGAATCGGCAACTCCCTTGCGCGCGAGTTCAATCGAAATGGACTACGCGTGCTGGCAACCGCTCGCGATGCGGCGACCATATCTGATCTGGCAGAACTCGGTATTGAAACCTTGAGTCTTACGGTTGATGACCCAGAGAATGTGAAATCGTGTTTTGCCGATGTTGAAAAGAGGCTCGGAGACAAGGGTCTCGATTATCTTGTTAACAACGCGTAAGTATCTTTTACTGTTTATCCATGGATGGTACGGTACATTTAGCTGATATCTAACAGTGGTCGGAGTACGTAACTTCACTTTCGCAGCTTCTAGCGTCAATAATTCGACGTAGGTACTGATTGCTACAGATTACACTGTCCCCGCGATGGAAGTAGAGCTCGACGAGGCCCGCCAAACGTTCGAAACCAACTTTTTCGCGGTCATTACTATGTGCCAGACTTTCTTGCCTTTGCTCATCAAGGCGAAGGGCACTATTGTGCAAATTGGATCTATCGCCGGAGTAAGTTTGAGATATCTCAATCTTTGCAGATCCTATCTTACTGACGATGATTAGATTATCCCATACGTATTCGGCTCTGTCTACAATGCCTCTAAAGCTGCACTGCACTCATTCAGTGATACGCTTCGCGTGGAGCTGGCTCCATTCGGGTTCGTTAGATACGGCCCCTCGCCATGTTGCGTTTTTCTAACCATGATCAACAGCGTCCATGTCACAACTATCGTTACTGGCGGTGTACAATCGCGTATTGCGCGTACTGACCGTACTCTGCAGCCGGATTCCTTGTATTCCCCTATCGAGACTGAGTATCTTACCCGTGTGAAGCATAGCCAGCACAACGCTATGCCAAATGGCGCCTATGCTCGCAGTGTCGTTTCTCAGGTGTTGTATGGCCCAGCCCCCTGGCGTTGGCTGTGGCCGTGGGCTCATGGTCGCAAGACCTGGATCTGGGAAGGTAATGCTAGCTGGTTGATCTGGCTGTTGTCGGGTGGCTGGGCTTGGTCGGGACTGTTTGGTCGGGTCATGACTAAAATGTTCAAGCTATGGAAGATCAAAAATGCCTCGGGCAAATAAGGGGAAGGATATTTTGTGGGTTTGAAGTATGAGTTCATTCAATGCAATATTGTGATATAGGTCAAATTTTGTTTAAAACCAAATATTCAAAGAAGAGATATATAAAAGATAAACAAAAGATCTATAACCAGTAAAGAAGTACCGACTTTAATAGCCATGTTCCGTTATATTCGCGTCGTCCCCGAGCCCATGCTGAGTCAGGCCGGGCACGATCGCTGGTTGGCTACGGCACCCGATTTTACCGCAGAGCAAGGTCATCCCCAAAGCAAGTGAAAAAGAAAGCTGTTCTCCTGGTCTCTTACCAACTATCTAAACGGGCTTCATACCATTGCCCTTCTATACAATCACCCTCTCCTCTCACATCCTAATATTCATCATGTTCAAGCTTGCTCGCGGTAGACCCGTTGCGGCGGCTTTCAAGGCTGCGACAGTGAGTGATATCTGGATCCAAGGCACTCGTTTTATGTGATTGAGCTGACTTTGGTTATGAACAATAGCAACCCTCCATCCAGAGCCGAGTCGCTTTGCAGAAGCGAAACCTTTCCATCCACGAGTATCTCTCCGCAAGACTCCTCAAGTCGGTACGTGCACCCGCGTATCCCCTTCGGTCGCCCGAAAAAAACAGGAACTCGGAATTGCTGATCAACAATCTAGTACGGTGTCGGTGTCCCCAAGGGTGAGGTCGCCAACACTGCCGAAGAAGCCGAGGCTATTGCCAAGTCCATCGGTAATAACAACCTACTGATTTTCCCCCTTTGAACGCGCCTACTGAACATTACATTCTAGGTGGTGGTGATCTTGTTATCAAGGCCCAGGTTCTCGCCGGTGGCCGTGGTAAGGGTCAATTCGACAATGGTCTCAAGGGTGGTGTCCGTGTGATCTACTCGTGAGTTGAACAATTTCGAGGATCGTCGGGAACAATGAAGCTAATAGATATCTTTGCAGTCCCACCGAGGCCAAGATGTTCGCTGGCCAGATGATCGGCCACAAGCTCGTTACCAAGCAGACCGGCGCTGGCGGCCGTATCTGTAACTCTGTCTACATTTGCGAGCGCAAGTTCGCCCGTCGTGAATTCTACCTTGCTATCCTCCTTGACCGTGCTACCCGTGGCCCCGTCATCGTCTCATCCTCCCAGGGTGGTATGGATATTGAGGCTGTCGCCAAGGAGAGCCCCGATGCCATCATTACCACTCCCATTGATATCCACGTCGGTGTGACTGACGAGATCGCCCGCACCATTGCCATTGACCTTGGTTTCTCTGAGCAGTGCATCGAGGAGGCCAAGTCCACAATCCAGAACCTTTACAAGTGCTTCATGGAGCGCGATGCTACCCAGCTCGAGATCAACCCCCTGTCTGAGACCTCCGATCACCAGGTCTTGGCTATGGACGCCAAGCTTGGATTTGATGACAATGCTGAGTTCCGTCAGAAGGAGGCTTTCTCTTGGCGCGATGTTTCCCAGGAGGATGCTGATGAGGTCAAGGCCGCTGAGTAGGTTGCCTTGCTGAACAAAGAGCCAAAACAACATTACTAACTTGCTATCTTTTTTTCTAGGCACGGTCTTAACTTCATTAAGCTCGATGGTGATATTGGCTGCCTCGGTAAGAATGCTGCTGATACCTGAAAACCTCGCAATGCTAATTCTCGCTTTTAGTCAATGGTGCCGGTCTCGCCATGGCCACCATGGATATCATCAAGCTTAACGGCGGTACCCCTGCCAACTTCCTCGATGTCGGCGGTGGTGCCACCCCCGCTGCTATCAAGAGCGCCTTCGAGCTGATCACCAGCGACCCCAAGGTGTCCGCCGTCTTTGTTAACATCTTCGGTGGTATCGTCCGTTGTGACGCCATTGCCCAGGGTTTGATCAACGTCGTTAACGAGATGAACCTGCGCCTTCCTATCATCGCCCGTCTGCAGGGTACCAACATGGAGCAGGCCCACAAGCTGGTATGATTCCAGTCCCTATCTTCCTGTTCTTAGCTATGAGATAAACTAACAAAATTCCCTACTTTTTAGATCAACGAGTCTGGCCTTAAGATCTTCTCCATCGAGGACCTCCAGAACGCCGCTGAGAAGTCCGTCCAGTTCTCCAAGGTCGTCAAGATGGCCCGCGATATTGACGTTGGTGTTGAGTTCACCCTCGGCATCTAAAGGGTGTTTATAATGATAGAGAGGGTAGGGAGCATTTTCATTTGGCTTTTTGCTGGGGCTAGCGAACCGAACCGCCGCAGTGACTTCTTAGAGAGATCTTCGTAATGCTTTTGCGCCTGTTCCTGTGTCATTTATTTTCTTTTTATCACTGTATTCTTGAGTGTTTCTATGACCCGGATCAGTTCCTAATCGGGATGTGTGAGAGTTGATATATTGATCTCTCACTATTTAGTGTGAATTTAACCCTTCATATAAAGTTCATGTATGTAAGGTAAATGAATGCTTCATCCGAATGGAAATGACTTGTATTCCTCCATGTATTCGAGCTTTCCCGGAATATCTAGTGTGAACCGCCATATATCGAGACACACTTGTCTTCTGGAGTTGTATCATTGTCATCATAGCTCCAAGATGTATTGGTGAAAGGCTGAATAGGGAGTTGCTTTGGAAATGGCAAATTCCAATAATTCTTTCATGAGGGAGACAACAAAGCAGAAGTGAGGTTTGTATAAAGTTGAGCCTCGCTTACTGATGTCCACGGGTCACCTACCACCTTACTTAAACCTCACCCCATTGGAATCCTGGCCTCCAAAAAAATTACACCCATCATTCAGCAAATCTTCTTTGAGAGTTTCCTCCTTTAACCCAATCTTCCATTCGACTCGATCTAACATGGCTTCACCCATGCAACCCATTCTTGAGAGCTTTATGGCTCTCCGCGATAACTCAAGCCGGCGAGCAGTGTATGTCCCATGGCCAAAATTCATAGTCAACTCTGAATGCTAATACAAACAGACTCAACGAAATCATTGATAACCTAAGCCCTTATGAGATACGAGAAGTGAAAAGTCGAGTCGAAACTGTGACATTCCAATGTGATTTGCTTGATAAACTGCCTCTGGAAATAGTGGCTATGGTAGCAGAGTACTTGGATCTAGTCGATCTTATTCTCCTGCAAAGAGTACGCTAGTCTATTTTTTTGAATATTCGTGACGTCGATTGACAAGTTGATATTCTAAAGGTCTCCAAGCGATGGCGCCAATTGCTCTCTTCAACTATCGTCGTCACATCTGCAATCAGACACCACATGGGGAAAAATGCAATCAAGCTTGATTCCAGCCCTACATATCTCAATGCGCTGATTAGAAAAAGGATTCGAGCAGAAAGGGGTCTTCCTGCTGTTGTGGCCACAATACCCAACAACTTGCCTCTCAATTCGTATGACGACCTGAATAGGGACATCATCAGCTGTTTCAATGGAGTATGCGCGTGGATCGAAGAGTCCACAGATCGAACTACTATCTTCATGGTGCATCTACCCACCGGCAAAAACAGAACCCTCACAACAGCGAATCGAGAGGAATTTACTCATGTCGAGGTCTCGGACACCTTGATCTCAGCAACTTCTGTTCGGGGGTATGTAGCCAGAAATAAATACCGCTTTACTGAATGCACTTCTGACTGGTACCGATAGGTATTGTCATGTCTGGAATATGCCCAAAGAACAGTACAAGTCCTTTCGCATCCCTTCGCTGCAATTTGTTCATTTCATAACCATCGGATCCAAGGTCGCGCTGAGCTATGCGGACTTTGTAGTCCACTTCTGTTTTGACTCTGGAGTTGCCCGTTCCATCGAAATTGGGCTGTTCATTGTTTTCTTGTCAGTACATCCAGAGGAAGATGAATTCTCCGTCCTTTGCATCCGCAAAAGATATGGCGACAATATTGAGCCCTGGGGAAGTGATGCCTTGCTTTACGAAGACCGCTGTCTGCGGCTCCAGAAGTTCTCTATCCATGAGAATAAGTTTGTCTGCATCTGGAGGAAATTTCGAGGCCTTCCTTTGAAGGTTGAGGACTCATGGGAGATTCAACGCGAAGCAGAAAATGTGACGCCATACAGAGAATGCCTGCGCCCCGGCGAAAGCTCTGCTTTGATGACACATTGTTTAACTGAAGCTTTTGTTAATATGTTTTCTCTTTCACTCGATGCAGATGGCCGGATTGCTGTGCATTTCCACCCCCGACAGCTCGACTTCAAGAATCATCTCGCCAATCTAGACTATTCAGCCCGGGGTCCGGGTTTGATTTATTGTTTTGAGGACCTCAAGTTCTCAACGGATACTAAATTGTGTATTGGCTATGAATTCCCAGAGCTCTCACATGTCTACCACGCTAAGGGATATCAATTCAAATCCAAACACACAGTAGTTTTTCCGAATAACCGACCATGCACCTCTATTTTGGGTGATGGAGACTTCGTTATCTTCCCTTCGGATAACAAAGTCTGGATCTGGTGTTTTGATGAGGCATGGCTCCCCTCCGGTATCCCTGATATGAGGATTGCAACTTGGTGATTTGTCACTAGCTAACCAGGGTGAGTACTTTGAGCATCATTATCGAGCTTGTGTACCTAGTCCTCATGCTATCTTAATATACCCGAAGATAAAATGAAGCGAAAGGAAGTAAAAGTGGGAATCCGTTGAAATGACTATATCCACTGGTCAGCTATGTAACCCCTGTCAAACCAAGCTGGACGCTAGCGGTCGATTGCAGTCAATACAAGCTCATTGTCCACCTTAGATGTAACACTGTATAAATAAATATGTAGATACCCCGACAAGAGTTAGACCAAGTCCACATATTGTATGTGGCCAAAAAAAGCAAATCGCAAGGAAAACAGTATCTACAACATAGGCAATACAAATTTCGGACTTTTTTTGGTTCAACCCAGAAGCTAGAGATTTTTAGGTCAATATCAAGTTATTATTTTTATTATTAGGGGTAATATAAGATATAATAATAGTACTAAGTAGTGTATGGAGTACGGAGTACTATGGAGGTAGAACAATGTTAGTCCCGGTTTAGCCAGCCTAGCTACAGTCAGACATATGGACCCTCTATAATTGCCAAATATAAGAGTTAAATACCTCAAGCCTCTTTACTTTTGTTTAATACTTTTATATATAAATGTTATATTGGTGTTGATATTTAATTTGGCAGAATTCAAGCCAATGGGGGCTATAAGAGGGTATGGAGTAGAGTTGGGCAATTAAAGTAATAACACTACATGTCACCCCTTTTTCCTCCAAATAATATCCAGCTAATATCCAAATAACGTCCAATAATATATCCAATTGGTCTTCTTTTCTTTCATCCCTGTATAACTTCCTTTTCTGCAGATCCGACTGTCAACGCATTTCTGGCCCCCTTCCCCGCAGAGCCCTCTCTCTCTCAACCTTCCAGACACTTCGAGACTTTCTTGTTCTTCTTTTCTCTCTTTTTTTTTCCCCCTTCTCTTTCTTTTCTTTTGGAAACAACACATTTTTTGCGCGATGACAGAAGTGTTGATTATTGGTTGATCTCCCACGTTCTTTCGGCACGAGCATAAACGGTCCATCGCGTCCGAATTCCACCCCTCACGATCCTGTCGCATCCATCATCGATTTTGTGCCTATATATATACCCACCCCCCTACGACATGAGTCGTCTTGCCGACCCTCCTTCTACTAGGATTTCATTCGCCGGGGTAGCAGACGCCCCGGGCAGGACACGAAACATTCCTGTATTGTCGTCGTCTGGTCAGCATTCGATGGATATCACCCCTCCGCCCACGGGCGCGCATGGCAGTGACGACCGAATGACCGGGATCACCAATGGATCTGAAGCTGGAATCAATGCTCTGAATGCTCCGAATCAGGCTATCGGCGCTGCGGCCGCAGCTCAGCAGCCAAAAGTCGTCCAGACGGCTTTCATTCACAAGCTTTACAAGTATGTTTTTGGTCTTTCGTGTCTTGTTTTCATGGGCTGATATTTTTTCCGATAGTATGCTAGAAGACCCCGGCATCCAGCATCTCATCTCTTGGTCTGGTACAAACGACAGCTTCGTCATGTCGCCAACCTCGGAATTCTCCAAAGTCCTAGCGTGGGTGTTATCTTCTCTGCCAATAGGCCCGTCCCTGACTCTCGCAGATCGTACTTCAAGCATACCAATATCTCCTCGTTCGTTCGGCAGCTGAATATGTATGGGTTTCACAAAGGTGGGTGTTTCGCATGATAGCTTTGATTGGGCGATTTCTGACCATTCTTGACTGTGTTAGTGAGCGACGTTTTTCACACCGGATCCCCAGATTCTGCGCTTTGGGAATTTAAACATGGCAACGGGAATTTCAAAAGAGGCGATCTAGCTGGTCTACGAGAGATTAAGCGCCGTGCTTCAAGGCACGCTTTAATCCACCGCGATTCATTCCCTGGTCACAAGGCTCCTGCTTCGCAGCCTGGAACACCTGCCGAAGCCGTACCTGATCCGACCGAACTTAGACTCCACAGCCTAGAGCAAAACCTCTTGGAGATGCATGGCCGAATGGCTCGGGCGGAAGAAGGAAATTTGGCACTGAACTCGAGATGTCATGCTATGACTGAAAGCCTGACAAAGTGCTACCAAGTATGTCCGCCGTCTATATCAGTGCGGGTGTATTGGAGCTAATCTGATTTCAGTGGACGCATTCAATTTCGCGGTTTCTTCAAGCTGTTGTGCCAGATAGGGAAAGCCCTTTACATCGCGATGGTATGTCAATATTGCCGCCTCACTCATCGTGACACGCACTGATACTCCCTAGTCTCGAGCATGCAAAGAGAAGTTGAGAAACATATCGAAATCATGCGCGCCATCGAAACTCACGAGACTCTCATGCCTCCACGGCAACAATACTTCGCCAGCATGACTGAATCCGGTCCACCTTTGTCCCCGCGCCAAATGCCCCAGGACGATTCCCGTCGACAGTCCATGATGGACCATACACCTAGACCCACTAACATGATCCGACCACCCGTTCCTCCCCATCTCTCAGTATCTCCTCGCCGCTACGGCTCGATTGGCGGCGCCAATTCTGCCTCAGCATACGCTCGCCCGCAACCTCCCGTTGCGCCGCCTCCACAGCAACCAATGCCTCACCCTCTCTCCGTCTCAACATCCCCAGGGCCTAACTTGGCCCGTCGTCACACGTCTGCAGACATCCGACAGCACGGCTGGTCCCCCTCGGCCGCCTCCCCCTATCCCCCTGGCAACCCTCCAAACGGCCCTTGGCCTTCATCACCGGGGCACCGAACCCCGGTCTCCAGTGACCAGCAAGTCCGTGATGTTCTCGCCCAATACGAAATGGGTGCGCCCCGCCGCCTTCAAGAACAATCCCGTCATCCCACTCCACCCGCTGCCGAACCTTCACCGTCCATGCTTGGTGTTGACAACGGCTGGACACTCGGTGGCTCACGATTCCCTCACGGCTCTTCGTTGCCTGCAACTCGTCGCTCGAGCATGGCAAGCAATGTGCATTCATTACTCAATCCTGCCGATACTGCCGAAAGACCTGATGAGGACCAGCAGGCGATGGTAGAGGACCGGAAGCGGAAGCGGTTGGAATAAATCCTAACTATTGGAAGATTTCTGGCATCCACCTTACACCAATGGTGGCACTACATTCTCCTTTTCCTATTGAGTTCCTATACCACCGACCAGTCCTGGCACTTCTCTCTTCTTCCCCTGTTCCTTTGACCTACATATGTACCATTGACCAGAGCAAAGGGCACCCATCTTCAGACATCTGAAGAATGTCCGCAGCTCTGATCTCAATTTTTTTTAATTGCGCCTGTAGATGTCCCTTTCCCCATTTCTTCTCCTTTACTTTTCATCTTTTCTATTTTTGGATATTTAATTCTGGCGAAGGCACGCCAATCCTGGTACGTGGCCAACGGCTCTCCGGGTCCCCATATTTCGTTCACACACAACACAGCATATCATATATACCCTTGGGTTGGGCGGAGCAAAAAAAAACATTGAATCTTGTGGCACCTAGAACAAGAGATTGGAATTGAATTGTATTTTATATTTGCAGTTTGATTATATCAATTGGAATGATGTTTTTTCTCTGCAGACTGTTTGATCTTGGTATTTTGCTTGCTGGAGTGGCACATGGCAACAGTGTGACAACTCAGCCAAGTTGCCATTTGAGTATATATGCAGTCTTTGCTGGTTATCTAGCCAAGTGATACTGCGCTGTAGTCTCTGCCTGTGGCGGAGTGATGCCTTTGCGGGTAATCCTGCTCTGGCCGGCATGGGTTCAACCCCCAAGCACCCGAATCAACGGCCCGACGACCGTGTCCGGCGTCTAGAGCGACCAAGATCAAAGTCTAATCTATTCAAGAGAACCCAGAGCGAAAGCTCGCGCAACGCTCATGTGCGTGCAAACATAGAATCGAACGTATCAGTCACAAATCCTCACCTCTTCTTCCTCTTCTTCGCGCGTTCAGCCAAAAGCTCATCAAGATAACTCGTCGCCTTCTTCCTGCCCTTAGAGCGAGCAGGAGCTGCCTGTTGAGCTGGCGTTCCCTCGCCCTCCTCACCATCTTTATCTCCGGCCTCAACAGCCGCCGCTGCAGCAGGATGCACACCATGACCCGCCCCAGCCCCACCCTTCCTCTTATTCTTCTGCCTAGCAAGCATAGCCGAGCGACCATCCTCTTCATCATACTCATCTTCGACCTCAGCTTTCGCTGTACTAGCTGAAGCAGATGCAGCCGCAGCCGTAGAAGCAGCCGCCGCCGCCTTTTTCTCGGCAGCGGCCTTCATAACACGATCGTAGTTCTTGCCGAGGAGTTGTTTGCGCAGTTTATCGTCTAAGCCCAGCTCTGTGCGGTTCCAGCTTCCATCTGCTGCTTTCTGGGGCAGGGGGGCTCCGACGCCGAGGCTGTGAATTCGGGGATTTGGTTAGTTGGTGCGTTTTGTGGTATATTTTGTTGAATTGGGGGATGATGATAGGGGATGTATGTCTGGATTTCAGGTGGGAGGCTAGGTTCGCACTTACGTCTCTGGCACTGCGGTGAATATTTCATCTTCTTCTCGTTGGAGTTCTTCGTCGGTCTTGGTGTTTGCTAGCTCTTCTGGTGTTTGTTGCGGTAGCCATGAGGCCACGAGCCTTTGGCTGCGGGATAAAGCGACGTTGGCCCGGTTGAGGATTACGTCCGACTCGCTTTTAGAGAGCGACATGTTGGTTTCTTTGTGCCCAGCGATTTATTGGCGGATTCGAGCCGGTCTTTGCGGTTTGGGATCTGCGGAGTCTTTTTTTTTTGCCGATATGGTTGAGGCGGTGAGTGGGGATGTATAAATTGAATGTAGAGTGGCTATGTTGAGTAGCTTGAGCTTATTTCTCAGGTGAGAGATGTTTCGATGTTGATTGATCTTGATTAAAATAGCGAATTTTATAGTCATAGAAATTTTGGCTATCTACACATCGATTTTCTTGAATGTTCGAAGTTCAGATGAGCTATGTACATCGATGCAACCGATTGAGATAAGGGCAGGAAGGAATAACGCCTATATGGGTGAGCAAGATACCTAGGTATTAGTAGAAGGAATACTATATTATTCGAATAATTGTCAAATACTAGCTTATACGGGCGAAAAATCCTCAATGAGCTTGATGAATTTAAAAATTAGATACCTTGGGCACCGATGTCTCTATCTATCTATCAGAAAGACCAATGCAGCTGCGATGCAGGTTCACAAACACCCGAGGCATATCCTGATGCAATGTCAATTGTATACCGTGCTTCGGGTGAAAATGTGGAAGCAGCTCGACAAAGTGGGAGTAAAGGACAAGGATTACAACAAGATTCTATTCAACCCACAGGCCATCCGCTACGTGGCCAACTTTATGCACCGAACAGATCTCCTCCAGCAGTTTTAACACGTGAGACTCGAGGAGGGCGACGAGGAACCGACAGGCCTTGCGGCAGTGGATCTAGGTGTGGAAGACGATGGTATTAGCCAATGACGAAAACGAAGCTGGGAAGCGAGAAGCTCAGCCAATGTCGACAAACAAGCCGGGAAACTGGCTATGAATAATACGACATCAAGTGTAACTGAAGCGGGGGAGGATGCAGGGAGGAGGAGAGAGAGGAGGAAGGAGTTGGAAGGAGGAGGGAGTAGTTGTTGGAAGGCGGAGGGTGCATTCCGCCGCATTCATGTGTTATATTTTCTTATGTATGGCTTTATGGGTTTACAGTATGCAGGAATGGGCTGATTCCACACTCTCTACAAATCAGCCTCTATATTTACTCTCCGGAGTGATCCCAACTCGGCATTTGGCTTCGAGTCCTTGTTTCAGTTGGATGAAGCGCCTGCGTAGTCATACGCAACTAGGTAGACTGTAACAGGTTAATTGAACCTTCATTGATTGATTGATCTATCTATCTATCAGATCGAGCATTATGGCCTTCCGCTAATATGAATTGCCTGGATAATTTGATAATTTGATTACTTGTTTAATATCAGTACTATAACGACAAGCTCAGACCTACATATGCGCCCTCCTCTTCCCGTGTATTTCCATCATAGTCCAATCTGATATCGAGATTCAACACCGTCCGTCATGCACAAAAGCCCTGCGTAATCGCAGCCCTAGTGCAATAATCACTGGGAGTGAACTCTCGGCTTTAGTTGAACCATCAGCTTTGGCTTGTACCATAGCACAAAACAATCTTGATCCATCCAGTCTTTTTCAGGCTGGTCCAATTCCATATCAAAGTTGAGGACCATGCGAGCAAGAATTATACGCATTTCGACGTATGCCAAACTGGAGAAACATATATGAGCAAACAGTAAACATCAATGAAATGTCGAAGAATTACTTGCGTCCAATGCAGTTCCGAGGGCCGAAGCTGAACGGTTGCATTGCAGTCTTACTGTCATTTGCAAAGCGGGGGTCGTTCATATGACGCTCTGGGATAAACTGCTCTGCATCTGTAAAGTTGGTAGGGGAGTGGCTGGCAGCTATATGACACACGGAAACAGTTGTCTATCAAATGTGTAAGCAGCTTTTCAAGGAAGCTAATTTTGTACTTACTCCGCCTGGCACCCATTTTCCAGTAATCATATCACCTTGGGCATCAACGATGTGAGGTAATCCAACTGCAACGGGAGGATACATTCGAAGCGTCTCAGTGAGGACGGCCAGGCAATAGTCCAGTTTGTTGCAAGATTCCAAGTTGATCTCTTCTTCTGTAGCAAACGCTGATCTTATCTCATCTTGGAGCTTTGCCAGCACACGTGGGTTTCTCAGCAGCAGATAGGTCGCACCGGAAAGCAAAGTAGCAGTGGTCTCTGAGCCGGCGATGATCAAGGTACTAGCATTGTTGACCATTTCTTGGACACTGAATCCTTTCTCGGTGTTTTGATGCTTCAAGATGTTGCCGAAGAAATCAGGTCTTTCATTGGACTTGGATATTCGACCATGGACTTTTTCCCTGGTCAAGGCTAGGTGTGTACCCCGCTGTGAGGCAATATGCTTGGGAATTATGTATGGGAGGATGTATTTCAATCCTGAAAGGTGCCGAGCCACATTTGTATAAGCGCCAAATCTGAGCGAGCCGAAGATAATGGCTACCCATTGGTGGTAGTCCGAATTCCGAAGGCAATCAAATGACTCCCCGAAAGCCAAGTCTCCAATAACATCGAATGTTGTGAAGTTGTACCAGGCCACCATATCAAGGGCCTTGATTCCACTGTTGATATTCTCATGCAAGCGCTGGATCAAAAGATCAACATAGCCCTTGATTATAGGTTCCTGACCACGCAGTGAGCTATCAGAGAATGCGTGCGACAACAAACGTCGAAAGCGGGAATGGTCGGCATCATTAGAGAGGATGATCTCGGGAACGCCCTCAGCGTTTGGTAGGTAAAATCGATCATCTTTGGACTTCTGGCTATGGCCAGGACGTGTACCATAGATTGGCTTCCACGCCGCGCCGTCTATAAATGAAAGTTCATCTGGGGCAATGCGAATCACATCGCCGTACTGTTGATGCAGCACTTTCATTTGTTGTGGGAAACGACCACCCATGGTCATGCGCATATAAGGTAGACGTGTGGCTGCCATGGATTTTGGTCCAGGATACTTGGCCAGAGGGTGAAAGTAGACATTATAGACTAGGATACCGATGAGGGAAAGTGGGATCTATTTTGATACAAGCCTTTGGTTAGCCAAATTTCATTCAAGCAACCTGGCAGAGTAATGTTCACCAATATCAAGCTCAGCTTCAGCAAAGTGAGAGCTATAGTTGGTAAATCTTTCATGACTGAAAGCACCGAAGGACCAGGAGTAACTGCCATGATTAGGGCTATCATACACAAGATCCGAGTATGTTTACTTCCAACATCTACGAAATTTTGAGGATATTTATACTCCTCCTTTCCTCCCTGTCACTCTCACTCTGGCATCCTCAATTGTGTGACATGAAGAATAATGCTTCAAAACATGTTCATTATAATGATTTATGAATCGAGACCCCGCACTATGCACGGTGATTATTCCATTTTGACAAGGACCCTGGGCATATGTGCAGTGCATGATCTCGTCGCAGCCTAGTTTTGATCCGAATTGATATTGAGAGAAACATTTGACCTTTGACCCAAGAAGCATTTTTGACCCCCCTTATGAAATAAATTGCCACTCGATCATCATTTAGATACTTATAAGACATAGTTTAGACATTTGAAACAAGAATAAAAGTCAAGAATAAAAGTGTGAAAGTGTTTAAAGTGACATACTCAACATGTCATTAGGCGAGCTAGTGTTCCAAGCTAATGTATGCAGTATGTATGTGATACATACGTAGCTTTTTTTTGTGTATGCGGAGATTTAATATGAATTCTGCACAGGAAATGTGATCTTCTCTAATTTTATGTAACAGCATAAAATCATTGTTTACTTGGCGATCAAAAATAGCCACAGCCTACGATGTCCATATTGAACGATACCGCTAAAGTATGATAATATCTACCATCTTCTGCAATAGCGTTCAAGTTTATTATTGTGATAAATACCGATATGTGGGTTGGATATGTGTGCTGTTTTGTTGTACATTTCTTCTCCATTTGTATGTGCGTCCTCTGCAACTCCTCTGTGTCTATATAGTAATATGCAGTCCCTAATGATCCGAGCCAGTGGGAGGCAGCTGATTGTTTGCGTGGAGAATATTTTGCAATGTTTGCTGAATTGTTTTGAAGAGACGCTTGCGAGCCTTGAAATATGAGCTCTGTTCCTTTAGAGAGCCGAAAATTTCGATTCTCTCAGCAGGTAGTACCTTGAAAGCAGTGCGAAGGGCCTGCAGGGATTCCCGAGGTTAGCGCGCATGAAGAATAATCACGGAAATACACTAACTTCACCCAAGACTCTGTGCGTTTGAACCAAGTTTCTGGCAACTTCATTTTCTGTGTTTTCCGTAGTTTGCAGTTCGATTTTCACCCATGAATCCATAACAATGTCATCCCCCTCCTGTTCTATCTTGTTTCCCACGAGGCAGGCAGCCAGTGGATTGAGATTGGAACATTGTTTCATACCGTAAGGCATGCTTTCGCTGACCGACCCGAAGTTGCAGGCCATGATAGAGCTTCTGTTTTGAACACCTTGGGCAATCTCTCCAGACTTGAATTTGAAGGCACGATCACCAGTGGATTTGACGGCCAGTTTGGAGGAAAGACATTGCAGCAAGACTGCTTTGATAAGATCCTCATTATTGGAATTGGCATTCAGGTTGCTGCTACTAAATCCAGAAACCTCATCACGGCGGAAACTTTCTTGAGGTATGATTCGGGCTGCGCTCATTTTCCCGATAATTCGCTCAATTTCGGGGATCGCTGTATGATATACCCTGGACATATAGTCTTTGCAGAATTCGTTCTTAAAAGCCGGAAGTTTGCCCTTCTTATGCAACATGTCTCGAATGGCCCCGAAGGTATTGACGATGGATATATGATAGCCCAACCGGGCGACCGAAAGACTGGGTGAAACCCCGACGCCTGCATAGCTTTGATCAGGCGGAGACGGGCTTCTTAAAGCAAGTCTGGGATCCCATCCGAGACTCGCGAGGATCAGCATTGGATCTAAACATTGGAAAACAACGCCCAGAGTAACCATTTTGCCAAAATATGGATCCATGTTCAAATTGACGAGAACGCGGCCAAGAGTGGTGAGTTCTTCCTGTTCGTCCAATGCTTGCAATTCCTTCAGGCCATCCACTGCAGCACAGACACTAGACTCTTGAGGTGGCTCATAGGTCTGCGCGAGAAGTTTTGCGATTGAGAGGGACGTTCCAGAGGTCGCTCGCTTAACATGCAAACAGGCTTGTTGAAGATCTGAGCGAGCAGCTCTAGTCGATAGAGGGCTGGTAATTGGAAGGGAATCAAAACATTTTTTGGCACCAAGGAAGTAGTACTCTCTAGCCTGGAGGCTGCCTGCACACTCTGCATGCTCTGCCGCGACAGTTTGACTAATCCAGTCGACACCCCACAATCTCAAATTTTGCACCAAATGGGTGCGTTCCTCGTGATTCTCGTGATTTGACTTGCCAGAGTCAACGACGTAGCTCACGTCTTGAAACTTGAAATTTCCCCCTGGCGTTGAAATGATGAGTCTTCGGCAACCCCGAGGAATTCCATGGTCAAGCATGACATCTTCAAAATTTGACGTCTTTGCATGCAACTTAATGATTCTGAACCGATCCTTATTTGTAAAGTCCAATCCCAGATTTCGGCCGAAGGCTATGATCTGCTTTACGACACTCTGAATGTGCGTAATACCTGGGACAATGACAAGTATGGATCCTGTTTTTGTTGTAGAGAAGAGCGAGAGAACAGTCGCAGAAACCAACCCGCAAGGTACGGGCTCTTTCCCAAGCCTGTTGATTTTTGCGGTTGGTGCCTTCGGTTTCTCTATTGAGTCAGATTCATCAAACAACTTGAAATGGCTATTCAGGAACTCTTTTGTATCATTGTCGCCATAAAGGAGAGGCGACAGGATATCCGGTGTCAAAGAATGGGAAATTTTGCCAATTACTTCTTCAAGGTAATTCTTCTTCACGGGGGAGTTTCCAGGAATAGTCACATGAGGAGCAGGCAAAAGCATATCATCTGTAGTTTTAGTTCCAAAATAGGAACACAAACCATCGATATCAATAATTGAGCCCATCAAAATGATCTTCGGCGCAGAGGCACCGATAGACTTGCGCTGTTCAACAAATCGTTTCAAAAGCATCATGCCCACATCAATATCGAAACCACGTAACTGAACATCATCGAGTATGACATGGGAGAAATTCTCCAAGCTAGAGGGTCCATTTTTCAACAAGCTCAGCAAACTATTCCTGGAGCAATACGTGATATTTCCCCCAGGAAGAGGAGGCAGGTCATCATGCGGCCCACGCACACTGTAAAAATTTGTGGTATCACCCAACTTTTCGAATCTTTCGCTGGCCACTCTTCGTGATATTGACACTGCCCTCTTTTCCTGAAGCTGAACACAGAGAATTCTACAAGATACCCCAGTAGAATTATTGACTGCGTGGTCCAAGATAATTTGAGGAACCTGCGTGGTCTTTCCGGAGCGAGAACCTCCATCAATAATGCTGTAGCTATTGCTGTTAATGACACCCAAAATTTGCTCCGTGAAACGTCTAACAGGTAATCCGAGATTTTTTTTTCTCATAGCTCGGAAACCTGGATGGCCACGGGTGTCAGCTCTGTGCTGGAGCCGCAGCAGCATCTCCGTTCTTTTCGCTACATAGTTGGGATTATCAAGGCGGTTACGTCGGGGAAGTGACTGATCTTCTCTCCTCCCAGAGCCTTCCTCCCAAAGCATGTCTCGATTGGCATATACAAGCACATTTCTTGCATCTTCGTTGACGGTAGACAATAAATTATGTTGAATAGGTAGGTGTATAGTGGCCATCTGAGCCGAGATAGATTGTTGCGGCTGGCTCATTAGGCCATGTTGAGATTTCTGGAGATCTTTTGACTGGTGGTGTAAGGGATTAAACCATGGGAGGCTCATGCGACTGCCATGCTCTCTGGGGGCTTCACGAAGCTCATCTCCCTTGCTTTTAGCTGATCTTGGTAGATCTCCAGATAGCTGTGCTAGAACCCTTTTTTCCAACTTTTGTACCAAATTAGATGTGCACGTGCTCGATTTATTGGGGAAAACGTACTCCGCAGTGAGCTTCTTCACATACACTGTCAGCCTGAGGCTCTTTCTTTAATTTACTGTGTTTGCTGCCGGTTATGCATCTAATTTTAGACCAAGAATGCTCATGTTGCTGTCGATTATGGGGAAGGTCATCTATTTGCAAGTTTTCGTTAGAAATGAGTTTGTTGCCAACCGAGTCAGGCAGTGATAGATGGTTTTTGGAATAGTGAGCATCTGTTATTGCCCGGTGTCCTTTGGGTGCAGACTGATTGCCACCGGTGACAGCATGTAATGACCGTAGCTTGCGAATGGATCGAACTGGCATTGTAGCTGAGCAGATTGTGTGTATGTTTCGTCTTGAAAATTGTTGCAAGCTCGACTGGACGAGTCCCCGGCGCAAAGTAGAGCAGGTTTGATCTCGAGCAACGAGACCCCTTTTTTTAATGTTCCGGAAATGGATGTAGGCACTTGTGCCTGTTGTCATTGTGTGAAATCGAGGGTTCACGGTCCTAACGAAGGAAATCCGAGGTAGATGTGCGCATGGCACGGAGTAACGGAGTAGCCTCGGGGCTCGGAAAAAAAAAAAAGAAAAGGAAAGGAAAAAAGAGTGGAAGCCAAATATAATCAGCAATTCACCTGGGTTGTAGAATCGAAGGCTCAATTACCGCTGTGACATGGTATCTGGGTGCAGGCCTGAGTGAAGAGAATTGATTAAACAAACCAATAATTGATGCGGCGCGCCCTTAAACCCGGTCTTGGCACGCCATAGACTGAGCTACAGCAACTATCAAAATATGTCAATGGTCCTTAATAGTTATATAAAGATTGCGTTATCACATCAATGTACAATTGTAACGGTCTCTAATGGTCTCTTCTTGAACAGGATGTGAAAACGTGACATCATTTGAAGGTCTTATGTACAGTCTATCTCTATACCATATACTATGTCTGATGCGCTCTAGACATAGGTTCCCCAATTTGTTCACATGTAGTATAACACAGGGTATAAAAATCATCAAGCAAGAAAACATCAGTCCGAAGAGCTCACACTGTAGCTTGCTTTTGATGCTTCGCCCGCAACTTTTTCTCCGTTTTCATGAACTCCCGAATACCAACAGGGACATTGGCAAACAGGTCATTATCTTGACTCGGCAGTGTCCAATTTGTTTCGCTACCACCGCCATCATCATCCATGCTCCCACTGGCTGAGCGGACTTCCGCTCGAGGCGCCGTGCGCATGTCCTTTGTTCCCTTTTCAGGCCCACCTTTAGCTTTGGCCGTTGTGATCCTGGATGCCCAGTCTTCCATCTCATCCCGGAAATCATCCCAGACACAGTGTACACAGCCACTCATGCAGCAGTTGTCTGGTTCCTCAGGTTGGGGAGGAATGGGGACTCCGTTGATAGTTTTCCACGTTGATTCCGGGGGAGCTTCACCAGGATTGTAGCGTGAGGTTCGGCCTGGGCCGGCAAGAGGGGTGCCGAATACGATCGCCATTTTTTCTTGGGGTGTTTGCGGTGCGACGGTAGATGCCGGGGTCGGTTTGGCGTCGGGCCGAACGGGCGTAGGGCGGGATGTCGATGCACCACCATCGTATGGTGAGCTGGATTTCAATATCAATGAATAGTATCCCGACAAAGGGTGAGCTTGAGAATCCGCAATTTCCTCCAGGGAAGCTGGGTTATTGTAGGCATCGGGTTGGTCGGATTGGCCGTGTCCGTTCATGCGCCGGGGACTCGGAACCAGCACATATTGTCGATATGAAGCAAATGAAGGAAATGTTCTACCAGGTAAAGAGCGAAGTTGAGATCCAGACCTCCGCAGCGAAGATATTGCACCCGCCGAGAAACACTCCATGGTGTGAGTTAGAGAAAGACAAGGACATTCGTGCATTGACGAGGGGAGATTAAGTCATAGGTACAAACACTGCAAACTGTGGACTTGTTTATCTTCCCGAGGTCATCATCTGCGCCGCCAGGCAAGACGAACATCCCCACGCGACAATGGATTCCCCAGCGAAAAAAAGGAAAATTAGTGAGACTACAGGCATTTCTGTGGCTCCAGAGCTTTCTAAAAATGACCCCCATCAGTCGAGACCACCCTCCTTTCAGTCTCCAACGAGAGCTAGTCTCGCACGATCACATCCCGATATATTAGAGCGCGCAATCAGCAGATCTCCTGCCCGACGACCAGCAGACAAAGACAGCGGGCAACAAGATCCCCGAAAATTTGGATTACGCGATCGCAAAGCGCTCCGGCCCTCGCTCACTGCCTCTGCAAGTCCCCTCACTCGACCTCGAGGCCCCGAAGCCCCCCAAAGTTCCCCCAACAGGCGCCCAAGTGGCGTCCAAGCGTTCGCAAAACCTCCACGCAGGATTTCAAGGAGGATTCTTCCAGGAGATTTAGTGTTTGGGTCCCCAATGCCACAACCAAAAAATCCCGATTCGAATACCCCCGAGCATCAATTAGCATTGGAATTGGGCAGCGCCACAAGAGAAGCAGATATGAATATTGGTCCGGACCCCAATTTCATGGATGAAGATATGCTCGAACCAGATCTTCCCCCCACACCAACACAACTAGGTCTCGAAAAGGCACCGGATCGACCCAGAGGGATGGTGAGTAGCAGCCCTAGTAGACGACAAGAGAAACGAGCGAAACGACGAACTGCCAATGCATTATACGAAAGCCCTCTGAAGGCAGTGAATTTCCAATCCCCTCCACTAGAAGATTTGGAGACAGCTTCAGACCTGGGTGCGGGTTCAGCAGCTGTTCGCGAGAAACGCAGTTCACGCGAGAAGAGCGCCGCGGACCTTCGACGGCTGAGAAACGAAGTTGAAGAACTGGAATCATGGGCAAAGCAAATCGAATCCAATCCTGATCTGAAAGACGAGGACGGAGGTCTCGACAGATTTCTGTGGGTCCCGCAAGCAACTTTGGCTTGAACACTGCTGAAAATCTCTAGGTCTTTACTCACGTCGGAAGAGGCGAATCGTACAAGTCTGCCAGTAGTCCAAACAACTCCCAAGTCAATATCGTCCATACTCGCCACTTTACTCCCATTCGCGACCAACATCCCTCGCCCAAAACGCGAATTATCACCTCTACCAACAAATCCATTTGCCCTACAAGAAGCCTCTCAATCGCTGCCATACCTGACAGCTTTTGCGCCCTTAACGCTCAAAACCCGCACAACTCGGTCGTCACGTAGGGAGGAGCTGTCAGAAATACATACACTGTCCTTCTCTCCCCCATCTCCATTTCCAGCCAGTTTATACAATGTGACTGTTATCTACGAGACGAACCCGGAGACCCAGTCTTTGACCTCTTTGTCAGTGCCTACTGGCAGTGACAGCAAGAAAAGAAAAGTCCCCGAAGCTCTCCGCCGATGGATTGACACCCGCTTAGAGAACCCTCTCTTGAAACTCGACGTAGCAACTCTATGTTGGGGGATCAACCGGTACTGGGAATCTGCAATCACTCGCGCTCGTTTGTGGGCACACATCGACCAGAAATACGGCCCTCGGGCCTCACGAGACAGAAAGGACGCTGCGTCGGAAAGCAAGAACGGCGTTATCACACTTTCTGAATTGCGACGATTAGTCCCGCATTTAGATCGGAGTGCAATGATCATCAAACCTAAATCTTCTGACTCGAGCCCGCGAGTGCTTTTGTCAAATACTTTGTTGTTGGATGATTGGACTGGAGAGTCTCAGCTGCGGCCTGAGATTAGTGTGTCAATGCCTGGGGTAGATAAGAAAATCGATCAGGAGACGAAGAAGCTTTTCCATGCTTTGCTACGTGAAGATGGTGCTCTGGGCACGCGAGGTGTGGAAGGTGGTATCCATGTTGATGCGGTGGTAAGGGCGACTGAAGGTGCTCTTGGTGCTTTGTTTGGTGGTCTTTGAATTTTTGATATTCCGGTGCGATTGCCAGCGTTAGACGTTGGATTTGGGGATTTAGCGTAGTTCTCTTAAAGATACCCGAGCAGAGCTCAGACTGCAGGCTTAATTTGTTTCTCTAAAGGAGTTTTGCTTATGAGATAACGACGAGTTTTCTATCTGTATAGATGAGCTAGATAATAGTACATATATCTAACTATGTAGCCATAGTCGCTGTATTGTTGTATTGCCCTGTTTTATAGACAGGTTACATGCAAAGACATGCTGTCATTCCCATCTGACTTATCTTTGAAGAAAAATTATATCGACAGCGAAGCTACCAAGTACACGACGGAACTACGAAAAGCTTTCAATGCTGTCCCCACTAGAATCCCTAGACAAGAAGCCTGGATTACCAGCTGGGCAGCCACCAAAAGTATGAGATGTACAGACACAAAGCCAAGATTGAGAGAATTGGGCGGTTTTGAATTCGAGAGATCTTCCGAGTTCTTTCTTTTAGAGACAAAAAGGAGTAAAAGTTGGGGAGGGAGAGAGGGAATCAAGGAAGAGGCGCAACGCCATGCCACAGTACACTAATCCCCGATTCGAAAACCGACCCGATCATCATCATCAGCACGAAGAGGGAATTAACACATTTATTTCTTGGCATTGGCCTCATCATCAGCCTTGACCTTGGCACGCTTCTCGCGCATACCCTTGTAACGGGCCTCAGCGCGGGCGTCACGGAGACGACGGTAAGCAGCCTCCTCACCCTTGGGGAGCGAGTCGCGCTTGACCTCGGTAACGGCCTCAGCAGCGGTGGGGTTGGTGATGGGGAAAGTGGCCTCAACACGGGTGGCGATGCCGTCACGCTTGCCCTCAGCGACGGTGGCCTTGACGGCCTTGACTTCCTCAGCGGAGGAGTCGAGCTTCTTGAACTGACCGCTCTTGCGGGGGAAGAGGATCAGGCGAGCCTTGTAGTCCTGGAGACGGGCGACATTGGCAACCAGAGACTCCTTGGAGTAGTTGGTGCGGCGGTGGTCAACGGAGATACCGACGGTGGGAGCAAGCTTCTTGGGGATACCGGCTTCCTATAAAGCGCGAAAAGAGATTCCGAGTCAGTAATTTGCTTCTCCATAGTACCTCCACTTTCGATGTGGCTCAATTTACCTTCAGCTCAGCGAGGGTGAAACCACGACCGGCACGGACACGGCGGTTGTACTTGATGGTGGGGCATCGGACAACGGGACGCAGCTTGTCAACCGGACGGGGAGCAACAGCAGCCGCCTTAGCGATGCGGGCCTCACGACGACGGTGCTTCCGGCCGGGCTGTGTGATTCATGTTAGTCGACCAAATTCATATCCTGTTAAAGAAAAATTTTCCTCGATTTCAAGTCGCTTGCGATATCGTTCGGAATAGAAAATTTCTCTGGTCCGGGGTGTGTTGGAGTCGTACCTGGTCGAAGTGCACACGGACACGACGCTGCCAGTCCTTGCGGAAGTCTATTCAAGAATTCGTTAATCACTGTTCCTTCACATCTGATCTTCCCAATGTCTTTCTGTCGTTTTGAGGCAATCACATAGAGGTGCATATCGACGGGCCACTCACGGTTCTTCTGAATCTGGTTGTTGTGCTTGATCGCCTATATATCCCACACACAATCGGTCAGTCAACCATTTCGTTTTTTTCGAGGCGTATTTCAATGCATCGATATCTCTCAATCGCACAAGTCGAATCCTTCATTGTATCTTCCAAGTAGGGATAGGGAACGCACCATGGTGACGGATGGGGATCGAGCCGGGTGGTGGTCGTCGAGGGTTGCTGGTCAAATCCTCCTTCACGGCAGAAAATGAAGTTCCCATTTTTCGTGTGGCCGCCCGCTGACTGACACACCGCCTCGCTTAGCGAGCCCTAACCAAGCCGGATTTGGTAATCTGCCGTTATTATTTTAATTTAATTTAATTTTAATTTTATGCTTTGTCTGTTTAGTTACTGGATGTTGTATAACTAGGTACTCCGTAGTTATCGACCCTTTTACGAAGTATGGAATTATTCAAAGGATCTCTACACCAAAAATATTCCATTGATTCAATTGGTCCAATAGTTTTAATATATTGTTTTCAATATTGTAGTTCGTTATTGGTCTCTCAAGACTCTATTCCTATTGTACATGGTTGTACCATCCCAAATTCATATCCCAAATTCCCATACCGAAAAACGAATGGAATAACGCCACATGTGAAGGGTCAAGGATCACTGTCGCATGACCTCTTCATACAAAAAACAATCCCAAAAGAAAACCCCCAAATAATCAATCGCTAGTTCGAAAACACAACATTTGGCATGTCTTCATCATTCGTGAGGTTCCCATAATCGTAACAAGCAAAGCAGCGCTAGGTCATGAATCATATCAAAGTTGATGGCACGAGTACTTCGTGTAGCCACGAGATATGTAATCAAGCATTGATGCCCAGGCCAATAGCACTCGTAGCCTTGGACTTCTTTGCGGCAACGTTCGCATCGATGCCTGCCTTGCGCTTGCCAGGGCGAGATCGCTCCACGCCGGGTTTCTGCACCTGTCCAAACAACTTTGTCTGAAGCAGTGTGCTGCTCTTGGGGACAGTGGAGCGCATCTGCTGTGGGGATCCCAGAGCCTCTTCCGCAGCCTCAGAGGCAGAGAGGGATACGGTGCTGTCGCTATCATAGTGATCCTCTCGTGTTTGCCCGATTGGAGTGAGGTACTGGCTCTTCGAGTGGTTCGGGGTGACAGGGACGGAGGTTGCAGAGTGGGCACCATAAGTGTGTGTCTGATTGGTAAGTTTATCGGCGTAGAGAAGAGCGGCGAGACCATCTGTGTGTTCACCGTGGCAGATGTTGTGTATATCATTCTGGGTGCTCGGCGACATGCTGCCGTAGTTGAAGATCTGGGAAAAGTGCTTGCGGTTGTCACCAATGCGGCGCTTCAGCATGAGATTCTGCTCCTCAAGGTCCATGGATCGACTGGTAGCTTCATCAATGGCACGCTTCGCCTTTCGAAGTCTTCGATCTAGGACATTGTTGAGTGCTTCCAATTCCTGCGAGCGCTGAACAGCCGAGAGATAATCGGAATTCAAGGCAGACTGGGACGGCTTCGGCGTGATGGGATCCCCGGGATGCGAGCGACTGCGGTACTCGGCGCTCTGAAGAATCTCAACTTCACGCTTGGCGAGCTGATGCTCTACCTCGGCGCGCTTGACGGCTTCATTGCTTGCGAAAGAGACCAAGCTGTTCTGCAGTTTGAAATGCAGCGCAGACATGCGCGACTCTCGGGCTACGGCCAAAAGCTCTTTGGCAATAGTGCGCAGTTCAGTTTCGCTGGCATTGTCAATTTCCTCTACGGTGGGCAGGTTCTCAGAGGCGCCGTAGGCATCGCACAACGACTTGTCCATATCGGGTTTCACCACCGAAGGGCTCAAGGAGCGCGAGTGTGAGCGAGAACGAAGCGGAGCCCCTGGGATCTGAGATGAGGGTGGAGGGGTCATATCTGATGACGACAATGGCGGGGGTGAGAGGAATTTCTTATCCGGCTGGGACGATGGGTGCTTAGCCATAGAGCTAAGCTCTGGCGAAGGGGACAAAGTAGCCCGACGGACTGGAGTTGAGGGCACGATCTCTGCAGGGGCTCCCAGAGAATTTTGTGAGTTGGCGTTTTGAGACATGATAGATATGTAGTTATAGAGTGATGTTGATATAATATATCACTTTGATAAACAAGATCACGAGGGTTTAGCCGCGGGGAAACGGGTCCTCGCACTATTTTTCTTATCAGCATCTTTATCATATACCAGATAATTGAAAACCAAAAGAACTATGTACATACCGGAGACTGATATCAGTCAGGTCTTGGGGCTTGATCGCACAGATGCTCAGACCAGGTATGTTGCCTCAGAAACCAAATAGAAAGAAATGGAGGATCGGATAGCAAGGGATAGGAATTTCAATTTTGAGCTAAGAAAGCTAAGAAGACAATGGCTTGGAGAACTTGGAGAAGGGTGAAAGAAGGGAGAATAATGGAGTTCAGCGAGACCTTAAGAGGAAGAGGGTTACTCTAACTTGCGTTATTGGGAGGGGCTGGGAGGCTGGGAACGGGGCAGTCTCAAGGTACCCGCTTTGGGTTAGTCCATGTCCCAGCCCCGGTCAATTATCTAAGAATATTAACCAATCATAAATGAATATATGGCCTGACTAAGCCTATTTCAGTTAGTCTGACGATCACGGGACGCTCAGGGCAAGTAAACACCCGCGACCGGGCAAGCGCTGGGGGTTGGGCAGGCAACCGATAAGCATCAAGATCTGTACGGAGTATATGATGTATGATATCATGGAGATGTTTGGATATTGATGCTTTGTCTGTTTGAGCCTCTAGATGCCCTATGAAAAATCCAGGGTTCCCACATAATCAAAATAAAGAAAACTATTATAAGTCTTCGAACCCATAAAACTTGACTGGAATTGCCCATACATGACATTCAATCACCTTAGTATGACAATACTAGAGGGAAACATTATATATCTACATAGCATGTTAGCAAAATCAAGTTAGGGGTTCTATACGGAGTAGAGCTAATATGCAAGGTGCATCTGTAACCACCTAAACCAGTTCAACCCTGTTCAACAGCCCTAACAAGAATCAGTTTTTTTTGGAATCTCTGTTGATATCTTGCGGTTTGAACATAAAAAAAAAATCAAATATACCAAATAGACACTGAATAGCAAAAGGATATTAAGCCCAAAGTATAACTGTTTACTCCGAGTACTCTTTATTTTCTGTGGACTCCTTGTTTAGTATATTAGAACATGCTCCTATCTTACATGAGAATATTCTATGCAATGAAACAATTGTGGCTTCTAGTAATTGGCTTGATCTGTATATCAAAGAGACCTTTCGCATCGCTGATATGAGCTGCGCTGGATATCTGTTTGTGATGTGACAGTGCTCTTTGATGTATATATCCGACGGAAGAGGCCAACTATGGGTCAGAGAATACCTTTTTCAAATTGCAATGAATCCATAGACCTTTTATATTTAAAAAATAGCCTAGGGCAAATTCAGATATATTTATAGCAATATACGGGAAAGGATGCAAGCTCTGTTTTATATTTGCTCTGTACAAATATTTTAGACCGAGACTAAATTGGTGCCTGAGGCAACAATCGCGGGATTGTGAGACCTTTAGAAATGTAAACAATCCGCTTCCGAAACATCTCTAGATCTCTAATTCTTCATTCTTTTGCGCCAAAGACCACGATTTTGACAGGGCAAAAACTGCCATTGCAGCTTCCCCCCGCCCTCCACATTCTTTGTCCCGATCCTTATCATCAGACATGAGTGTCCGAATTTCTTAAACTGCAACTTTCTCCCTGACCAAATACCAACATCAATAACCGGAACGACAATATGGAAGGTCAGCCCAAGACATCGACGCGCCCTGTAACTGGTATACCGCGCCCTACAAGTGGTATTCCACGACTTACTTCAAGATTGCCTTTACCCACGACCACCGCATCAAAATCGATCAAACCCTCACCTTCCCGAGATAGATTGCGAGCCGATCCTGGCCTGGACGAAAGGAGGTTGCGAAGACCATCTTACAACGCGCTCGTGAAAAAACCGTCCTTGCGCCACTTGTCGCCACCTAAGCCGCAAGATGACCCTATCCCAGCCCTCAAGCAGGATAATGTCCAAGTTGGGGACGACAGCACACATATTCCAGATGAGACGAGCTCAACTGCTGGGGACGATGACACTGGATCAATCGCATCGGCCCAAGAAGCACGCGGCCGTCGTGGAGTACGCCCATCTTTGTCTGAACGTACACTGGAGACGCTAGCGCAAATTCCACCATCACCGGCTTCGGCGGGTAGGAAGTCTAGCTTTTTTAATGGCGGCAGCCCGGTACGATCTCCATCGCGCGCCCCGTCCAATGTGTCGACCATTTCGAGATCGCCATCGCGGGCATCATCCTGCGCACCGTCTAGCAACGAACTATATACCCAGCCCGTTTCGAAGCTGCGTCTTCCCTCGAAGGCTCGCATGCCGACTGCTGGATCTCTTTCTCCAGTTCGCGGCTCGGAGGAGAACGTGAGCCCATCAAGATTGAAGCGGCCATCACCTAGACAAAGTATTGCGCCTGGAACCGGCGTCCACACGGACATCAGTTCGCCGCTCAAGAAAAATATACCCGAAAGACTGATTGGGAACAAGGATGCACCAAAATCATCGCTTATCCGACCATCACCCAGCAAGGTTTCCACAAAGCCTGTTAAGTCAAATATGGGTCCTCCAGAAAGACCCCTCCAAGTGAAGAAAACAAGAAAACCTCAAACAGAGCAGGCCTCTACCCTACGCTCTCCCTCGACGGGGTCAAGATATGTGTCTGCTTCTTCCAACATGGCTGATGATCTGTCCCCGGAGCAACAGGCGGAACTTGAAGCAAGAAAAGTCTCTAAATCGTCCAGTACGCTACGTGAAACTATAGCAAAGGCAAAGGCTGCTCGTAAAGCAATAGCGGCCGGAGAGAGAAATGAAACGTCCCAAAAGCAAGTCTACCAGGCCCCGCCTATCGATGCACCTCTTGATTCGTGGGCGGGCGGCGACGATGATGATCCCTTCAATCAACTGCCCGAAGGGTCTAACAATTTGGTGATGCGGAAACGCGTACAGACAGGACGCGCGACTGGCCAATTGAACATCGCGGCGTTTTGCCTGAAAGAGATTCCAAAAGAAGTGCTAACGATGTACGACTACGACCCAGAGAACTCTGGGAACTGGTTCGAAAACGTTGATCTTGTCAAGTTTAATGCTGCGGACAATGAGCTGGAACAGATCTCAGATGCCACCTTCCCCGATATCAACCCTGAGGAGTTTGATCCCGAGAGCGATGATCGAGGGCTTCAATTTGGGGGCCTTGAAACGTTGGATCTCCATGGAAATATACTCAAATCACTCCCGATAGGTCTTCGACGTCTGCAAAACTTACGCACTCTCAATCTGTCGAACAATTCTTTGGACATGGCCAACATCGAGATAATCACAGAGATAAAGTCTCTGACGGACCTGAAACTTGCTAATAATCAACTGCAAGGGGAGCTAACTGCCGTCATTGGCCGTCTTCATAACTTGGAGTTTTTGGATCTGCGTGGTAACGCTCTCACCCAGCTTCCAGATGAACTCGTTGGATTGAGTTCTTTGAGAACATTGGATGTCAGTGAGAACAAGTTTACTTCTTTGCCGTTCGAGGTCCTCAGCAAACTTCCCTTGAAAACGCTCAATGCGCAGAAGAACAGACTGGAAGGCACTTTGATCCCAGCATCAGTGGAAAAGTTGGAGAACTTGCAGTCCCTGAATATCGCCAATAATGCTGTGGTGGTCTTCTCAGCCGATGATGCGCTTGAACTTCCTAATTTACATACTCTCCTGATCGGTGTCAATCGCATCACGCATCTTCCATACATGAATTCTTGGCAGTCATTATTAACGCTGTCTGCCGAGGAAAACAAGATTGCAGAGCTCCCACAAGGCTTTGCGGAGCTTAAGAGTCTCAAGAAGGCCGACTTCACAGGAAATGACCTCACGCTCTTGGATGAGAAGATTGGATTGATGGAAAACCTAGCCTCTTTGCGGATTTCTAACAACCCGCTTCGTGAGCGCAGGCTGCTGAGGATGGACACCGACGATATCAAACGAGACCTGCGGAGTCGCTGTGAGCCTGATCCTCAGGACACAGATGACGAGGGCTCAGTGGCCACGCAATTTACTCTAGCCCCTGAGAGTCCCACGCTCGATGGCAGCTGGCAGATTAAATCCGGTGGGACTCTTGACAAGTCTTATGCCGAAATGACCGATCTTAAGGTGGAACAACTCGAGATGATTCCATCGCTAGATATTCGATGTCTCTATCTGCAGCACAATGAGTTGAGCTGCTTCCCGGCCCCCGCAATTGGAATGCTCGCGCAGTCTCTGGTTGAACTTGATCTTTCACACAACCCCTTGAGTAGTGCTGACTTCTTGTCTTCTCCGCTTGAGTTGCCAAAGCTTCAGTCGCTGACTTTGAACGCGGCCAGCCTGACGTCATGGGAGCCTCTCTTGTCAAACCTGATAGCCCCATCTTTGACCTTCTTAGATGTATCGCACAATCGTTTGAAGGGACCACTTCCCCATCTGAGACAGATTTACCCAGAGCTCAAGACCCTTATAGCCTTCGACAACCAGATCGCTAGTCTGGACTTTGAAGCCGTACAAGGGTTGCAAGTCTTGGAGCTAAGCAACAATGAACTTGTTTCGCTACCCCCGAAGATTGGCTTGCTAGCTGCTGGACGTTCTCCTCAGAACTGGGGCAATGGATCGGCCTTGAGACGTTTTGAGGTGGCTGGCAATCGATTCCGAGTACCTCGCTGGCAAATAGTTGCCAAAGGAACTGATGCGATTTTGGACTTCTTGCAAGAGCGGATTCCTATTGGTGATCTGCCGGAATGGGAACGGGAACACGAAGCTCCTGAGGAAGAGTTCTAAGACATGAGATCTAGTTGAAAGTCATGATTTGAAAAGGCTTGTATAATATCACTATGTTTGTTCTATGTACATATACATAATATTGCTGTCTATGCTTTTCTCGGGCTTTTGTCATATCATCATCAGCTTCTTTGCAGCTTCGCGACAGATAATTACCTTCATTTTTTCTCAATTGACTTGCTGACCTCGTCAATCACCTTGAGCCACGTCTTCGACCATGTAGCGAATTTGTCTGCAGGTGCATCGTTCTTCACGTCTGCAGTACCCCAGGGTGACGCGACCAACTCCACCGCTTGTGTGGCACACTTCCTTGTCTTCTGCAAATACTCAGCGGAGGTTTCAAAATTGGCCTCGTACAACGCGCCGGCTGCCTCGTCGACATCGTCCGGGATAGCTTGCAGGTTCAGCATCAGGGTCTCCAGCTTCTTGACACCAGACGAAGAAGCTAATGGCGCATTTCCGGCATTCTTCAGCCGGTTGTTGATGATAGCTGGGTAGATCTGAGCAATAGGCTTGAGGAAACGAATGGTAGATTTCTTGTGTTCCTTGAGAGCAGCCGTCTCTTCTTCGTCATCCTCATCATCATCATCGCCCTCATCGTCACCGTCACCCTCCCCCTCATCGTCAAGAACATCATCAAAGAAACCATCGTCCTCTTCTTCCGGATCCCAATCCTCGATTTCCTCAACCGCGTCGCGAACTAGGTCCCTCCACTGTTCAACGCGGCGCATGACAAATCCAACAACACCCTTATTCGCAACATCGGTTATAGTATCGCATGCATCCCAGACACGGCCCGTAGCGAGCATCACAGCATCCTTCTCAGATTTCGTCACATCGCTCTCCTTCTCTGTATCCTTCTTCTCCTGATCTTTCTTTTCTCCAACACGCTTGACTTCCTGAACCAGCGACAAAAGTTCTGTCAAAACTGTCTTGACAAGAATCAAGACCTCGGAGTGAAACGCCTTGGTGTATTGCGCCGGTGTAACGAGAAGGGAAGCGGTAACGAGCGACGGTAACACGGATTCATTGAGCTCGCGGAGTACAGTGCTGATAGCGGAATGTGTGAAGGGCGAGGTAATGGCCAGAAGAGAGAGTTTCGTGACATGTGCCTTGAGCGCGGTCGATGAGAGTGTTAGGAGGGACAGGGCTTCGGCATCTTTTGCGACTTCGGTTGCGGCTGTTGGGGGCGTGACGAGCGCTGTTTGGAATTGACCGATGAGGGTTAGGGTAGTGCCAAGGATGGCAGACAGTTTTTTGGACATTGTGAGGGTCGTGGGCTGGCTAGGGGTGGGTTGAAGGGGAGTGTAATAGAGGAAAAAAAATTGGGCGGTTGGGTCTGATAATCATCGCGGGGCTGATTAGGGCTCTGCGGGGTCACCTGGAATTTCTATATTAAAGCTGTTTGTTAGCTTGAGGTTGGTTTAATTGGTCTACTATTTGTAGATGATCATGTTGATCTTAATTTTCATCTTTATTTTTCCCTCTCTCAATTCACAGATGGTAATAATTTTGTCGTTACCATCTTTTAACGCCCTTCTGGCAGACCCCTTGTTTACCTCAACTTAGGTCGCGAAGAGCTCTCCACATGCCAAATTCTATCTAAAAGCCATGCATGGCTTATGTTTGACGGAAATACCAGATAAACCAGTGCAGTAAAGCTACTTTGCCGATTTTTGCTCAGTGAAATCAAGCCCCGACCCTGAGTAAGCCTTTAATATTAGTCTCATCACGTGCCTTCTATTGTATATAACGCTGCAACGACGGTCAATCGGACCAATATTAATCAAAATCATAATATAGTATAATACAAAACAAAGGTCCTTAGTGCGTAGTCTGCGTAAACTCCTTATCGACTCTAATCTCAGTCAGAGGAATCTCATCTCCATCAGAATTTGCTCCAACCTTTGGACCCAACACGTTGGTGTACGTCTTTGCATGATCATACTCCGGCCTGAACGTGGTATCCATCTGTGCCTGTTCTCCTAATGAGCCAGGATCATCTGGTAACTGATAGAAAGAATGTCGTTTCGGATGCTTGGTGATGGCGGCAGTGGACTCTGCTGCTCCTGAAGGCTGAGTGGCAGCGTCTGTGGTTTTGGAATTTGTTCCGTTTGTGCTTCTGAAGAGACCCAGAACATTACCGCGGATACCCAGCATGCGTGCTATGAAACGGAGAGCAGGGCGGATGGTTGGGAGGTTGGCCGAAATGATGCCGGCGGCCATTTCGATCGCGGTCCAGCCAACTGTTGGAGCAAGAGTGTAGGAAGAATCAGCCGCATCGTAGGTAAAGAGGACTGAAAAACGGTAGGCGGAGGCGAAGACGACGCTGTTGAGGTTAGATTGTGCGGGGTTTTTCTTTTTGGGAAATGTTAATGACTTACAAGAATCCCAAGCTGAAGGCAAATAAAACGGCTATCTTTTCAGAAATTCGAAGTTGGAGCTTCCACACTTGTGGAATTGGAAGGATTAGAATGGCAAGATCGCTTGCAATCGTTGAGATGGCGTTCGCGATCCATGTGCCAACCTGGTCGATGCACCGCCCTGGGAGATGGGGATACCATAGTTTCTGGACGGGGACGCAGATGAAGATGAAGAGAAAGGTTATACAGATAACCCAAAGAATAATAAAGATTCCAATGATGTATGCCCATGTCTTGAAGTAAGGAAAGCGGAAAATCCGGTAGTACATGAGCAGAATGCTCAATTTGGTCCATACCAGGTTAAATACGTAGAGAACTTCCGCCACAACAAGGTATTTTGCAATCAAAACCACGTCTCCCAGTGGAAGGGTGTCTGCATGGAGTCCCATTCCCTTATTAATCATAGCATAGATGAACCCGACAACGATCAGGTTCCATAGCTTTATATTTCGATCAGAAACTATGCAATTAGAATTCAATGGAGTGAGAAAATCGAACTAACCATAGAAAAAATGACCATATAGTCGTCCCACCACAGCTTTTGCATCCGCTCATAACGGGCGAGTAGTCGAAGACAAACCGTCACGAAGGCCAGCACCGTGACTGAGGCCGTGGTAGCTATAGACCATGGCTGCAGGCTGTCCTTGTTGCGTTCCATGAGTTCCGGTTTAGGGAGGTAGACATACGGAGTAGAACAAGGTTAGATGTTCAATAAAATCCCAAATCTGGGGTGCGCGGCTAGTGACTGCATAAAAGACATGTAAAAAGGCACCCTTCTATGTAATCGATCATTGGCTAATAGAGGCAACGTCTTTTATTCTCCACTTTATTCATGACTCTGATTCATGAATTCGTAAACGATTCGAGAAATCCACTTTTGTGCCTTTTGACAAGCTTGGCGTCTCGAGTCTGAACTTAACAACCCACACGGGGGAATTTGCTCCGGTGTGCACTAAATATCACTGATATGTACTCTATATGTATTACTCTTTATTTACTACATATGTATGTAATATCACATATCTACTCCGTATGGATGGTTTGTATCGCTAATATGCAAAGTCGAAGGAACCACTAGTAAATGGCGTGCAGATCCTACCCACGTGGATGCAGGGGGTTTGTGAACTGATTTTAAATAGGTTTGCCAAGTACGGAGTAGAAAAATACGGACAGAAAATTTCCACTCCACAAGAAAAGAGACTTAATTAAAAAAGGAAGGTACATAATAATGGCGACTTTGTTGAGTCTTAGAACCACAACATATGTTGTACTTTGTATTGACAGGCTCCTTTATAGTGGCTAAGCCTTTCAGTATATAGGAAATTATCAACATATCCTTTGATTCTATACGTTGTACTTAGTTACCATCTCCAGAAGGGCCTCATTCACCTCCTTTGGGTTAGTGGCGTTCAGGTAATGGGCACCCCCTTCAATCATTACAAGTTTAGCCTCCACAGACGAGCTGAACCGTTGAATATGCTCCGCAGGGACGATCGTCCCAAAAGGAGTGTCTTCAGTTCCCTGCTCGAGTTGTTAATGCACAAATCATCTACACTAGTAAACATAGGACTCACCTGTAGCCAATAAACAGGACATTTAATATCCCCGATCCGAAGCAGGAGCCCATCCCTCTCCAATAGGCAGTTGAGTGCCATTCGGACCTTTTTCCGGCCCTCATCACCCTTATACACTTCCTTCAGGGTCTGAGTCCAGAATGCAGATCTCTCTTCGGTGGCAGCGGCACCAAAGCCAATCCCCCCACTAATCCACACCAGACATCATCCACAACAAAGTCGGGCGTAGCCGAGGGGGTGGACCACTTCTCATAAAACACCGTGAGATTGGCGGCAGGATCCCAACAGCCCTTGGACCGAGAATCCAAAGATTCATAATCCATGGAGGTTCCGAGGGGCATGAGACCGAGAATCTAGCAATATACGAGGTTAATACTATTGTTTGGGTTTGGCTTAGGCTTAATAGTTCATTGACTGGGACCTACTCTGTCTGGGGCTAGGAGGGCCATCCTAGTCACAATCCATCCTCCCTGACTTGTACCCAGGGCGAAGGCTTTCTGAATCCCGAAGTGGTCCATGACCTGTAGGGCCATGTGGGCAGAATCCCAGTACGTAAAGTGTTCCGAGGGGGAACTGGTCGAGCCATGGCCTAACGGCTCAATAGCCAAAAGATTCATGGCATTTGTCAGAGCTTCGTTGTTGAATTGATCATGATAGAGAGACGCGGTCATGCACATCGAATTAATGAGCACACATGTAGGCTTGGAGGGATCATAATGGTCCTTAGAGAAGGCGTATCCAGCCTTGATGCCACCCAGGTGTGGAACTTTGATAGTTTGAAGGGCAGCCATTCCGTAATAATCGGTGATATTCAAGATGTGTGATTTATCTACAATATACTTTGGGGAAAAGAAGTCAATATGCCCCCCTCCTACAGGAGTTAGCCGAGGAAGCCCCTCCATATTTTCCTGTCTGTAAAATGCGTACGGAGTACTCTGTATGGAGTATGTAAGCCCCGAAGGTTAGTGTAACGCCTCTTGTATTTCATCCTAAATAAGAGATTGATCTCCAATTGACCATCTTGTGGAGTCAGCTCGACAGACTGATCGTCAGGATTGGCTTCACTTCTGCACAATTAACAACTCCAAACCTATGGGCTTCCATACTAAAGCTATCGGGTGGTGGGGCCGGACGTTTGAGACATTATTGATACACCCACCTTCCATAAAATCATGCGACATTCGCGTATTGAAATATTTATGACGATATCGCCACATTTTAGGGGTTTAGGGAGATAAGATGAAGTTGGGAATGTGCAACTAGCGACAAGCGCTCCGGAAATAAGTTTGACCGATAAGCCCAGCGCTAGTCGCTAATATATAGATCTCGCCTCCTGACTTCAACATCAGTGTCTTACACGTAGACAGTAGTTTATCTGGTAGAAGGTGCGTTTCCCCTTCCTTGTTGAGTGTGAGCAATGGACAAAATGTTTCTTCCCCCGTAGTCTAAGCTTGGCAACCCTGGATAGTCGCACGTGACTAGATAGCGTGGCCCGTCATATTACTAAGCAGGGATTTTCGATATCAAACAAGACAAACACATTCATCATTGCATTCTAGCTTGACGGAAGCTCAAAGCTTTTTGTTCATCGTTGCCAGCCATAATGGGAACAGCAAAGGCTCGCGCTCCTCCAAGGACGCCTGCAACTCCCACACAGCCCGTGGAGACGTCGCGATACCTACCCGACAAGACCTTCATCATTGATAATGGCGCCTACATGATTAAAGCCGGCTACGCTTCTCATGCTCCAGCCTCCGATGAAGCTGTTTCTGTTTGCTCATCAATACCTAATGCTCTCGTCAAAACACGCGATAATAAGATTGTCATTGGCGCGCAGCTAGCGACGGTCAACGACTGGAATGAGGCGATGTTCCGGCGCCCGGTGGAGAAGGGATATGTTGTGAACTGGGAAGCCGAGAGAGAGATCTGGGATCAGTCTTTCTTTGATGGGAAGGTGACGGCTCAGAATCGAAATCATCACATTGCGGACCCGGAAGACACTACCCTTGTGCTTACTGAGGCGCCGAATGCCTTGCCCATTTTACAACGGCACACTGATGAGATGGTCATGGAGGAATGGGGATTTGGAGGATATGCGAGATGTTTGGGTACGGTAGTCCGATTATTTGGTGCCGCATATGATTCTGTACTGACCGCAAGTCTATAGGTCCAACCCTCAACGCATGGAACGAAATCCATTCTCTCTTCGGCGATCCTCTCTCCAGTACATCCGACGCATCTATCTTGCCCGCAGATTGCTTAATGGTCGTGGATTCTGGCTACTCGCACACTACAGTGACTCCGGTCTACAAAGGCCAAGCTCTTCAACGTGGAATCCGAAGACTCGATCTTGGAGGCAAGCACCTTACAAACTACCTGAAGGAGATTGTGTCAATGAGACAATACAATATGGTGGATGAATCATATATTATGAACGAAGTCAAAGAGGCGGTCTGCTATGTTAGCAATAACTTTGCTGGTGATTTGGAACAAACATGGAAAGGTAACCGAAAACGCCAGAGTGGTCCCGAAGAGGGAATCGTGTTGGACTATGTGCTTCCAGACCCCAATGCAAACAAGAAGGGCTTCATTCGACCTCACGATCCTCTTCTGCATGCCAAAAAGAAGAAAGGAGCGGCTTCTAGGCTCAGCGCGGATGTGTTGTCGGAGGATGTGCTGGTGCTAGGCAATGAGCGCTTTACAGTCCCGGAGCTTCTATTCACTCCCGGAGACATTGGTATGAAGTCAGCCGGTATACACGATATGATTCTTCAAAGTTTGTCTGTTTTGCCCACTGGTCTGCATTCTGCCTTCTTGGCGAACGTTCTCGTTGTCGGCGGAAATTCTTTGATTCCGGGATTTATGGAAAGACTGTAAGCGTTTGGAAGTTCAATGGCTACAACCTTTTACTCATGAATTATCTTTTTACAGGGAAACGGAATTGCGACAGATTGCCTCTTCTGAATGTGTCGTGAGAGTACGCCGGGTTAAGGAGTGAGTGACGATGCATCCGGTTATCTGGACTTTAAAAGTACTGACATTTGCAATAGCCCTGTTCACTCAACATGGCTAGGAGGTACCCGCCTTGCTGCAAACAGAGAGGAACTTAGCAAGATATCTATCACTCGCCAAGAATATCAAGAATATGGATCAGGATGGGCTGTTCGACGATTTGCTGGCCTTATATAAGGTTCCAGTCGCTTGAAAAGTCTTTGTGGGGTTAAGTATGGGAGTTTTAACGGCCGAAATCGACAGCATTTATAGCATTTAGTGATACCCTGGTCAATCTGTGTACAGAATCTTTTGGAACGAATATAAAAGTTTAGTTCAAGGCTAGAACACCGTCATGCTCAACATTACGACGTGATTATTCGCTCTAATTTTGGAATAAGCTGTCTTCTTGCTTGTTCAGGAAATCCCCAGATCCATGGATCCACGCTTGGTCCTTGTTCACCTCTATGTTGGGGCTATTGGCCTGAACAATCCAAAAACATCTCCATTGTTTTGCGGTTTAACAAAATAAGAGACTCACAAAAGAAGTCAGCCTCTGCTATCTTCTTGATATACTGACTATAAAACAGTAACCCCTATCTAGTTAGGATGTAGTCGTCACTCCATAATGAACCATGGGCTCTTCAGGAACAAGAACGGAAATAGTGTCTGTCTATCCATGGCTAAATGTTAGATTCCTATGTGTATAAATGGCTTGAAAGATGAGGTGTACCCTGAACTTCTACATAAAAGGATATCTTTAGGCCTGGAATCTTATATCTTGCCATGCACCCTGTCCCTACTTGAAGGGCCCAGCACCAATCCCTCAAAGTCGACACTGAATCCACGGCAAAATGCCCAGGAGGCGCTCGTCCATCCAAAAACTTCTAGACTACTTGGAGCGAGTTTTCAAGAAAATCAACGGGGATGTAGGCCTGTTAGTAAAGCCCAAAGCCAATCGACAGCCCATTACAGGCAATATATTAACTATCCACAGATGCACAGGGTGCTTCGAAAAGACCTCAACTAGCAAACTATTAACTACTCCCTGTGAACACCAATACTGCCCCTCATGCCTCCGTCGACTGTCCTCAACAGCCTTGGACAACCCAGAGATGTTTCCGGCAAAATGTTGCTGCCAAGAGATCCCTACCAACGCACTCCTGGCGGTGATGAGCTCTCGAAACAAACAGCGCTATATCGTTCGATGGGAGGAGAACAATGTTCCCCCCTTGGAGCGCCTGTACTGCCCCCGAGCGACGTGTGGTCAGTGGATCCCTCCAAAGAGCTCCGGGACACGATTAGCGTATCGTGTTTGCCCTCATTGCCGGGCAAAGGTCTGTTCCAAGTGTGCGGATTTTTTCCATCTCGGCTGGCCATGTAGCCATGACTCTGAGATGCAGGCGACGTTGCAACTCGCAAAGGACAATAATTGGCAGAGATGCTCCAATTGCCTGTATTTGGTTGAGAAAGTGGACGGATGTAACAACATGGTTTGTAGGTGTGGGCATCAATTTTGGTAGGTTCATGCATACACAGACTAGGCAAAATGGTTAACGCTAATCGAAAAATAAGTTACCTTTGTGGTCAACGTGGCCGATGCGGATGTCCTCCACGTGGCATTGAAGATGAAGACCTGGATACAGATGGGGATATTGATGTTGATACACTGGTCGCTGCAATGGAGAGTGGAATTGGGGGGTGAAGCTTGTTGGTTGAATGATGAGGCTTAGAGAATGGACGAGGGTGGGTAATCAATGTTTATTTTCAGCAAATCGCGATCTAGATTAATATGATGCAGGAAGGGTATCTTGATCGAAATGCTTTTCCTCATCCCGGACACACAAAGCAGCTAGTAGTCGTAGAAACCCTTGCCGCTCTTCTTGCCAAGCCAGCCAGCGTCCACCATGCGACGCAGGAGACCAGCAGGTCTGTACTTGCTGTCACCAGTCTCCTGGTGCAAAACGTTCATGATCGCAAGGCATGTGTCGAGGCCAATGAAATCAGCCAAAACAAGGGGGCCCATGGGCACGTTTGTGCCAGTCTTCATAATGTTGTCAATATCCTCACGGCCACCAACGCCAGTCTCCAGACAAATCACAGCCTCGTTAATATAAGGCATCAAGATACGGTTGGCGATGAAGCCTGGTGTATCGGCTGACACAGAGGCCACCTTACCCATCCGCTGGACAAAGGCAATAGCGGTATCCATTGTCTCCTGGGATGTTTGGAGTCCCCGAATAATCTCCACACCCTTCTGAATGGGGACAGGGTTCATGAAGTGGGTTGAGATGACCCGGGAGGAAGCCTGAAGGTCGGTGGGGTCCGTGCTGGTGGCAGCGGCAATCTTGGTGATGGAGATGGAGGAGGTATTTGTTGCCAGGATGGCATGCTTTGGGGCAATCTGAGCCAAGCTAGCGAAGATCTTTGCCTTCAGTTCCGGGATCTCAGGCACAGCCTCAATAACGAAGTCGACCGCGGAGAGACCGTCCAGCGTCAAACTTGTAGAAATAAGCCCACGAGCTTCATCAGCCGCCTCTCGAGTGAGGCGCTGCTTTGCTACATCTTTTTCTAGAAGTTTATCTATTATCCAATGCCATGTCAGATAATTCCAGGTGGCTGCAGTAAACTATGTAAACTGGAGCTCGGCGTACCGGCAAACTTGAGGCCCTTATCTAAAGAGGCCTGCGAGGTATCGACGAGAGTGATCGGGACCTTTGCCTTCTGAGCAGCAACAAGGGCAATTCCCAAGCCCTGAAAAAGTGTTAGATTTGCAGCGTGGTGGTATATTCCGTGTTACACACCATTTGGCCCGCACCGATAACGCCTAGCGACTTGACCTCGGCTGCGCGAACTGCGGAGGTTGAGCAGAAGTTTCGGGCTACCGTAGGGCCTCTGCGAAGGGAAACATAGCGAAGAGTAGAGGTAATCATGGCCGCAGTAGTTTCTGGAGCTATGGGAGAAAATGAACAAAAGGAGTGAAGAATGTAAATGCGAGGAAGCAAATAATCGGTATCTACTCCGTACTATGACTTCACGTGCTTTTCGGACGTCATTGTATGGTTCTCGACAGTGGCCATCGAGACATGTCTCTTACCGCCTTGTATATCGGCGAGCCATGTGCTCGTTTGCAACTATTTTCTATCGAATCAGTTTGAGATCACGCGTGATATAATATAGACCCTGAGAAATAGAGTAGAGTGGAGGGAAGTAAAGTTTAAGCAAAATTATGGGACGCTTGCTATCTATACAATTCAGAAGAAGAGAGTTATAGATCTGACATTTTGCCAGATACTGCACCAGTGGCCGTTAATATCGAACGTAAGAGCACCGGTTATCTTCGGCACTTTGGCGGCCCCCAGTTTATCCGAATCGCCGAAGCCGAACACGCGTCGACGCGTTCCCCATTCAACTCGATTCGGGAAGCAAATTAATGGGGCATCAAACCAGCCCACCATGGATGAAGAGGTTGTTCCTCTAGGCCACGACGTGCAAGTCGTGGACCCAGACGTGCGCAACTATGTTTACGGCCTGGTTACTGCTGTAAGTTTACTTACACTTTTTTTCCTTTGCCTGCTTCTGGGTCAATTCACTGATACGCTTGGTTATCTAGCTCGGAGGGTTCAATGGCGAAAATGCCGACCAATACGTGCTTGGAGACGATGCCCTGGCATGTTTACGCGACATTAAACGCTGGTTGAAATTGTACGATGAAAAGAATAATCGGATGGACGTTGCGCGGTGCCTTGGAGAGGCCAACGTGATCAATGGTGATCTCCTTCCTATCCTCTCACTCTGGTGGGCTAGTGGACAAAACAATAAGCATATGACCAGGATCGCACTGGCGTGCTTGGAACTTCTTGTTCCCCTAACATGGCCCGTGGAGTTTCACAGCCAGATGACAGTCAACCACCATCGCCATACCCCCTACATCCAACAGACACAGGTGCAATACAAGCGAGGTATTCTAAGATCTGGGGGATTGAATCTCCTTCGCGCAGTCATTCGAATTGCCCTTCCAAGCATGGCGATTCCTCGATCCGAACGTGGAGCCCGAGACGAAGGAATTCTTAAGTTGATGTTGTACTTACTGCGAAATATTGCGATCATATCCCCCAATACCCGACTTGCAGCAGAAGGTGACGAGGAAGAAACATCCAGATCAGCGACAATCAACGCCTTCCATGAGCAAGATGCATTTGCACTTCTCCTGACTATGTGTTCCAATGTCGGCGAGGACTTTAGCCTTCAAGATATTCCTCTGATGGAGACACTTTTCCATATTGTAAAGGGTGTCAATGTCGAGAAGTTATTCATGGACGATGAACAGAGAACGGCCAAGCGAACCGACGAACTTAGCGATCTACTGAAAAAGGAATCATTGGTACGGAGGGAGTACGCAAAAAATGCGCCTACACGTCATGGAAGATTCGGCACAATGATCTGGGTTAAGCGAGACGATGCGAAGGTCTCTACTGTCTCTGGACAAGGTGTATTGCGAGATGACCAAACTACACTACAAAAGATGGATGAGAGCAAAAAGTGGAATAAACCTCGGCCTCGTCGCAAACAAGATGATGTGGTCCAAAACAATAACTTCAACATGCCGGCCCATCTTAATTCTGAGGCAACCAAGAACCTCAGGACTTTCGTGGAGGAATTTCTGGATTCCGGGTTCAATCCTCTATTCACCCATGTGCGAAAGGCAATTGAGCGTGAAGCCGAGCGCGTGGTAGAAATCAACCATCGCCAATTCTTCTACACAGTCGGTTGGTTCCTGGAAGCAGAGCGCGTACGACGAACTCGACAGCTCCGTCATCGCTCAGCTCAGAATGGAGGAAGAACAAAAGATATTGAACCCGACAGCTATGGTCTGGTTGCTGGCGTCCTAAACCAAGAGACATTCATTACTCTGAATCGGGCTATGCAGAGTAGCCTGGACCACAAGGAATGGGAAGATCTCAACGCCCAGATGCGCTGCTTCACTCAGATTCTGTTGACTGTCCAGGAAATGGCAGTGTCACCACTCGAAGAAGATCAGGAAATTGCGGAAAATATTCAAAACCGAATTTTCTACGAAGAAACAACTCATGACCGGATCCTTGCTATTGTGCGCGGATACAAGGACCAAGGGTTTGGCTATCTGGATGCATGCACGGAGTTGGCACATGTGTTCCTACGTATGCTGGAACGGTATTCCAAGAACAATGCCGACATGCAAATCCGTTCCCGGCGAAAGGCCAAGAAAAATCAAAAGAAGGCCGCTCAAGCTGCCGATCAAGAGGGAGGAGATGACGACGAGGAACGTGACTCTGAAGACGAAGACATGGAAGAAGCCGCCCAAGTCACCAAGGAACGCAGCTTCGACTTTAAGCGATTCTCGGCCAAGTTCTGCAACCAAAGTTGCGTGGATACTTTTGTTACGTTCACAAGATTCTACCGAGAGCTTAACTCTGAGCAGCTCAAACGCGCCCACCGCTATTTCTACCGGATTGCATTCAAGCAGGAGATGACTGTCTTGCTATTTCGTGTGGATATTATCAGCCTTTTCCATCGAATGATCAAAGGACCAGGGCCCATGGACTCGAGCAAGCCTATATTTAAGGAATGGGAAGAATTAGTCCGGCAAATAATTCGACGAATGGTCAAGAAGATTGAGCAGCGCCCCGCCTTGATCACTGAACTGCTTTTCAGCAAGATCAATTCCACTATCTACTACCTTGAGTACGGACATGAAAAGCAAACAATGTTCAGCTACAAGCGTGCCCCACCAGAGCTTGTTATCACATCACCGGAGGCGACGACAAAGGAAGCGAAACTCCACATTGTGGTTGGTGCTCTTGTTCTCGATGGTAGAGCAGATCTGGTAAAATGGATCAAGGATATCTTGAGCTCCGCAGCTTCCGAAAGAGAGGACTGGGAGACCCAAGAAGAAGTCCGTCGCGCCGAGAACCCCGAGACTAGCAGTGTTCCCAATCCGATGATTAGTATGTTCCCCCAACACCCTGATTGTAAATTAATACTAACAACAAAACAGCCGTCAAAGGCAAGGACGAGTCCGTTCAGAATGCCATGTTCACGAACGCGAGACTACGTCTGCTCATGACCATCGTCGGATTCGAGCGACTCGGTGTTGAAGACCTGCTTGGTACATCTTGGGTCGTCCCGGCCTCTCTCACGTCCGATGACTTGCGTGAAACAGTTTCTGAAATCCTGAAGGCCCTTCAAACCCCGTTCTCTGGAGATGACAATGATGATCCTCGCAAGCACATCCAACCAAAGAACAAAGGAATCGGTCGTAGCAACATGGTTCAAGGCACGCTTGATGTTAACTTCGGATCAGAGTCCGAAGGCGAGGACATTCCAGATGGTCCCTTATTCCCGGCGAATCTGCGGTCAAAGTCTAGTGCGCTGGATGACCTCAAGAAGAAGCGTAAGAAGCAGAAGAAGAACACCACTGAGAGGGAGCCGCTGGACGATGAAACTTTAGAAGCGCGGCGCGACGCGCGTCTATCAAACGCACTTTCTCGCCAAGCGAAGATCAAGAGTGATCTGTTCATTCATGCCAGCGACGACGAAACCGACGAAGAAGCCGACAAGGAATTCTTCCGGCTCGAAGAAGAGCGGCGAATTAAACAGGCAAAAGATGTCAAGAAGGCCTTGCTTACTGGAGCTGTTGAACCCTCAAGCAAGGGCAAAGGGAAGAAGTCTGCCGCCCGCAAGAGAACTAGCGATACTGGTACATCCGCGGCCACAAAATCGAAGCGACAGCGTCGTGATTCCGGCTCTGCTGCTAGCGGTGCTGAGAGTGATGCTGATGGCGATATTCTCATGGCGGAACTCGACGCTCAATCCTCTCACTCCCAACAGGAGATCTCTACTAGCCACGGTGCTGGAGAAGACGAAGACACCCCTCTCACATCAGGCGAGGATGATCTTGCTTTTGATGATGATTTCGCATTCCTTCGAGATGACCCGAGCAAGCTTCAAGCTATGGAGCTCGAGGCTGTAGATGATGACGAGGAAGATGTGCCTGTGGCTCCAACCCGGAGACGTATGCGCGGTGGATTTGTGATTGAGAGTGACTCTGAATAGTGGTTTCACTTCAAATTTCGGTTATAATGATCTGATGAGGCGTTTGGCATTGAGGTGGAACAGGAAATTAACTGTAAAGAGATACCTAAGCTCAATGAGAACAATTTTACGACTTATTATTTCCTATCTGCCCAGTCATCGAAAAAGCCAAGGTCCGTGCTTGCTGAAGCATACAGAATACGAGGTTCCCCCACACTTGATAATCATCTGCTCTGATTCTTCTTTAAAGCAATTTCGGTTCCTATTAACTTTCAAAATGGCAGATAGCAAGACTCTCACAGCAGCATGCCACTGCAAAAGCATTCACTTCGCCATAACAATTCCCACAGATGCCCTCCCCCTCAAAGTCCACATATGTCACTGCAGCGTCTGCCGTTACACTCATGGCACACCATGTATCTTCCATGCTCCGCTACCAGCAGGCATAGCGCCGCAGTTCATTATTCCGTCCAGCATAGACAAACTGACACTCTACAACCACGCCGAGTCCCAGGGAACGCGACATTTCTGCAGTACTTGCGGCTGCCATATTGGGGATAGATCACACGACGACAGGAGCTGGGTGTTATCTACGGCTATCTTCACTGAGCCAAACCAAGGTCTATGGAAGATGCGTTCGCATAGTTTCACAAATTCCTCGCTTGATGGAGGGCTTTCGGCGATGTTGTCCCATATTGATGGTCACCAGCTTGAAGTCTTTAACTCGGAGACATCACTACATGCTAGCAAACCTGGAGACAGTACCAGAATAGATACAGTCAAAACCGAGGAGAGGTTGCACGCTGAATGTCACTGCGGCGGCGTTTCGTTCTCTATCGCCCGTCCCAGAAAAGAATTCCTTGCTAGTCCTGCGAGCGAGGGATGGGTTTTGCCAAGAGATACGAGCAAGTGGCTTGCACTTCTTGATATCTGTGACGACTGTCGCCTGGTCGATGGGTCGAATGTTGTAGCTTGGATATTCGTTCCAGTTGATCACATATCCCCTTCTCCACCGGGAGATTTGATTATTGGGTCGATGAAAAGTTATAAGTCTAGTGAAGAGGTACTACGGACATTCTGTGGCACGTGTGGCGCGACGGTGTTTTATAGCTGTACCGACCGGCCGGGGATAGTTGATGTGGCGGTTGGCATTTTGCGTGCACCGGAGGGGGTGATGGTTGAGAATTGGGCATTGTGGAGGAGGAGGATTAGTTCTGGGGGTGATGGATTGAAGTATGATCCTGATTTTAGTAGAGCGTTGATTGAGGGATTGGAGGTATGGGGGAGCGAGAGGGGTATGCCGGAGGATTTTCTTCTCCCACGAGTGTAGTAGGTCAAAATGACTTTTATACTTGTTTCTAGACCGTCCCAAGTGTAGAAGTTTGACAGAAACCAGAGTGCATGGTAAGATCAATGAATATGCACAACTTTCCATGAAAATGATTAAAACTTGCTATTTCAACAATCTGACATCGATGATTCATTGTAACATTTGAATATATCACGGGTACCAACTCGTGGACTTTTGTATGGTAACCGTGGGAAGCCAATTACCCTGCCCAGGCGGGTTTCACCGGATAGCAAATCATACGGATCAGGTGCTTTTTGTATGGAAACTCCATACAAAAGGTACATAAACATAACGTTTAGATATAACATCCATTTTTTTTTTTCAACTTCCAAACTAGCTTAGGGAATTCTAACATAGATCTTGTGTAATCGATTTGCTACTAAGAAGTCCCAATTTGGGATATAGAAGTGTAGCATTTTGAAACACACCATATACAAATACAGTATGTAAAAACAAACCCATTATTTTACTTTAGGAACACTGGATAATTCTCAGTAAGGCTGATACTAAGTATTTGAAACTTCATTTATACCATATATATCTTCTTTTATCCTTCCTACCTAGTCTGAGAGTTAAGAAAATTGACGTTGTAACCATGTTGTATTTATGTACCTTTTGTATGGAGTTGCCATACAAAAGATACCCAATCTGTATGATTTGCCATCTGGTGAAGCCCACCTGGGCACCAACACCGGTGTGTTGGTGGGCTTGCTACGGATATGCCGAGTATTATATCACATGATGTTTTCGGGTATTATATCTGGGTTCAATCCAGTATTTTAACTTAGTCTTCGATAGTATCTGTGACATTACCAATATCCATCCCGATATGACTCACATCAACTTTGTCACTCTCGATGTCTTTACATCAACACCCTACTCTGGCAACCCGCTAGCAGTAGTCTTCCTCCCAGAAGACGACTCAGCCGCTCTGACACAGAGCCAGAAGCAAACTGTCGCACAGGAATTCAATCTTGCCGAGACTATCTTCGTGCATCCAGTACGCGAGAAAAGCAAGCGCACCATCGACATCTTTACCACAGACTGCGAAATCCCCTTCGCAGGCCATCCCACCATTGGCGCAGCCTCCTGGTTCCTGAACCACTCAACCAACCCCGCGGATGGAAATGGCATCACCACCCTCGTGACTAAGTCCGGTGATATCCCCATCTCCATCCAGAATCACGAGACCAACCAAATCGCTGCACATATTGCGCATAATACGCATATTCATGATGCGCGGCTCACCTTAAAGGAGTTGGCGAGGCTGCACCCGACGCTGGCGCCGTTCTTTACACAGCCAGATGTTACTTTCCCGTGCTTTTCGATTGTCAACGGGATGAGTCAGGTGTTTGTTGAGCTTCCTTCACTTGAGGCGTTGGCTGCTGTTACGTCTGCGACCGGCGGGGAGCTGGTTTCTGATAATTATCTTGATGAAGGGTGGAGGACTGGATTAACCTGTGTGTATTTCATTGTCCGAGATGTGGAGGATAGTGTCATGAAGAAAAAGGTTATTCGGTCCAGGATGATACTGGGAACTGTGGAGGATCCAGCTACTGGCAGTGCGGCTAGTGGGTTGGCGGCGTACTTGGCGCTCACAGAGGGCAAGGCAGGTGAGAATTATCAGTACCATGTTGTGCAGGGCGTTGAAATGGGACGCCGGAGTGAGATTGGTGTTGGGGTTACTTTGGACGGTGACAAGAAAATCGCACAGGTTGTGCTGACAGGCACTGCTGTCAGCGTATCTGAGGGCAAGATTCTGGTTCCTCATGCCTGAATAAAAAACTAACCGCGGGCCTAGCTTGGATGAGTCATAATGCAATACCAAGTATCATGCAAGTCTCGAGTGTGCTGCGCCACAGCCTGTAATAAGTTCTTTTTCGAGAGGCTGCAATCTGCCTGTGACTGTGACGTGTTCTGGCGAGTCATATTGGGCTGCAGACTACGGGGGAGATTTGACCGACTTTATGATTTTACATATGTAGCCAACTCCGAGCTGTTCAGTTATCTGTATTGTATTCTTAAACTATTGTATACTTAAACTGGCCCATAAATGGCGAGACCATCTTCAGAGCTTGACCTGGAACCCAAACTCCATCGATACACACGACATCGAGAATTATATGCCACACCGAAATGCGTTCAACGAGCAAGATCAAACGCAAAACATGTACAGGAAACATATCCAATAGATTCTGGGGAACACGAAGCGTCCCCATTTTGCAAAAAGTATGTATTCTTACCACCTATCAGAACTTTTACTTCTAACATTGAAACCCCAGATTCTTCTCTCTTCCACAGGAGATAAGGGATAATATTTACCGCAAACTCCTTGTCCAGCCATGCAAATTTGATCTATACCACTCGGAACCGTGCAAAATGTCTATTCTCTATGCAAGGCCAGGCCCAAATCCACATACTTGGAACAGAGAAGGCCCGCAATGTGCAAACTGCCATTACTATGTCTGGAAACAGCCACAAGTCCCAATATTCCAATCACCTGCACGAAGCCAGTGGGCAAAACCGCATAGCAATCCCTATATCTGTGACAATTGCTACTGGGACCTGAACGGAAGCGTAGATGGGATTCCATGCATGAGGTCTCTACCATGTCTATGCGCAAGGCGTGACAACCTAGCTATTCTGCTTGTTAGCAAGCGGGTTTGGAATGATGCTGCGCCGATATTCTGGATGGAGAACTGGTTCGCCTTCGAGCACCCTTGTCTCCTGACGGGATTCTTGACCGCTATTCGTCCACAAGTCAGATCGTGGCTGAGACGGATATCGTTTATGCCTATTCATGCTTACAACAATAACGAACACTCTAGTATCTTTCCGCAGTGGCGAGACCCAATTTGGAATGGATGGAATGATATCAGGAGCTGTTGGAGCTTACTGAGACTGTGCGAAGGACTGACGGAGCTGGAGCTCGATGTGCTGTCTCTGACGCGCAAGGAATGGGCTCATGCTATTCGACTAATCCGTGTTAAGAAACGGGTTGTCTTTTTCCGTCAGTTGGATCCATATAACATTGAATATGAGCCTGGAGATCCTATCAACACTGTATGGGGGTCGCATGCTCGGAGGAAACGATTCGACTCGCCCACAACTGCTTTGCTTGCTTCTAGCATGACTGGCGACAGGGCCATTAAAAGAAAAGCTCTGATAACTCATTACTCTGAGAATACATTACATCAAAGATGCGGTGATTATGGGGTCCAATTCATTGAGAAGATGATCGAGGGCCGAAAATGGAATTCATGATAGCATGTCAAGCAGGGTGATTCCCGCCACTGATCAACATCAAAGTTTCTCCTCCTCAACCAGTTGCCTCAACACTTTAATTGTCCCCTCAACCGCCATCTGGCTCATCTTGTTCTCCTTGTCGAACAGCACCGCCAGCTCCTCCTTCGAAATACCATGGTGTCTCCATTCGAAGATATATGTCATGTAGAGCTCCCTGCCAGCTCCTTGACTGATCACATTGCTGATTTTGCTCCCACCCAGCTGCTCGAAGTCTACCCGGGTTGGCTCGAAAGCTGTAACGGTCTCTTGTACTGTTTTCTGGGTTTCGCGGAAGAGGACGTCGCGAACGGTGACGGGGTACCCGGTCAATGGGTCGACAGAGTCACTGATGACCTTGGTGGACTGGATTGCTCCTGGAACAAATGTCTCCGCGGAGCGAATCTTGAGGAGGAGGCCTTTCCAGACTTGTTCAAGGGTGAGTACAGGTGTTGTGCCTGGTGGATTGATAGGGGCGGTGAAGGCGATGTTGTTGGTTGAGGACATTTTGCTGTGGAAGGAAATGGGTTGTAAATTATTTAGATCAATGTTGTGTTTTGATCAGGGGGTTTATCCGGACTTCAGGCTCCTTTTATATCCAATCCAGGGTTGAAAGGCAATGACGAAACTCCGTACGCCGATAAGGTTAATAAGCTCGGCGTTACGGCCCGCGAATGAGCCGGATTTCTAACCTTGGAATATTTCTGAAGATCTCGCATCTGACTAATTGGAACAGACGGCCCCGGGGCCCGTGGGGTCTTTGTATTCTGTAGGGCGCAGACTAGAAATGACAAAGCGAAAATTCTCTGATGTTCGGACTGAAGAAAGATCCAGAAATTTATAGACACTGACAATGCGTGACACGGGGAAAATCAGAGGGTTCTAGATAATGGTTGTCTCCAATCCTCAGAGAAGTGCCCGCGCATAGTGGTTTCCTTGCACGACACATTAAGAGCAAAGTTGACATTTCCATCATCGTGCCGAAGCCACGCCATTTTGTCTCATATAATTAAACACCCAATCAATCACCTCGCAGTTATGACGGATGTGGAAGCTGTTGGTAAATTGGCAGGGCGGACACCAGGGCAGTAGATTCTCGTTCTTAGGAAGGTCTCTGTAGTATTCATAGAATTCAAGGTGCTTGTCGACAGCTAAAATTGCCCAGAATCGGCCATGTTCGGTGTTGGAATCCTCAAGTGCCTCTGTCAGCTGCTCCAATGACTCTTCTGAGGTATCCGTGGGGCGCTTTGCTTTAACCAACGCGAAGTCGAAGATGCCCTGATCCCCTGAAAAGTGGCGCTGGAGGCGAGAGATGAGAAAATGAAAATGTTTGTTGTTTCGGTTTGGTTTAGGACCAACGACATAGCCCATGTTAGCAGGGAAATAATAAGTGAGGATCCCAGATAGCATTGATTTCACGCTGTTTTCATAATTGGAGTTGTTTTCAACAAATTCGACAAAAATATCGATAATAGGAATATCAATGTAGTTGTGCGTAATTGTCTTTTGGTTTTCAACTGTCATTCTTGATCTTCGACTTCAGTCACAATCCCACTGAGATGCACATGAATTAATTATAATGGTTCTTGATGAAGTGATATCCTAACTGGCCAGGTGAGGTCGATATTTGATGGTCCGTGTCGCGCTTATCAAAGCGCCTAGCGATTGGCTATAGCCCTACGGAGTAGAGTTCCGCAAAGCCCATAAATGGGCCTGAACCCCGGGCCCAAAGCCCAACCAGCAGTGGGCTGTGGGCCTAACCTTCGAAGCCCAATCCAACCCACAGCCCATTCGTGGGGGCCCATGAGGCCCCCATTAAAGCCCATTAAGAGGGGCTCAACCAGTATCTTATAATCGCTATACAATATTGTATTCTAACCCTTCTGCTACTTGTATAGAGTTTAAATTTAGAATCGAGAATTTTTATAGCTATATAAGTATATATGTCAATTTTGAATAAAATCTGACGGGTAGAGGTCGAGATACTACGAAAATAGGATGATATTAATGTTTTGATACTCAATATATATTTTGGATTTGTAGGAGTACTACTAGTTAGTACTTTCTGATTGAACTTCTGTAATTTATAAATTATCTAAAGAACGCGCTTTCTCGCGTTTTTAAACGTGATATAGAGAGATAACTAGTAATTAATCCTAAACTATTTAAACCAATGTAACATTACATTTAGAATAAGGCCTAGGAACGGAGGTAAAACGAAGGGTAATTTTAAAATCCCTAAAAGGGGGTTCAACTTCTGAATTCTCGGTATATTTGTACTGTTTGGGGCCCATTTTGGGGGCCCATAACCCACCGGTGGGCCCGAAGGTAGGGCCCAAAGCCCAGCCCATTGGCGGGTTGGGCTGGGCTGGGCTATGGGCTTTATGGGCTTTGTGGATCTCTAGTCATGTTTATGAAACGCATTATTAGTCTATTTCTCAGACCCAAGAGCAAGAAATTTCTAAATCACAGCTAAATCAAAAACATTGAGTGTAGCATGTAGTCAGCTAAGGTGTTTAAGAAGAGTTCTACTCGAAATAGTGTGCACTTGAAACATAATTCGAAAATAAACCTGCCCAGTTGAAGCCCGTAGCAACCATGTAAGATCACCACATCAATCAAGGATACCTTGCGAGAAAGAGCCATTCTTCTGGGCACTGAGAAAGCATAAAACAAACCAGTTGCCGATAGTTCCGAATTTATTTGTGAACAAGGTGACTTCGCTAGATAATATAGTCGGAAAATGAAGCCCGAGAGCTAAGGTTGTTTTAGTGTGGAGCTCCCTGCAATTTATCCCATTTTAGTTCGCCTATCATCAACCATGAATTGACAATACATATAACAGCAACATATTGGAAACCTATATTCGATGATTAAGACTATTTCGGGACGAAAGAGGCGCGAACTAGCTTTGTAGTCGATGAAATTTCGGCTTGATAATGAGAATTTGCTTAAATGTCAGATAGACGGTATCAATTTCTGAGCACTGCTACTTGATAACTTCATAAGTTTTAGTAAACTAGAACTATAAAACACTTTTTTTTAACCCTAAATATACTTATCCTACCCATATCTACGTGAGGAATGACGATCATGATCTAACGTATTGTGTCTTGAGCCTCGAACGCGAGGGCTATGTCCCATTTCGTTTATATCTCTAATTCCCAAGAGGCTATTCCCCCGGTGAACGAATCTAGCCAGTAACGGAATTCGCTTTCCACATCAAGTCTGGAACGATACGTGATAATCGTCATGTATTGGCAGAGATAATGACATAGAAACTGGAAGTAAGGAACCGATCGATCTCCTTCAATTATCAGCCACGAGAAATCTACTGACTCCTCGCTGAAGATACCATAATCCTGTAATTTATTATGTAGCTCCATGATCTCAGAGCATCTGTGTATAGTTAGTCCATCAACATTGCAAACATTGTTTGACAAAAGAACTGTACGTAAGTTATGTCGCTTGCTTAGAGGTCATGATATATTTCGGTGACAATTGGATGTTCCCTTTTTGGAATCTATTTAATAAATGACTAGGTTGAATTAGAGCTATAAATTGTAATCCACCCCACGCTAACTGTATTGATTTCCTATCCTGACCAACGACATCTAGTTGCCACACCGAGGCCGTCTAGAAAATACCAATTTACCATTTGCACCATTTGACCAAGCGCTAGCTAATTTTCCTTTAACTCATTTTTTTTCCCTGGAGCATTTCAAAGTCAAGATCGTCATTCTCAAATCCCGCAGTGCAGGCACATTGTTTGAGAGCTGGTATCCAAGCTTGGGGAAACAGGAATCAAAGTCGACTATAACTGCAGCGTAGCTCACTGGGACCATAAACATAACTTTACCTCGGTATACATGATTATGGACAATATTTAGGTATGGAGATGGTCGATGCTCTTGACCTGCTGGAAAACTTCGTTGTCGAGCGCCTCTGCGTATGTTTGGAAGCAAAATCTAGTAATGCGATCAGCCTTTCCTACGCAAATATTATAGCGAGTGAGGTTTCCCTGAGCATTTTATACCATACTTGCTCTTTTTGGGGCAGACATAAGCCGAGTAACGCCGAGTCATGGTAGTGAGCTGGGGTGCTTGGACGTCCCAGAATATCAGCTGCCAATAATCCGACAGAAAAGCATTTGAAGGCAAAAAGGTTATACATGTAAAATTATTTTAGTCCATAGAATTGCCATTTCTGGTAATTTGTTCTTTGGTGACGTAGACAAGATTGCTATTTCAGCGGCAAAGCAGGACTCAGCTTCGATCTGCGGTATATCCTCAAATTAGATTCTGGCAAGGTCCTACCCTCTTAGCCAATCCAGTGGAAGTTATCAGCACTTAATTCGAAACGACCTCTTTACAGCGGAAACTGAAATCCGGGGATTAAAAAGAAATCCCTGAGCTCAAGCTATAAATCTCTCACCATAGACCCTTCGATAAAGCAACAGAGTCAAAGTTGAAGATACAAAGTTTACATCTGACTATCTATCTTATCACAATAATCTGAAAGAAAAGCAAGACGGCAAGCCCAGAAGAGAACCAAACCGTAAATATGGCCGTCGCAGTCCAGTCCTCCCCGGTCAGCCTCGAGATAATGTCTGACAACATCGATGCTGTGAATATCCACAAGACAGGCCTTCAGAATGCCAAGGATCTTTACGATGAATCCGAGTTCGACAAATCCAAGGACAAGTCCGGATTCCGCCAGTTTGACGATGCTTGTGACCAAGTCAAGAACTTCTATGCCCAGCAACACACACTCCAGACGGTAGCATACAACCTGAAAGCACGCAACGACTTCAAAAATAAGACTCGCGCACACATGACTGTCTGGGAGGCGATGGAAAAGCTGAACACCTTTATCGACGAGTGTGATCCTGATACCTCTGAGTCTCAGATGACCCATCTTTTGCAATCCGCCGAAGCAATCCGTCAAGACGGAAAGCCTCGCTGGATGCAGTTGGTTGGACTTATCCACGATCTTGGAAAACTCCTCTTCTTCTTCGGGGCCAAGGGTCAGTGGGATGTTGTTGGTGATACCTTCGCGGTTGGCTGTGCTTTCGACGATAAGATTATCTTCGGTAACAAGTCCTTCAAGAACAATGAGGACTATAACAACGAGATTTACAACACCAAGTTTGGAATCTATTCCCATGGCTGTGGACTGGATAACGTTATGCTCTGCTGGGGCCATGATGAGTACCTTTACCATATCGTTAAGGATCAGTCCACAATTCCTGAGGAGGGCCTGGCAATGATTCGATACCACTCGTTCTACCCGTGGCACCGCGAGGGTGCATACCATGAGTTGATGAACGAACATGACCACAAGATGCTGGAAGCTGTGAGGGCTTTCAACCCTTATGATCTGTACAGCAAGAGCGACGAAGTCCCTAATGCCGATAAACTGAAGGTAAGCTAGCTCCTTCGACATTTGCACTTCGTCGCGTCATATGCTAACATGGATGGTAATAAATAGCCTTACTATATGGAGCTCATTGATGAGTACTTCCCCACAAAGGTCATCAGATGGTAGTCGAATTATGTTGGCGGCCTGGTTTCGAAGTCCATCCAAGGGATTTGCGGCGGAATCCCATTTGATGAAGTCCAGTTTTATTAACAATACTACTATATCTATCGTTAAAAATGAGAACAGTCTTTCGTTTCTACTGGTTTAAAATGATTTACCAGTAGAGTTATTCAGAGCTCGTTTCACTGATGGTATTGGTATCATGACCAACTTCATTTGCAGAAATATCACTTCTTCACAAAATAAAGCTAGCTTCCAGAAATAAGTAACAGATAGACCAAGGAAGGTTTTGAGATCACAGCTGCAAAACCCGCAACTTCCAAATATTACGGGTAGCGCTGGCCCAGTGCCGCAACTGGCTAACCAGCAAGAAATCCGGCGCTCCAATGCGCTCCAAACGCTTTCATACTGGATGATCACCAGGGCTGAATTGGCGATAAATAATCGCGCACTACCTTCCCAGTATCCCCATCTCGCTTACCTTCCACAACTCGACGAATAGTCTCACCCCCAAGTTTAGGATCTTGCGCTCCTAGCTTTTTCAACAGCTCTGTGTTACCCCCCAGGGAGGTCGCCAGCAAGCCCGGAGCAACCGCCCAAACTTTCACACCATCGTTCCTCAAAAGCTTAGACCATTCCACCATCAGCATATTGAGGCCCGCTTTTGCTGATCGATATCCAAAGAATGGGAGAGCCTTAGGTAGCCCAGCTGGTGCAATGATATTTTTCGGATTCTCGGGATCCGAAGCCGCCTCTAGAGAGGAAAGGCCACTCGTAATGAACAACAACCTGGGGTCTTGAGACTTCACTAGTAGCGGAAGAAACTTGGTCGTCATGATATGTGCACCCGTGACATTCACATCCCAGGACTTGTTCCATGCCTGACGGGCTGTGATGCCATGGTCAATGCAGGCATCAAAGGAAGCGCCTGGGAGTAGTTAGTTGGATTTTGTTTTCAGGCAGCCTTGTGGGACGAACCAGCATTGTTAATCAGGCAATCGATTCGGTCGTATTTTGCTGCAATTTGGTTGAAGGCTGCTTCGATCGATTCGTCGCTCTCGATGTCAACCAAGAATGGCTCCACCGTACTCTGTATGGCTTCGGTTGTAACATCTCTGCATGCTTGCTGAGCTTTTTCAAGACTGCGACCGCCGAGCAGGATATGATAATGCTGATCAGATTGGTAGAGTGCCTTAACAGTCTCAAGCCCGATCCCTGTATTTGCGCCTGAAAGGAACTTAGCGAAGAGAACCACATCGGGTAACTTCTAATCACCTGTGATTACGATGATCTTGGAAGTCATTGTTATTATTATTTGACTGCTGAGTGTGGAAGGAAAAATGATATTGGAGCAACCTATATGTGACTGGGATGGATGCTTGCTGATGCTCTGCCAACTTCACTCCGAAAAGTATCTCCGAGTGAGATGACGATGGCCAACTAACCATATCAAGTCGATCTACATAAGGAAGTTTTGCCATCCCATCTACTATCTAGAATTAATTCACCTTGAACCATAGCCATGAGTGAAATCCTCGTTATTACTTGCCCAAGCGGTAAACAATGCAGTCGCTTGATCCCTCTCCTATACAATAAAGGCCGATTTCGCCTCCGACTGGCCGCGCACTCAAGTGCTTCAGCCAAAAATCTACAAATCTCCTATCCCGACGCAGATATAGTCCAAGCTAATCTCCAGTTGCTATCGGACTGCCGTGACCTTCTCCGTGGTGCAACAGCCATCAATGCCGTTCTGCCGAGCTTGCATTCTCACGAGAAAGAAATTGGCTTCAATTTGGTCGATGCAGCACTCGCAGAGTCACGTCGCGAAGGAAATGTTTTCAAGCATTTCGTTTTGTCAAGTGTACTGGGTACCCAGCATCGGAGTTTACTCCAACATGACTTGAAGAGCTACGTCGAGGAGAGACTTTTCCTAAGTCCAATGGACTGCTGGACAATCCTCAAACCCGGAAATGTTTGAATGCCCATGAAATTTTACAGTATTTTATACTAACTAAGCCCCAGTTCCTCGACGCCTATCCCGTTGCAGCCCTCGCTTCCCAAGACCATCCCGTACTGGAAAAGTGGTGGAAACCCGAACATGCAAATAGTGTCCTCGCCCTCGATGACCTCGCTGCTGCATCTGCGAAGGTCCTCAACGAGCGCGAACCACACTACCTGGCCGAATACCCCCTCGTGTCGACTTTGCCAATCTCAGAGACGGATATAATTGGGCTCATTGAGAAGCGCATTGGAAAGAGTATTGAATTGAAGACGCCGAGCTTTGACACAGGTGTGAATAAGCTTATAAATTCCTTGTATGGTGGATCCGACAAGGGCGAAGGAGAGATTGGACTCGGTCGTTCGAGTCTTGGTGATCTGCGTGGGGATTTTGTGAGAGATACTGTTGAACATTTGATTTTGTTTTACAATCGGCGTGGGCTGAAGGGGAATCCAAACGTGTTGAGGTGGCTGTTGGAGAGAGAGCCAACTACTGTGGAGGCTTGGGTGGACGGTGTTGCGACAAAGGCTGGCTACTAGTATTTTGTTTGAGAATTTTGCTCAGGAAAACATCAGTAATATATATGCCGAAGAGGAAATATGATTTTAGAACAACCTGCTGTGGGTTGCGTTCGTGTGATACTCGAGTTTGCGCTGTTTTGGAGGCAAAGTCAACCGGCGTAAACGTACATCAACTATCGAAATATAGATCTAAAATCTCGATGAAGATCATATTGACTTAAGATACGGAGTAGAAAGATTTCTGATGTCATTCGCATATGTGTTACTGAAATATATTGCAATGGCCTCGTCTATATAGACTTGTCTACATCCGTATGTCGTAGGGGACTCTCCGGCACAACAAGTAATGATGGGTGCATTTTCTAGTGTTCGATATAGAAATATTTCAAAGAGGGATCAGGCTTCATTCTTTTCTCCTCTCATTTGTTCGGTATTTTTTTTTACAGCTGTTTATTCCCTATTCCGTAAATAATTACTTCTCCAATCTAGAGAGGGCTATAAGCAAATATTTAATTTCCCGCTAAAATGGTATCAGCTGGGAAATCCTCGTACTTTATTGGTCAATTCAATGTATTAGAGATCATCTGCATCTTAGTGTTAGCCAATTTCGGAGTTTGGTTTGTCCGTTGTTATAGGGGCCAAGCTCTCATAAGGGGGCCAAATCCTTCTGGAATAAGCTGCCGGAGAGCCTTGCCACACAATATCGAGAATAAACTAACACCGAAACCACGGGCATATTCTGTATTTTCTTATGATCAGATTTACCTCGAATACCATTGGTCTATAACATGACAAGATGTACGATCGCGGCCATGGGGCGAATTCCCTGCTCTTCAGGCATCGAATCGAAGCTGATGACATTATCAAAATCGCGATATGTGAGAGTCAGCAAGATCGGAGTTTCGATGGATCCAATATACAGGAGGCAAATAGTCAAATTTGTGGTGACCACTGCACTGATCCAAGGCTCTTTGAAGTAGACTTGGCATACTAGGAATCCATATATCTAGTCTCTCTTTCCCAGTGGCAGAGCGGTACAGACAGAGAAATATTTACTTATTCAACATCCATCTGCACAATATTCAACATTGCCCGATTTCTTCAATCTAAGACATCGGAACCCGAAGTCATCTCCGAGCTTTAGACGAACCGAAAATGATTGATCTGAAGCCCAACACCCTGACCCTAATTTTCGGGCCTCAAGATCCCGACATTGGCAGTCAACACCTTGATAGCCTTCGAACAGAGCTGTTGAAAACGCCTCATCTTCAATGGATAGTCGATCTTTTGACGAAGCTACCACAAGAGTGGCCTGCAATTTCTACCGCCCACCCCGAGCTTCAGGCCTTCCAGGGCCAAAAGTACCTTCAGCTGCTGAGCGAATGGGTGAGAAGGGGAGTACTGCCACAAAATCTGTTTCCGTTGCCCAACATTTTGGTTACACCATTGGTTGTTACAACACAATTGGTGCAATATACAAAGTTCTTGGAGCAAATCAACCCAAATATCACACGAGATAATTCACTGAGGGAGTTATTGAAAATTGACACCGAGACAGCGGGCCTCTGTACTGGATTGCTGAGCAGTGCCGCGGTCGCTAGCTCGAGAACGCTCGCGGAACTTGAGAAACATGGCGCGGCTGCTATTCGAATGGCGATAGGGATTGGCGCCCTGGTCGACGCTGGTGACACGGAAGTTGAAGATGGTGATAAGTGGCAGTCCCTTGCAGTTGGATGGACAACCCAGACAGCGGAGGCGAATTTGTATAGCATCATGGAGCATTTCCCTGAGGTATGTAAATTGTGATATCCAAAATTATGCAGTAATCTAACGAGACCAGGCATATGTCTCTGTCATTTCAGAAGCCCGCTTAGCTACACTCACTATTTTAAAAATGGATTCAAGCGAAATAGAGGAGCAGTTGAAAAATTCCGGCTTGATCTTCACAAAGACAACACTCCGTGGACCTTTTCACTGTGGGAAACGTGAGGACCAGGCGACAGCTCTTCTGCATCTATTTGATTCAGAGTCTGCTTTCAATTTCCCGGCCACGCCGCAGCTCGCATTCAAGACACGGGCGGCGGATGGCTGCGAGCTCTCCACCGATGAAAAGCTTCATCAGATGGCAGCTCGCGCAATGTTGACAGAGCGAGCTGATTGGCATACGCTGTTTACGACACTTCATGAGACAGCTTCCCTGGCTGTAACATTCGGAAGCCAGCGTTTCGTACCACAGTGGTTCCTCCGCAAGCTTGGACCTAAATTGTCGCATGCAGTTGATCTGGATATCCAGGAAGGTAAATTTCCTGCTCCAATGTATGCTCTATTAGACTCTGCCCAAGACCACTCCATCGCCGTGGTCGGTATGGCATGCCACTTCCCTGGCGGCAGCGATATCAATGAGTTTTGGGACACAATTTGTGCAGGAGAATCGCAGGCCCGTGAGGTTTTAGCCGACAGAGTCAATTTTGAGTACGCAACTTGGCGTGAGAGGAATCCGGACCGAAAGTGGTTTGGAAACTTTGTGGAAGATCACGACGTCTTCGACCACAAGTTCTTTCAGAAGAGCCCGAGAGAAGTTGTTTCGACTGACCCTCAACATCGGTTAATGCTGCAAGTTGCCTATCAGGCAGTGCAGCAGTCTGGATACTTCAACAAGCCAAGCTCAAGTCGACATGTTGGTTGCTACGTCGGAATTGGTGTAACGGACTATGAGAACAATGTCGCATGTTATGAACCAACAGCTTACACAGCGACGGGAAATCTCAAGTCCTTCGCCGCTGGTAAAATCAGCCACTTCTTCGGTTGGAGTGGACCTGGTGTTACGATCGACACAGCCTGTTCATCCTCTGCCTTAGCCGTGCACCACGCCTGCAGGGCAATCCTGAGTGGCGAATGTGATGCCTCCCTTGCTGGCGGTGTGAATCTGATGACAAGCCCCGAATGGTATCAAAACCTAGCCGGGGCGTCATTTCTCAGCCCTAGTGGACAATGTAAGCCATTCGATGCGGCAGCAGATGGTTATTGCAGAGGAGAGGGCGCGGGCGCCGTTTTTCTGAAGAAACTATCAGCCGCGGTTGAGGACGGTGATCAGATCCTCGGTGTTATCAAAGGATCCAGTGTGAACCAAAACGAGAACTGCTCCGCGATCACCGCGCCGAGTGTTTTGTCTCTCGGGAATGTCTTCAACAGTGTGCTTAGGAAAGCCAGGCTTGACCCCAAACAGATCTCTGTAGTAGAGGCACACGGCACAGGGACGCAGGTTGGCGACAAAGCAGAGTACGACAGTGTTCGCAAAACGCTGGGTGGACCAGGTCGCTCACAGCCCTTGAATTTAGGATCTGTCAAGGGTCTTATTGGACACCTGGAGTGTGGCTCCGGCATCGCCGCACTGATTAAAGTGCTGCTGATGATTCAACATGGCACTATTCCTCCGCAGGCTGGCTTTAAGACTCTGAACCCAAAGTTGAGGGCCTTGCCGTCAGATAATATTGACATCTCCAAGAAGCTCAAGCCCTGGGAGGCAGATTTCCGTGCTGCACTCCTGAACAATTACGGTGCTTCGGGTTCGAACGCTTCGCTGATCGTAACCCAAGCAAGTGAAGTGCCGCGCGACAGCGAGCTTTCAGAAACATCGGTTGGATACAAGCGTCCCTTCTGGTTCTCTGGCTTGGATGCTCAATCTTTGCGATCATACGCGGCCAAGATGATCGAATTTCTCAAATCGAGAAAGGCGAATGACCGTCATTTCTCGATTGCAAATATATCTTTCCAACTAGCTCATCAGTCAAATCGCTCGCTTGGAGAGGCACTAATCTTTAGCTGCGCCTCAGTCGAAGAGCTTGAAACAAAACTCGCCAATTTTGCAAACGGGCGTGGCGAGCTGACCTCAACAACCAGAAAGGAGGGATCAAAACCGGTTATTCTTTGTTTCGGCGGCCAACGATCCAACTTTGTCGGTCTAGACCGAGAAGCTTATGAGTATTTCCCACTGCTACGTGCCCATCTCGACCATTGCCACGAGCTCTGTCTGTCGCTCGGACTGGCAGGAATTGTCCCAGCAATCTTTGAGCGTACGCCAAGGAAAAGTATTGTCGAATTGCAGACAATGCAGTTTGCTCTACAGTACTCCTGTGCAAAGAGCTGGATCGAGAGTGGCGTGCAAATTTCAGCGCTCATAGGTCACAGCCTGGGTGAGCTCACGGCCATGTGTGTATCGGGCATGCTCTCAGTCGAGCATGCTTTGAAGACAATCTCGAGACGAGCTAGAATCATTGAAGAGAAATGGGGCGCGGAGAAGGGTTGCATGTTGGCTGTCGATGGCGAGTTGAATAATGTACAACGATTGCTGCAACTGGTGAATGCCGCTTCCTCTGCACCTGTCAATATTGCTTGCTTCAACGGCCCTCGCAACTTCACCCTAGCTGGCTCATCTTCTGCGATAGAACTTGTCAAGGAGACGATATCTGCCACTCCCGCCTTGTCTGACATTAAGACAAAGACCCTTGATACAACTCATGCTTTCCACTCCGCATTGGTGGATGATCTTGTTCCTGAACTTAACAAGCTTGGAGAGGACGTGATCTTCCGCAAGCCAGTCATTCACCATGAGCGAGCCACTCAAGATACCCCTAATGGCCCGCCGCCATTCACGGTATTTGCTTCGCATATGAGAGACCCTGTCTACTTTGACAAGGCAGTGCAACGTCTCGCAGATCGATACCCTTCAAGCGTTTGGTTGGAGGCAGGTTCGGGGTCGGGAGTGACAGCCCTTGCTAGTAGAGCTGCTGGATCTCAGAACATGATCTTCCAAGCCGTTAACATTACCAGCTCTGGAGCCGTCCAAAATATCACCGACGCGACAGTCAGTTTGTGGAAGGCAGGCCTGAACATGTCTTTCTGGGAGCATGTTAAACCTGCAATAAACTGCCCCCTCATTTTACTACCACCGTACCAGTTTACCAAGTCAAGACATTGGCTGGAGCGCCGCAAGCAGGAGGTCAAACAAATTGAGTCTGTTGTGCAGGTACCCGAGAAACGCACGGGTATGTGGTCATTCATAGGCTGCGACTCCACAGAAACAAAGGCACGGTTCCAGATTCACACCGATTCGGAAGAATTCCAGTCTTATGTCGGGGCCCATTTCATCGCACAAACGGCAGCCATTTGCCCAAGTATGGTACAGCAAGTTATTGCTCGTGATGCATTGTCAAGTTTGGTCAATGACTCAAATTTGCTCCCTGGGCTTGAAAGCATGGAGAGCGAGTCCCCGTTGTGTTTGGGTGATTCGAAGCAAGTCTGGCTCGATGCCGATATGGTTCATGACAGCCCGCTTACCTGGGAATTCCACATCGCCAGCACAGACCATGCGGGCAAAGACTCCACAAAGCACGTTTCAGGCCGCATTGTCTTCCGTTCGCCCGAAGATGCTGCTGAAATCTTTGATACCTATGAGCGACTGGTTGATCACAAGCGTGCTGTTGCTCTGCTCGATGGAGAAGAATCTGACGAAGTCATCAAGGGTAGCCGAAACATCTACAAGGTTTTCACGCCCGTGGTGCAGTACAACAATGACAGTTACAAGGGACTGCAGAAATTGGCCTCAGCTGGAAACGAGTCTGCAGGCCGCATCGTCAAACAAGATTCGACGAAGACTATTCTGAGCGTTGGTCTAGGTGATACCTTCTGTCAAGTCGCCGGTATCTTCTTGAATTGCATGGCAGATTGTGTGGAAGGCAATATGTATTTGTCGAATCGGGTTGACAGGTGGATTCGTTCGCCTAGCTTCCCAGTTGATGAGCGACCAGAGCGATGGGATGTATATGCGCGCCACCGACAATCACCAAAGGCATACGTGAGCGACTTGTTTGTCTTCGATGCTGATAGCGGAAAACTGGTATGGGTCGTCTTGGGTCTCCACTTTGTCGAAGTATCAATCGCCGGCATGTCACGACTCCTGTCGAAGTTGACTGGTGCTCAGCCAGTACAGACAACTCCTGCCCCAGTGACCGCAATCGATGTGCCTCTGACCAAGCCATCTGCGAAGAAGAATATCCCAGTTCGAGAATTCAAGACTACCAAGCCGGTTAGCAATTTTGCAGTTAGCAAAAAGCAACCTACTCCAAAGAAAGAAGAGGGACCTGATGTTCTCGGTGGTGTTCGAGCTTTGTTCATCAACTTGTTGGGACTTGAAACGGACGAGATACAACTCAATTCTGACCTTGTTGAACTGGGTATTGACTCACTGCTAGCCATGGAGGTTGCTCGCGAGGTTGAGAAGAAGTTCAACATCAAGTTTGAGTTGGATGAGCTCATGGACATGACAGACGTGCGGAGCTTGGTGAACGGCATTAGAACCAATATGGGCGTATCTGACTCGTCCGAGACAGAGGAAGACAGCAGCGATGGGATTTCCACAAGCTCGTCTGTCAGCGAGTCTATTATGACCCCAGGCGGCGAAATTAATGGAGTCTACAAGACTAGCCATGTGCAACTTCCTACCCGCTCTATTGCCGATATCTTCACAGAAACGAAACTGCTGACGGACCAATTCATTGAGGAAAACCAACTTTCTGGCTATTCTAATTACGTCCAGCCCAAATTGACCGAGTTGGTCGTCGTCTACACGCTAGATGCCCTCGACCAAATGGGATGCTCTCTTCGGTCCGCCCAGCCTGGCGAGACAATCGCCCAAATCCCCCACCTCCCCAAGCATGACAAAGTTATGGATGTTCTGCGAGGATTGCTCGAAAAAGCCCGCCTTGTGGATGTTGAGGGCTCAACATTGATTCGCACCGCACTTCCAGTGCCACCCAAGTCCGCCTCCAAGATACTCGAAGAGCTTCTAAATGAGTACCCTGAACACTACTACGACCATAAACTCACTAGCCTGACTGGATCTAAGCTGGCGGATTGCCTGACAGGAAAGACTGAAGGTATCCAGCTGCTCTTTGGCTCTGCCGAGGGGCGAGAACTCGCGGCTGGAATGTACGGGAAGTCTCCCATCAATGTGGCCTGGCTGCGACAGCTGGAGCATTTCTGGGAGCAATTCATGGCCCACCTCCCAGCACAACGCGATGAACCAATCCGCATTCTAGAGATGGGTGCTGGTACCGGTGGTACAACCGCGGCATTGTTGCCACTTCTAGCACGCTCGGGTGTCCCTGTTGAGTATATTGCCAGTGATATATCACCATCGCTGGTTGCTGGACTCCGGAAGCGATTTAGGGAGTACCCCTGGATGCGGTTCGAGGTCATTGACATTGAGAAGGAAGCCCCTACTAAGCTCCTGGAAAGCCAACACGTTGTACTAGCAACGAACTGTGTCCACGCAACCCACAGTTTGGCGAATACGACCAAGAATATTCATAAAATGCTTCGCCCGGACGGCTTCCTTATCATGCTGGAGATGACAGAGGCGGTACCTTGGGTGGACTCAGTCTTTGGATTGGTCGAAGGATGGTGGCTTTTCGATGATGGCCGTGACCATGCCCTTGCCCAGCCCGAGGTTTGGGAAAAGACACTGCACCGCAACGGATATGGCCATGTCGACTGGACAGATGGCCACCTACCAGAAAACTCTATTCAGCGCATTATCATTGCACTCGCCTCTCCCGAGAGTCATAGCCGGGTATCTACATCCCCCCCTGCTCCTTCGAAGGTCCCGGCTGACTTTTCTGCTCGCCAAACAGTAACCGACTCATTGATCCAAAGACACACCAGTGGTTTTGCAGCCCCAGACCCGCGCCCGATCGAACAAAACTCATCGCGCTGTGTGCTTGTAACAGGCGCCACCGGCTGTCTGGGGTCCCACATCGTGGCCCACCTTGCTGAACAACCGGGTGTTCGCAAAGTTATTTGTCTGAACAGGGTGAGCAGTTCAGACCCAACCACCCGGCAACATGAAGCCCTACTATCGAGGGGCCTCCTGCTGCACGAAAAAATTTCGAAATTAGATATTATAGAGACGGACTCATCTGCAACTAACCTCGGTCTCTGCCCCGAAGATTACCAACATCTAGTCGCGAGCGTCACAGATATCGTGCACAACGCATGGGCTATGAGCATGACGCGCCCTGTGCGCGGATTCGAGCCCCAATTCAAAGCCATGCGCAGTCTGATCAACCTTTCTCGCGACTGCGCCTCGAAGGGGCGGAAAATTGGCTTCCAGTTCATCTCGTCTGTCTCGGTAGTAGGCAGCCATCCTTTCCTCAGTGGCAAGGCACAAGTCCCAGAGGAAAGAGTCAATACAGAATCTGCCTTACCGATGGGCTATGCTGACGCCAAGCTTGTTTGTGAGCATATGCTCGACGAGACTCTACACCGATACCCCGAGTTCTTCCGCGCCACTTCTGTGCGTGTAGGCCAGATCTCTGGATCGAAACTCAACGGAAACTGGAATCCAGTGGAACACCTCGTGCATTTGATCAAGTCATCCCAGACGTTGGGAGTATTGCCGGACTTGGACGGGGTATGTTTTTATGATCTCTCTTCCTTTCCATTACCCATCTAATGTATTTTTAGGTTCTGTCATGGTGTCCGGTCAATGATGTAGCCGCCACGCTGGGTGATCTGCTCATCGAAGAACAGCCCGCGTACCCGATTTACCACATTGAGAATCCAGTGCGGCAGCCATGGCGCGAAATGATCGCCATTCTTTCCGATGCGCTCAATATTCCGCAGACCAACATCATTCCATACGATGAATGGCTACGCCGTGTGCGCCAATTTCCACCTAGCCTGATGTCAGAGAACCCAGCGGCCAGGCTGGCTGACTTTTTCGAGGCGGACTTCTTGCGCATGTCATGTGGTGGGATGATACTGGACACTGCACGCACTAAAGAGCATTCTGAAACATTCAGGGGACTGGGACCAATTGACGAGTCGCTGGTTAGGACGTATATACAGGCGTGGAAGGAGTCGGGGTTTTTGCATTTCTAAGATCTGGCGCTTGATGTTTCAATTCGTTTTGGGAGTACGTCATGGTTGATATGGATTGGTTCCTCTTTTGCACAAGCTGTTTGCTTTATTAGGTACATTACATGTGTTTTGTATATAGGTCAAAAGTCCGTTTCCACCAACACCCAACCTTTCTACTCCGTAAAACCGTTACCATATCGAGCCTCGATTCGGAACGGTGATGTTGGTGAATAAACGGCCCAATAGCGAGCTTCACACACCATGCGTTCCGTAATTTTGTATGCGGCAGAAAACGGCCAAAAGCATACTCAGATGGCACGCGACGTTGAGATCACCGGTGACATTTGTACCTCCAAAGCTGATCTAGCCCATGTTTCTTTTCCCTGCCTGAAAGCAGAAACAAGTACAACTGCAAGGTAGGCTAGACATTATGGCCAAAAAAAGACCCCAATCATTAAGTGCAGTAAAAAATATACGCTTCTTCAAGTTCCCCTTTTGCGTGGTCGAGGGCCTGGTGACGTGGGTTAGACAATGTCTGTCTTTAAGGGGAGCGTTCTCACAAGGCATTCGCCAATGTCAACAACAATTTCTTCTTCCACTCTGAGAAGTTCCTCTTGTTCACTAGTAACCTGGTGTCCATTGTAGGTCTCTGCTCGATCAAAGTCCATCCACACCACTCGTTCGGCGGTATCTGTGACGACCATCATGTTCTTTGGTTTGGGATCTCTGTGCCGCACTAGTGCCTTATGTATTTGCTGGATACCACTGACAATTTTGTCCATCCGCTGCTGTGTATAATCCTCTAGAGTGATCATTTCCAGACCGGTGATATACTCCAAAAATATAGCGCTAGGTGGGTACTCGTCATCCACTAACATTTTCAGGTGGGGTAGGCAAGAAGATGGATCGAATTTCCTCATTGAACCTAAGAAATTGGGCACGATTCCACGATCACAAAGGCCCCTATCTTTTAGTCGGATGTAGGCGGTTGCTTTAAGCACATGAATATCAAGTTCACAGTCTTCTGGTTCATAGTATTGCCGTGGGCCCCTTCCGTGATGCTTCGCATTTTAGGATTTTGGTAGTCAAGATTACTTCTGCCAGCTCAACCCACCACCTTCATAACACATGTCTGGTCGCGGACATTGACTAAAAATATCACAGAACATGAAGAGGCAAAAAGCTTCTTCTGGAAGTAAATTTCCGTGGGTTGTATGTTGTCGAGATTCAACATGATTCTACCTAGTATCTAGAGAGAACAAACAGAGCATGTCCTTGAAAGAAGATAAGTTGGACAAGCCCTAGTCATGTGGAAATGTTTGGCCTGTTTGCCATAGTCAGCATTATTTAGTTGGGATCTCCTGAGGTATGGATATTACAGGGATTGCCCGTTTCACGGCCAACAACGATCCGGATAGTGGTAGTGTACGATCCCCTTTTTAGTATGGCTTTCATGAAGATGTCTCATAAGGGGAACCGTTTCCAGCAGTAACGCAGAAATCAAATGTTATATACATCAAAATTCGTCTGCAAAATTTATGTTTTCATAGCCTTTATATACTACATACAAAAAGAACATTGAAAACCGCATTTGAGCGTTCCTACATATAACGTCCCAGACATCATATTAGGCTAAATATACCAATCATCAAGCACACGTCGTATAGGTGGCCGACTATTTGTGTCAATATATATATCCAAAAACGAGCTGCAATAGTACAAACTCAGAAATAATTGCTGTTTTAAACGCGTGGATTGTTAATAATTAATTATCAAATGGCCACAACTTGTCCCACAAAGCTTTCTCATTTTCCGAATACCCCATTTTGTCGGATAATCTTTTCTTTGCGTGGTTCAGAAGCAGTTTAGTAGTACCATACTGGTCATGCTTCACGACACCCTTCTCAGGCCAAAATTCACCAAGTGATTCCTGGACCTCATTCAATAACTCCATGCCTTGTATTGTGCCTGCCACGTCATACTCAAGACTCTGTATCTCATTTGGGCTTAGTTGAATAGGGTAGCCTGGACCTCCAGATGCTTGTACACTGGACAGATTAGGCCATTCATCTTCAAATTCCAAAACAGCAGCTTGATACAATGCCTCGCCATCAACGAGCAGATTTTGCGCAAGGAGTAACATTTCAAAGCAGCGGGTATGACGAAATTGCATAGCTTTGTAAAGCTCAGGGTTATCACGATAGGTCAGTGTCTTATGTAAAGCCGAAAGTGACATCACAAGGTAAAGACTTCTGGCTTGCTTTTGATCTTCTAGGGAAAGTTGGCTCAAGTTAGGGAAGACTGGGGGCTCAAGACCTTTGACACGAGGCCCATCATAGTCGAGAAGATATGGGTCGCGGGCGTGATCAAATAAAGGCAGCAACTCAGTAGACTGCCAGTCTATGATATCAAGGATATTTGTTGGCTCTTGAGGGTCAACAAAGATGTTCTCGGTATGAAGATCGCCGTGCCATAAATATGATGCCGATATTGATGAGTCTATCGGTAGAAGATAGTCGACCAGTTTAAGATAGCTCCTCAAAGCAACAATCTTTTTAGGCCGAGATGGGCTGTATAGCCCGGGTCCAGTGAGAGTCAGGGGCGAACGCGGGAGCTCATTGAGTTTCTCTATACAAGTAATCTCACGGAGTCCAATTGCACGATGATACTCTAAAGCGCTGTTCCCTAAATCACCTTTTATGTTAAGGTCGGCTCGTCTTAGGTCAGAGTTGCAGCAGCTTACATGGACCGTGGTCAAAAACTATTTCAATCCTCGAAAAATCAAGTTGATCCCGACCTGTTGAAGGTCCAATTGCAAAACGAGACTCTTCAATTCCAGTGGCACTCGGTTTTACCAAGATGTGCTCATGATTATCATCGACATCAGACGAATAGTAAAGGCTACCGTATTTGGTGAAGGGGGTGGACATCCAGGCTTTTTGATAGCTGGAAATCGTTTTTATGACTTCCAGCTTGTCTCCAATCGACATGGTTGGCCAGAATTGGCTGAGCTGCACCCCGGCAGCCTTTTCCATAATAATATATTCAGCTCCAACGGAGCCCTGGTCTGCCTTGGAATTCCAGCAAAGGACGCGTGAAATAGGGGTACCACACACATTTCGTACCTATATAAGTGGGCTTCAATCTTGTTGGGCGAAGGAAGAACCCAGCTAACAAAATCCATTGTCGCCACTTCACTCGCTGTAGTAAAATGGGCCCGTCCTGCGTTCGGATTCGGGACCTTGCCGACAACCTGGGAACCATCTGCCATTGTGAAAAGAAATGCCTTGTTGAACATGCCATCCGGGAATTTTTCAATCTGTACACACTCTTGGGCCCCGAGAGATTTTTCAGCCACCGCTACAAGTTCATTCATGTCAAATTTGGTGCGTCTGATGGCATATTGCTGTCTTTCATCGGATACAAAACACCCCCTCGTGTATTCGAAAAAACCGTCGATGGAGTTCCAATCTTTGTGAATCGCTCTGTTCGAAGTTTTTCGCACTACTGAGAAAGACACATATCTCGGGATCTTGAAGGGCGAGAAGGAGAGTCTGTGAAACATAATGAAGGAAATATTTATGAAGACTGATTATACCAATTGTGAATACGTGCCGAGGGGTATAAGACACGTGATAACAACATTGAAGGTCAGAACTTTGAGCTCTTTCAGGTCGTTTGATTTTAGAGTGTTAAAAAGATAGATGAATTATTTTACCAGAAAATTACCTATCTATGTATGAGGGGTATTGTAACGTACAAATTGGATAAGAAATGCACCAATTCGCTAAGAACTCCAGCCACAGTAGTATGTAAATTCTTCGTTTGGACATCACCAGCTTGTCAACCCCTTAACTTTGTCAAACCCACCTCTAAGCTGTGAATCTGGATGAACAACCTTCCCTTCCAGAATTGTGTAATTCACAATTCCCTCACAATGCTCCGGCTTGATCCTGGCCAGCCAGATCATCTGCTGTTCTTTTTTCCGGTAAATCAATACATTTGCGGAGAACTTATGTCCCCCAACGTGGGAGACGAAATAAATGCCCACACCTCCAGGTCGTTCATCATCCATATCCCGGTAAAGATCATGTTTGCGCAGATGTCGCTCCATCTCCTTTTTTATCAACGGTGCCGTAATTCCACAGCGCGCATCTCGCCGCTTGTGTGAGCATAGCAGGACTACGTAGTCGTGTGGACATGGTCGGGAATTCAATCGTGGACTGCTGATGGACTGAGTTGGATTACCCAGTGGCACATCGATGAACGTGTCGACCACGTGCTGGGCATCTGAGTAAGAGATGTCATCCACAAAGGTAAAGGAAGGTAGTAGGAGGATTGTTGTCTTGGCGGTGTCGGGTACTTCTCCACTCGGTGGAGTAAGGTTGGACGCGGAGATCATAAGACGCTTTTTCACACGCAATTAGCATCATTTCAAAGTTGCTACTGGATCAAAGACGAACACCATGCTTAGACTTGGCGTCCGATTTGAACGCCTCCATTAAACTTCCATTCTCTTGTTCAACCTTTCGGATCCAATCTGTTTTCCCTGTCGCAACCAGTATGTGTGCATGGAATTCTTTGATGAATCCGTACATCGGAAGAGTGGTATCAATCTTGACATTCTGAGGACATTTGACGGTGCAATCATTGCAGTCGGCGCGGCAGTCGTCTCCGTCGACTTTCGGATCCACTTCAGGAAATATGTATTTCGGGCGTCTGCCAGTGATGGCCAGTAGTGAACGGAACATGGTGAGTGGAGTCAAGCCTCTCGTTCTAAAATAGATCCGTGTTGCAAAAATGAAGTTATTATCTTGGGAATATGGTAGGGTTCGGAGATGGAAAAAAGCTGCATTCCTATGAGAAGAGACGGGGAGAAATGGAACGAGAGAGTGAGAATGAGAGAGAAGAGAGAGAAGCCATTTTTCTACCACGAGGTTTCCTCCATCTCTCGCTCCAAGGCATCAATGATCTGAGGTTTCAATTCTTTTGGGATATCTGAGTTGGGCTGTGACGGGGCTCGGAGTTAAGATCCGAGGTGATCGGATTTAAGAATGCAAAGGGTGAATATACCGAAAGCCCGAAAGAATCCCCGAGTCCTGTATTTTCTCCGACATCTCCGAGGCTGAGGCAATAGGCAAGGATGCTGACCAGTAAATGACAGCCTAACGGAAGTGATAGCACGGCAGGTACCCGTTAATTGCTCGGACAGAACCAGATAAGCACTTGCAACATAGTGCATCTTGGCATCTTATTTTGATGATGTAACGGCGAAGATCTGAATTGGAGGTAATTTTTGGCCCCTGCGTTTGTAAGTTGGAGAAGCTGAATATCCTACCGGATGGGGTGTCTGTGTCGAGGACTTTCTTTTCAATTTAAATCGCATCGAATGAGTGGAGCTAAAATTGATATTGGTATCTCTAATTCAAAGATCGTATACCGTATATACCTAGCCTCTAGGGCTCTAAATTCGGCTTATGCAATTCTTTGGCCATGATATAGTTACCTACCTATCTAGCTATGTAGGTACGAATTTAGAATCCGTATATGCAAAGTATAAAAGCAAAATCAAAGATTTCTCTGTTAGATCATGCTATAAAGCAAGGTAAAACAGCAGCCGGAACTTTCATATCCAAAAAAACAGTAGAAATGCAATAAGTTGTTATCCCCGATATGTAGTGGGAGGGGTTTATCTACTCAGAGCCAGCCTGGATCAGGATCCTTTGAAGACACCCAAGAAAGCCAAGAGCCGGACATGGAAGAACTTAAGAGAAGGCCACGTAGTGTGTAGTTAGATCGTGGCGATATTTAGAGGCCATTTAGAATAGCTTTTACCTCTTTGGGGTATTCGACGTCAGCCGGTACTTAGGGCTGTGCGGAGTCAAGAGTAAGCAGAGGTATAAAGACCCACTGGGCGCATCTGGAACTCGAAACAAGGTCATGGTGTGGTGGTTTCATACAGTATTCTGGAGATAAGCTGTAGCTAATTAACCAATTAACATGAAAATCAGGTCTTCATACGGAATTTGGGGTACTGAGTTATACTAGCGTATAGCGATCGGCATGATCCACACTGGCAATGTATTGGATGGAGAAGGTTCCCAATATGGTGAGCAGTAGTCAGTCTGACTATGTTGGAGGCTGCAATTTTTCTTTTTTGTGAATTATCCCAACTAATTACCTGGCCCCCAAAGATCCCCGCATCACATCCCAGTCGTTATTTGTGGGGGCTGTATAAGTCGTGATAAACATCCAGTACGATGTAACCTAGTTAATCAACCTAGATATACTTGTGGTTAGCCCATTAAATTTAATTGAGAAGAAGTACCAACTTTAACGACGGAAGATACTGTCAATTGACGGTGCTATAACCGACTCAATGAGCGACGTTAATGTACAGACGAAGGGGCGTCGTCAACAGAATGGCCTCGCGTGTGAGGAATGTCGTTCACGAAAGCTCAAGTGTGACATGGCTGAGCCCCATTGCGGAACATGTTATAATCTTGGTGTTACTTGCATCACCAATCCATTGCGACGACCACGAGGCCCGCGTAAAGGACACGTCAAAACCCTGAAATCTCGGATTGGTAGGATATCCTTGCGAAGACTACCTAGAAGTCATGACTAATTGATTAGTACAGCAATCCTCGAGCGTCAATTATACGGGGACTCCGAGGCCCATCCAGACACCCCTGAACACAAAGTGGACAATGGAGAGTGCAGACCCTTGGAGAGAGATAAATCGGCGGAAGGGGACATAAGCGACGGGGCAATAGAAGATGTCGAGGCAATAACCTCCCACGGCTCTGGAGATTATATGGAGTATCTGATGAGCGCACAACCGATTGAGATTTCGAAGTGGCCTGGCAACATGTCATTGGATTTTGAAAGTGAATTGGACCAGCAGATCGATGCTTTCAACGATCACACGGCCCTATCGTCGGCACCGCCTCTAATGACAAATCTCAAGCCCACATCGGGCCCGGTGCTAGAAAACAGCGTTATATTCCCAGACTTGAGTCCCAAGCCCTTGCCAATACCGCCACTTGTCACTCAACCTCCTATCCAGATAACACCACTCGAGTGTGCAGATCTGTATGTTCCTCCCTCATCCTTGTGTTTCAAATACTAACTAGCGACAGCGATGACTTGTTTTTTGAACGAGCGTACCTCTTTGCGCCAATAATACACCAACAGCACTACTTTGCGCGAGCAGCGAGGGTGTCGCGGATGAGTGAACCGTTTTCATGTTTGCAACACGCAATGCGTACCCTTGCAGCGTCCATGGGCAGCCAATTCAAGGCCATTCTTCCCATGCTGTACACACGTACAAGCGGGATGCTGGATGCTTGGGACCATAACACGCCGGACGAAGCAATTCCTATAGAGATAGTTCAGGCGCAGCTACTGCTCGCTTTATATAGGATTCTGAAGGAGGATCCGCGAAAGGGATGGAGCAGTGCGGGTCACTGCTTTCACCTTGTACACCGGGCGAAATTAGATCAGATAGATAGCCCCAGGATACGGCGATTATGTCAACTCTCAGAGGTAGAAATTGAAGAGAGACGGCGGACGTTCTGGACGGCCTACGCCCTCGACAGGTATGCTAATCTTGTGCACGAGTTACCCCTTGCGTTGAACGATCAGATGGTAAGCTTGGCTGAAACATTGGAAGAGACTTTTTCAATGTACCTAACATATCTTCTTCCCAGATTCTCACGCGACTACCTGCCACCGAGGCAGCATTCCAACGACAAGGTGCCATCAAGACAGAATTCCTGGCCTCAGCTATGTCCCAAAAGACGAAGCAGCCGCTCTCCCCATACGCCAAATCAATGGTCATTGTAACCATTCTTGCACGATGCTTAGCACACCGAAATCAGTGCAATGTTGAGCGGATAACGGATCCCACGTCACAAGAATATCTGACACGCCACCGCGCGTTGGACAAGATATTGACCCAGGAAATCGAGACGACATTATCCAATATCAGCACTGAACTTGAGCCTTATAATCCTACCCGTCTGTACATTGAAATGATTGCAGAAGCCGCTATTTTGGTCCTCTTCACTGCGCTAAGCTCCGTTCCGGAAGGCGCACAAGATGTGTACCGGGGATACGAGAAACGGGCCTGCGAGGCGGCAGAGCGAATACACACTCAGGCGCAGAGGTTGTCCCAACTGGGATTTTTCAAGGTGAGATGCACTTACCCCTTGATTGAGATATGAAGTCCTCCTAATAAATATAGGTTCATCCGTTCACGCCCATTGCGCTGTTCATATGCGCAGGATTCACTCGCTCGTGCAAGTCAGTGAATGCAAACGCTACGGAGCAGTTCAAGGATATATCTTCCTCACTGCGGTATCTAGCGTCTGCTAATAGTCTCGCGGGAATGTTTCATTTCGAGCTCCAACAAAGTGGGTGGAACCGTGTGGAAACGGGCGGGCTATAAGCGTTTTTTTAAGCTTCGGATGATCTGCGACTTGGGAGGATCTTGGAATGGTAGCGGGAGCGGGAGCGGCGGTGGGATTGGAAGAGATATGTACAGCTGCCCTGGTGGGTACACAGTGTCTTCATAGGTCAGGTCTCTTCCTAGATCGGTACATAGCTGATATACCTAGCATTCCGAGATAACGCAGTATGAGTAAATAATTATATGATGCGCCAGAGAATCAAGTAGGTACCTTGTTCAAAGTCGACATAGATATACCTGGATCAACAGGATATCTGCCAATTAAATGGTTGGTTAGAAAGCAAATATATATAAATATTGCAACTCAGTAGAGAGACGGGTAGGACCACAAGGCCCAAGATCAGCAGAGACATTAGACAATCTTTCTTTCCTTGATTTGGTCAATATCTTGTCCAGCGTCTCATAGTCGAAATCTCAGTTTTGTTATTATTTTTGGATATACAGCTAAACCTATCTATCTATATTCTACAGCTACACATGGACCTTCGGCGTAACACAAACAGGAGATATTTCGAAAGGGTTATGCATATCAATGCATCGATCGTCAAAACCTCTCTAAATTCCGTAACCCCATGAATCGAAGCAAAACAAAAGAAACCCCGAGCCCGATCGGACATTTCGCTCGGCCTCACCGCCTAATCTGGTAATCACATCGGAGTTATCGGACCTACCTATTCGGTAGACTTACAGTACCATGCGGCGAGGGTTGTAGATATATAAATACCACTCAGCTAGAATATTGAGAACTAACAAACCTAGAAGTCATTTCTTCAGAAGCTATCATTCACAAAACCTACCATCGCCATTTTCAACGTACGAACATAATGACTGAATTCAAGACCGATGACTCTAAGGCTCCGCCTTACACCTCCGTCGAACCTGTGGACCAAAAACAGTAAGTCTCTGAGAGCCCACACCCCCACTACTCTATCTACTATGGGAATGCAGCTACTAACTATATCACGATTAGCACAAGCCCCAAAGTGGATTGCCTAACCCATGGGCCCAGCCAAGTCCCTCTTCTCGATTCCGAATTGCAGAAGCCGCAGGCAAAAGAAATCATCCGCACATTGGCAGCAGCCCTGAATGATATCGTCGATGAGAAGAAGTGCACCAAGTGCACGGTGGAGCATATCTCGACTCTGCTCACAGCCCAAGTCCGGGATCTCAGAGCCGCCAAGCGGAGCGGGATGTGGTCCAAAGAAGACAAGAAGGCTCTCAAGGCAGAGATTAAAGCTGTTCTGAAGCCAGTCAAGAAAGATGTGAAGCGCCTATGGAAAGCGAGCGAATAACCTGTTTTTCTTTTTGCTTTGGGATCAAGATGGCGAATTCGCAGATGTACACTAGGAGGTGTTCTATAACATAATTGCATTTTCGGCGTTTTGTTTACGACGGTCATCAGACAGAATACAATGAAACTTTTCATGAGAATAATTCTTTTACATGGTTTTACATGGTAAATTTAGACCCACTTGGGGAATGCGGCCCTTGAGTTTCGGAGAATCATTTTCTAGCTACTAGTTATAGTTGAGGTTATTTGGATTATCATTCTATACGGGACCTCCGAAGTTTACATTATAATCTTTGTTTCCAGTGTTCATTATACAGTAGTCATGTCTATAATTGACTCTAAATTCGTAGGAAATTTGTTTCTGTTTCGTTTAATATGTTAGGAGAGCTGCATATAAATTTCGTACACCGAAATAGACTCAACCCAAACCACATTAGTGCGCAAGAGTATCTATCTTAGGCCGAAAAAAGCCACTCCGGCTCCGAAGACGTATCTAAAGTAGCTTTACAACTGACTCCGTTCATCTTCTTGATCTTCCTCGATGCTCCCACCCTCTCCTTGTAATCACGGATAGTGTCCTCCTCCATCTTTCCAGAATCAAAATGCCAGATCTGGAACGATCTATCCTTCACTTCCTCAAAGCACGATTCTGCTTTCACCCTCTTAGCAGGATCCGCCCAGTCAGGTTGCTGGAACAGATCGCACACCCGTCGACTGCTATTCACAAGCCACTGCGTCCGTGTCCGTCGCATCTTATCATATGTCTCAAAGGCAGCACGTAGTGCATCGCCCTTTGACAAATTCAGCTCCCGAGTGAACTGGCCAGTCTGCTCTGGGATCATCGTACACAAACACAACACATCTTCCACTCCAAAGGACGCCCCAGCCCCGTGGTGTGGACTGGATGCATGCGCAGCATCTCCAACGAGACAGACACGCCCTTTATTGTATTTTGGCACAGGGTATTCGGCGAGGTCAAAAAGTGCCCATTGGTCAAGCTCTTCGGGGAATAAATTCACGAGGTTGCGTACAGGAAGACTCCAGTTTGCTAGAGCTTCCAACACGTCTTTACGGGACCCACGGGCGGTGGTGGGCTTGTCAAGTGGCCAGTTGTTGGGGTCGGAAATGACCACCGTTGCGCCGATGGTATTTGTGTTGACTGGATAATGGATAAGGTGCGCATTCGGCCCAACGTGCATGTGCTGTTTGTGAGTTTTGTATTCACCGATGGCTGCAATAACCTTGTCCATCGGAATAAGTGCTCGATAGGCGACCTTGTGGCTGTACTGCGGGTACGAAGCTGGATTATCTGCGCCCAGGAGGATTTTTCGTGCGGTGGACTTGATACCGTCGGTGGCGATGACTGTTTTAAATCAGCATTTGAATAGAGCTTGACCGATACAGGAAAAGAAACCAACCTGCATCTGCCTCAACACTAGTCCCATCGGTGAACTGCAGCACAACCTTATCCCGATCCTCCTCATCCACAATCATACTCAGTTTCTTTTGGAGGTGAATTACTCCCTCTGGAATTTCTTTGACCAAGTCATCTAGGAACTGATCCCGACGTACGGTCTCCCACCCCTTGATACCCGCATCCAATCTGAGCAACGGTTTCTGATACATCGGGTCATCTTCGCGCTGTAGCCCGTACCCGTTAATATATCGCAGATACGATTTCGGGTCCGTCTGGTCCAAGGAAACATTCACAGAGCCTCCAGATCGTAGAGCGCGCACGACACCTGGGCTTATCTTTTCCATGCAGTTGACAGTGTTACGTGTGAATCCGATCCCAGCGCCGATCTCGCGGAAATTGCGTGCTTGTTCAAACAGCTTTACCTGCACCCCGCGACGAGTGAGGCCTGCTGCCAGGACTAGGCCTACAATACCGCCGCCGACTATAGCAATTTCTGGGGTTTCTGGTGCGTAAGTCATTGTGGTAGTGTTGTGGGTGGTGAATAATTCCGCGTTGCGTTTAAAAACGGGTTGACAAACAGTATATATCCTGTATTTCATTTTTGTCTATGTATATTTTATATCCTGGCTTACTCAATTTCAAATTTGACCTAGAACACAAGAGATGATATCAGCTGCGTGGGTTGATTTTGCCGAGTCAGCACTAGCAACGATCGATATGCCTAAATGCCGAAAAGAAAGTCCGAGAAATGGTACTGTTAAATGTAAGAGTTCATTTTCTAACGTAATGAACCCGTTGGATATTAGTTGCCTGTTTTTTTACAGCATGATGCTATCATATCAGCAATCATTGATTGGGTAGCTTATTCATGAAGATCGCTTGGAAGATACGAAAATTGGACAAAATATGTATATATGTGCAATGAGAGTATTATCTCTATATCGTAGGTACGGCCCATGTCAAAGTTGCTTGAGGGAAATGGAGACTCTTTCCAAAAAAATAAGAGAAACAGGCAAAGGGAAACCGTGAAAAAGGAAGTCTACAAGAATGAAAAGGACCAGGATATCAAAACATTATGATGCCCGATGTTGTCCCAGTTACACCCGCCCGCTGTGCCACGTTGAATATCTCTTGTACCACCGGGATAACATCCTTGGCCTTGATCGGCACGCGATGCTCGCCATCCCACTCGACTAGCGTTGTGCTTTTCCAATCGCAATGCTGATAGAGCAGTCTGCGGTGCAAAATCAAGTTCGGGTCCGCCAGACCATGGACATGTATAGTTGGGATGTTAACTCGGGATTCTGTATTGTCCACAACGAGTTCCTGGCCTGTGGTACACTGCGTCGCATCGATAAAACCCGCAGGCATAGGCAACTCCGGGTTTAGCCATCGCAGCGGGCCTCTTCCTGCTAGCAAAATAGCAAATCGATAAACAGGGTCCGTCCTATTTTGGAGCACCTGTTGGTTTGCTAGAATGCTAGCAGCCAGATGAGCACCCTGGCTAAACCCGAGTAACCCGACCCATTCTCCAGTTGCCCCGCGCTTATCGTCTTCTCGTTGAGCAGCGGATAAGGAATCCCTGATGCCGTCCACGATTTGATCTTCATCCAGAATGGGATCTTGTGCATTCACGCGTAGCCACGCTTTGAAGGGCCCGTAGTCTTTGTAGGCAGCTGTTACGTCGGGTCCGGGCCGTGCCGGGAGTGGAGCCTCCGCGTAGACAAGGCGAAAATGAGACTGAAGCATTCGTTCTAGTACGCGACATTGCATGCGAAAGATGCGAGCGTTCGTTCCACCTCCATGGAGACAAATTATGCGTGGTAGATGGCGGGATGTGTCCATGTTGATGGTTTCTAGATGATTCAGGAGCTCGACGAAAAAAACCTGGGGACGACTGATGATCTCGATATCACCGTGGCGACACGTGGGTGATGAGAGGCAAATCGAGCTTACGCAGGTCGAACCATTTCTCTGTCTACGATATCACAACTGGTGCCATCACGGGCAAACTCCAGTCTATGAGTGTCAGCACAAGCCATTAGCCAACAAAACGCCGTGAGAACATGTTTAGACTTGCCAAGCTGGGCAGCTGTTAACTCTTGAGGCAGTATGACCGAAATAGGCCACTAATGTACGAAAAAGAATCATTTCAACGACTTAAACATTTCTGACAGGGATGAAGACTGGTTTGATTGGATTCTCGGAGTAATCTTTAGATCGACGTATGATCGACGTTGTGGATATGATAACCCCGAGGAATGGCCAAATGGGGTTAATCTCCGGTAATTGCCTAATGGGGTTAAAATCCCGGGAAGCTCAAAAGATGAAGGTGAAGCGACAACCCCGAGAGACAGCTGAATGGGGAAAATTTCCCGATAGCTAAAGCTCATATGTATAAAGGGGATTTCAAAATAAAATGAAGCTTTGTATCTTCACTTCATCTCTAATCAATTCCAACCTAAACAATCGACATGGCCGACAAGACCGCAGAGTCTTCTCTTCCCGAAGAGGCTACTACTCCCCAAGAAGCTATTCCACAAGAAAAGCCCACCGTGGGTCCATCTCCACCTCCCAACGGTGGAACGCTCGCATGGCTTAATGTCCTTGGCAGCTTTATGCTGTACTTCAACACTTGGGGAATCCTAAACACTTTTGGCGCCTATCAAAACTACTATGAATCCGGTGCTCTCTTCCACGCCAGCTCGTCCGACATCTCCTGGGTGGGATCCATTGCTGCTTTTTTGCTGATGTTTGTGGGCATTTTCGTCGGTCCCATCTATGACCGCGGCTATCTTCGAACACTCCTTATTGTGGGCTCCTTCATGGTTGTTTTCGGACACATGATGTTGAGTTTGTGCTCCCAATTCTGGCAAGTTGTGCTAGCGCAAGGCTTCGTCGTCGGAATCGGAACAGGCTGCCTATTCGTTCCATGTGTCGCCATTATCCCTCAGTACTTCTCGACCAAGCTGGGTGCTGCAATGGGCGCAGCTGTCTCGGGGTCCGCACTCGGCGGTGTCATCTACCCCATCGTTCTGTACCGACTCATCAATCAAATCGGATTCCCCTGGGCAGTTCGCGTCATCGGATTTATTGCGCTCGGCACACTGTTGCTTCCACTCTCCATCATGCGTCTACGCGTTCAACCGCCCAAGGTCCGCGCCATTATCGATCCCACCGCATTCAAGGACCCGGTGTATCTGGCTTTCGTGTTCACCTCACTCATTGCGTACATGGGCCTGTTCGTCATTCTGTTTTACTTGTCCTTCTTTGCTGAGGCAACTGGAATCACGGACAACAGTCTGGCCTTCTACTTGGTGCCCATCTTCAACGCAGCTTCGGTCTTCGGTCGTACAATCCCGAACAAGCTGGCCGACCGCTTCGGCCCCTTTAACCTTCTCATTCCCGCTGCCCTATCCTCGGGTCTGTTGATGTTCTGCATGATAGCAGTGCATTCAAAGGGTGCAGTCATCGCCATGGCTGTGCTGTCCGGCTTTATGAGTGGTGCATTGATCGGGCTGCCACCTATGTGTCTGGCTATTCTGACGGTGGACAAGTCGAAGATAGGTACACGTATTGGTATGGGATATGCAATCATAGCACTTGGTGTGCTGGTCGGAGGTCCCGGTGGCGGCGCAATTCTCAGGCAGAGTGGTGCATCACTTGATTGGCAAGGTTTGTGGGTGTTTGGTGGTGTTCCGACCTGCGTGTCAGGACTATGCTACATGGCGATTCGGGTCTACAAGTATGGCCCAAAACTGAATATCAAGGCTTGATGAGCGGGTTTGAGAACAAGGAGGAAAAAAAATCGCTAGATTAATGAAGATCAAATCGTTTTGCTGAAGGTTGGAGAAGATACAATACAGCCTCAACCATAGGCCTTAATATTAATAGAAATAAAAACTGAGTTCTAAATTCAGAGACCAAATCTTATTAGTACAACATGGGAGAGTGATGAAGACTAAATATGTGGCATGCGTTCAAAATATTTGAACAGTGAGCCCTGAGGCACCTGGAGGTGACAGGACCATCGTAGTGGGTAAGCAGCTCCCTGCTATTTAAATGATTTTCTCTGTTGCTCTTCCTCTTTTCTCTCTTTGACCGAACCGTATTTCCAAGACTGATCTGACTTCCACAGGGCGCGAATATCACATAGCAGTCCTGACTCCGCACATGAACGGCGCGATGACAACCTTCTCCATATCCCAAACTCCAGCATCCACGAATGGATTCTTCTCTATGATTCCCCGAACCTCCTCCTCGCTATTTGCTTGGAATAACAATACGCTGCTGCGCACTTCTGTTGTGTCCTCGGAACTCTTGGGATGGGCGGCAATTGTTGGTCCTCCAAATACAATGGTCCCGTCGAGGATATATGGCTTCAAGTGCGCCATGTGTGCATTGCGATTTGAGGCCCAGACTTGGAGGGTGGATGGGTCGATGGGGACTTGAACAAGAAAGTCGTGTTTGCCAGTTGACATCTTGTACTAGTGCAATTGACTGGGATTTGGGAAGAGGGGATCAAAGATAGATAAGACCTTATTTTGATTATAGTTTTGGCTTTGGAGGTAGGATGGCCTTTATGTTGCTTTGAATCCTGCTTTTGGGTAGGGAAGTATACTATTGAGAAGTGTTGGTAGGGACGTAATTATGGTGAGCCGGAGAAACCTTTATAATGACCATTAATAGGCATCCTTCGGAGTTACTTTCGCGTTGGTCCGAATTCCGATTGTTCCGAAGTAATAAATTAATCTCAACGTTACTTACCCTGGGGATATTGGAATTTGATTTCAACGAATCATTTAGTCTCACGACCGCTGAATTCAAACAGCCCCATTGACCTTTATGCTGATATCATGCTTATCTTTGGATACGACAACTATTACCCTGAGGCAATACAAGAATCCTGGATAATACTATCACACCCATCAGGTCATCCGGAGTATTACCCCTAGTTCTACATGTAATCAGATTGACAAAGAGATGCGATCATTGGCACAAGACTTCGGAGAATCGTCCACTCGAAATATTCGGATAGTAGTGAAGCAACAACTCAGATATAACTCAAGTTGCGTCCATCTTTTTCATGCTAATTTCAAAAGTTTGGCCCGTCTAAGAAACAAAATATGGGCAGTATTGATACCACCCCTCCAACCTCCATTCCGACGGTGGACATCAGTCCCTGGCTCGACGAGCATGCCTCGCCAGCCGCCAAAGATGAAGTCGTGAACGCTATGCGTGATGCATGTTCCACATTTGGCTTTTTCTATCTTGTTGGTCATGGTATCCCTGAAGAGGATCGCCAAACGGTGTTGGACTGCACTCGTCGGTACTTCGCCCTCCCTAAGGAGGACAAGATGGATACCTGGATTGGTAAGGCCATGGGAAGGTCATTCCGCGGATATGAGCCCCCTGCTCTCCAGGTGCATAAGGAGGGGTTATTACCAGATACCAAGGAGGTGAGCCTTGATAAAGGATCTGAGAATTTATACATACTCACTGTGTGCCAAACAGGGCTTTATTCTCGGTCGCGAGACCCCAGCAGATGCTCCCGAGGCGGGAACTTTTCATACCGGCCCTAACCAGTGGCCGAAGGCGCTGCCTAATGAGCAGTTCCGTATCCCTCTCATGGAATACCACGGCAAGATGATTGAGATGGTAAAGGTTATCCTGAAGATCTTAGCCCGGGGACTTCCTGCGGAGTGGAACTGCCCGACTGGCGTATTTGATGAACTGGCAATTAATCCGTCTGCGCCCTTGCGGCTGCTCTACTACGCCCCTCAATCTATCAAGCAGGCGAACCAATTTGGAGGTGCGTCAATTATATCAATTATCTTCAGTGTTCATGAGACTAACGCTGAGGATATATAGTGGGCGAGCATACCGACTTCGGTAATGTCTCGGTCCTGCTCCAAGAGGAAGGGACTGAGGGCCTGGAAGTTCTATATCCTCCAACACAGACATGGGTACCCGTGCCGGTAAAAGCACACTCATACGTTATTAATATGGGCGATATGATGCAGAAGTGGACGGTTGGGCACTACCGCAGTGCGCTTCATCGGGTTGTAAATTCTAGCACTAAGGCGAGGTATAGTGCGCCTTTCTTTTTGAATGGAAACTTGGATCTTGAATGCCATGCCTTGGATGGGTCTGGGGAGGTGACTGTTATCGGAGAGCACATTCGTCAGAGGCTGATGGAGACAATCGGTGGCGAGGCAGGGAGGAAATTAGGACTTTGAGTTGATTTAATATTGCATTGTAATAAGATACTAGTTTTTGAATACATTCAAATACTAAAATATTAAAAGAATAGTCTATCATATAAATTTGGGGAGAAAAAAAAGCCGAAAATCGCGATTTTGTTAGTGATAATAAGGGTGGGTAAATACTTTTGACACCCTATATACTAGAATGGAAAAGAATCAGTCAGGGTATATCTTGAAATTTAATATACGTACCCGATCGTACTGCAGCCACTGTGAAAGCTGGTAAACATCAGAAAGGGATGTTTCAATCAACACATGTACTTATTTCTCTATTTCCTGGAGCTTGAAACGCTACTTTGCTTCTCTTGTTTAAATGCACCACCTAATATCTAATGCTTGGTTCCCTAGTTGTACGGGACCTCTATATGGCCTGCTTCCACTTTTAGTTCAAAGGTACATACATATACAAGAACTATATTGTAAATGAAGGAGCTCGTAGCTATGAAATTAATATTTTCAGTGTCTAATAATATCATGATTCCTCGACTACATGTGGGAAACAGCATTGGCTTCCATCGGTAGAATCTGTGAATGTAGTGCAGATTAGGGTGCGATCCATTTTGTATGACGCAGACTGCATACGCGAGATTACACTGCATCGGCAGCGGCAATCTTGCATCTGCGGGTATCAAGATTCTTGGCAAGGCAGTCTGTTCATGGTGAGTACTAGCTTTGAACTACCTCAATTCCATGAGAATCAAGGAAAGTCAACCGCAGTTCTGAAGGAATAATGGTAGTAATATAGTAGTAGACGTATCTAATAGATTTAAATAGGGCAGTTTCTGCATCGTGACACGATATGCTATGGTGCTTGGCTCTGTTTGTTTGCCGTGATGTCCCGCGAAGTGGGGATCCAGCTTTATCTTCTCTCACTCTTCACTTCTATTTAAACCTCACTCTCAAGCTCCCATCCTTCATCTATTGATCACTTTGGCTATCACTTTGACCAGGGCTACCAACGTTATCAACCCTCAGGCAACTCCAATCGCCCCATCTCATCCCGCTCCAGCTAAAGCTCCAGCAGTATCCTTCTTGAGCTCAAATTCTACTACGGTATCAGTCAATCTTGAAGCTAAAGCACCGTTTCCAGCTATTCGGGCACTCTTTGATCACCTCCACAGTCACCTTGACGATGTTGCCAAGCTCAACGCAACCTACCCTCACCGGGGCGTCATCAAGACTGCTGCTCTACACAAAGCCGAATCGGATCAGAAGTTCACCATCGACCTCTCGCCTATGCGAAACTCCCGGATCCCAGAAGCTCTTCGTGAATCCTTGGATCCTCATGGCCTAGGTGAGGTCCTCGACCTCTTCAACGCCATCAGTGCTCAGTATGTACCCACCATACTGTCGTCTCTGAGCATCCTCGCCGGTACCGATCTGTCTGTGGCACATACGTCATACAATATGAACTACCGCCTATGTGATTACAATCCTAACACGGCTGCTCCCAAATCGTCCAATGGATGCGGAGCTCACACGGATTACGGAACCTTCTCAATCATCTTCCAAGATGGTACCTCCGGTCTGGAGCTCGAAGAGACTCCCGGCATATGGGTCCCCGTCCCTGGCGATGCCACTGTTGTCCTGACCGGTTGGTGTGCGGTCATTCTGAGTGGTGGTCGGATTTCCGCTGCCAAGCATCGTGTTCGCCGTGCCCCGGGCGTGCGTCGCTTGAGCGCTGTCTTATTCGTTACCCCTGACCTTGACGTGAAATTGAAGCCTCTGGGTGATTCCCAGCCAATCCGAACTTTCTCTGACACCATCATGCGTGGAGACCTGGATGTTGCAACCTTCAAGGACGTTATGGGAAAGAGATGGCGATATAGAGAGGGGAATGAAGAGATGGACAATGCAGACTCCCTCTCTCAGGATAACGAGATTGAGAACATGGTATGGGGCTAAGCTTTAAGATTATGACTAGCATTCGCTACAGGTGACTTGGAGTAATTGGATCTGTTCACAAACAGTATGAACAGATGGATTTATCATTCTCCGCTCCTTGGCTTGCTAAATGCGGCTCTTTCTCTGGTTTTTTTTTCCTAGTTAGCAGGGGTGATACTAGCAGATAGCTTTGCTTGCTCTCCAATATTGAAATTCTGGGGCCCCTTGGTTCGTTGACTTTTATCTTCAGAGTACACTGTACATGGACCTACGAAGCTGTGGTAGTAGGCTATCCTCCATCGACAACCCTGTAGGATATGCTGTAGAGAAAATAGTTTCTAGTCATCTTTGCTAACAGAGAATGAGTATGCAACCTCTGGAGAATGCTACACAATGCATGGTGTACTAGCAAAATAATCTGTGTGTGGCTGTAAAGAAATGGACAGAGAGAGTGCCTGAAGAGAGGGGGTCTTAAAACCCCGCAATTCTTCAGATCGGACGCCACCTCATCATTGCCAAATTGTTCTCGCTTAATTTAGTTAAAAGCAACGTTATGTCTCAATTCCCCTCTCTTTCACACCTATAGCGAGGCCCAGCTACGAAAATCAAACTTGTCTCCCTGAACTTCATCAGGAATAACATTTATGTAATACGCCATTATTTTATTTCTACGGCCAATACTTGAGTATAAAATGTATAAGATAACAGGAAAATCTTCAATTGTTTGTCATTGATTATCATTAAGGAAAGTGGTTGATATATATAGCATTCAGCTCATTCTCCGCGACATCTTTGCATCCACATCTAAGGGAGAGCAGCAGGGGCGTAGCTCTGGTCAGGCTTGACAACCTGGCCGCCAGCAAGCTGCTTATCGGTATAGGCAGGCCAGATGATCTGGTGGCAGTCGTTCTTGACAACGGAGAGAGTAGTGAAGCCGTTACCCGGTCCGAACTGGCCGCTCCAGCCGGAGGTGATGGTGAATCCGCCGCAGTTGGCGGGGCCGCCATTGGCTTGGGAGGCGGGGGAACCATTCACGACGTAGGTGCAGGGAGTGGCCTCACCAACACCGGGGTAGATGCCGAAAGTCCAGGTACAGGTGGTGTCTTCAGGGGTGCAGACACGTCTGGCGTTCTGAATGGTCCACTGGGGACCGGCGGCCATCATGGACTTGCTCTCGGTGTCTGCGGGGGCAGCAAAGGCCGAGGAGGCGAAGAGGCCAGTAGCAATGAGGATCTGAGTGAGCTGCATGATGTTGATTGAGGGGTTGAGGCGTTGATTAGATTGTTTGGTTTTGATGGATGTAGATGAGAATGAAGAGGACAGCATGGGAGGAATGAAGCTATTTAAGTATTTTCTCAACACTATATCATATTAAGCTTGAGCTCACATTCAGTTATTTCGTCAAGCTTGAAATAGAACGATGTATAAGGATGTAACATCGAGTCAGGTAACACCCGGAATAGGTAACACCCGAAATATGTACTCCACAGCCTTGTCTTAAAATTATGTAGGGACTTCAGTTGTGAGACAGCTCTAACAGTTATGATTTGTGCATTCTTCTTTGTGACTTCTTCTTTATTTCCCCACATGGCCTCCAAATTGAATTTCTTGTTTGTTTTTAAGACAACTACAAAACCCGACCAATCAGATATTTGTATAGCCACGGTTCACCCCGCAAATGTGGTCAGGCCGGGTGTCGATCGATCAATGACCCTGCGCCATGTTCCTCTTATACGAAGTAATGAATATTGGATGGCCTGACTTCGAGGGGTTGAGAGAACCGGGATCAACCCGGTGACCCCGGTTACGGGTGCCACGATTTTCACGCCACCCTCAAGAACCTTAGAATGTTGTTTCGGAATGATAGAAGTGGATTTGGCGCTGAGGCCAAGGGGTATTAATTGGATCAGGATACATACCTCTGTGGGGTGGGCATCTTTCATGATTAGCCCACATACCGCCTTCCCCGGACCGCATTCCATATCCGGGACAATGGTCAGGACACATGTGCTGATATTTTTAGACTCTTTTTTCTTAAATTATAACAACTGATTCTTAGAACCCGATATTGATTAGGCGCCCGTCTCTGTTCCGCAGGGCTGAGGCCTAAATCAAGCAGTGCAGGTGGCCAGGTTCCTTTTTTTGTCTTCGCATATCGGCTGCAAATATTTCTAAGGCCGCCAACAGGATATTGCAGACGAGCTTACGGTTGATTCGCTTAATGATTCTATGAAATGAACGAATTCCAAGCAATCTGGGCCCGCAATATCCACCGATTCTCTGGTCCTTCGCCCCCGCTATTTCAAATTTTGTAGGCAGCGACCCCCTCGGCAGTAGCCTTTCGCTTGTTGCTATAGAGACCTGGGCTTGACGGTTTGTATTCGCTAATGCTTCCATTAGATACGCTTTGAGACTGTGAACATTTGGGTTTTTCTTAGTTGCCAGGTCGCAAGCCTTTTCGGCCTCCCTGTGTTCTATATTTGAATTCGACGTAAAAATTCTGTTCCAGGAGATGTATATCCGTAAGGGTGGTATTGCATCAAGTTGGCGATGGTCCACCCGTATTGCCACTGTCTTTTCCCAGCCATCAAATCAATTCCCACAGAAATCCGCTGGGTTACCGAGTGCGTCTCGAAGTAAACCCGTGAACGAGAGCGTTGCTGGTAATTGTGGAGCCGGGTTTCAGCATGGTAGTAATGCACAGCGCACTACACCGCTTCTTGGCCTGTGACAAATTAATCTCCATGACGACCCGTGGTCCACCAAGTTGTGGGAGCTGAAGGGTAGTAAACTTGTTCAGCTCTCGCACTGCCAAGCATTCGCGTTAGTCCAGGTGTTCTTGAGTAGGTGGCTTGCAGCAGAGCTGGATGGTTCGTTAAGGCGTCCTGCTAGAAAGGTCGCCTTGGAGGCTCAGAAGAACCTCGTTGATGTGGGGGAGTTTGTCGTAAGTAGGGCGTCGCAATCGACCTCGGTTTCATAGCGAATGGGCCGGAGACCAAGAATCCTCGGACCTAGATGTGCATGTAACATAGCCGGTTGGAGCAAACTTCTATCCATGTCCGCGAGGGGAATATCGAGAATTTGCGGGGAATATTCTGCAAGAGACTGGGCTAGACGCTCCAATCCTCTCAGGGGTTATCGATCTATATGATCATGCGCTCAAGCTGGGGTTTTCTACTCGAAAGACCCGTTTGCCGGCATGAAATCATGCAAGGGCTGGGGGTCAAGTCGAGCCCTCCCCGTGACAATAAACCATGCTTTGTGTATCTAGAGCATGCCTATCTACAGTCTACAGGAAGGCCCAGTTTATGACGATAACTTCTCTTGTTCAGTACCGAGTTCCAAAATCAGGAGCAAAATATGATCTTGAATGGCCATCACTTGTCCTTTACTCGGTAGTATACATGACATCCGTCCGCAAGGTATACTTGACACCTCTAAACACATCATCTCCACCATGGAACAGATTCCTCTGCTGAAAGATGAGAGCAGACCCCGTCTTCGGAAAGACCCTAACCGACTCCTTCGAGTTCATTCCAGCCATAAACGATGTTGCACCACCCAGAAGTGCCTCATTCCCGTCACCAACTTGAGCTTCCTCAGGCTCATTCTCGGCAAGATCAATCTCCCAACTATTTACAAACAACAAATTACTCTTCTCCGCCCGCTCAATATGAGGTTGTAATTCCTCCATATCCTGTTCTCCATCTCCATTCAGATATAAATGAATAGTAAAAAGGGAGCTCTCTAGCTCATCGGGGGTAACAAAACGCCCATCCCAATGGGGCCTGAAATAATCTCCACCCTCGTATCGCAGGAACCGAAGACGCTCATTCAGCCGACTGAGATGGAACACTTCGCCCGCTTTTGCTGGCCTGAGTCCCGTAATTAACGGTTTGTTCTGGATACAGTCAATTTTGCACTGTTGAATAAAAGGCATTATTCGGTCCAGGATCCTGCCTGAAAGATCGTGAGAGTCCAATATGATCCGTCCGCTCTTGCGCGTGTCGACGGACAGTACTTGTCTGCCGCCGCCGGCGTTGATCATCGCCTGTTCCCATGCCGGGGGTGAGAGGGTTGAATCTGCGAGTTTAATTCTCGTCGATTCTTCTGCTAGGCGAATGAGCTCTTTGCATTCGGTTTCCGTCAGGAGGTTTTCCACTACAGCGGCGAAGTGGCCTTTGTATAAGGGGATCGGTGGGGATGTGTGCTCGAAATCGAGTATATGGAGGGTTGCTTTTGGGACTGGAGCCCGGAGGAAGTTTTCTGGAATCTCGTCTGTCATTGTTGTTGTGGTCTCAAAAGCTGGGAATATTGAAAATGATTTTTTAGGGGGCTGAGGCTTTTATACCCCACTTTTGAGGCTCTGCTCTCCTAGGGCCTAGACAGGGTTGTTGCCTGTAGTTTCGGCCAATCATAATGAGGAATCTCTATAAGTAAGAAAAGTAATAACATCCTATCGCTGTATCCAAGTACGATCTTCCTTATGAATACTTGTCACTTCCGTATGATCCAAACTAGGCAAGTCGGGATGGCATTGCTGCTCAAGAAATCTTAGATCAAGGATGTTCCAGTTATTTCAATTAGCATTGACCACTTCAGAGACTTGTTCTGAAGCTGAGTCGGGACAAGCAGTGCAACTGTGCCAGTTGACAACTCGGGCGGTTTTGACTCATAAGATCTTTCTTCATATTTTATTTTACAATGCCTTGAATTGTCCCTTCAGATTAGAGTCATGGATCGATCCATACTTGTGCTACTAGTTTGCTCTCCCATTATAGTTGTTTGTATACCAAACCTAGTTCTATAATCTCATCTTTCTACTTTATTTGTCCTTTTCACTATCTCAAGCGGCTATTTTATCACATATAATACACGGGAAAGTCTTTTTGGACATTTTCTACTTGTGCAACGTCATATTCCCTATTCTTTGCGGGTCGTTCATTTTGTCTATCTAGCTCCAATGCCAGCGGGGGAGGGGATAATCATTTAGATAAGACATATACAAAGACATGTAAAATATAAGGTCCCTTATATCATCTTCATCCAAATGGATTATATTATTAAACTGCGTTTCCAGTGATAGAGGCTGATGATGCGGCCAGCTATTCTTGTGTAATTTCAGCCTGGCTATGGCAGGCTGAAGTCAATATATATCGAATAGTTCCTCGAAAATCCACATCTATTGACAAAAAGCCTCTATCAAAACTAGCTAATCACTTTCTCGAGAATTGATGAAAAGACAATTGCATCTCCTGAAAATTCTCCTCGGTATACTCCTCGTCGGCCATATCAGCCTCTCAGTTTTGCTACCTTCTCAGGTAATCAGTCCTATCGTTTTTCACTTGGAAAATAGTGCGAATATTCTCCTCCAACTCATCTCCAGTCAGACTCAGTCCATCGTCGACAGCCAAATTCAACTCGTCGAGAGTCTAAATCTGATCAGTAATTATCCAGAAATTCCAAGGTTGTTGCAAGTCAGTCATACCTTGACACATTGATCAATCGCTAGGTTGCAGATGTTGCATAAGGGTCCGTCGGACACGAAACAGGCGTGCTTCAGAGCCGGGCCTGTGTGAGAGGAGCCGGACTGGCTGAGCTCGCTGTACGTCGCCCTGGCTTCCATTTCGGCCTTTCTGGCCTGTTCCTGTTCCTGTTCCTGTTCCTGTTGTGCCGCAATCTGCGCTGCAATTTTCTCCGCAATACGGGACGAGCGTCTCAGTAATTGAGGTTTCTCGTCTGGTTTGGCCATGATGAATTCAAAGTGTGAAAGTTGCGTTGTTGATTGATGCGTGTGGAGGCTGGTAAAGGAATCTGATGAATGCTATAGATAATTATCAAAAAATGGAATTCAGGGGTCTTTATAGACCGGACAGGTTTGAGACACCGTCCAGGCACAGAAGAGCTCATTATACAAAGAAGCTTGCATAAGTGAGACAGTAGAGGACTTGTTCCTTGCGGTTTCCATAGCTTCGTTGGCCAACAAGGCAACTTACGCTAGACCTTGTGGGTCGTTTTAGAATTTCTTGCATCTAGATCAGTCTGTAACAGTTGTGGTTCTTATTCTTCAAAGCTGGAAGTTCATCAACAAAACTTGTTTCAACTTGAACTCACTCGGAGTAATACCGTTTATCAAGGATCAAAGACACTGGCAGTGCAGTCAAATTTCAATTTAAGACAGCTACTATCAGTTAAATATTATTCATACCGACTTGCTCTTATCAACGATTCAAAGAAAATGAAACTACAAACACAACTACGGGCGACTATAGGGATCACCGTCACATAACTCTCTCGTTGGATATTGCCTTCCCTACGGACGAATAAGCATGCCATCGAACTTAACTCTCTCATTGGATAATATTTCCAGGCAGTATTTCAGTCATCCAAAGATCAAATTCCTCAGACAAAATTAGACCCAGGGTAGGAGACTAGGAGTACACACCGCGAGAGCGCTGTATACCAGTTGCCGCAACTGTTGCACGATTAGCAAGTGCATCAGGTCTCTAATCCCGATAGGCCTAGAAAACACGGTCCCTAATAGAGAGGTAAAATTAATTAGTAACGATATTATATAAAATATAATTTTATAAAATTGTGATAGAAATTGAGGTGTAGATATCTATATGTACATAATTCCAAGGTAGTTTTTGTAAAGTGAGAGTAGATCTAAATTACTGCCAGGCAATATAAACGAGAGAGTTATGTGACGGTGATCCCTATAGTTGCCCGTACACAACCTTAGGTCCTAGGTACCAAAGCAAAATTATGTAAGCATTACATCAGCCAGTTGTGGCACAGAGTATTGTGGCTGAGTTTTCCTGATTGGTTCGCGGTCCATGTCGTCTCTCACATCCTCATCCTCGCATTATTGGAGCATCTTTAAGACAAAATATCCATTATCTTTGGTCCAACATCAAAACACACTCCCTTATCCTACTCTGGACATTTTTATCTTGACATTTCACTATATAACAGACAACGCAGGTTGATCTCATTGTCCACAAAACAGTCACTGCGATACATCATTGTCTTCCACCTTGCTTGGTTGTTCATTTCGGAAGTCAAGTGCCTATCCTAATACATATTTATATATAATCACCTCCTGAGGCCCAAAGTGCCAGTTATTGGAGTGGATTAAACCATTCAATCAAGTCCCTCGCAAAGCCATGTCAACTGCCCCGGGGATGGCTACTACCAATGAGAACTCTACCCAAGGGCTGACGACCAACAACAGCGAGGTCTCAGGGCTGGACTCGGAGATTCAACTTGTTTCGTCACTAGCAAAACTACAAGAACTTGAACGCAAGGTAAGTACATGAATTGTTACAGCTACCACAAAGCCAAGCTAATGATATATCCAGATCCATGAACTGCGTGAATTCATGCCCCATGGCCTATTGGAGCCTCTAGTGCCTATTGCAAACCCAGACAGAGTGACACCTGGCAATCCAATCGCTGAAACTCCTCAGATCCTCCGTGCTAGCCTAGATGAGGCCGCACGCGCACGCGTCGCTGATGTCCAGCAATTTCAGTCCTTGTGGCGGGATCCGGAATTGGCATCCGCCTGGGCGCATGTTGAATCGCGCATCAAGGAAGCTAACGGTCAGCTTATCCAGCCGACGGGGAAGTGGGAAAGAGATTATGACGTTCTTCTAGAAGAGCTAGCACGAAAAGAAAAGTCCAAGGTAGATGAGCGTCTGCGAGAGGAGGAGGAGGCTGAACGTACTAAAGCGCAATCTACCGAGGGTGAATGGCAAAATGTTTTGGAACGATTCGTTCAGCGGAATATACCCGGTGTACGGGTTGTCAAGGCCCAGGATGAGACTTCTCTGGCAGTAGCTCTTGTTAGAGCTGGTGTTGTCTTCCAGGTCAGGGGAGTGTCTGTTTCTGGCTCCCCGGTCTCTGAATGGGAGGTTTCGAGCAAGATCGCTGGCCGGTCACCGACGAAACTTGAGAATGCTATACTGGGATGTGTGGGGTCACGCCCGCGCAAATGGGACCTTGCCTTTTTGCTAGTATGTTCTGTTCCTGACCCCGAAGGAGACTCTTGCTAACACTAGTTCAGGATATGATATCTTCCTATACGGATATCAAGCAGACACCATGCGTGAAATGCAACCGCCTGACTGATAACGGCGCCCAACTGCCAACTCTCCGGCGCCCTCAAGCCAATCAACCGTCTATTGATGGGCCAGCACGTATATACGTCTTTGACGCATTACATTATGGATGCCTCTGATTCAAAAGGTCTCCATCTATCTGCCTATATCTTGGAACTTGAGGGAGATTTTAGGAGAACATCAGCCATTGAGCTAGATCTATCTCATGTTGGTTCTGAGAGACAAAATGATTGGAAGCATTCAAGCGATCTATCTGGATTTAGCAAACACAATACCATCTAAATACCCTCCCAGCACTCCACTTCCTTCGTTTCCTTTTCTTTCAATCCCGTCCCATTCTGTTCACTCCATTCAACTTCTATGCCTCCCATAGATAGCATCATGCCAAAATTCCGCCGGATACTCATACCCATTCCGATCCCAATATCGCATCGGCACACAATGCACCTCCTCCTTCCCGACCCATTCCCCCCTCCGAGACTTTCCTCCATTGCAATACTGAACAGCACTCCACGTTCCACGGTCCGGGACATGGTACTTCCTTGTGCGGAAATCATAGCGCTCCCCCGCAGGCCGCCGCGCCCAAGGGAACGGACTGTAACCTGAGTCAGGGTCGGAAGGGCTCTTCCCCCACCGGGACCATTCTTGTGTTGTGGGCCCGGACCGTTTAGAGGTTGACTTTCTGGTCTTGGTTTTGGGCTGGTCGATTCGGCCCACGTAGATGTCTGGCCCTTTATTTGTGAGGACGTCAAAGAAGCGCCAACGGCGTGGCCAATGTTGTGGGTTGCCGGGGCGTGGATCTTTGGGCCAGATCCAGCCTAGTTGGGACGGCATTGTCTCTTTTTTTTGGCTCCGGATAGGTTTCGCGGCAGTAGCTTTGGGGGTGGATGTTGAGTGTGGAAGAATCAGGACAGATGAAGTAGGATGGAATTGGCTTCATGGAATGGAGAAGAGGTAGAATGGAATTAAGCGGCTCCTTTTATATCGTATGTTCTAAGGTCTCAGTCAATCAACCGCTTGAATGGAATTCCGCAGTTCTCTTTACTTGTGAGACAGGATCTGATTTCTGATTGTGAGGTGCGAGACATCAAGCCACACATTTGTTCTTGTTTGTCTTGGAGTAATAATGGTAACAATCGCATGAGAAGTGGAACTGACTACTTCAAATGTCACAATAAAGGGATTATCACGGCTTCGTGCATAGTGTATTTCCATTAGGCAGAACAACAAGTGTTACTTTGTTAGCTACACTGAGACTATATACACCCATAGGCAGGTATAACCTTCCAGACACTCTTTGAGCATAGATCTACAATGCCCTGGTACATAGATGCACAGGACACGAGCAAGAATGAAGAAGCTGAAGGATTCAAAGGATGCATATCTCTGTCAAAGATTATGCATAGCGAAGTCATCTGTATAGTTCATACTTTTCCCACCCTTTTTTACTGTCTAGCTATAGAATTGAGATAGGGAGGAAGGAAAATAGCTAAACAAAGACATCTAAAAAGATATCTACAAAGAATATCTCAGTAGACTGCCAAAAGGATATCACAAGGCGGCATGAGCGGCCGACCATCCTTGTATGATTCATTGGGTCTCTGTATTCCAGACTCACCTGGGCATGTAGGAACTTATATCACTAGAGCTTTCTACATAGTTGGACTCCTATATTTTCTGCCTCGTGGAATGATCTATGAAGTCAACCTCCTCCTTTTCTTTTCTTTTCTTTTCTTTTCTTTTCTTTTCTTTTCTTTCCTCTTCCACTTCACGTCTTCTCACTTTCTTCCCGCGCATTGTCCTTATTTTTTCTTCATAAGGTTCTACTAGACATTATACCTCCGATATTTATCTATAATATTATCTTCTATTATATCATCTTTGCTGAATAAAATCTGTGAACTCTTGTCCATAAGTAATCATACTACTTTCAAGCTTAACAATGAGCCTCACGATATCGGGAATGACGCCTTCGACAAATAATAGGTCATTTAGCGGGATTCCAATAGAGAAAGGCAGGAAACCGACTCCGATAGAGTTCAACTCACAAGCAATGTTGGTCTATCGGGGGTTCTGAAGAAGCTGAATCTAGTACGACCTCATATAGGAAGTGACTCACACATAATACCCGCTAACCCTCTTAGTTCTGCAGACAAATACCAAGAGCTGCATCGGTATATTGAGCGGCAATGGGTGTACGTGAGTTCTGCTAGTTGGAAATAGGCACATATATCGAGGAACTAATCCAAATGACAGGCACGAGCACTCTAGATGTGCCGTTTCTCGCTGGCGAGCGACCATTTAACCAGCGACGAGACTAATACTCAGGACACTATCAGCCACGAAAGCAGCGGCCATCACTCCAGTGCTCGGAACATTGGCAACGACGAAGGCAACAATCACCATGCAGACACTGAAGTCGTGGTTTCAGCAGAAATGAATACTAGTCACCGCGAACTCTAGGCAGCCAAGAACAACACTTCCCTACTTCAAAATCAACGTGGTCCGTTGGTAAATCGGCCCGGGTTACATGTGCTAGCAAGGCTATTTGGCAATGGAGCGCTGGAGAAACTGAGACATCTATAAACATTCTGTTCTGCACATGTCTCGAGCCTGAGTTTTGCCTTTGTTGTTCTAAATCTTTGCACTCGCAGGAAGCGATCTATACATCAAAGACCCCTTTCAACGGTAAACCCCTAACATACCAGTCACGCGGTCCCAACGTCTACAGCACAGCGCAGTCTTTGGGAAGACCGAAGCCATATATAAACAAGAAGCCAAAACCAAAGACACATAGGAAGAGTTGCACGACGTTCTAGACATTTAATGATGCAATCATATTGGAGGTTTAGATTATTATCCGCTAGACTGCTGGTTTGATCTTTTGCGAAGGAGTTCAGCCGCCTGAAACTTCATAGCTACGTTCAAGGGCATGTTGTTGCGGTTGGGTATGGCGTCGATGTCGAATCTCTGGATCCTTGAAGGTCAACCTCATCTAACTCGAGACTTGTCATCACTGCGTGGAAGCCAATAGGGAAAATAGAGGATAACTAAGGCCAGAATGAGAGTCCTGTGGTGCCTGAAATGGCGTTTGAATCACAGTGAGAACCACAAGTGGGATGGAAATATGATCTTGAAGGTACAATTGAGGATCAGCCAGCGGTACGTTAGTGGGAAATTTAAGAATTCTAAATTTGAAGACCCTCAGGATCTTGAGGAAGAATATCCTGTAAGAGAGGGCTGAAGGTGATGCAACAGAGGTTGAATTATGTATGCAAAGCCGAGAATACAGAATGAAAATGTCCAATTGGCGATCGCCGCCAATTAATAATAAAAATAAACAGATTAAAAAAAAGGATGAGGCGCACAAAATATCCAAACATGGTAACTCATCCTATATAGCAACTTATCACGCAACGCCGTTTTCTTGCTATTATCGTAAATCAAGATCGCTTCAACAATGCAACGCCCCAAAATGGAAGAATATATTCATGATAAGTCAATGTGAATGCATCGAGTGGGCGCTTTTCAAGTGGTAAGGACGCCAGCACTACCCGCAAACCAGCCAAACGAAGCGAAAGTGATAACAGCCATGCCGACGGTAAATTTGATGGCTAGGCGGCTGGTTTCGGACAAGGCGCCGCTGCAGGTGGCACAGTGGAATTCTAGGCAGGTTAGCAATTAGTTTGAGCGAGGATGGTTGGAAATACTCACCATTGAGTGGGGTGTAAGACTGAGGGGCGTACATCCCAAAGACGAAACCACCGTTCTGCGAGCTCAAGTATCCTGCGGTCGCGGGATCGTCGATTTCCTTGCTAGCATCATAGATGATCAAGGTATACGATGCGGTAAGCAACGGAGCGGTGGCTGATTTCTGGTATTTTCCAGTATCCCACACGATGCTTCCGGTTTCCTTCACGGACATGTTGGAGGCGAGCGTGTATGTCATCGAGTTGAAGCTGCACGAGGCGACGACGTTGATTGCAGACGGCGTGACTATCAGGGAGGTGTAGTTCCATGCGAATGTCACATCCTGGCCGATCTTGTAGTAGCTCGTGGACAAGGCGGCGGGGGTGATCATGGACACACCGCCAGCAGCGCCAGCAGGGTTAATGGAGATCGAGGTCGTGGCGGTAGTCTTGCTTTTTCCCGTCTTCGTCTCAGTTGTTTTGCCGGTCTCCTCGGAATCGGTTGCAGTGCCTGTTCTGGTGTTGGTGTTGGTTTTTGTGTTGGTGTTTGTGTTTGTGTCGGTGCTGTCGCTGTCCGTGGCGGTGCTTCTAGCAGAAGTCCTGGAGGCAGTGGGGGCCTCCGTGGTAGATTCGGAGGTTTCAGCGGTTGCTGTATCTGTGCTGTCTGAATCATAGGTCAGTATCAGGCACAATGGTATGATGAGACTCCTGAATTACCTGCTCGCTTTTCCAAGGAGTCACCCAGAAGCCCTCCGTGCAGCTGCCATGGCCAAGCCGATGACATCGTCCCCAGCAACAGAATAGTGCAGAGCACAGTCAAGATCAAACACCGCATGTCGAAGGTCGGAGTGATTATCTGAAGGTTCAAAAATCAAGCGACCGAGGTATTACTCCTGGGCTGTAAGATGAGCTAGACTGATCACGCCCTGTGCACAATCTGGTGTGACTAAACAAAGAAAATGGCCTGTGTCGAAACAGGCTTATCGATTTGATGTCCGTACCAAGCAATTTCGGTTGCTACGGAAGGACGATCAAAAGGGACGTGGAGTTCAGAATAATGTTATTAATTCCCTTGGCCAGCTCTGGAGTCTGGACGCTAAACCTTGCAGATCTTCGGGAATGTGGATTTTCGATTCAGAGCAACGATTCAACGATTGTAGATAACTTCAAGGCGAACAGTAAACGAGTGTCTTGATCATTGGAGAGGGAAAAAAACAGAGAAAGAGAAAGGCGATGTTTGACTATTGCGGGGCTAAGCCCAAACAGGTAGTGGCTGTCATGCATGTGAGACATCGGCTATTTATAGTGATAACTATTTGCACCATCAAATGATCTATGTTGTGTATTGTATCCAGGGACTTGCTATATAATCTAATATGTGTATCAAGTCTGAGATTATGGTCTGGTTGGGCGCTCAAAGGTTTGATTTCATGTTAAAGTGAGGTGCGGTTGCTCTATATATATTCCCTCTCTCGGATATGGTTACAAAATGATTCCTAAATGATATGAGCACTAATTCAGTTATTTTGACTCCGTAGCATTCTCATTGGTTTTACTTTACTCCATACCACATAATATATATCATATCAAACTAAGCCTGGAGGAGTTTGTACAATATAAACAGCAGTTTCAGGAGGAGTCGGAGTAGAAAGACTATCTACGTGACCACGTACTTCAATGTAAACAATACCTCCTAAATCATTCATTAATCACATATCCCCAAGTTTGTCCAACATCCCAATACCATTCCAAGGCCATACAACCCGGATCAGCAGCATGATGAATGACAGCTAGTGAACCATGACATAGTATAGTTACACAACACAACAAAACCACAGAAGAGCTATCACTAACCAAGTCTTTAACACCGAACGGAATATTTGTTGCTGGCCCTAATATAGCCTGAGGTGCTACTACAGGATTAATTGACCTAGTCATGGTGTAAACTATCCACCTAGAACAATCAATAACTAATCCAAAGTGCATGCCTGATCTACAATTGCCACCTAACTGTTAGTACCCAAGGTTGGGCATCTCTTGGTTCCGAAGAAGCTCCCCGATCGTGGGGGTGGCGATATAACCACAACTCATGGGTAGCCGAAGAATGTTGGGGATTCAGGGATGGAACGGACTTATTGGGGGATATGGGGATAAATCATAATGTTCTCTATCATTGCTAGTATGGAGACACCCCAGAATAGACCGGATGTGATGCTAGTGAGGATTTGTATTATTTTCTGCGAAGAATTTGATATTAGAGCATTCATAGGACACAGAGGTATCTTGAAATGAATAACTAGTAGAGGAATCAAATTAATTATCAATTAAGCTTGAGGTATACGCCGAAATACGCCGAAACCGAGGTACAGTAGGTTCAAAAAGAACACATCAATTAGAAAGCAGGCATCAAAATCTGACGTTCGCTACGAGCTAAAATCCAAAATCCCTAAGCAGAGCTCTGGGGAACAGCGTGAAGCTGGATTTTGTCGCATCCAGCGGGTAGAGCAGGATCCTGAACAGACTTGCTGAGGAAGTGCAAGTTGGGAAGGAACTGGCCGGCCGCCATATCGGCAGGGCACCCTAAAGAAAAGAAGTCAGCCGTTGGCACTTGACACGATCATGTAGCGTTGGAAATGGCATATAATGAGAACTTACACAGCCACCCGTCCCAGGTCTCACTGGGTCCCTCGACGCCCTGCCGGCTGACAGAGAAGCCCTTCGAGCCGTGAGTGGGCTTGACGCTGATCTGGGCGCGCTCCTTGCGGACACCTGGTACCAATGTTGTTAGCATTCCGGGTTCGGGAACAGTCACATCAAAAGGTAAGCTCGGGCCATCTTACCTGCCACGTTGATCAGGTCTAGAGCCCAGGGGGCTTTCGACTCGGTATCCAAGAGGATGGTGCCGTTGACGAAGGAGAAGGCGGCAGCGCGGTTGGCTGAGGGTCCAGAGAAGACAGCCTCGCTATTGAGCGGGTCGCTGATCAGCCCGTGGCCAACGGAAATGTACAGGTCATTGTGGGAGCTGTTGCTAGCGCCGGAGGTCTTCAGGTTGAAGAGCCTCTGGGATGGGGCGGCGGCCACAGCGGTAGCGAGGAGAGCGACGGTGGCGAAGAACTTCATTTTGGGTGATGGAGAAGTTGAATTTAGATTTCGATTGGTTTTTCAATGTTGTATTATAGGCTTTTTTTCAGGAGAGGGGTAGGATTTTGACGGGGAAGTGACGCATTTATATGCGTTTGGATCCATGGGAGGCAATCGATGAACACATGCTCCACGGTGGAGTATAGAGTCGGGCTGTTTCGAGTGTCCAACGCTGATCCAAATACTCCGTAAACATCCTTGAGATCAAAATAGAATTGGTCGGTGAAGCATTGCTAGAACTATTGATTGTTCAACATTTCTTTGACTCTGTACTCTGGTGATGTTCTTCCATTCTTCTTTTCTTTGGTTTTCTTTCTAGCATGCAAGGGATTAGCAACTTTGAGCAAACATAGTGCAGGATCTTTTGCTTGATCCACGCTGTATCAGAACCTGTGTGTATGGGGTAAACGAGAGGACGAACCCACTGGATCCTGATTGCAATCGACATCCTGGAAGCCACTAAGTGGGTACCTGACTAGCTATACTATCCGAGCCAGTCATGATGATGATCGAGTGTAGATCACACCCACCGGTGCCTTGTCTCTCCTTTAACGGAAGCTCCTGAGACAAAGATTTATGATATCAATGATGTGGTTTTGGCCCTGGTATTGGGTAGCACAATGATAAAAGGTGAAATTTGTTTCACAAATGACTTCATCCAAAAAGAAAAGATCAAGAAATATACCAAAACCCATTCGCCACCAAAGAAAAAGACAACAAACAACGCCAAGATCCCGTGGAGTCTTTCCCCTGAATCCCTGTCCAACGTTGCGACTCTACAAACGAAAATCTCTTACCTATTCGGTTCGCTATAGCCTCGCTTCCATCTTTTTCTCTCTCACATTTGTGGTCCTAGAAATAGAACACGGCCCACTGAAAATATTGAAGGGCTATTGTACGGAGTGAATATTATTATTAGAATGTCCCCTTTCTTTTGATAAGTTACGGGGGAACACACTATGATTCATACTTGGCGCACATCATGGACAGTGTGTATGAACGCATGTGGCTTGATTGAACGGCAGCTTGCCTCTATGCGTATTGGAACATCTTGGTAGCGTCCCACAGGGCGTTTTAAGCATGTGCCTAGTGGAGACCGTCTATGTACTATGTACCTACAACGATGGAGTATGCAGTATGATGTATGGAGTACGGAGTACTTACAAAGTATATCGCGTTTCTGATTTCCAACTGCGCAATTACACAAGGGTATCGGCATTGTCATTGTGATTCATCATCTCATGAGACTAACTCCCTATCGTACATGAATATCCCCAGAGTAGATGCCCTCAATTCACCAACTTCTGTACAAGCTCCCTCACCGTACCTGATTATTAGCATTCCGGGCAAATTCAGGCTTCAGAGTCCACCGACCCCGACGATCACGACCATGTTCAAGTGTCGCAACCTTCTTCAACGACTCCTGGAACTCAGCAACACGTTGCGGGTTAGAGCAGTAATGATTGAAATGTTGAACAATCGACTGTGAGAGAGTCGGCCCACGCTGAGAGGCAAGGAAATCACGGATCAAGGGCATGAAATCTTTGCCACGTGGCATACGTGCTGATGGACTAGCAGAGTCACTGGCTCTCTGTCCAGCGGCAGCAGCTGCTGCAGGATTGAGCCTAGCCAACAAGTCCGATGATGAGGGTCCTGCACGAGCAGGGCGAGCTGAGCTACCACCAGCCCGTGGATCTTCGCGGCCTCCTATCCCAAATCGACCTGTCCAAGTGGGAAGTCCGATCGGGAGTGCCCGGGCGGTTTCTTCGGCTTTGCGGAGCTCTTCGGCGGCTTCATTAGCGACGCGGCGAGCTTCGGCTTCGATCATCTTGGGGTCTGCACGAATGACTCGTTTGCCGTTTACGATCTGATCGTGCTGGAGTGCAGAGTGGACGCCGGAACGAGCAAAGATGCCATGCATAATGCGGTCTTCAGAAGATTTGGCGTTCTTTTCTTCTTCGGCAGTGTTTTGGAAGTCTTCGACCTTGGCGATACCATGGATGTCGTTGATGTCCTCCTCCTTGAGAGTCGGGTCAGGCTTGATCTTGCTGCCGCGGGCATCACCTTTAACCTCTTCCTGATATGTGACTTCAGCGTTTTTGAAGAGTTTGGTCGTCTCCAGCTCGTCGTCATTTTCGTCCGTCAGAGTGAACAGGTCATATAGATCACTCAGCTGGAAACCTTCTCGTTGATGAGGATCACGGGTGATTTTGTTGGTCAAGAATTGTTTAAAGATCTGGCGATGATAGATCTTCTCTTCAATAGTGCCCTTCGTCATTAAGCGGAAGATGGTTACATCCCGCTTTTGGCCCAGACGCCATGCGCGCTCTCGCGCCTGCAAGTCAGTCGATGGGTTCCAGTCGGGATCGTAGATAATGACACGGTCAGCACCTGTCAAATTCACTCCGATCCCGCCCACACGGGTGGTGAGTAAGAAAACATGGAGATTAGGGTCATTGTTGAATTCGTCAACCAGGTTCTGGCGCTCTTTGATAGGGGTAGTCCCGTCCATTCGGCGGTAATTGAATCCACCCAGTATCCCAAGGAATTTCTCAATTATGTCAAGCATCAGACGGCCCTGGGTAAAAAGCAGGGTCTTGTGGCCAGTATCTCTCCAGACCTCAAGTAGACCCTGCAAAACCTTCATCTTGCCAGACCGCTCTGCATCACCATAATCCGCTTCGCGAGACCGCAATGCGTGGTCTGCCAAGTCTGGATGATTGCTGATCTTGCGCAAGATGTCAATTCCAAACAAAGAATTTCTTTTCCCCCGTACAATAGATTTCATATCATCTGAGCCAAGGAACCTCTTGTAGATGGTTCGCTGGAGTTGAGTCAATTTGCAGAAAATGACCTGTTCGCTTTTCAGCGGCAGATCAGATGTTACATCAGCCTTGAACCGCTGAAGCAAATAAGGACTGATGGCATCTTTGAGAGTTTCTGCACATTTTGCAGCAGTCTGCACTTGAAGGTTTGATGCAGAGGCATACCCACCTTGACGGATGGGGATCTCAAACTGATTTTTGAATGTAACAAGGTTTCCCAGGCGCATTGGAAAAACAAAGTCAAATAGAGACCAAAGATCCACCAGGCTGTTCTGCATTGGGGTCCCTGAAAGAATGATGCGATGTGGAGTGCGAAGTTCCTTGCAGCTGAAAGTGATGCCGGCATCTGGATTGCGGATTTTATGACCTTCGTCAAGGATAGCACAGCCCCACTCAACATCAACAAGAGCATCTGCATAAGACTGCAAACCCGAGTATGTAGTCACGAGGACATGACCCTCCTCAGTGACACGCTTAATGATCTTTTTGGCCGCTTTCTGACCAGCAGATAGGTGACGAGAACTGTGACTGCCCATCATTTCTGATGAAAGGGCATTCTCCCGACTACTTTCCTTGCCAATATTCATCATCCCGCTGCCTGATGAGTGTAGGATGGAAACACGGAAGGGTGGCCACCAGCGATGAAATTCATTAACCCACTGTTTCATAAGAGTTGCAGGGCAAACAATGATGGCAGGTTTGGTGAGCTTCTTACTATGATGCAATGCCGCAAGATAAGAAATCGCCTGGATGGTTTTTCCCAGCCCCATCTCGTCTCCGATAATTCCGCCAACAGTTTGCTGGTGCAACTCCCAAAGCCACTGAACTCCAGTTTTCTGGTAGGGAAACAGGAAACGACTGATGTCTCCAGGGACCCGCAGTCCATTGTCAAGCTCCATAGCTGGTTCAGTAGGATGTGGATTCAGCCACTCCTCTTCTTCATTCAGCTCGACTTCGACGGAATGACTGTCAGCGTGCCGTCGAGCAGAGCTTCGCCGGCTGATCCATTCCTGGAGGCGAGACTGGTATGTTGCCTCGTTTCCATCATCGACCCCACTCAGATCTTCAAGTTCGGTCGTTGTTTTTCCTTGCTTGCGCTTGCGACTTGGCTTAGTGTCAGGGAGGGTATCAGGCATGAACTCCTCCCCCGAGGATGTAGCGTCAGCCTCAGAGGCAACATAACTTGCCGAAGAATCCGCTCCCGGAGAACTAGGACGATCCACCTTCCTCCGCTTGCTCTTGCTCTTGCTGATCTCTTCAAAGTCGAAGTCTGGGCGTGCAAGATCCCGGTGGGACGCAGTTGGCTGATGTTTGGCCTGTTCGCGCTCTTCCTCCTCATGCTGCTGTTCCTCGGTATCGACAAGAGCATCGTGAAGATTGGCAAGTGGTCCATCTCTGGAGCCTTCTTGCATCAATGCGAACGGGGTGATTTTTCCGGTTCGCAAGAGATAGTCACGGCGGGACTCATTCGGCTGTCGCTCTGACCCATGTGCCACCGTCGAATTGCCCTGTGAGGCGCGCCTCTCATCAATGCGCTGTTGTATGTCCTTTAGGTCTTTTCCTAGATCGGCCTTGCGCAACTGCAACCTTTTCAGCTCATTCTCAACTCGATGGCGAGGGGCGGCTCCAACGGGCTGTGTCAGGCGCTGCTGCGCTTGGCGGACCTGCGAATCTACCCGCCTACGGGCTAAGTTAGTAATGTCATCAAAGATCAGGGCATGCGCTCTTACTCCCGATCCACAAGGGCTTTCTCAAGTCGCTTGATGTCGTTCTCCTCCGCTTTATCCGCCAGGGCTTTATCGGCCTGAAAAAGCAAGAAGGTGAGCCCAAAGTGATAGTGAATTGAGAACTTGGTCATACCTGGCGAGTAATATCTCTTTCGAGATCATCCTGGTCACGAACATCTGCTTGGAGGTCGCGCAGGCGACTCGCCTCCTCGTTGGTAGACATTGGCAAAGTTGTCAAAATAAAGATTGTATTAAGTGAAAAGAAGTGAGAGACTAAAACAGTTTGTCTAGGAAAAAGAGGAACATGGTGATTGCTCAAAGAGCAAATACAATAGCACAATAGCACACTAGCATAGGCAACGATAAGTCTAGATGAACAGCACTCGATCTAGATCTCTCTCAGAGGCAATGGCACAATATGACACCG